ATCAATCTCAAACTTTTTAGCTTACAAAATTAGGAGCACTATAATGCACAGAAGCGAAAGTTTGTAGATGCAGAATCTGTGGGGGATAAATTGTTTTCACTGTTTGCTTGAAAAATTTCCCATTGATGATTAAAGAATTTGAAATTTTAGTACTGGTGCAGCAGGCAGATCTGACTTGTAGAATGTTGAGGGATTTACCTGAACTAATTACAGGTCAGGGCTGTGCATACTAATTATCGTATTATTAATGCATATTTTACAGCAGGTTCAACATCTCTTTGAAATGTAAGGAATCTTGGCAGTGTGACTTCCCATAACTAAATACAATCTTGTGTTTGATTTATGCCCTTTGTGTATGCATGCCTTTTATAGTGGTCTTTTTTTTTTCTAACAAAAATCAAATTGCCGTCAAATTTTACAAGTGGCATGTGGCACAAATGAAACATGAAATCATCTATCTACCCAGGGTATTGCATTAAATCTTTTATTACATGTGTACAAAGTAGTAATTTGCTATTTTAAATTGACAAAATCGGGCTTAATGTTATATGACTAACAGACTTGGGAATTTATCATTTCCGAATATGTAAATATAAATAACCACATTATGATAAGGAAAACTATAATCCTAGCTAATTAATGTATCGTTTTTCTCATTGACTTTAAAAATATCTTAAACAAAAAATGACTCTTTTTTTCTTTTCTTTTTTGTTGCAATGAAAGCATAGTTAAGATAGTATCAATTAAGTGTTACAGATATATCAAAATCAAAGACAAATTAAAAGTTTGACAACAACTCTTAAATCTTGCGCCTTTGAAGTAATTTTGACTTTGTTTTTCTAAGTGTTTTCATTTTTTGTCATCCGTGGTTTTCATTTTTTGTCATCCATGAAAGCTGTTGTGGTGTTTCCTATCTCTTTTTGTCACTTTTTCTTGATGTAAAAGTGACAATTTTAAAGGGTTTTAAACACATGTTATTGTTAAAAAAAGAGAAGATGAAAAGAAAAAAAATAGGAAAAATTTGACGTGATTTTGTCATTTCACAAAAATTTGTCACAAACAATGGTAGAAAATTGCTATCTGAATTGACAGACTAACTTTTACATACATGTATCTAGGTCAGAGCAAAGAAAAAGTAAAAAAGAAAAAATTAAAAAAAAGCAGAAAAAAACAACACTTTTTTTAAATCTGCCTGAATTATAATGCTATACATAAAGATTTTGCGACAGATTGGTTTTTTTGATAATACACCATATTTTATTGGCATTGTGGTAGTTAAGTTGGTATCAAACAAAATAATGCTAATATTGTTTAAATAGAGGTACAGAGATATGGAGCAGAGATAATAATACAAGAGGACCAGAGATCAATCTCACCTTGATATCTGAGGCCAGTGTATGTGACATCTGCTCAAATATTGACCAGTGATGTTCATAATGACTAATTAATGACAAAAAGTCAGTAAATTACCATTTATCTTTCCTTTATTTTAAGTTTTCTGTCACCGACATTTTTGAACAAAATATGTGACTTGGAATCACCCTGTAACTTTCTAAATTTGGAACATTTCAAATAAACGTGTGTTATTTTGTATACATATGTATTAACCCTTTAAAAATAAATGATTAAATGGACATTTCCATCTTTCAATCTAGACAAAACCATCATTATTTGTGGAGAAAATTTTCAAAATTTAATATCAAAGGGGCACTTTAGAAAAAAAATACTTGTAGGCTATTCTTAATGAAATTTTCAGCTTACTATATATCAAGAATTTGCTTACAAACGGTGGTAGGTAGAAATTAGGGAAGCAGTTAGTTATAGAGTCTGGGATATCTGTTAAGAAACAACTAAATTTGTATAAGGTAGACTGGACATCATTGTATGGAAATATAATTGTCTGTAGAGACTGATTGTTTAAGCAGCCCTGGTATTTGATTTGTGTCAAAAGAGCCATGTGAAATTCTATTGTGGGTTAGTTAGGAAGGTCAGAATGACTAGTTCCATTGACAAGGCAGTCAGCTATATATCAGCTGATAGTTCTGCCAAAACTCTTCTGCATGATGGAACCTGATTATTAGTTTATTCACTGTCAATAATTGTGATGATTTATTAATTATACCCATACCTGCACATACTGTGGAGGGGGATAATACTGGAATCACTTGGTCGTTCATTAGAACGATCTGTCTCCATCAGGTCCACTGTAAATCTTTATAATACCCCTTGAAGGATTATCTTCAAACTTGGATTAAATGTAAACATAACTTACAGCAAGGTGGTGTGCTGAACCCATGCCACCATTGTGCCAGCTCAAGGTTAAGGTCACCCATGAAGGTCAAAGGTCAAATATTAGACAACAGTTTCAATGAAGATAGCTTATATTGTTGCCTTAGAAAAAGACTCACAAGGAGTCTGTCTGTTTTAACTCTATACAATTTAATACACAAATCTATACATCTTTTTGGTATTTAATTAAAATTGATGCTGTCTTGAAAATTCTCTTTCTTAAAATCTATGATTTAAATTTTTGTACAAAGATGAAAGAAATGTTGATGATTATATTTTGTATGACAATTAAGTACCAGTAAAGTTGTAAATGACATTCAGACAACCATGTTACCTGGACAGCTGGTCAAGGTGAATCAATATGTCTAAATAAATACACCAGTGTTTGTACAGGTTTTTAACCTTGTGAAGTGGGTCTTAGTGCTTCAGATATGTTCCACATGTCCACATTATAAAGACAGTGTTTCAATAGTAATATTTTGTATAAATCCTTGTACAGCTTCTTGAGTATAATTGACACCATAAGTCTGAAATGCTTAAATCAGACTTTGATGATTTCCTTAATGAATTCCTAAAGTACACAATGTTTAAATTGCACATATGTTCATGTGTACAATACAGAGTAGATTTCAAGATAAAAAGAAATATAAGGCCAAAAAAGTAAATTTTTGAGAAAAATAAGACCAAAAAAAATTCGTTTTTAATAGCTCAGTGTTTAAATCCAAGGAGTTTGCAGTATTTATTAAATGAACGGGTATCAGACCAGACCTGCAGATGTTAATCTTTTGACTGCTCAGTTTTAATCATTTTCATGCTGCAAATCCCTAAAATGACAAAAAATGACAATGAAGCAATCCAAATTTCAGAACATGGTAAGTTCATTTAACAAAGTGAGGGTGCAGATAAAGGTTAAACTTAGCATGATATAAAATCAGCACATCAAGTTGAATATGCTATTTATTTTGAAACATTCAAGTTAATATGCTAATTAAGATCAGATATAAAATCAGATTCTACATCTACTGTATTTTGGGATACACAACTCAAATGAGAGATATGCAAATCATGTAAATTATGCAAACTAACTTGTAATTTAACTTCTTGTTAGAGTTTTCTTTAAATTTGTTGGAATTACAGGGTTTTTTTAAGCCATTAGAAATGAGGGGAAATTGCAAATTTGACTTTTTGTCATTGAATCAATATCAGTTCTGTTATGAAGTCTTTATAAATCAGCCTAAAATTAATGCTGTAAAGGGAAACAAATGTTGTATTCTTATTAATTCAATCTATTTGTGTGAAGTGACTTTTTGTTCTGATTTCTAAGATAGGTCTTTTTAGACAGGTTTTATATATTAAAGTGAAAATACATTGCAATTATGTCTACTTAAATTTATATGATAAATGCTTTAAGTTAGGGTAACCCAGTCTTATTGATAATAATTAAGTGCCTAATAGTTGATCTGACGAAGAATTTTATGTTTTTATGCTTTTGGACATCAGTGGTGCTTGTTAAGCAAGAGTGAATAATTTTGAATGAACATAGGTTGTAATTATATCAATTAAGCAATTTGATTTCTCTATAATTGTAGCCATGTTTATATGCTGACCAGATGCTAGAATGTTCAGCTTTCTACAATACTCTTTCTGTCTTGTGCCTTTCTGGTTCTGTTTAGTTTATAAAGACTTATTGATGTCAAATTATATAGATTTCAAAGCCAAGTGGCTTATTAGCTCTCTTTCCTGCCTGTATAAGTTGTTTATATTAGATGCCAGAGTAATCTCTGGTAGCTGTCAGTTTACAGTACTCATCACCAACAAGAATCAACTGTAGAAACAACAACAGCAACAACAAGGCATTACCTTACTTTGTTGCCTATCGGCATAAACAACACTTATTTATTATCTCAGGCCATGAAACATGTGAGTTATAGTGTCCCGTTACAATTCAAACATTCCCGCCATGTTATCTTAGAAATTGAATATTAATTAAAACCAGAGGAAAAAACACCAATTTTCTGATTATATTAGCAACAGCTATTATTATGGTAAGGAAATGAACATGTTGGTATCTTGAAAGAGTTTTCAGTGTCCAGTTACCTGGGTATGTGTATCCAGAAATTAAGCACCTGGCTTTTGCTGTTAATAGAAATTTATCAGATGTTTGAAATATAAGCAATATGTTGAATACTTCAAGCAAAGTCATGGACTTCTGATTCTTTCATGTGACGAAGTTTTGTTGCCAGTTTATGGAGGGTTGGGGGCTTGTGCCTAAAATAAATTACAGAGGGGCACCTGAGGTCTTCCTGCACTAGTTAAGCTGAACATTAGGCACTGGCCATAATAGTGATCAGAAAAATTAAGGGGACCAAAATTTATACAGCTTTGCTAACTCATACAAAACTGAACTTGTATAAATTCTCTTTGAAGAATGGGTCAGTTTAAATTATAATATAAGGTGACTTAAAAAAATGATTCACTGCAAGTAAATGTGAGTGAAAAAGGGTTAACAATCAGAGCAACATCATCTATTCATTACTGACACTTCGTGAACTTGTAGTACTTGAAGTTTCAGGGAAGAAGGAAATTTTATTTCAAGCAAACAATACTTCATGACCAGTCATTATGTTGTTATTCATATGCACTTTCAGTTAGGCTTATTAAGTAGCCACTACAATATATATATTTATATATGTATACTTTTCTATTTTTAGAACAATAAAGGTCAGGATCAACAGGAGCTTGATCCCAAGCGTCACAGACACTCAGATCGAGAGGTTCAAAGAAATGGTGGTCAACACAAAAATGTGCAGAAAATGGCTTCCAACTCATCCTTTCCAGGTGCATTGGCTGGTGGTGGTGAGTTTTTATATCAGCAGATTTGCCGTTTTGTATTATGAACAGTCCCATTCCAAGGTTAAAGTGATTACAACATCAAAATCAAAGCTAAAGTCAGTAACATCATCAAGCAGATGGTTTTGTTTTAAAAAAAACAAGCTTAGCTAGAACTTGGTGGTCTTTGCTTTCAGATTAAAACTGGTTAAGAAATGTTGAAAGTCAAGAAATTATTAGGAATTGTGAGACTATGTTGAAATCCTCATGAAGTGAACCATTTGCTTATTTTTCTTTTATAATATCACTACAGATTATCCGTAACAAAGAAAAACAGTATCTTTAGAAAAATACAAGATTTTGCATTTAAGGAGTATATTGTTTGTTAAGAATCGCAAGAGCATCATTGAATATCTTACATGTAATGATGTTTTTCTTTCTTCAACAGCAATGCAGTCACCCCGTCACAGTGCCAGTAGTGGAGTCCTTCCAGACTTGTTACCTCCTCACACCCCGCCACAGTCTAGATCTCCACCGGCTCCTGGCCAGAGACCCCAGGACAAAACTACATCTGACGAGGTACGTTTAGTAAACATGTTCATAGTTTTATATGTTTATTATTTTATCTTACAATAATGAATTATAAAGAGCAGTGACCTTGACAAATAAAGAGCTTTATTAATGATAAAAAAGAAACATAGATAAAACAACATAATCTAATGTCTATTATTGAAGAATTAAGGATTATAGCTATGAGGAATGTCTTGTATGTTCCAGTTTCATCATTACTAAACAAATGATTTTTTTTTAAATGTCGCTGGAAATATTGAACATAATACTAAAAATATGATTGTTAGACTTATGGCTGATGAGATATACTATAACTATGACTGTTGGACTCAAGGTTGATGTAACACCAGATTTTTACATCTAGTAAATTAACTAATGTATACAATAACAAATCCTTTACTATAAATTAGACAAAAAATGTAGGCCTACTAAATTCCAAGTAGGATACATGCATTTTTGCACAAAATCAATTCCCAAATTTTGGCTGGACAAGTACTTTAACACGAAAAATGATGCCTTAAGTGAATAGCATCTGACATCTATGGCTCTTACCCTCGGAAATTATCATCAAGCAAGAATATTGTCAAAACTATCTTGTTCTTAATAAAAAAAAAAACAAGCGTCAGTTTCTTTGTTATGTGATAAATTTTGTTTTTTTTGCTTCTTTTAAGGAAATCTTAAGGTTGACACAGTTAAAAAAGAAAAAAATTATAACGATTTCCCACTGTATCTAAGTTAGGAAATGTATGTGCACGAAAATACAATATACAGTATGCATGCTGATGGCTTTTATAAAACGTTTTTCATCTCAAAAGAAGTAGTGTAGGACGCTATGTACACTGTATGTTAACAATTGATTATGAATGACAAAAATATACCGTAGTTAAAAGCAACACTGTAACATGTAAAATATCAAGTCATTTGGGAGCAAAATACTTGCAAAGATCTTCTATCCATAATGCTTTGATCTGATGTTACTCCCATAATGCTTATTTTTCTGGTAAAGGTAATCTCCCTTCGCTTACACCATTTATTTTCAAATCTCATTTTGTTAGAGGGGTTGCCATTTCATACAGGGTAGTGTGTATGCTTTGAAAGGTTGAAATTCCTTTTACAGCTTGAAATTTATCTTAAAAGTTACAAAATCTCAGGAAAAATATTTTCCATTATGTCAAAAAAACAACAACAAAAACACTTGCATGGGTGCAAGTTTTCCGGCATTGCCGGAAGTTCCGGTTTTTCACGTGCCGGAGGGATCATTTTTGCAAATCACGTAAATCCGTTGAGATATTTGGAGGGGTATGGTGCGGGTCTACTCTTTCAAACTGAGAAGTACCACCGATTAGAAGTTCATAATCGAGAACGCTATATAACATACGGATACTCACCGTTGTTCTCGAAGCGTCAATAGTAAACTTTCGCGGAAACTGCCGATAGTTTCCGAAGATATACGAGATGTTTACGAAAAAATGTATTATTAATCCCGGCATGCAATTTTATCCGTGAATTTATTACAACGATTTAGATTGGCGTGCTAATTATAATCATCCAATGAAAAAGCGGCTTCGTTACCGATTCGGCTTCAGAGTAATATGTAAACAGAAAGTAATTGTACAAGGTAGCACTCCACAGTTAATTTCAAGTTCCTGCCGTCAATGTCCTACAAGCAATACGTCTAATAATGCTGATACCAAACTACACAACCTGGAAAAAGAAAACACATTTTGTTGAGAACATATATGACATAAGATTGCAAATCTACAAAGAAATTATCCCATCTGCAATAGGCAGGCAGTCAAAAAATTTGCAATTCATTCCGTTGAAGCCCAAAATCTACAGTGGCCCGAGACCCAAAACAACACATTTCGACCCTCTGGCAAAAAATTTCTGCAAATTTACAGGCTAAAGGAACACCGTCTCTGCTTTAGCAACTCCCTATACATGCAAAATATCACAAAGAAACTAGTCCTCAACCTTGTAGATTTTTTGCTACTGCTAAAAGTTTGTACCCCCCTGTAAAATGACTTCTTTTTACCGTGCATGCTGTATAAAAGCAATGTTTACAAAAAATGGCGGCCTTGACATTCATAATCAACAGCATGTGATTTCTGGCCATGTTTTCGAATTTGCCAGTGATCATATTAGATGTCACAAAAACAAATTTTATGCTGAAAATGCATTTTAAAGACAACCAGTCATTTAAATCCAGAATATTCACTATATCCAAGAAATCCTCCCTGGCCATTCGAAGCTGTGGCTTACATTACTGTGGTGTGCTACCCAATTTGTTAGTCAAAATGAAGTTTCTACACGAAGGATTTAATACAAAAGATTTCGAGAAGACCTCAAAAAATAAATGGAGATGGGAATGGTTGTCTGTATGTGATCGAAACGGGGATAACTACGGAAACTGGCTGGAAAAGCCAGACGTTTCCGGCGTAGCTTTCTGCACTGTATGTAGAAAATCCATCAAGTATGGATCCAGCGGGAAAAAAATAATAAATGCACGCAGACGATCCAAACCATATGAAAAACAAACTTACTGTGAAACATAACCAGGCTTGTTTTAATTATCTTTTTTGAAAAAAAATTATTGTTTGTATGGAATCAGGGTCAGCTCAGCCCTAATTAAAACGTAAACTCGTTACAAATCAACTCAATTTTCAATTTATTTATATATTGGTTTGTTTTATCACTCTTTACTGTTGGAACCACAATATTAAATAGTGGAAACAATATATGAATGCACATTTCTTTTTGTGTTGAAATGTTTTTTGTTTATATTATAATTAAGAAAATGAGAGAGAAAAGAAGAAAATAATTATGTGAGCAATATTCAAGTGAAAATACTATACTACAGTATGTATGTTATCTGGCATGTAATCATTCAAGGGAATTGCATTTTAGGCCTTCAAATGTGCTATAATGCAGGAGCTTCCGGGGGACTCCGGCCCCCTGGACCCCTGGCCGGGCGTTGCCCTGGACCCACCGGGGGCCCTTGCGGCCCCCAGGCCCCCAAACAAATAGTTCAGGTTTTTCAAAATTTTTAACTTGCACCCATGCACTTGGTGGTGTCCCTTTAAAAGTACAGTTTAAAATGACTTACTAAAAACAAGGAGTCAGTGCTGATCAATATTGTTCCAAAATTATATGAGCCGCGTCACGACAAAACCAACATAGTGTGTTTGCGACCAGCATGAATCTAGACCAGCCTGTGCAACCGCGCAGACTGGTCGCAAATGCTGGCTGCCATGCTGGTCGCAAATGCATTATGTTGGTTTTGTCCTGATGCGGCTCATATATTATACATCAAAATGACACTGCCTTGAAATTACAACCTCTTAGTTCAAGAAAGTCGAACCTTTGCTGAAAGACCATCTTGCTTTAAGATACTGTCCTTTAAATATTATTCATTTTATTGGTAGACAAGTACCAGATAAATTGTTCTTGCACTATCAGTTATTACTGTGTAAAGTTATAGCCCCTGAATATCAAGCATATCCACATATAAGAGTTATTTTTTTCCAATAATGTGAAACTGACTTTCTCTTAAGTCATACATTCTCAAAAGTTTGTTTTGAAGTCAGCATAAATACTGGAAAAACAAACAAAGATGATTGTGTTGAAAAAAAATTAATACTAAATAATAATTATTGTATTAAATGCTGTAAAGATTATGTATGTATATCTTTTAATTTATTTATAAAACTTTAACACAAATGGCTTGACTGTTTTTCATTAAAAAAAACAACAACAAAATATCCAAAAGTTAAACATGATTGGGTTTTATTTCATTATAAGCCCAGCCCAACCACATCAGTCCATATTGTCCACCTTTATTTCTTGTAATTATGACATCAGTGGTAAACTATATGACAATTACATGTATTATGCATGATCTAAATGTATTTTCATGTTGTTAATTTTAAATAAAAATGTTTTTGAGATTTTTTTTATACTGAGGTAGGAAGTATATGTGTATTTTCAGCTAAGGAAATTGGCAGCAAACAACCTTCAGGTTCTTACCATTAGCAGATTTACATTTCATAATCATAATGCCATTCATTTATGATGTTTGAATATGACAATTTGTATATTACATAATTATAAATATAATTCATATATTATATAATTATAAATATGAAAAAAAAATAGTTTTGAAATTCATTCTTAGGATATAAATGAAAGTAATAAGTGTTTTGAAATTTTATTTGTAATACAAAAAATGTAGCTATCTTGTATGACATAAAACAAAAATACATAGCATATTATTTATTTCGCCTTTGTTTACTGATGATTTTTCTTCACAATTTATTAAATAGATAGAAATGAAAATTAATATTAAAAAGTAACATTTATGGATGGCAAATCATATATCATCATATCTTGAGTTATTTAATCAAATACTTAACACTCTGTGTAATGGAATCTCATTTTTTAACTGGACACACTGTATGGTACATGCTTTAAAAGGCTTCATGTGAAAACCCACTACCATACCCTTACCAGAAATAACTAAAAAGCTCTGGTTAACAAGATTAACTCTCTCAATCTTACAGAATTTTCTCTCTAAACAATGGCAAAACTGACTTGATTTTTCTTGCTAATTAATGGACAAGTACAAGGAAATAAGATTTCTATCTAATTTATCTAAATTTAATGAAAATTATTTACAAATACAACATGATAACTGATTAGGCTTTGATCGATTTAAAAGAAATGTTATAATTAATAAACTCCTGAACTTAGCATGATAATACATTGTTTAATGTTAAAGTTGAAAAATAAATTATTTACCGCATCTGAAATGGTCATGTTGACCCTTGTCTACCAGACTGTAACAAATTGTTTTGTATACCAGTGACTGAAAAAATTATGGAAAAAAAGAGAAAATTGTAATTATGAATATATCCTTATATCTATCTTTGACTGAAGAAATAATATCAATTCACTTGAATAAACGGTTTTATACTTCTTCATAATTCAGTGAATGTAAACATTACTCTTTGATAATGAAAATAGACCTGTAAAATGTAACTGAAATTTTAATGAAAGCAATTAAACAAAATTCTTTCTTGGTGAAAATTACCTCCCTTGAATATTTAATTTGTAGCAATATTACTTCCCTGTAGAAAATTTGAACCAATTAATTCACAGTTACTTCCCTTGTCAAGACTGAAACTAATTACCTCCCTTGGTAAAGTATTTCCATATTGATGGAAGCTCAAAATTCATAATCAAGTTTTCTACATTTATAATATATATATTTCTCCCTTTTCAATTAATGAATCAACAGTGATTGATATATTCCTGTACCAGTCGGGATATATGATATTATTTCCGTTTCCATAATATTTCATTTCTTTTCATTATCATGTAGATTTTTTCCCCCTTACATAGGCTACATTTAATCAGTGCCTTTCTTTACCAAGATTTATTCTTTACAATAGATAGAGCAAAAATCTATTTCTGCTTACATGTAGAATTATTATTGAGAACATAAGGATAGAAAAAAGTAAGGAAGAAATAAAAATGTATAATTATGTAGATGTCTGTTCTAAAGGAATTTAAAATACAGATTGATTCAAACTGAAAAGAATGATTTGCATTCATCTTTTCATATAATTAAGATATTTTGTTTAATAATTTAGTAGCTAGGGGAAAGGATTTGAATACTGCTATATGATACTTTGCTAGAAAGTCACCAAGGGACCTTTATATTGTATGTGTGGCTAAAATAAACATCCCCTTTAGATGTATAAGCATACTGTGTCCATCAAATGGTTTATATTGTGGTTTCAGAACCAGTGAAAGTTACGGTTTAATATACGGAACTCTGCAGCTCATTCAATTCAAAGAATTATTTTTTTTGATATTTTTACTGATTTATATTTCCAGACAGTATCTTGCTTTACTTTGACCTACTGAATCTCCTTAATGGTCTTGTCTAAAATCCATTTTGAAACTGCCCTTTATTAGGTGTAAGGATATCACTATTCACACTGGAAAGTTTCCACAAGTCATAAGTATCATGAAAACTGCTAGAATATACCTATAAGTCAAGCTGACCGAGCTCCTTAGTTGTGGCTAAAACCAAACAATTTTGGCTTCAATATTTTATTGGTACTGTAGCTGCAAAGTCTATGAATGACAGGGCGATTAAAAATGTATGTTAATAAAAATAATTTGTCTATTATTTAAAGGGCAAATTAACTCCTGGAAGAGTAGAGGTATAGTTGTTTACAAAGTATGGTTGTATATTTTTGATATGTCACGCTCGCTTTGAGATTCAAACATTTTGCACCAGTTACCGCTACAAGGATCCTACTGCTTAACTTTTGTAGAATGTTATTTTGTTAACAAATTTTAAGGGCATTGTAAAATTCATCATGAGTAGGGATTTACTTTTTTGATAGAATAGTGAAAAAATTGTTTTGTAAATAGAGAATGTTACATTGTAAGCTTTTGATTGTATACCTTCTAATAAATGCACCTTGTTTGTTAGCAATTATGGCAGTGCACAGGTTTATAAAAAAAATATGTTACTGAATGCTGATAATTAAAACCAAGAAAAAAATAGGTGAAATATTTTTACATATATTTATATTTTTTTCATGGCATAGTGTTAGTGACAGATATTTTTATGTGGGATCGATATAGATTTTACATCCTTAGATCATAGACTGACGTCATTGGTGTCCTATCGACACATGACTGTCTAGTTCATTTCTAAAATAAAAATCCATGGGAGAGATGGGCAACACTGATATTCTACAAATCTACTTTATTATCTTCATCATTATATTCAAGTAGAGTGCTTATTAGAAGGTATACATATGATCAATGTATAGTGAAAAATGATGTACATTAGCAGACTGATCCTGTAGTACGGAGAAAAAAAAATGCCCCCTCCTCCAAATTTCCATGCATGCTAATGTTCTGCAAATTTTGCTGTCTTACCCTTTCTCAATGGTGTTATAAATTTTTGGCTCTTGTTTCTGATAGTGTACGGTAATTTCTTTGAAATATGTTATTGAAAATGCTGGATCCGTTGTCATAACATATTGGTTTTTCTTGAGAAGCTAGAAAAAAGACTAATATTACGTGACAATAAATTCAATGGGAAGTCTTTTAATGAATAGATATTTATTCATGAATCCATAATTTTCTATGGAACTTGAAATTCTTTGAGAAGGGATAAAATTATATATAGATTTATTTTGGCTAACACAATAATAGGAGAATGTCATTTCTGCTTGATGACAAAATTCATGTTAGAGAAATACATAAGAAAGGTTTTAAATGAATTATTTCTGAGGCATTCCTGCATTTTGATTTAATTTAGACAACTGTTGACAACTTACGGCAAAATTCATTCTTCTTTTATTTTCAGAATTTAGAATCTCCTTTAAATTTAATGGAAACTTTATTCTATAGAAACTTCCAATAAACTTGTCATAAACTGGACTTGCTATATAAATCACAATGGCAGTGAGTGTATGTCCGTCTGTCTGTCTTTCTTTCCATTAAAAAAGCCATAAGATAAAATTCCTAAATAAACTCTACTCTCAGATGATATCTCTGTTACTTATAATAAAATATTAATAATGTTTATATCGGATGCATCCATATTGTTATTCTGCTTTGCATGGCATTGTGCTTATATATTGGTCCCATTTTGTTGAAAATGGAATTGATTTTGTAATTAGACTTGTATATATTCCTTTGTTTTCTTAGTGTCATATATGTTTATTGTATGTATATAGTCAAGGATTATATTATTGTTTAGTAATGTAGCATTTTGTTGGAGGTTTGTACAATGTTTTATGTAGTTTTTCAAAGTTAAGGTAATGAACATATATATTTTCAATCAGTAATTTCATGCAACCATTTCAGTAATTTTATGCAGGCATTCCAATAATTTCATGCAGTAATTTAATCAATTTCATGCAACCAATTAAGTAATTTCATGCATATATTTCAGAACATCCATGCAAATATTTCATGTAGATATTTCAGTACTTTCATGCAATAATTTTGATAATTTAAACCAACTATATCAGTAATTTTATGCAACAATTACAGTAATTTCATGAAGACATAACAGTCATTTCATGCAAACATTTCAGTAATTTTAATAAAAAGAGTTTTCAGTTATTTCAATTAAGAATTTCAGTTTCATGCATCCAACCATTTCAGAAGTAATTTCATGCAATAATTTTAGTAATTCCATGCAGATATTTCAATAATTTTTCGAACAAACATTTCATTAATTGTGATTGACCATGTCTTTATAAACAATCAACTGTAAGCAAAACACACATTGTAACTGCTGATTGGTGTTTATATGTTCATTACCTTTATTGTATAATTTTATTGTTTTATTAAACCAAAGCAATTGTACCTTAATCCATAAACTGTTGTCAGAGGAGTCAACAAATAGGGAGATGGGGGAATCAAAATGTGTCAGGGGCTGGAAAATAGAGAAAAAAAATTAGCGTATTTTGTAACAGGGTCTTAAGGTAATGAAAGGAAACTGGAGACTAAAGTTTAATGACTGATATTTTTATTTTGGACTGGTGCAATAGTTTTGGTGATGATATGTATTGGAAATGTATAGAAGAAAAGATGAAATTTTAGTTTGTATTTATATATACTTTCTATGTTAAATTTTGTATTGAATAAAGCAACTTTGTTTACCAGCTTCTATGTAACTTTTGTTATGAATATCAGATTTTTATTTAAAAACCTATGTATGGCTGTTATACAAAAATTAAATCGGGTCTTAGTTCGTTGTTGCAATGGACTTTATTTTCAAACATTTTTGTATTCCAGTATCGCCAAGCTGTAAGTAAGACACCATCTATGCGCCACCAGAGGTCTTTCTCGGCATTTGGGTTTGGTGCGAGCAGTGGTTCAACAGTTGGTTCTCAGTCAAGTCAGTCGAGTCAGTCACGACGCGGGTCTCAGATCAACGTAAACGTTACTCCGGCGCAGACCCAGGAGGCGACGTCAGATACCCCGGAAATCAGAAAATACAAAAAGAGATTCAATTCCGATATTTTATGTGCTTCATTATGGGGTAGGCTATCTACGTTATTGTTTAAAAACTGATAATCTTGTCTTCAATATTTATCTTTTATCAATATCAGTGTAACACTTGGTTCAAGGTTTACGTGCAACTGAATTATTCATTAACCACTGAGCATGTTCATTTTAAACTTCACTCATGTGTTGGATATTATATCTGAGACTCATAACTCTAGCATAGATCTTTACTGAGTTATTTCCTCTTTAAATTATATTACAAATTGTTGTCTTTTAGACTATTACACTATCAAGCAGTTAAATAATTAGGTACTGTTGAACTTGCAACTCTTGTTAACTGATGGTACAAAAATTCCTGATCTCAAAATAACAAAATACAATTGAGCTTTTCCAGAGATGACAAAGTTCTTTTAAACTCAATCATCCATCATAATCTCACGAAAGCTTGGCATATTTCACAACCTCTAGTGTATTGAATTCATATAAGCGTCTGTCTGACATGGAATAACAAAAAAGTCTTTGTCACCTTGAAGCTTGCCAAATGATCAGATGAAATTGGCAAAATATTTTGTAACTTGTACATGTAGGTGGATTCACTGATGGATGACATATGTGAAATTAAGCAAAACATAACATTTAGAAATTGATGTTATGTGTAAAGTTGTCTTTAGGGACTTCTTTAATTATTTTCAATGTTACAATGACTCCCTTGATATTACTTTCATGCAATAAGGTGATATTTCATTAATTATATTTTTTTACCACATTACAATTACGTCATACTGAATAAGTGTCTGTTAAATAAAAAATGACATATACTGTTTTGGTATTTTGAATGTTTTTATTATGAATGTTTTATGTATCACGTGTTTGTATTATGGCAAAGGTTGTATGTAGGTCATTTGGATGTCAATTGAATAGAAAAAAGTCATTCTCCCTGAAAGAGAAAGTTTGTATAAAGAAGATGATTATGTTTTGGGAGACATATTGTTGTTGCCTTCGCTGTCTGCCTGTCCATACATCTGTCTGTCTGCCTGTCCATCCATCTGCATTCAGCTTTTCCGGCTTCTACAGGTCAAAGTGCTGAACAGATTTCAATGAAACTTCACAGGAGTGATCATGCAGTACCATCCCTAGTTGCGCATATTTTGTTTATTTTGTGTTTGTTATTAATTAAACATTGTATGAATTGTGAATACTGATCCATATTTATTATAAAGAGGTTGGTGAAGCTTACTCTTAGACTGTAAGAGACTGACTCTAAGACAATAATTCTTCAAAACTTTTATAAGCAGGAAGCCTCCTAATTTTGTCAGTAAATATTGTGTAAACATGTGTAAAGTGAGATATATTTGATATTTTTCAGGTGTGAATTTATTGATAGGTACAGATAGTGGTCTCATGTTGTTAGATAGAAGTGGACAAGGCAAAGGTAGGTGTAAATGTTCGCAATTATAAGAATTAGTTACAGAGACACTTTAATTCTTTTTAATTTCCCATGAGCAAGCACAATCAAACTAAGTCTGCAATTTTCACCTTCTTTTTTTGTTTTCATTGCTCTGAAGAAATCTTCTCTTGTCAAAACTTGCAAAAATGAAAAAGTGAAAAAATATTCATTTCCGAGGTTTAGTGTGCCTTGAATACCATACATTGTATAATAAGGTTGGAAAAATTGTATAACGAGGTTGTAATAGTTGTGTAAGGAAGTTGGAATAATTATGTAATGAGGTTGGAAAAATTGAGTAACAAAGTTGGAAAAGATGTATAAAGAGGTGGGAAATTTGTATGAAAAAATTGTATAAAGAGGTGAGAAACTGTATTAGACTGGAAAATAGCATAATATGATATTGAACCAAATATAAAATGAGATTCAGTAGAATTATTGTATAAATAGTAACCTGAGGAAAGTACATTTATATTATATAAGTATATAATTTTGATATATTTTTCCATTGACAGTGTACTCGTTAATCAGTAGACGACGGTTCCAGCAGATGGAGGTACTGGAAAACCAGAATATTCTGGTTACCATCTCCGGCAAGAAGAACAAAATACGAGTCTACTATCTCTCGTGGTTAAAGTCAAAGATCTTCAAGTCAGAAGGGGTAAGGATTATGACCGTATTTATATTTTGCTGTTTGGTAAATTATCAACAAAAAAATACTCTCAGATACTTACTGCAAGGTGCAGGAAAACTGATTTGTTCTTACTTGTCAGTTTTTATCTGGAACATACTTTTACTTGTCTGTATGATATCTATAATGTAAATTGTCTTTATAAGCTGTGGGACAAAGTAACCCGGTGTAATAGGGGCAATGCATAGATTCCTGACTTGTCCATTTCTTATGTTTAAATTAGTGGATACAATAAGAATTTCACCACAACATTTTGTATATCAATGTTTGTGGTTAAATCTATTGTTATTTAAATAAAAGGTCAAAGTATGAATCTACCAATTGGTTTTGCCGTCCCTGCTTAGGGTACTAAAGGTTATTTTCTTAGTAAGAGTATGGTTGAGGACACTTTGAATGATGCTAATTTCTGTCCTGCATTTTTAACATGGGGGATAGGGATTGGGGAGTTGACAGTTGCTTCTGGCAAAATATAGTTTAAAGTGATGCAGAATTTTGGATTATTTATCAGATTTAAATAAAGTCCAGAAGTCAACAAAATAAACAAATTCAAATATCCATTTAATTGAGTAAATAAATGTAAAAATGTGTGTAAACGGTTACCTATGTTATATTTTATAAAAATCCAGCTTTGATTAATATCTTACAAAAGGAAGGGAAGAAAGTACAGTGTAATTAACCATTTCAAAGAATATTTTCAGACATGAGCCTGCCATTCCTTAACCAATCTAAAAGTAAGATATTTTATGGGCCATTTTCCTATATTATACATTTATTATTTTCTATTGTCTACAGAATGACAAGAGAAATGGTTGGGTGAACGTGGGAGAATTGGAGGGATGTGTTCATTTTAAAATTGGTAAGTTGGTTGCTATGGTAATATGTTACTGAGTTTTGTCTATTGAGACTTAAAATATATAAAAGTTTGTTTTATGTGTTTTATGGTGGATTCAAGGGACATGACGGATGATAAAATAAGTTTGTTTTTGATAGAAATGATAGAGTTCTTTACTCTTGAGTTTTAATTAAATAATGGATGTTGTTGACAGTTTCAGATAGATGGCAAAGTGATATTATTAATTTGTATTAATTAAGTGATAATATTGTTTCTAAAATATTTTAAATTTTGCAATTATGTTTTTTTCTAAATTTTAGAATAAATATGTGATCACAATGTTCAGAGACATATAATGGTATATAGTGTCTCTGCCATGTTGTAATTATGTAACACTCATTAAGAAACTCTCCAATAAAAGTTTAAAAGGGTTTTCAAAATTAACATTGGTTTATATTATACAGTGTCCAATTTATATATAAGCTAGATTTTAGAAGCTGAAGGTATACATGGTGAGATTGCATAGAGAAGCTTGTAAAGCTAGAATTGGGTAGCCCATGATATAAAGACAGGTGAGACTGCATAGGAAATCATGTAAGCCATGTATGCTGGAGGTATACATGTAGGTCTTACTCCTGCCAGAGAACAGTGGATTAAATCTTTAATTGAAAATTTGAACCCTTTACCCCCTAAATTCTACAATGGACATGCCTAGCTTTGAATTTGGTACAGTCCATTCAAAGTTTAAAAGGTTATGAAAATGCAGAAATACCAATTACCAAAATTATGGAGCTTTATTGGACTGCAGGATAGTCATACTATACAGGTGACAAAAGCTGAACATTTTGGGTTTCAGCAGGTGGGTTAGGTAGATGACAAACTGACTGCAGCAATGTACAGACTAGTTCTTTACTGATGTCATGAACAAAACGTTTAACATGAGCAATATATGTTTTTTATAAGATTTTTTTCTTCCTTTTCTTCAGTAAAATATGAGAAGATAAAATTCCTTGTGATAGCCCTAAGGGACAGTATAGAAATTTACGCCTGGGCCCCGAAACCTTACCACAAATTCATGGCTTTTAAGGTAAGAATTATTTTACACTATTATTATTATTTCTATACATAGGAAAAAAGGTTAATACAAAACTTTCTGTAAAAATTATGGATATCAAAACAAATACTAGAACATATGTTACCAGTGATATCCATATAATTATTTATGCATTTTATTTGTGATGTTTATCAATATTCATGTATTTAATGCGTTCAATGAACCACTTTATATAAATCAAATGCTTTAAAAATACCGTGGTGCATAGCCGTATGGTTAGCTCAATAGGTTAAGCGTGAGACTGTGGATCAGGTGACCCTGGTTTGATTCCCGGGCGATGCAAGTCACATTGTGATTGATCATGAAATCCTTTCTATGGTGATTAGCACTTTACCTTTGCTCTGGTTTGTACAGAAGTTATCAGTTCCTTGAAAGTGAAGGCAACTAGTACTGGTAAAGTGCTTGACAGCCAGCCCAGGAATGATGCGGTTGCTGAACTGAACTCTTGATAAATTTTATTTTGCTCACTGTAGAGATCCAGAGTGAAAACTACCAACACCACTACCACTTTCTATGGTGTACTGGTGCATATTTCTAAATAGTTAACACAATTTGATGAAATATTTTAAGGTATTGTTGTTGTGTGTCAATCATTTGAAAATTCTAAGCTGTTTATATTTATGTTTGCTCTTTATTTTAATTTCAGTCATTTGGTGACCTTGCTCAGCGACCTTTGGTAGTTGACCTAACAGTAGAAGAGGGTCAAAGGTTAAAGGTTTTATACGGGTCTAAGACTGGTTTCCATGCTGTTGATGTTGACACGGCAACATTGTATGACCTGTACATTCCCCAGCATGTAAGTTCATCTTTACACACAGTCAAATATCTGCATCTTTACACACAGTCAAATATCTGCATCTTTACACACAGTCAAATATCTGCATCTTTACACACAGTCAAATATCTGCATCTTTACACACAGTCAAATATCTGCATCTTTACACACAGTCAAATATCTGCTTTCAAAATGTGACACATTTCTTCACTAGCCTGTTTCCAAAGAAAATGTCAAGCCATTTTGATTGCTGCGAAGCCATTGGCATTTCAGTGTCTTGCAAAAACTCTCATGTAGCCTATAAATCAAACATTTGTAAAGATACTGACACAAAACTGATATTGTTGAAGTTGGAAGACGAGGGGATAATTCTTAAAGCTATATTTTAGGAGTTATGCCCCTTTTTTTGTCAAAATTGCTTTTTAAGTGGAATGAAAAAATTTAAAACTATTAAAACAATCAAAGCTATCAATATGAAACTCAAGTAATAAATTATCGTTGTAAACAAGGGTCATTGTACTAAAGGCAATGTTTTAAGGAGTAATGCCCCTTTATAACTTTGGCAATTTACAAAAAAATTTAAGAGAATTTCAAGAAAAAATATAGTTAAGATTACATGTAAGTGGGTTTTATACATGTTTGCTTTAAACGTGTTTTCAAATGATTTATTTACATTACACATGATCACTGATGATTTATATTAGACACAATTGCTGATGATTGATTATAACAGGATCACTGATGATTTATTATCCCCCGCCGAAAAGGCGTCGGGGGATATAGAAATAGTCTCCGTCCTTCCGTCCGTCCGTCCATCCGTCCGACATTTTTGTCCGGAGCATATCTCTAAAAGTATTTGAGTTATCAACTTGAAACTTCATAGGTGGATAGACCTAATTAAGGAGGAGTGCAGTGCACAAGAATGAAAACTCTACCCTGCATAATTTTTGAGTTATTGCCCTTTGTTATTTTTCAAAATTATTTTTGTCCAGAGCATAACTCAAAAAGCCTTTGAAATATCAACATAAAACTTCATAAGTGCATATATCTCACTCAGGAGGTGTGCAGTGCACAAGAATGATAACTCTACCTTTCATAATTTTAGGTTATTGCCCTTTGTTATTTTTTCATACTTAATTTTTCACCTGAGTGGAGCATAACTCAAAGTGTTTGAGATGTCAACATTAATGTCATAGATGGATAGATCTTATTGAGGAGGAATGCTGCACACAAGAATAATAACTCTTCCCTATAAAATATTTGATTTATAACCCTTTGTTCTTTTTCATGCTATTTTGTCCAGAGCTTATCTCAAAAAGTATTTGCGGTATCAATTTGAAACTTCATAGGTGGATGGATGTCATTGAGGAGGAGTGCATTGCACATGAATGATAACTCTACCCTGCATTATTTTTGAGTAATAGCCCTTTGTTATTTTTCAAAATTAATTTTTATCCAGAGCATAACTCAAAAAGCCTTTGAGATATCAAAATGAAACTTCATAGGTGCATAGATCTCACTCAGGAGGTGTGCAGTGCACAAGAATGATAACTCTACCTTTCATAATTTTTGAGTTATTGCCCTTTGTTATTTTTCATACCTAATTTTTCACCCGAGTGGAGCATAACTCAAAAGTGTTTGAGATGTCAACATGAAATGTCATAGGTGGATAGATTTTATTGAGGAGGAATGCTGTGCACAAGAATGATAACTCTTCCCTGTAAAATTTTTGAGTTATTGCCCTTTGTTCTTTTTCATACTATTTTGTCCGGAGCTTATCTCAAAAAGTATTTGAGGTATCATCTTGAAACTTCATAGGTGGATGGATCTCATTAAGGAGGAGTGCAGTGCACAAGAATGATAACTCTACCCTGCATTATTTTTGAGTTATTGCCCTTTGTTATTTTTCAAAATTTATTTTTGTCCAGAGCATAACTCAAAAGGCCTTTGAGATATCAACATGAAACTTCATAGGTGCATAGATCACACTCAGGAGGTGTGCAGTGCACAAGAATGATAACTCTACCTTTCATAATTTTTGAGTTATTGCCCTTTGTTATTTTTCATACTTAATTTTTCACCTGAGTGGAGCATAACTCAAAAGTGTTTGAGATGTCAACATGAAATGTCATAGGTGGATAGATTTTATTGAGGAGGAATGCTGTGCACAAGAATGATAACTCTTCCCTGTACAATTTTTGAGTTATTGCCCTTTGTTCTTTTTCATACTATTTTGTCCGGAGCTTATCTCAAAAAGTATTTGAGGTATCAACTTGAAACTTCATAGGTGGATGAATCTCATTGAGGAAGAGTGCAGTGCACAAGAACGATAACTCTACCCTGCATAATTGTTTAGTTATTGCCCTTTTTTTATTTTTCAAAATTAATTTTTGTCCAGAGCATAACTCAAAAGGCCTTTGAGATATCATTATGAAACTTCATAGGTGCATAGATCTCACTCAGGAGGTGTGCAGTGCACAAGAATGATAACTCTACCTTTTATAATTTTTGAGTTATTGCCCTTTGTTATTTTTCATACTTAATTTTTCAATTCAATTTTTTTCTCAAAAAGTATTTGAGGTATCAACTTGAAACTTCATAGGTTGATAGATTTTACTGAGGAGGGATGCAGCACACAAGAATGATAACCTACCCTGCATTATTTTTCAGTTATTACCCTTTGTTATTTTCAGCCATCAGTATTCACATAGGTTTCAAATCTGTAATCACTATAGCCATCAGTTTTCATTACCAAAAGACCTCTTAAAATGGAATTATTCTGCTCTACTACATATACATTCTTCCAATGAGCAAACACATTCGGCGGGGGATGGCCATGTTGACATGGCTCTTGTTATAACACAATTGCTGATGATTTATATTAGACACAATTGCTGATGATTTATGATCACACATGATAGCAGCTTAAGATTTTTATATATTCTATTTATCATGACTGATATTGTATCTCTGTATTTACAGACACATGGCCCTATATGTCCACATACTATCGTTATTCTCCCAAACACAAATGGAATGCAACTTCTTCTTTGCTATGACAGTAAGTTCTACTTGAATTTTCACAAATTTATGAAATCATACATCTGCTAATTTAAATATTTATGAATACAACTTTTGTATGTTAGAACTATATGAAATAATACTTCTGCTATGTTAAAACTTTTGAATTAGAAATGTTGCTAAGTTGATACTCTTCCATGCCTTTTGTATACCAAATATTTTTATTTCACTCCGTTACATATTAGATCAAGGTATCAAAAAGTTGTATAATAAGTTTTCTTAAATCTTATATTCTGATATATAGATTGATATGCCTGAAAAATGACTTTATTAAATTTCAATCAAGGAAGAGTGAACCCTACTTATGAATTCTCACCTTTCAAAATAAAATGATTATTTTTCTTACCTTTATTAAGTGAAGGATAAAGGTAGCCTGCTGGTTAAATTGTCTGCCTCTCAACCTAGAGGTCATGGGTTCAAGGTCAACAGGTTTTACAGCTATGTTTTTCACATGGCACCATTACTGATTTAGTGAAAAAAATGGATTTTAGGGTTTTTACCATTGAACTAATATAAAATAAATTTAGCTAATTGAAAACTTTATGTTTTTAGATGAAGGTGTATATGTAGATTCTACTGGAAAAGTTACAAAGAATGTAGTGTTACAATGGGGAGAACTGCCCACGTCTGTTGGTAAGTCTGCAATTTCACTCTTATTCTTTAAATTATCATCTACATTTAGACAAATTGATTGTACAACAGAAATGGCCATATTTCTTTACCAATGTTAGTTTATATGTCCCTAGATTATATATTACACAAAATAAAGATTCAAAAATGATTTATACTTGTTTACAATTACAAATATATTTCACATATTTGCATATAGAACTAGGATATATTGCGAGTTAGTTTTAGAAGTTTAGATAAATGTATCATTATAATATATTTGAGCAACCAATAGTGTTGAGCAAGTGGCTAGGAAATTCAAGCTTCAGGGTCTGAGGTTATAAACAAATGTTCTAAGCTCAAACTCAGATCTCCGGTATTCGATTTGTCAGAAACAAGCTTAGAATGTACACTGACCAATGAAAATGCTGAGATTTGTGACTGATCTAAAAAAAAATATTTTTATCCTCAAGTTTTTATACAGGTGACATAGGAAGGTCATAATTGCAGCAAAGTTTAATAAATTAAACATAGAGAATAAGGGATAAAATTTCTTTACTGTATTATGTTTCAGCATACATTGGTACAGGACAGATAATGGGTTGGGGAAACAAGGCAATAGAAATCCGAGCAGCTGAGACTGGTCATCTTGATGGTGTATTCATGCACAAGAAAGCTCAAAAACTGAAATTCTTGTGTGAACGAAATGACAAGGTTTGAAGTTCTTTTTGTTTATGACTGAGGAAAATATGAAAATAAACCTATGCGTTATCAGATATTAAGATACAGGCGAAATTTAGACGGAGAAAAAAAAGATGTGTTAAATTCATGAGTTATTGTCTCTTTTTTTATCTTCATCTTAATATTAGCCCACATAATGATGATAATAGTTGTTTGAATTGTGAAATAAGGGAGAAAAATGTAGTTCTAGCTAAAAACTTTTACATTATTGATAATTTAGAGTATATCATGCCTTTAAGCCAATCATCTGTAAAGGAAATTACTGTGTAAATTAACTGGGGAGTAAATTATAACAGCTATGTTTTACGTAAGGATAATGTAGCTTAACATGATAGTCATACAAGAAAAACAACATTTTTTCCACATATTATAATGTTTTTAACTCCTTACATCATTATGTATGGGATAATTTCCTTTTTACAGTGCTAAGGAGCTGTATTAAATATATTTTGTAATCAAATTTGATTTGATTTCCTGTACCATTTGATTTCAACAAAATATTTTTATATATTCTCTTATATTAAATTATAAAACATATTTTTTCAGGTTTTCTTTTCTTCAATGAGATCAGGGTCATCATGTCAGATATATTTCATGACCTTGAGTAGGCCTGGTTTGGCCAATTGGTGAACAGGGCACATAATTTAGGAACTTAAATTCAAAATTGACCAATCAGAGAGAGTGTAGCATTGTACTGCTGGAAATTGACCAATCAGCAGCAGGAATACAGTTTCCAACTCTGAAAATGACCAATGGGATCAGTATTAAAAGACTTGCCAGTACTGCTTGTTGATGTGTTTGTAACTAGTGCTACGTAAAGTTATATCCCAAAGTTTTTGCACATTTTTAAGTTCTTTGAAAGAGCTTTTTTTTTACAAATATCCTTTTTATAGTATTTAAAAATGTGTAAACAAATGTGAAGTCAGTTGCAAAGAATTTCTTAACATTTAAGTTAAACTTTCATCTTCATTTCACATTTTTTTTTTTTTTCAGAAAAAAAAATAGTACAGGGTTTTGTATTAAAATAATTATGCATTGTGATCTTTTGTAAGTTATTCTAATTTTTCTACTCTGTAATTATTCATTTTGTGTTTGGCTCATTCACTGTCATTTTTTTGTTCTCTCATAATTTTGCTTAAGTGCTCAACTATATACTCTTTTTGTGTTTTGTTTTTTTAAAAAGGAACTCTGTTGCCTTGTGTTGGAGATAGAAATACTGTTAATTTATCAGGGGCATTTTGAATCACAGAATTATGAAATTGACTACTGGCATGATGCCAGAAATCAATTCTGACCAATCAAACTCTGTGTTCCATAAATGTGATACCATATGAGATTGACCAATCAGGACAGAGGATGGATGTTAGTAATAGTCTGTTCTGTTGGGGCACATATAGTCTGTACCTGGAAACTGCATTCAAATTTAAGGACAGTATATGTGAAAGAAAATACATGTACAAGTAAAATTTATGGACAGTATATGTGGCAGAAAATACATGTAATTGTATGAACTGGAGGACAAAGCATAATGTTTGAAAATGCTTTAAAGAAAGGGAGAGCTTTCTAATTGAAGTACATCCTAGAGGTTGTATGCAATATATGTATACTCTGTAAATTTTGTGAGGATGTAAATTTTGCATTTATGAAATGCATTTATTGTAACGAAGATCTGAAGTGACTGGGGACTAAAAGTAATCAGACTACAAAATTATCAATTTATCATCTACTAATATCATTCTTTTAAAAAATGTGATTAATAATTTTTGTTGGGATGTAGTATAATCAATAAGCAATATTAATACTCTAATGTGTCTGCTTATTTTGTGTACCAATTATATCATCATTCTGATACATTTTAAAAATTGTTGACAATAAAGCTTAACTGTCAATCATAGAAAACCAGCAATTTGAAATTGACCACTCAGACTTTATTTTTAGACTGGTGTTCAATATTTGTCCCTGTGACTCCTAAGTTTAAGGGTTATAAAGAAATTATTCAGGAACCAGTCTAAAAAAGTAAAGTTTTTTATTGGTTGATTTAAAACTGTCAATGTTTGAAATCAACCAATGGTTGCTCCTTAATTTTGGACTGGTTACGTGATTTAACAAAGAACGTGGAAACTATTGGTGATAGTGCATTTTAGTGTGAAATTGTACATTGTTAGCAAGGTTTATATGTAACTATTCTTGTTGTATATAGCAAGTAATCATGTGCAATATAACAGTGTTGATGTTTAGGAAATTGTACATTTGTGTCATATAGTGGTATACATTCTTTAATTTAAGGAAAATTTGTGTCATATTGTGGTATACAATCTGTAATTTAAGGAAAATTTGTATCAAATAGTGGTATACAGTCTGTAATTTAAGAAAATGAAAGTGATAATACTGATTACAATGTATTGTTGACAATGTTTTATTTTTGTAACCCAGAGTTTTATGATTTTAATTTCATAATTCATGGATGGTTCCTTGTTTTTATTTTATACAAACAAAATATAGATACCTTATCCTCCTTCAGTTGAAATTGATTTTTCTTGAGAGATTTAATAATTTTTTGATATGTATTAGAAAAGTAATTTATAGAAATTTCGATTCAGTTAATGGGCAGTGATACAATATTAGACAATATTTTAAAAGATATGTTAATGCACTCTCTGACATACATGTACAATTTCACTGTAGGTAATTTTGTTTATGAAATCATATATACTAGTGTATGTTTCCAAAATGTTTATGTTTCGTTTCGTTATGTTTCTCCGCAATGGTGGAGTTGTCTCCCCTTCATACATTATACACATTATCTCTACACATTTAACCCCGATCATTTGCCAAATTTAGTCAAATTTAATGTCATTTTTATACATTTTAAATGTACATTAGTGTAGATAGATGTTTTTGAGATTTGCTTTTTTTGTGATCTTTAAGAGTGTAAAGCAGACCTGCCTGCCAGACTAACTGATAACTGTGAAATTTTAATATACGACTAAAAACATAATATTGTCATATATGCAGAATTACAAAAGCTGTAAATACTCATGTATATCTCAGACATGTGTAGTATACACATTCCCAAATCTCAGTTGATAATACAATCTTACGATAGTGAAATAAAATATTGTTTTTTTTTTAAGATTTATTGATTTTTCTGTAAATACTGATAATCTTTTTGTTTTGCATAGATTATAAAGCCTTCATATCTAGTCATAAATTCATGCTAAATTTAGAACATTTCAAGGTATACTATGCACATTTATCATATCAGAAGTTTAATATCAGACTGATTTTTGCTTAAAATGTACACAGTTTCTCCTAAAGTATTAAAGAAGACAAGATTTGGGGGGGGGGAGAGAAATACCACTTCTTTCCTTGAGTGGGAAACTTACATTTATGTTTTGTCACATTTATCTTAATCTAAAATATCTTATTAAGTGGAATAATTCTGAGTAAACTATATCAAATATCAACAAAACTGTTGGACATTTTTTAGCATGAGGGAAAATTTCAAAAAATTTACAGAATATAAAGTGAACCATGCAGACGACGATAAGACAGTACAAATGTGCCAGTTGATCTTTGTATCCACTGGTTTGCTTTGGCACTTTCACTTTATTACACCAGCAATAAAAGAAATTAGTAAATATTGTTGTACTATGTGTACCCCCCCCCCCCAGATTATTTAAATGTTAAGTACATTGTTTATTGAACTACCCAAGTTGTGTACATGCTTTGTTTAAAACAGCATCCCTCCAGATTCATATAGATTTAAAAATTTATGAAATGTTTTACCTTGGAAAACTTTCAAAATGTGCTTTAATAAAGTGATTTTAGCCGGTGTAAAACACTAATTATTCACAGAAATATATTTATTATCAACAGAAATATAAAAATTACAGGAATAGACATTATTCAATAGAATGATTTTAAAAAAAAAAGTTAAACATATATCATGTATATTGCCAATTGAATTCTGAGTACATGTTTTAACATTTATAGTTAAACTCTTCATATATTTTAAATTTAAGAGGTTTTTTAGGGGGCAGGGGGAAGGGACTGGAGGAGTGCAGCTCTAAACTAGTCTTGAAAGTAAGAATTGTTTGTAAGGTTCTGTGATTTTTGTGCGTAATATAGCTTTAGATAATTGGTAATACACCTTGTTCTTGTTCTTAATACTAAAGTTTAAAATGTTATCTTCTAAGCATCTAATTTTGATGATAATATTTATCATGTACAATATTTTAATTATGTGTTAAAATTATATGATGATTTCTAATCGAGTTTCAATTTACACACGAGTCATGTTTAACTTACTGATGGAATTTTTATGTTTTTAAATTTATTTTTTTCTGATAAGTTCTTAAATGATTGTTGATTTGTAAATATAACCTGCTTTGCTATATGAACTATTTATATTACAAAAGTTTCAATTCTTGTACATTTTTGTACTTTAGCCGTACACACTAGTGTGTGTGCCCATGCTTTTTCTACGTTTTAATTTAGTGTTTGTATAATCCTTTTAGAGGTATTTTATTTATTTAATTAAGTAAAAAAAAGGAGAAAATCTTGCCACACATAATGCTGTATTATTTTAGTTGATTATGCTACCACCCCCTCTTAAATAGTGTGAATGGTAGCTTCTGTTTATTTGAAACTGGAAGATTCCATTTCAGGACAAAAAAGAATAAATTTATAATACCAAAATGATTTTTTATAGCTTTTATAAGATTTTTTTATACAAAAAGAAAGAAATTTTTCTTAACGTTATATTTCCATATCTAGAAATAAGAAAAGAAAACAGTTAAAAGTGTAGAGAATTTTTTAAAAGATGTTAGTTAAGTTTTGAAAAAAGACTATTTACTATGTTGTTTATTTAAAGAACAAAACATTTGAATTCTGTCTTCTAAGGCAAGTAACTGATGGATGATTAGAATAGTTGTGAACATTTATGTTGAGTTACTAATTATTCTAATGAGTTAACACCTTATAATTTATGACTAAGTTATGTTATCGACATGTCCATTTTCTGTTCATAGTGTTGGCCTAATCTAAGAAGTTTTAGCTTAATATTTGATTCTAGTTACAATGTTTTATTGAATTGCAGATTGAACTTTTTGCCATATGTTTTCATTATCAGCTTTGATTTATACGGGGGAGTCAAAGGTCCATCAGACTTTGGCCTGTTATAGACTACACATGTATATTCAAAATAAAAAACAGTTAAAAATTAAATAGATTACTATACCTTATATCAGTGAAATTTTCAATGTCATATCTAGTTGGGCACCGCATTTTTTTAATGTAAGTCGATGATAATCAACACTCGATAAAGCAATAACTTTGTGACAACAAGAATATTGATTTCTCCAAAATCAAGACTTCACAATAAGCTATTCTAGAGTAACACCTGCATGGAGGTTGTACAGTTGAAAAACTTGAACAATTCATTTAGTGGTCCTTTTTTAAAACAAAATAATCAAATCTTATCATATTTTAATGTAACAATTTTTTGCATAAGCTGGTTAAAATGTTAGTCACATATTAAAAGGTTCTTTACTGTGGTTATGTTATTGAGAAAGTTGCAAACTAAAGGAAGTTACTGACTTTGATTTACAGTTTGATATGCATAGTGCTCTCCCTTGAAGATTTTTGTAGTTACTTTTAATGCTATTTATGACATGTCTAATTTAAATAGAAAAGAAGGATACAAGTTCTTCATATTTGTTTGTCAATGAAAAATTACATCAAGCAAAATAACACTATGTTTGTCAGATGACTTTCAAGGGAGATAAGTCTTTAGTTGATGAAACCAATCTCTACACAGTGATCTCCCTTTAATTCTTGTAAAACATGAATTTATTGTACTGATCAAGGGAAGTAACCACTGCTATGAATATAAAAAAATGTTTCATTTTGAAATTCTCAATAACTTGCAGGCAATAAACCTATGATCCATACAGACAATTATATCATAGCTTAATTATGAACAGTTGATTTTTTGTCAGTTTTTTTGTTATAATTCACAACTTAGAAGTTAGATCAGTTTGAATAAAAATATTTTTTGTTCCCATTTTTAATGTATGACAACATTTATGATAAATAAAACATTGGAGAGAAGATCTCAAAAACTAAAAATGAGTTTGTTTTATCTTTCATTCTGACCTTTTTTTACCACAATTTACCTAAATGTGGCCCATGACCAGGTTTATGGGTTGCTTGTTGTCCATGGTGTGTATTTGCATCAACATTCATTTGTCAAACTATCATTTTTAGCTCACCTATGCATAAAGAGCTCAAGGGTTTGCTTTTGTGATCCTTACGTGCGTCCTTACTTTTTCTTAAAATAACATCTCTCTACCCCAATACCAATAGGCCAATATTGTTAAAACTGAGCAGGAATGTTCCAAGGCAACGGAAAAACATCTTCTTAAAACCCCAAAGAGCTAGGGGAAAAAACTTTTTAAAAAATATTTAGCATGAAACATCTTCTAGTGGGTGTACAAGGTTTGTTCAAATAAAAGCCCTTAGGTCAAAATTGGACCTGCCCAGGGAGTCATTGATTTTCCTTATATGTGACTTCTCATAGCAAACCCCACCAGTGACCTTCCATAGTAATTATTGACTTTCCATAGCAACCAGTGACTTCCCATAGCAATCAGTGACTTGCGATGTAAGCATTGACTTTTATAGCAACCAATGACTTTTCTCAGCAACCATTGACAATATTGCAACCATTGAAGTTCTATAGCAACCACCGACTTCCATAGCAACCACTAACTTTCCATAGCAACCATTGACTTCATAACAACCATTGATTTCCCATAGCAACCAGCGACTTACATAACAGCTATTGAGTTTTCATAGCAACCAATGACATTATCCCAACCATTAGTTTTCTATAGCAACCATTGACTTCCGTAGCAACAACTGAATTTCCATATCAACCCTAGACTTCCATAGTAACCGTTGACTTCCATAGTAAACAGTGAATTCAAATGGCAGTTGTGAATCTCATAGCAACCATTGACTTTTCATAGCAACCAATGAATCCCATAGCAAGCATATGCTTTCCAAAGCAACAGTGACTTCCTAGCAGCCATTTACTTTTCATAGCAAACTGGAAATTCCCACAATAGCAACAAGAGACTTCCCTAGCAAAAATTGATTTCCATAGCAACAAATGTATCTACTACCATTGAATTTCATAACAGGCTCACACTTCCAATGAAACTTTATTTTGTATAGCAACCATTGACTGTTTAAGCAACCATTGTTTCCCTTAGCAGTAGCAACAAGTAATATTTTTACACGTGCACTATTTATGAACTTTGTCATGAAGAATTTTTGTATTCAGGTGAGCGATATAAGCGCCATCATAGCCCTGTCCAAGACCCTTATCTCTGGCATTGATTTTAATTGAAATATGAAGCTTTGTGAATTTACAAATTCCCTTGATGACTTTAAAGTAATGGTTCTCTCTCTGTAATGAATTCATGCTCCATGCTGTTGATTTACTAACAAGCTCTGGAAAAAGTTGATCACACTGTCTAAATAACGGCTCTTGTTTACCTTAAAAGATAGAGTTACGCCTAGCCTGATTTCGTTATAGGTTTGAAAGAAATCACAACTTATTAGGCAATGTTTAAGTTGTAGTTACTGCTGTTTTACTTCGTGAAAAAATGTGCAACTTATCCTAAGGTCAGAGGTTAGCAATTACTGACACCCAAACCATTAAACACTGATTTGAGCTAGTTTAAGGAAATTCATATCTTAACCGTCAAATGCATACTTTTATAAATTATAAAATATCAATCTTACTCAAATAGTTATTGAGGTTTTAAGTTGTGTAGTCGATTGTGGAGATAAGGGCCCGATCAAGAAATATTTATTTTAGATAAATATTACATTGGATGGACGTAAATCTAGACTAGGAATAACCTGTGTACAAAATTTCAGATTCTATTAATCCAGGATAATTATTCTTTTTGTGAAAAATTACCAAAAATTAAAAAGCGTTGCAACGCTTTTCATTCAAATCGGACAAAGAATAGTTTCAATTTATTTCTGAGTATATTTTTTAATCATCTTTTGCAATTTTTCTGTTTTAAGTGCCCCAGCTGATCGATGTAAAAAAATAAAATTTTATGTTTTTAGGATTTTGGACCACAGGGGAATCCTTTAAGATTCATTTTTTCTTGCCTAAGTTAAGAGCTCAATTCAAACTTAAGTCTAGGCGTCTGTTGTATATTTCTTTGGTAGTGACTCGAGTTTAATAAGTCACTTTGGCCAGGATACATAATATACAAGTATAATAAATGTATTTGGTTAACATCAATCAAGTTATCTTGCAGTCGCATTTTTTTTAAATCTACTGCTTAATTATCTTCTATAATGCGTTACTAAATTACCATTTGTTCAATCAAGGGTTACTCGATCTTCCATCATTCTACAACACCGCCAAACGGAAAAAAACAATGTACAAATAAACTTCAGCATAGTTCAATGATCCGCAATGTTTTTTTTTAAGGTGACAACAGACACTTTCCGTGGTTCTCACATAAATGTCATTTAAACCAAGTTATTTTAGTAATAATTTTTATTTATTTAATCTTTGTGCATTAAATGTCGTTGATCATCATAAAAAATAACATATTTGAAAAAAAATGCATTTGTAAATGATTGATTTTGAATAAAAATCCTAAAATTTTAAATCGTCATATCAAAGTCATTTTTTATTTTTTTGTCATCAAACTTTTGGAAAAATAACCATACTTATATTATCTGGGGAACCGTGTCTCAATTTTTTCTATCTTTTCTCAAAAAAATATTACGTAACGTCAAACATTTTATGCGACTTTTTTCACCATACATATTATGTAATTAAAGATAATTAAGTCGCTGATTGAGCAAACAAAAAATCCCTGACACGGTTCCCTCCGTAAATGAATTTCCTTTCATGTGCTTTAAACCGCATGTTAATTGCTTGATTATTAAAAAAGGTATGCCGATTCAAAGTTAGTCCGACCCGCATCAAACGAAGTGTCATAAATCGGCTGTTCTCTCTCGGACCCCTACGTTTCATGCTAAATAATTGCATAATACACAAATATCGCACCAGAGAGGGTCGCAAGTTGCGGTAACATACTCTAACAACATTTTATGACCCAGTGACATCTGACCAATTAAAAAGCTGCTGATCAAGCAATTCTTAACGTGATTTACTGTCCGTCTGGTATCTGTCGCACATGTCACGTGACTATCGGTAAAATTTGAGGCACTCAGTGGGGGGAAATGGAACACATTTGCGCACCGCTAGCGGGGTATTTAATTGTTTCCTTTTTGAAGTTTATTATTATTATCATCAGCATTATTATTGTATTATACCAGTGTCACTCTGCCTGTGTATTCGTGTATAAAATTCCGTTAAAATATAAAATATAATAACAAAAAACTGAGCTTCTGACAGTCTTTTAAAGTCCATGGTAGATGTACAAATAAGAACGGGATATTATATATTTTTCCACCAAATTGATAATGCTTCACATATTTTAATAGAAAAAAAGGTATTACTCGATCATTATGATCTGGGTTTCTTGACTTCTATTATCATGAATATCATCTATGCACGGCATAGAGATCCAGTTTCTACCGGGTTAGACAATAAATGTCAAACTTTGTCCCAGATTTATTAGTACTGTGCCCGATTTACTGGCGAACAATTTATTTTCACTGAGAATATATTTTAATATCTTTTATTTTATTCATAGAGAAATAATCATCCTTAGACAATCTAAAATGGTTTAGAAATTTGTCAGGGACACCTGTCCACAAGTCATATAGGCGTTCACATAAAAAAGGTTGTCTGTTTTGGTTGTTGTTTTACTTGACATTGTTAGAAAACGAGATTGAATGTAAAGTAAACCCTTGAATCCGTACAAAAGTCTATCAACTCAATGTAATATCTATCAGATTAACGGGACAGACAAATTATTTTCACACATTATGGATATTTCAGCAACTACATTTTTAATCAACCCCGTGGTCGTGCGATTTGCCGCTATGCTTAATTATTTATGTTTCTTACATTATGTTACGTACATTGGCCGACAATTTCTTAATTTATAAAAAGGCTAAATGTTGAGATATTCATAAAAGATGTACGGTAGTTGTACGATACATGTATTACGAGAAGTATGGATCTGTAATTCACGGATGGAACTACCGATTTCCCTCATTGATGCCTCAACAGGGGGCGGAGCGTTATCGATAATCGACAGGTTACGCGAATAGCAGATACAAATAGTATAGGTACCGTTTTAAAACGTTTAAAAACACATTTTTTGGACTAACTGCTTCCAAAATTAAATCACTAATGTGTTCAGAAAAGGTTGATAAATCTACTTAGCAAAAAATCTCATTTTAGGTATTTTCAGTGATAATTGACTCCGTTGTCACCTTAAATGCGTATAATGAAACTTTACAAAATACATAAAAAAATAACTGTATTAAACACAAATGTTTGCTTGCTACAATATTCATGTAGTATGTAACAGGTGACAATATGTTTTTGTTTTTCTCCTCGTCTTAATTAAAAGCATTGATTTTCTCAATGTTTATTTCAAAATGATAAACCTGACAGATTGATAATAATTTAAAATGAGGTGCAAATCGGAGCTCAATCAATCTCTGATTGGAATACATCGGACATTTCCGTATATTTCCGTAGTTTCTTTCTTTCACTAGAGTCACATCCTGTTCCTGTTGTCTCTTTGAGCAGTTTAAGAATCGCTGAATTTTACATGCCGTAGAAAAAAGCCCTCAAAATTAAGACCACATTTAAATATAAAAACTTGTATTAACCCTTTACCACATATATACGCGAAACAACGCACTTTCGACCCCCCCCCTTTTTTAGGCCTCAAATAGTGAAAAAATGTCCTATTTGGGCCCCCAACATAAGTTTTCGTTTGAGAAATGTTGCTCAAAAAATTGAGCACTTTTTCGGCGCCGCCCCCCATCCAAAAGATACATCAGGGGGTTGCCAGAAGGGGGATGTGCCCCCTTCTGTTAGGGGGGTTTGAAGGGGGGCGGAGTCCCCCTCATCGCCAAGAAAATTTTGGACTTGTGAGAGGCAAAAAATGACCCCAGGTCGATCATAATGTAATGTTTAACCAACGCTGAAAAGCCTTTGACTCTATCTCAATCCCTTGAGCAGTTACAGCACTTTGAAATAAATTTTGATGGAAAAAATCGAGGCAAAATAGTGATTTTTGGCAATTTTGAGATGTCCCCTCGTTGCCATGGTAACAGGAAATTTAAGACTGAGCATGTCTTTACAAAGGCAATGGTCCAGTCAACATTTGTGCCAAGTTTGATTAGTATTGAAGCATTTTTCATAGTTTCATAGCAGTTTGAACTTGTAACAGGAGGCTTTTCAGTGAAAACGGCCATTTTTCACAATATGCTCATGGGGGAAAGGGTTAACTAAAAAAATTATAAATGTTACAAAACAACAATTTTTCACCAAAATTAGGTGAAAGACCACATGTGAACATGGAAAAACTAGTTTTTAGGTGATTCCAAAGTTTTTCATCATTTTTTGTTAACCCTTTACCACATATATACGCGAAACAACGCACTTTCGACCCCCCCCCTTTTTTAGGCCTCAAATAGTGAAAAAATGTCCTATTTGGGCCCCCAACATAAGTTTTCGTTTGAGAAATGTTGCTAAAAAAATTGAGCACTTTTTCGGCGCCGCCCCCCATCCAAAAGATACATCAGGGGGTTGCCAGAAGGGGGATGTGCCCCCTTCTGTTAGGGGGGTTTGAAGGGGGGCGGAGTCCCCCTCATCGCCAAGAAAATTTTGGACTTGTGAGAGGCAAAAAATGACCCCAGGTCGATCATAATGTAATGTTTAACCAACGCTGAAAAGCCTTTGACTCTATCTCAATCCCTTGAGCAGTTACAGCACTTTGAAATAAATTTTGATGGAAAAAATCGAGGCAAAATAGTGATTTTTGGCAATTTTGAGATGTCCCCTCGTTGCCATGGTAACAGGAAATTTAAGACTGAGCATGTCGTTACAAAGGCAATGGTCCAGTCAACATTTGTGCCAAGTTTGATTAGTATTGAAGCATTTTTCATAGTTTCATAGCAGTTTGAACTTGTAACAGGAGGCTTTTCAGTGAAAACGGCCATTTTTCACAATATGCTCATGGGGGAAAGGGTTAAAAGGTCACACCATTTTGTTTTCCCAAAACATATTAAAACAGTTAAGAAAAATAAAGTTATACGGAACTATCTGTCATCAAAACTCAGGTTTCCATATGACATATTGATGAATGCTTATCATTCACCTACTGAATTTCTTAAATGTTTTGTTAATGTACGTGCCCAGCTTCGTTTTGTAAACTATCCATTAACAATTTTTTTGAAAAAAAAATCAGAGTTGGTCAGTCACCAGTAGAGATCAAGAGACAATATACTGGTGGTCAATTCTAGTTCTGTTAGAGGGGTAAAATCATATTGTTACTGGTGCCATTAATTGCTTATTCTCGGCCCTTTCCGTCAAACTCCGGATTATAATGAATGATAGCCGAGATGTTCCGATTGCCTTTCGTAGATCACCGAGCAGACTTTTCGTGTCTTAAGATTTCAAGTTGTAAGGGAAAGGAAGTGATGGCTTAAGTGTAAATGTGTCCTCTCTCTCAGGGTTCGAGTCATGCTAAATACACGACCATGTCTTCTTAGTATGGTACCAGTCCTGGTTAGTTGCGGTAGTTAGGTAGCGGACTCGAGACCGGTTCAAAGAGCAATAGTCACCCTGAAATTATGTTTTTTTAACTTATAGTAAAATCTTAATCTTTGTTTACGCCGTAAATCTCTTAGTTCAAATAAAGTATTATAATGAACTGCTATGTGCCTTGAATGCAACAAATATTATTTCATTGATTTTTGTATCCACTCCAAACTTTAATATGTGTATGGTCGGGCCTCTGGCAGATAAACTATCAAGATGTTGCAAGCAAAACTTGTATTAATAAGTTAAGTTATTTGCTAGTCAAACGTCATTTTGATATTTCAACACGACAGTGTCTAGTTATTAAAGCGTTTTACTGGAAAAATAATGGGCTACAAATTGGCAATCTTCATCCTTGGGCTTTGCCTGATTGCAACTTTGAATGTGTCAGAAGGTGAGTGGTATTTTTATTTATTTAATCTTTCATTTAATTTACGTTTGTTACATGCTGGCTTATTTGGAAAATACAACAAATATGAATTCTTTGATAGTGAAAATATGTCTTGTGTCCAGCTGGAAAATTTTTACTTTTTTGGGGACTTTTTAATTTTTGATTCTCAATAAGCAATTCTTTTAGTATTTTTCATATCTGACCAACACATTTGTTAATCGTTAAAAAATTCCACAAAAATTGTGCCTGGACATGATACATACGGATGGTGCGTATATCTTTAGATTATGTATGGAAAAAAAAAGCATTTTCTGTGAATGCTAAACTACACGATTTTTTTCTATAACTGCATAGAGAATATTTTCTAAAAATACAGAAGTTATTTCCATCGAGTGGTATTGAAATAAATATTTCATGAGTGGCAGTAGCCACGAGTGAAATGTGATAATTTTCATAACACAATAAATTTTGTATATTGGCTTAATTCAGCAGAAAGCAGTCCGGCAAGACACCAGTAAAAATATGGAAAATATGTTTCACTGCAGTGGAAATTTTTTTTTCAGTGAAAATACGGAAATGAAAATACGCATTTTATTTTATGAATATTTCTTAATATTCATGTATAAGTATATAAAAAGGTAGATTAACAATATAATTATACACCTGATGAATATAAGCACTATATTATCGATTCAAATTTATAATAAAAACAAATCTGAACACATGTTACATATTGGTAAACGTGAAAGTCAATTTCTGTTCTGTTATAATGCATCTTTGATGACTAAATAGTTACTATTAAGCAATTATCAACATATTTTTAAGACTTTGGGAGAAAACTTGTTAAAATTTCTGTACAAAAATAATTACGAGTATTATGATGCTATTTGTTACCCGGGGTATTTTAATTGATCTTTTGAGGTAGTCCTATTGTAATCCAAAAATCCAACATCGGCGAGTATCGTAGAAAATCGGTTATTTCCGGAAAGTTATTTCTTTAAAATTTTGGGTATAAGATTATTTTCAATCAAGCATTTTTTTTTCCGATACGTACTAAATTCAGGTTTTAAATGGTTAAGATTTTTTTAATACTGAAAATTGTGAAAAACAATGTTCCAGAAAAGATCGATATATTACGACATTGGCCGATGTTAGAAATTTGTTGGCAGGAGACTACCTTAAGTGTGACAGCAGTTGGTGCTCTATCCGTTGAATTAAATGTCCGCATTTGCGTTATTTCGAATATTTAACATGAATAATGTATATTTTTCTTTCAAATAAGGTTCAAAAAGAGAAATGTCTTGTAAATGCATGCCCAGGCAGATTTGTGAAGGTGAATATCTATTCATAGCAGAAGAAAATGCAGATGCGAATTGCCCGGATGGAGAAGTTTACTGTTGTAAAGAATATCCAAAACGAAAATAAGGTGACGATACTTGTCTTTTATTTTGTTTAACCAATTACTTCATGAGCATTTTGTGAAAAATGGCTGTTTTCATTGAAAAGTATCCCGTTACAAGTTCAAATTGCTATAAAACTATAAAAACTGCTTCAATACTAATCAAACTTGGCACAAACGTTGACTGGACCATTGTCTTTGCTAAATTTCCTGTTACCATGGCAACGAGGGGACATCTCAAAATTGTCAAAAATCACATTTGTGTTGATTTTTTCCATCAAAATTGATTTCAAAGTGCTGCAACTTCTCAATGGATCGACACAGAGTCAAATGCTTTTCAGTGTTAGTTGCACGTTACCATATCATTTTTAGCCTCTCACAAGTCCAACATTTTCTTGGCGATGGGGGGGGGGGGCTGCCGCCCCCTTCACCCCCCAACAGAAGGGGCTCATCCCCCTTCTGGCAACCCCCTGATGTATCTTTTGGTTAGGGGGCTGCGCCTTAAGTGGTCACATTTTTAAACAACATTTCTCAAACAAAAACAAGTGTTGGGGCTATATGAGGCATTTTTTACCATTTGAGACAACAAAAAAGGGGTGAAAAAATTCGTTAAAAGGCGTGAATATCGCGTTATTGGTAAAATATGCTTAACCACTTTTGAAGAGTTTTCATATAGGCTAGAATCACTTGTCATCTGCATTGAAACTGAGGGGCGTGGGTTCAAACCCCAAAAGGGGCAACTTTTCCCCCTTTTTTCCCTTTTTTAACCTCTCAAACACCTAATGAAAGAAAAAATGTTTGATTTTAATTACATAATTATGGTAGGTATTTATATTTAAGTTAACAATGTACAAACGCTTATTTTTGTTTATATAAGAATAATTTTCTTCTATTATCAGATGTCAAAAGTGAAGCAGAAAATTTTCTTCCAGGCACAGACTGGATGAGACAATAACAAAATTTAACACTAGCTGACAAACATTATCATTAAAAAAATGAGCCGTGTCACGACTAAACCAACATAATGGGTTTGCGACCAGCATGGATCCAGACCAGCCTGCGCATCCGCGCAGTCTGATCAGGATCCATGCTGTTCGCTTACAGACCCTATAATAAGTAAAGAAACTGATAGCGAACAGCATGGATCCTGATCAGACTGCGCGAATGCGCAGGCTGGTCTGGATCCATGCTGGTCGCAAACCCATTATGTTGGTTTTGTCATGACGCGGCTCAAATTATCAATCTAACACTGTAATGATATCTTATGCAAACTTCTGTTCATTTATTTCAGGGACACGATTTCTAGAATGGCACGCTATAGAAAGAGAAGACAAACACCGACTGTCCATTAATTTGTGAAAAGAATTAAGAAATAAACGAATATTCAATCATGAATTTGTCTTTCACTATAAAACCCCATTTTTCAAATATTAATGCGCCTTAAAGGAAGTTAAACAGTACAAAACAAAAAAGAAATAAACGAAAATAATAAAAAGTTAAAATAAAAAAAATGTCAAGTATCTGTGTGTCCCATGTAAATAGAACAGCATTTTCCCAATTTCTGCCAAATAAATGAATAAATAAAAAATAAAAAAATAAACAAAAAGAAAGAAAATCATGAAAGTTCGAGATGAAAGTTCGTAAAAAATTCACCATGTCTTTCAATAAAGTTTGTTTTATTTTGTGGTTGTCTAGTAAAAGTTAACACCGTAAGTATGTACACTAAATGTTTAAACATCGAATAACGTAAAGTCCCTAAAAGTCGCCATGATTCAGTTGTCGTCAGTTTTTAGTAAAAACAATCCTCTTTCAACCTATAAAGTATCGCCTTAGAAATGATCAAAATGGCGAAGGAATACTAGAAAAAATTAAAAGACGCTATTTACTTAATAAGATGTATTGTACTGAATATGTTAAATTTGTATATTTTGACTTCTGAAGTATAGAGCAGACTTTTACACTTGGTAAACTTGGTGACACTGCTGTGAAAATCATATTTTGTAGTACAAACCAGTGACTGAATAATTGAGGTAGAAAACTACACCAAAACTCACAAGAATGCATCATTCCTTTATTACCTTTCTTTTACGCATTACGCTCCCTAACATGAAATCCTGGGTTCATCCATGGTGTTAATTATCTAAAAGATTTTTGATTTACTTTCAAAATCAAGTTCTTTATTGAGACATGATTGTAAATGTATAAAGATGTCACACTGGTGTTGAAATGTTTAAATCAACTGGAATTAATGTACATAAGTCAAAGTTAGTTCTTGCTCATAATTTACCTTGCACATCTCGGCAAAGTTGTCCGTTTTAGCCCTGGCTCGGCTTTATGAAACCTGTCTTAAACATGTTTCTTTAATATCTTGGGATAAGAATTAAACGACTGATCAGATTTCAACGCCGTTTTGATCAAAACGTAATATTAATAGTCCCACTGCTTCAAGGGAGAGAAATGCTACAACTTGTAAGTTTACAGTTTCAACACTGTTGTCTCCCTTTTACGTGTATTTTATGATGTGATTATCGTCGGTCCATTGATATTAAAAATATTTATAAAATCATTAGAAATATATCTTGTGGATATTTTTATGAAATATTCATTGAAAGAGAATACAAAGTATATGACGAATTATAATATTTTGTTCTAGTACAATTTATTATCTGCAATATAAATATATTTCAAATCGAATCATATTTCTCAAACTTGCATCCATACATAATCATTTTATGGTTTACTGTATGATACTAAAATTATCTATGGTATTACATACATTCTATTATAAACCAATTCACATTGATATATTGATAAACAACAAAAATATGTTTATAACATTACTTTAGACTATCATAAAGTGTTGTTACTGTACAATTGCTTTTTAATTGTTTCAAAGACATTCATGTCCCCGTATCTTGATTTCAGGATTAATAATAAAAAAAAATTGTTCCATGTATTTGCGTTTTATGTCATAGACACTAATAAATTTTGATTTCTTAAGAAAGGGGAGACATGAATTTTATATTAAATTGCTTAAATAATTGATTTGGAGCATGTTAGATGCTTGTTACCTGAAAAAAGAAGCGATAAATATGAAGTTATTTGTCATAAAAGTAGCAAAATGTAAACAAAGTAGTATTTTTACTTCTATACAAAATACTTTTACAAAAAAACACGCAAAAATTAAGAAGATTTTGATAAATAAAAATAAAGCATTTCTTAGGCTGAATGGGCCTTTAATCAACTATTTTATGTACAAAATGTATTTAGATTTATTTAGATAAGTAAGTATGATACATGTAAACTTAACCTGTTAGAATGTTAAAAGCAGTTCAAGAAAATTAGAATAAGGACATATATTCACCCATGGTGTACAATAAAAATGTAGGACATGCATGTATATTTTAAAGATATTTGTCTATTTCATTGTCTAATTGTTAACTGTGTGAATTGTTGTTTCTAAATATACATCCGTTAGATAAAACACACGCATTGTATAAAGATGGAGATGTTGTATGACTCTAGAAGTTACAAACGTTATCCCATGAGTCTTCAGTCATTTAAAGAAGTAGTAGGAGAAGCAAATGAAAAAAGAAGAAAAAAAAATATTAAAAAAAAACCAACAAAAGCATGTTCAAAAAACAATACAAATTCCAGAGCATTACAGTTCATAGTAATTGAAAGTTATGTCAGATATAAATTTGTCAGATTTAGACACACATACAAATATGCATTTTAGTATGGGACAAAATGCCTTGTATCGAAATCCAGTATGACGATTGCAAGGGAAATAACCATGCCAATTATTGGATAAACAATAATCAATATTTGTTTACCTTTAGTTTATTGTAAATTCTTAAAATTTTTACAAGCGCGTAAAGAAAAAAATGAAATAGTAATAGAAATAACAAGGGGGGAGAAAGGAAGAAAAGAGAATTGTTAACATGATACATCTTAATGGCACCAAACAAAGCTTGAAAATAGAAAATGATTCTTTAAGTATAGAGGAACATATGAAAATTCACAAAAGAACTTTTGAGTCTTGCGGTATATATTTATAAATTACTCTCTAAGTCTTCGACACATGCCTCCCTTTTCTTATAGACAAATATATACTCCTTGTAACTACTTTAAGTCCTCTTTTTTACAAAGCAACCATCATACTTTCTAATTATCTGCCGGCCAATGTTCAAACCCCTAACCTGGATCAGTTGAAGGCAAGGGGTAAACTACCGTTTCTGGGTGTACAGGCTTTATTTTTTAAAACCTTTTAACTGTATATGTCATCTATATATTAACACTATTCTCTTGTTTTGTAGTACTTTTTTCTCTTTTTAATTGCTTGCCATGATGCGCACCTGCACAAATTACTCGAAAGGGTGTGATGCAGTATTTGTAGATAAATTAGTAAAACAAGTAACCGGTATAGTAATCTAGTGATCCTGCCCACCACTGCCAGAAATAAACGTATTTTTTTGGAAACGAAGTTCCATGTATTGACACTGTGCACGTAAAAGAACCAGGGTCGCCTTGGAAACGGAGCATCTGGTGTTTTGAATTTCAAGAAAATAAAAAATGTATCTCCCTGCCTTACCCAATTCCCCCCCCCCGCGGATATCTAGCCATAATCATGATATCTTTCAAAAGCTGAATGAATAAGTTTTTAGCGGTAAGTGACAAACATAACCAGTCATGCGTAACAATTTTCTTTAAAAACCGGTTTTCACGCTCTAGTTTTTATCATCACAAAAACTTCGTGCTTCAATCAACCTAAACATATACATGAATATATTCCGGGAACTCAACCTAAACATATACAAGAATATATTTCGGAAAAAATAACAAAAAAGCACCAAACGATATCAATAAAACTGATTACAGTGACAACAGGGAATAAAAATTTAATAATGTTTTCGATTGTTCTCACAGTCGCAATTATTTGTAAGTATGTTTTTCTTTTCTCCTCTCGATTGGTAGAATATTTGAATTATCAGTGTTAATTGAGGTACGAAATGGAAACTCTTAGTTTTGTTTTTGCATTTTAGGTACATGTATATTCCTTTGTACTTGATAATTTTCTATGTACTGCGAACAAAGGCATATATGTATTTGATAAGATGCACGGGTATTCCGTATAAAATAATAATAAATGTTTTGAAAATGACAAAAAAGTAAAGAACAAAATATGGTTGTGCGTAAACTAGATAAGGAGCAATGCATAATGAAGAAAAAATAAAGTGAGTACAAGGTAATTCTGTTGAGTTTAGGAATTTGCCCAATTGAGGGAATGTTTGTCATATTCAATACTGCCCATTTCCCTGTTCACTTAAATTGTGAAGACAAGACGTTACAATTGGAGCTTTTCACCCGCACACTGATAAACTGACGGCAGTATAATGAAATACTATAGAATATATACCATATTTGTCTGATCAATTGATAATTAGAAATACATTTTTAACACAAATCATAAGCACAAATATCCCCACATGCCGTTTTATCAAATATTACAACAAGGTTATGAAAACTAAATTTTATATGACTAATTTAGCCTTTTCTGCCAGGGTTCATGAGTTCGATCCCCACTTGGGCTCCATTGTAGTTTTGGGCAATTCTTCAGTGGTAGCGATATATAACACAAAATGTTGTCTTCAGATTGATTCGATGACTTTGTAATTTATTAACTGAAGTTTTACATAACATATCTACAGTTCATGTTTTCTTTAAAGTATCAGCACTAGATTCCAGCATGGGATGCGCAACTTCGGAAAATGTGATAGCTTTAGACATAGTGGTTAGTCAGATGAACGCCTCTCAACAGCCTATACTACATAATGCCAGCATGCCAACTATTGTGAAATATTCTACAATCCTAGGTCTCGTCTGTGATAACCCATTGTGAGTTTACTTCATTCTAATTTGAGCCGCGTCATGACAAAACCAACATAATGGCTTTGCGACCAGCATGGATACGCGCAGCCTGATCAGGATCCATGCTGTTCGCTTACAAACCCTATAGCAAGTAGAGAAACTGATAGCGAACAGCATGGATCCTGATCAGACTGTGCGGATGCGCAGACTTCTGGATCCATGCTGGTCGCAAACCCATTATGTTGGTTTTGTCATGACACGGCTCATTTCTTTATATTTTTTAATATATCTCTGTGAAATCGGTGGAAAACGAATGTTTGAAAGAAAGATAGATAATGTGTTAGTTATATAGATGATTGCACACATATAACAAAGAAAACACCAAAGTACGACAATGAAACCATGATATTATTTCATGTTTTCACCATCGTGCTTTATCGTGGTTTCGATGTTTCGTTATTTTGACTTTTCACCATGATTTGACTTATCATCATCGTATTTTCGACTTTTCACCATCGGGGTTTCGTTATTCCGCCTTTTTACCACCGAACGCACATTTTAACTGTATATCCATATCTGTTAAATTCCGATCAGGGGAAAATGAATGTATGAAAGAAAGAAAAACATCGTGTTAGAAATATACATGTAGATGATTTTTTGTTTACTCCGGCAGGGTTATCACGTTTCGCCCCCCATCACATGTCAATTTTTTAACACTGATGTGAAAAAACTTGTAGCTGGAATAAGCTAATTGATTTCATGGTGCCATTTGCGAAAACATGGCTGTGACGCTAGTGAGACTCGAACCCACGATTCCTGTGTATAAGGCTGATACTTATACTACCAGTTCATTACTGCCCATTCATATTGTTTGCACCTTTACTCTAATTAGTTTACCTGAAACTCCAGTAGCATTATAATTATATTAAAATATCGGGAGTTTAAATCTCTATCATTTGTTACGTACATGAATGGTTTCATGGCCAGATTCAGTTGCCGCCAGTGGACTAAGTGTTAAGCAAATTTAAAAAGAAAAAAAAAACAGATTTAAAATGAAATGATTTGTTTTTTAGGGTATTACAATTAGCTAAAGCCATAGAACAACAGGTCGTTTCATGTCCAGATCTCGTGACCGCCTCAAAAGTCGGAGCACTTCAATTGGGACCCTTGACATTTAGTGACCTTCTGGAAAAATTCCAAAGTTTTGATCATTTTTGTGGTAAGGCTTTAATTATATTTAAGTTTTTTTATGCGTATGTCAAATATTTTATTCTTGTGTTTCTTATAGAGATCTCCTTCGCTCCCTATGCAATTTGATACTTTAAAGATTCATCAAATAGATATGTTTTGGATTACATTTATATAAAATGATACTATACATATATATGTAAGTTAAACACAACATTAATGTATTTATACTTGAAGAGTTTGTCGTTATGATCTTCTCCGATATTATCATCATGCTATGTTATGTATTTCATATGTATATGCACTGTTCGTTGTCTAGTATTATGCTGTTAACATGTCATCGTGGGCTTTTAAGCCTAATATGATTGAAATAAAACTATCTATCTTTGATACCCTTGTAAACAGTAGACAGTCCCAAACGGATTTGTACCATTCCCTGGCATATAAATATTTATGACCAGCCACGCGAGGAATAACAAACTATCAAGTTGTGTTTAATGGCCATACCATACTATAAGGTATGGCCTCTATTTATTATTTTAACCAAAAATACTTAAACATGTGCAAAGAATATTACATACATCAATATTATGCCAATTAATACAATATAGAAAATACACATGTAGAAATATTAATAAATCAAATTCTACTATAATAGTAAGAAATGTGAGGGTTTCGTAAGAAAAACGCCATGTAGATATTACATACATCAATATTATAATATATGCAAATTAATACAATATAAAAAACACATATGTAGAATTATCAATTAATTGAATTCCACAAGAATAGTAACATCTGTTTAATTATGATAGCCTCTGGTTTTAAAAACAATTATGAAATATATATGGGTTACACCTAGACTTTAAAATTGTATTGTGGTGAAGGGGATGGAGGAGGGTAAAAATTTTTGCTTCCTCCCACGCTTCTTAGTAATTGCTAACTGGTTCAAACCAGTTATATGTACGGCTAATATCCGTTCGGACGTTTCTAGGAAAGGCTAAAACCCGTACCTCCCGTGGCGGCTCATAAAGTTCGCTGATGCTATTCGGCATAGCTTATATTTATGACCAGCCACGCGAGGAATAACAAACTATCAAGTTGTGTTTAATGGCCATACCATACTATAAGGTATGGCCTCTATTTATTATTTTAACCAAAAATACTTAAACATGTGCAAAGAATATTACATACATCAATATTATGCCAATTAATACAATATAGAAAATACACATGTAGAAATATTAATAAATCAAATTCTACTATAATAGTAAGAAATGTGAGGGTTTCGTAAGAAAAACGCCATAAAAGCTAGTATAAGGCTAGCTTTCCATATATTCCTAGGGGGCGTCCGTGCCCGAGTGGTTAAGGTCGTTGACTTCAAACCACTTGCCCCTCACCGCTATGGGTTCGAATCCCGACAGGGACTTTGGATTCTTTTATGTGAGGAAGCTATCCAGCTAGTTTACGGAACGTCGGTGGTTCTACTCAGGTGCCCGTTTGTGCCTGAAATAATGCACGGATGGGCACCTGAGGTCTTCCTCCACCAGTAAAGCTGGAACGTCGCGATATGACCTATACTGTGTCGATGTGACGTAAAACCCAAAACAAACAAACAAACGAAATATATTCCTATATATCCTGTCATATATATATATTCCTATGTATCCTGTCATATATATATATATATATTCCTATATATAGACTTTATATGTACTACATGTATTTATACTTAATAATTCTTTGAAATGTACAGGTAGCTGTTTTATATTTCATGGCACTTGTCTTTTTAGTCTAAATTTCACAAAATTTGGTTAAACTTCATCGTTACCTACAATCCTATACAGAATACATTATTATACTGTATGTTGTAGTACATGTATTAATAATAATAAATATTTCTTTTTTAGAATGTAAACCACTCTTGCTACAAGTACTGTCAGTTGAGATGATAAAACATGAAATAATGTACCAGGATTCCAGTGCATTTTACAAGAATATTGTCAACATCACTGCAGTCTGCATGCTGACGTCACCATCCCATTCTGTTAATTTGTATGTTACTTCTCATGTCAACATTATCTCATTATTATTATTATTATTATTATTATTATTATTATTATTATTATTATTATTATGCTACGTGCTAACTGACTATTTACGTTTATCACATACCCGTGTCACTTTTGCGATTACATAAAAATGGTATTGCACGGCCTTGCATATATTTTGACGTGACGTCATTTTCATTACATAAACATAGGGTTATAAGACTGCTTGATGTTAGCGTTGTACTATAGGCGCGCCAATAAGATATGGTTCTTTTTTCACTTCAAACGATCTTTAATTTTGGTATGTGATAAATAGAATATTAAATTCGTGTAAGTTCATTACTTAATTTATTTAACTCTTTAAAATAATATTATGCTCGCCATAATATATTGCTTCAATAAATTCAGTATTAAACTAAGATCCTCTATTTTGCGTTCGGTGGTTATGGAAATGTCCCTGACTAATTTATGAGTTAAGAACATTAAAGAATGAAAGTGCTCATATTAAAACTGTCGATTACATTTTGCAGTGCATTACTTTTGTACCAAACTCAAATGCTTTATTATTTTAAGCAATATTATAGATATTACTTTAATTTCATCAGTTTTATTATGATTTTGCATTAGCGGTTATACCATAATTATTGTCTTGAAGTAAATTTCATTATACGTGATTATTTCCTTTGATTATTTCTTGTGTATATGTTATTAAAGAATTTGAAGCGAAATGTAAATGGTTCGAAATATACTTTAATAGGGTGTTTTATATGTATTTAAAAAGGGAAGCGATGGTCTTTGGTAAAGTTGTGTGCCACTAAAGTCGCTGGTCACGTGTTCGTGCCCTTCTCAGCTCACGACCATGTTTCCTTATAAGGAAGTACTGGTTAGTTTCAGGAAGCGGGCTTGAATGTGATTTGTAGTAATATAAGCAAACTGATTAAAATCAGCTCCTAATTAACGCTACATGCATGAATTACCTTAAGAAGATCTTATCTTAAGTCAAATTGTCTTACAAAGTGCAACAACTTGTTTCATAATCTAGCTTTAAATATATATTCAAATGTAACCCCACCCACATTTATAACGACGCCTCTTCACTATCTGTTTCTAGTTATTGTAATCATAAGAGTATTCGTCTTGATTTTACAGCACAGAAGTAGCAACGTTGGTGGAAGCTCACAAAGCGTCGTGTCCGGCTGTCTTCCAGTACAGCACTATCAGTATGACGAGATTTGCAGACTATATACTCTCACATTGCAGTTACCATAATCCAAGTAAATGATTTTTTTTGATCACATACCAACGCCGCCGTTTTGGCGACTCCGTCAAATGGTATTGTACGGTCATGCATAGATTTTGACGTGTACATTATTTGTATTTTTGTTTTATAAACTCTTATTTTATTATCAAACAGAGTAGTTGAGCACGATGTCCTATCGCCAGCTCTTGATTGATAGCTCTCTGTCATATTTGTTGTCATCTATTTTCTTCTTTTCTTCCAGAACTGTTTACTTGTGCCTTGAACTTGATCAAAAAAGACAACACGTTAAGCTTATGTTTAACGCTCATTAATCAAAATATGACGTCAGAAGAGTCACTTGATGCCAAAGCCTATAGATGTCGGCAAGTATCAGTCATTTATCACAACAATAAATTAAAGCACAGAAGGCGCTGAATTTGTTTGGGTCTCAGAATGTCAGAAAGGTGAAGGATGTGAGATTATAAACCAATTTGTTTTTGTAAAGTGCCACCAATGCTTTCCAGTGTTTTAACTATAGTGAATTGGCTATAAGACTAATTGCAACACTGATAGTCAATTCAATGTTTATTTGACTTAAAAACTAAAAAAAAATGAGTTGCCTTAACTGGGATTTGAACTCCAGACCTCTCGATTCATAAGCGAGCGTGCAAATCCCTCGGCCACGGTGAAGTTATATGTTATCGGCGGCCTAAAGAAAACCATATTATTCTAAATAAGGGTTCGTAACTCTTATTATTTCGACGATAAACCTGTTGTTTAACACAGATGTAAATAATCATGGAGCTTACTGTATTGCCCAACAATATTGACCTGGCACTTCATTAACTTTCGTAAAGGTCATTTGAATAAACACTGACCAGTATCTATCAAATATATCGATATATTTGCGTCAGTGAGGTGTGGTGTATTGGTATAGATGTCGGACTGCCGATCTGAAGGTCTATGGTTCTACACCCCGTTATGATTTTTTTTAATTTACTCGCAAGAATTTATTTGAAATAGTTTTACTACACCTAGTGTTAGAAAACCTTTTAAGTGGTGTTTTTATGCACAATTATATATTTTTTTATTTTATAACAGTATAATATTTTTTATAACGGTTCTTTTTGTGACATTATGAAATCGTTTATGCGTTAGCGCATACGCGCTATAAAGGCAATTATTATAAATACTACACTGTTGGTACACACAAATAAAAGATTTGCAATAGTTTTGAGAGAATGGCAATTTTAAATTTTAAATATAAAAAATAAGGTGCTGTAATAGGATTCGAACCTACCAGAATTCGTCGAAGTGAAACCCCTTTACCAACTGCGCTAAGATGGATTTTTAATTTACACAATTTTATCAATTCGATATTTACATTGATATTGATTTACAGGTAGATCGTAACGTTTACGGAATATACCGACTACAGGGTCAAATGCAAGAGTGCCAGGTCAATGTTGTTGTACAATAAGCATGTATATCTATAAAGAATGAAACAATATTAGAAATCTTCGACCATTCGGGAACTACTTTGCTTGAAAATTAATGCGCCTGTCATTTGACAATCTTTACGCATTGATCACCCCTAAATTTTTCGGCGTTAGTGTACATATAAAGGGAAGTAACCGCTTCAAAAAAGTGGACTACTTTAGGCATTTGCAATTAACAGCATTAGACTCTGAAATTTAGCTACCATTATTTGTTTGGTCTGACGACCCAAACAAATAAAAATAGGATTTAATTTAGAAATAAGAATAAGACGATTAAATTCAATTTATGTTTTTGGTGGGGTTTTACTTCGCTTTATTGATGGAGGAAGACCTCGGGTGCCCTCCCCGCATTATGTAAGGCTCAAACTGGCATATGAGTAGAACCAACGACTTTCCGTAAGCTATACTTACTTTATAGCTTCATCATTGAAAGAATCCAGATACTCTGACGGGATTCAAACGCACAGTAGTGAGGGGAAAGTGGCCGACATACAAAATGTTATGAGGTCAACTGTTCGAAGAATCGTTCGGCTATCCTTTTCACCCTTGCGGAGCGTCAATACTGGGGGAGGGGGTTTGCTTGCAATATCATTCCACAATACCCGCTAATATATTCTCTTGAAACTTCACGACTGTGTGTTCGATCAAAGCTGTATGTCATTATTAAAAACGCACTATTTTGTTAAATTTTACCCCCTTATAAGCTTAAAAATCGTGAAGCTGTAGCTTTATGTCAAAAATTCAATCGTCACGCATAGACTTGTGCATGGTTCCTGGTGGAGATTTACCGATTAAGAAACATATGAATGGTTCCTTGTTTTGACGGAAAAATATTCTACATGGTCCCTGTACCAAGAAATATCTATCGCTCACAGTGTAATGGCTTTTGTGACGGATGTATTTCATATATAAAATGTAAATGCATAGAAGGTTATAAGAAATGACATAACTTCTTGATTTCTATTTTTATACGTGTTTTATATTTTAACAGACGGAAGGATTGCGCAAAAATGAGTTTATATGACTGTGAATACCATGGAGCAGCTGAGTACATGTGGGCAGTGAATATCGCACATACGGACAAACAATTCCAGATGTTAAGATGCCATCCTATACCTGTATCTGAAGCATCACATATAATACACACGACCTGGGTCCTCATCTCAACAATCATGTCTGTTCTTATTCTAAATACAATGATTTAAATGACTGCTTTATAATCAGATTTGAGCCGCGTCACGACAAAACCAACATAATGTGTTTGCGACCAGCATGGATCCAGACCAGCCTGATCATCCGCGCAGTCTGATCAGGATCCATGCTGTTCGCTTGTAAACAGACCCTATAACAAGTAAAGAAACTGATAGCGAACAGCATGGATCCTGATCAGACTGCGCGGATGCGCAGGCTGGTCTGGATCCATGCTGGTCGCAAACCCATTATGTTGGTTTTGTCGTGACGCGCTCATTTATAGGAATACAAGCCCAGCATTTAAAAAAGTTCAACTAGTCATTATGAATCTTATATAATGGCAAATGCTAAAATAATGGATTTTGTTCGTGATATGACACAATTTTCAAGGACTTTCACATGAGGATGTAGTATGTATAATAACATGCGCAAACATGTATATAATAGCTTGAATTGTATAGATAGTTTATTTGTATATTTGTGTTTGTTTCAGTTTATACATACAATGAATTAATTTGTAAAATGTTCTCCAGTTATACAAACATGTTTATACTAGTATGTTGTTTTTTTTTGTTTAAGCTAACTTTATATAATAAAGTTTGATATTCACATGCACGCACGCATGCACATCCATATATGCACATATATAACATATATAAATACAATGTACTACATGTGAATTCATATTATTTGCCTTCTTCGAGAACCTTATAGTGAAATATTTTCATTACAGAAAAAGGCCCGGGTACGTGTAAATATTTCAATTAACATAAATGCTACAATTCATATCATTATTTTTCCTATTACTTTATTGTTTGTAAATTTGGCATAAGTTTGTCTATTTGAATTATAATGTTTATACTTGAGAGAAAGAATGCAAATACATGTATATAACATTTCTTTGAAAACTAAGTTTAAATATACTTTGAAGAAATTGCACATGAGTCTTTTTGTATAATCTGTGAAATATATAGAACAACTCTAAAGAAACGAACTTTTATAAACTCATGTTATCATATGGGACTTCTGTGGACAACGTGTATAATGGTTGTGGCTTTCGATTTTTAACCCCTCAACGCTGTGAGTACAGATCCCACCAGGAACTTTTGATTCAATTATGAGAGGAAGCTAGCTACAAAAGATGGGTGGTTGTTCTCACGATGCCATATAGAACAAAACACAGCAATATTTTTTTTTTGCAAATTAACAACTTTACGGAATCATAAAAGATAAAAGTACGCTAAAAGATAGTTCGGCCGAGCTATATCACACACACTGTAGTTGATATGGATTTTATTACACGAATAAAACCCAGTATTCCACTTGTAAGCAAAGAATCAAGTATCGCAATGACCATTTAATCATCGTATCTCGTAGATTTAACCGTTACGTAATCACGTCACGTCAGCAATTTTGTACTATACAACGTATGGCATACCAGATCACATCCGTATACAATGCTCCCCGCCCACACCGCCCGGGTCTTTATAAACACGGTATATTAAGCAGAATATCAAAATATGAAAAGGTAAAAGGTATAGGCAACAATAACCAAAATTAAAAGGTATAGGCCACCATTCATTCAAGAATTCGAGGCAATTGAATTTAGTTGATGTGGCCTAAATGTGTTTACTCCCTAGAGATACGGCTCCGATGGGGTTTTGCATAACACAACGTATTATCTAAATATATCAATTTTAAGTATTTGTTGACTCAGTTGTAAGAGGCACTTCTATACGGTATAATATCACGTTTTGGTCAGTAAAGTGAGCGATTAGGATTCTTTTCAAGTATTCTTATAGGGTTTTATTTGACCAATTTATAACCTCATTTTGTTAAGCTATTCAAAGCTGGACAGATTATCAGAAATTCGTGAATCGTGCTTTATCGGTTGTTATAACATGTATACATACGAATCCAGATGCACCACGTAAACCGATCATTTTACCCAGGTGTCCAGTCTTTAAAAATACGACCGCCCGCTTTAGCCAGGTGTTCGATCTTTAAAAATGAATTCTCGCTTTAGCAACGTGTCCGACTTTCAACAAAAGTATATAAGTATTAGTGGAACAATTCGTTTTGCTCATTGCTTGAATAAAAAGTTGAATTGGAAATACATTATATTAAGATATATCACTCTGATTAAGCCCAGAAGTAACAAGTGATGATGATGATGATGATGATGATGATGATGATGATGAATTACCATTAACTTAATCTTATCTCATCAGATTTATATATCCTGAATGGAAAATCAAGCTAACCACACATCTCTTATAGTCAAATCCCGAAATTTACAAACACCCGTAGCGTTTGCTTCGTCTATAGTCATTTAAATCACGCTATAATTTTTTTCATGAATTACTGCATTTTTTTTCTGGGAAAATATATAAATAAATAAAATATGTAAATAAAATTTGATTGTAAATATTTAAGAATATGTACAAGGAAGCTTATTAACATGTCTAGAGAAATGTTAGATGATAACGGCACTAAGATATATGTAATAGCTTACACAGTAAAAAGATTTTTTCATAGGTTTTTATTACCATTTATATAACGTAGGTTTTCATTGGATTATCTTGACGTTTATATTATTAGTTATAAAGATCGTTGACAGGTTATATGGCCCTATATAAAATTATAAACGGCTATTTGTAAATATAACCCGAGCCGTTAGGCAAGGGCTATATTGCCATCAGCCGTTTATATACGGCCATATAACCTGTCAACAATCTTTATAACGAATTTATAATACAGCAAGCATCATTTATAGAGAAAAAAGTAAGATTTCTTCATGCATTGACAGCAGCCGTGTATGTAAATCTATATAAACGTCACGATTATCCAATGAAAAATGACGTTACAAACGTGCAGTATTATAAATAATCTATATACACGACTGCTGTCGATTTATTATGAATTTTCATTTTCCTCCCCAAAATGGAAGTTTTCAGTATTATGAATTCGTTATAAAGATATTTGACAGGTTATATGGCGTATATAAACAGTTATATAGGGCCATATAACCTACCTGTCAACAATCTTGATTACTAATTATGTAAACTGTTGTTTCCAAGCTTCTAGGCGAGAGTTATTTATGTATATTAACAACCGTTTATATATGGTCATATAACTGCCAATAACTTTTAAGGAGGCGAATTCAGATTACAGAAATAAATATTCGACAAAAAATGAAATAGCTTAATAAATTTACAGCAGCCGTGTATATAGTTTATACAAACCTCACGATTATCCAATGAAAAGCGACGTTACAAACATGCAGAATTTTAAAATTTATTATCTATAGTAAGTAGGTATTTCAGTCCTGTATTATTGATTTCAACCAGATCGTAAAGATAAGATATAATAAATTATGAATAATCCTTAACGTGGTGATATACAGTCCCTAGATAGCTGTCACTTGTATGTTTGTCTATCTACTTATTGTGTATAATGTTCTTCACATCGACATAAGTCTTCTTTTTTTTTTTTGCTTAAAATATTTTCACTAGAAGTGACTAGGCACGATTTTTGAACTTTTTAAAGTTATAATTTGTGAACTATAAACGAAAAATATCCCTATATATAATACAAAAAGTACATACATGCAATTATCAGTTTGAAAAAAAATGGTGATTATTATAAAATCACGTTTTTTTCTCGTGATACAATGTTCTTCTCGTGATTTTAATCCAATCCTTCCTTTTTGTTTTGATTTTTTTGTAACCTGTACTTTTTTAAACTAAAATCAGGCTTGTTTCATTCCCTAAAACTTTGTAACCGGTTCCGTTGCTTGTGACGTCTCTGGTGACGTCACTAAGTCCGTGTCCGTGCTAACGTTACTCGCGTCATTGCTCATTTGTTGTCCAACACTTTGTTGTTTGGATAAGTGGCGATGTTCAACCGTCTTTTTGTTAAGATTCAAAGCTGGTAGGGACTGTGATCTACTGTATTTCTCACTCTGACGCCGAACTTTTATCTGAGATGATTTCCACTCCTTGTATGCGATTTGAAATGCGCGTGACATCACGATAGACATTGCCTTCGCCTTTTCACCGCTGCTACAGATTACGGCGTGACAGTATAACATTTTTGTGTCATTGTCACTACAAATCCAGGAAAATAATTTTTCATTCACCACCGTGTCAACGTTACAGAAAGAGATGTTTTCTATTGGAAATAGTTTTTCAGGCTCTTTCTTTTTATCTAAATTTTTCATGTGTATTCCGAAGACAGTTATTTTTAGCTGCACGCGCTTGAGGTAGCGTTCTTCCTCCGAGTTGTCCCAGAGTTTCTGCACGAGGGCTGTTGTGCAGCCTCGACCGGAAGCGGTAAATGTTTCAGCGTTTCCTATATATCTGGCTTTAAAAGTTGGGTCCTGATCCGTAATTTTAGCTCGATCTTTTAGTCTATTAAACATTTTGTTTATTTATATATTTATTTATATTATAATAAAATTTTATTTAATTTAAACTATCCAATAACCATGAAGTTATATATCCAAAATATTTCATATAAAATGTGCGAACATTTAAACTCTCTTCCTGCGTTTGTTTGTGTCGATTTCAGATATTTACCACTATTTTTTATCTTGAACCAAATGGGCCAGCAAAATCCTAAACTAACGCTTCAAAATAGATAAAAACGTTTAATCAAATCTCCTCAAAACGAAAAGTGATTTTCGATATTTTGCAATGTATTTAACCCAAAGGTTTACTTGATCAGCGGAAAGAAACGGAACAAAGGTAACTCCGGGAAATGTTCATGAATAAGATACAGTAAAACATTCTCGAGGGAGTTATAAATAGCGTGAAATTATTGTAGTAAAACAGAATCATATATATTATTCATAAAGTTTATTAGTGTTAACTGTACGTGGAAATAAATATATTGCCTATATTCTTGAAGTAAAACAAATATAGTAACATAACACAGCAATTTCGAAAGATTAAAAATATTTTATTATTTATTGACAACAGTTAAGAAGTTAAAACCAAGAAATGGGTCTTGTTTTTGAAAAACATGTTGTGAATGTATTTGCAGTGTTTTAACGGCACACTTGAAATATTTCGAGCATGTTCATTTCTGTTTTTTATTAGATATTTTCCTATCCATTTACAATTATAATATAATAAAATGACGTAATTCGCGAAATTCTATTCTTGCTTGTACTTGTACTTACCATATTATATCTCAAGGATAGTAAAATATTTATTTTAAAATATTTTCAGTATTAAAATGTTCTTAAGCATGTTTACCCACTCATCCTCATGGGTGTTTCTTTTGCTTGAATAGTAGATATACGGGGTGGAGTACCGATGAGGGTAATGAACAATATATTAAAATTTAGATTGTTCAAACCAATGGTCTCTTTTTTGGAAACGTATTGTTAGAGCATACCATTTGCAATGATTCTAAAAGGAAATGCTATTCAAACCAATGACGTCACGGCAACATAGCGCTATCATGTTGTGAGAAAATCCGAAAAACTGTTACATTTATCATTAATTAGTAGATATCGGAAGATAGTAACTCAAGTGAAGTCGTCGTGTTGATATATCAAACACCGATAGATCGTATACAATTTATGATAACCGGTATTTTAGCTAGGATACCACTGAATGTTTCATTCTTACGCCATACAAGGGTAAAGTACGATGGAATGTAAAATGTAAACAAATGAAAAGAAGTCCGTAACTCCGTATATCATCGATATTTTGTAAACGAATAAGGCCAGAGCTATTTGTTTCCTGTCATCTAAGCTGGATTTTGTATATCTATATATTTATTTTTGTTTTTTAGTCACGCCGACATTCTAAAGGTTATATTATGACTTTTCCAGGAAAACCTTATAGGAACTCATATTCTGCGAGGATGAGTACCTGAGTAAAAACTTCAACATTTCTAATGAGCTAAATCTGTACATTGTATTTTTTCCTGCTTTTGTTAATACGTAAATGACAACAAATAGTATTTGATACCGTGAACCATTTTAATTTGCAAGTCATTATTTATATCCTTTCAAACAAATCATACATTTTTATATAACAAAAAACACAAACACACATAAAACACGAAATCATTATTGTTAAAATACCTATAAATATCACAGCAAAGCATATTTCTATTACATTATACAGATAGAAAATCAAATGGTATAATTACGACTCGTTAATACTAAATTAAACATGCATGAAAATTATGATTTATACAAATGTCTGCGTGAAACGTGGCTAAAAGTTAAAAACTTATTTGTTAGGATTACAAATGCATGAGTCCAGGATCATATACATGGTCAAAAAAGTTTCAATTTGAATAAAAAGAATAGTACTACAAATGTTTAAGTAAACCGCTTTGTATAACGATTGCACACATATGCTACAGTGCATATTTAATTCTCTAAATACTGAATTGTATCAAAATGTATATTTCAACTGTCAGACGGTATATCTTATTTTATTCGGTTTATTCAAGCATAGGACCGTATATCCGATACAACTCATACATTTGGCGGTATATCCGGTACATTTCAAATATCAGAAATGTATATCAGGTATATATCAAATATCAGACAGTATATCCGGTACAATTCAAACATCAGACGGTATATCCGGTAAGTTTCAAACATCTAGCGGTGTATTCGGTATATTAAATATATCAGACGGTATATGCGGTATATATCAAATATCGGACTGTATATCCGGTACATTTCAAATATCAGACGGTATATCCGGTACATTTCAAATATCAGACGGTATATCCGGTACAGCTTGAACATCTTTCCCAGTTTTTAGAGCCATCGAGACGCTGACGTACTCCGTGCTGTACGCACCGAAAACCGGCCATAAAGGCTTCGAAGTGTCTATACTCTTGAACCGATAAAAGAGTCGTCTGTTCTTTGCGTCCACAATAAACCACTGCTTCTGCTTCATATCTACCAAAAACCCGATTGTTGTTCGTAAAGTAGTTCCTGGCGGAGAGTTTTCAGTTAGCGGTAAATGGTACAAGCGGACGCCATTATGAAAAGTCATCAGACAGACGGTGCGACAGAGAGGACATCTACGCGCACATACCGTCCATGCATATGGGGAACCATCCACGGTGTAATTTTTATCTATCTCTGACTTTCGGGCGATTGCAACTTCAAAAATGAGGTCGTTCCGCAACTGTCGTTTGATGAAAAAATAGACGACAACTTCAAAATAGAATCGCCCGACCTTGCTAAACGGCCGGGTACCAATTGCTCCTCGGTAATTCTTGAGGGCTGTTCCTATATGGGCAGTTCGTCCGCGGATATTTTTCAATGTCCTGGAGTCGGAGGTCACCATATTTTGTGGATGGCAGGTTGTGGCGTCAAACATAAAATCAGGACCTGTTACGAAGAAGTAAAATGTTTTAACATTTTCCCCAAAAAATATCTTAAACATTATGTAGTAAAGATATACGAGGCTTGTCCGGAAAATCCGTACGGAAAATCCGTAGAAAACCAATATTTCTTGTTTATTCTTTTTGTTTTTTCAAACATTTTGTTTGTGTTGTGAGCACCCTCGTAAAAATGGGACAAAAGTGATCCTTCGGATGCATTAAAAACGGCAAAATTACTTGAAAGTTGCAGACTCGGTTTTATTGAGTCTGTAAATGAAGGGTATTGAAAAAGTGCAGCATCAATAATCTGTCTTTATTCCAATAGTTTTATTGAGTAATGGCTGATGATATCATATTGATTATGGCCATATCATTCTCTATGATTAAACTGTTTTAACTGAACATTGAAAATTTTGATTGAATATTTTGATCATATTATTTAAGGTATGTTATAAGCAAACCTGTTGAAAGTAAAAACCGATATTTCGTTAGATAACTTATGTTTTAAGCATGTACAACAAATTTACTTACATATAATATCACCAAACACACGGTAAGACTTGGCTCTCGGCTTTCCCCTCTCCGTGTCATAATCATCATCATCGTCAAGTTTCAAACCTATAATAGTAGCGAATTATTTCATGTATCCATTATCACACTAGCACTTATACTGTTCTTTTGATTAACATTGTAATTAAGTACTGTAACAGTTAAATATATGACGACCTTATAAATAAATTAAATAAAACAAACGCACAATGAACACGAACATTTCTGTTGAATGAAACAAGCACGCACAAAGACGCAACAATAAAAAAGAATAATGAAGCAAGATATGTGCTCATTAATATTGCGAAGCTGCAGTAAAATTTTTTGATAACATTCAAAAACGAAATAAATTCTAGGGTACAATGTTTGCACGTCAATAAATTAAAAAAAAGTGTCGTGTTTTCTATCTCACGAGCTACTAAGGAAAATAACCGAGACATCAATAAAAACAAAAACAAAAACACACACACACATACACAATCACAAATGAAAAATACTAGTCTATAGTTAAAACCATCTACAACTTCACAAACATCTATCTTCAACAAGAATACTACACCTACTAATTTCAACCATCTATGGTGTAAGAAATAAAAAGTAGTCGTAAAATTGAACAGAAAAAAGTCAAGTTTTACTAATTTTAGTCACGTATTAGCAATTATACTAGCATCCACTCACCGGCTGTCATCAAAGTCACATAACAACAGAGTCACGTACTAGCAGTCACATACTCGTAGAGTCACAAATCATCAGTCATATTTTGGCAGACTCACATATACGCAGTCATAAACCGGCATATTTTTATACCAAAAATAGTCACGTATTTTTAAGGTCAAATACCAGCAGAGTCACGTATAAGCAGAGTTACATACCAGCAGAGTCACATACCAGCAGTCACATACCAGCAGAGTCGATATCAGAATCACATACCAGTAGAGTAACATACCAGCAGAGTCGCATACCAGCTGAGTCACGTACCAGCAGAGTCACATACCAGCAGAATCACATACCAGCAGAGTCACGTACTGTCAGAGACCCATACCAGCAGAGTCAAATACCAGCAGAGTCACATACCAACAGAGTCACGTATAAGCCGAATCACATACCAGCAGAGTCTAATACCAGCAGAGACACGTATATGAAGAATCACATACCAGCAGAGTAACGTATCAGCAGAGTCACATACCAATAGAGTCACATACCAGCAGAGTCACGTATCAGCAGAGTCACATATCAGCAGATTCACAAATCAATAGAGTCAAATACCAGCAGAGTCACGTTTATGCAGAATCACATACCAGCAGAGTCACGTATCATCAGAGTCACGTATATGCAGAATCACATATCAGGAGAATGACGTATCATCAGAGTCACATACCAGCAGAGTAAAATACCAGCAGAGTCACGTACAAGCAGAGTCATATACCAGCAGTGACACATACCAGCAGAGTCACATACCAGCAGAGTCACATACCAGCAGAGCCATGTACCAGCAGAGTCGAGTACCAGCTGAGTCATATACCAGCAGAGTCACATACCAGCAGAGTCACGTATCAGCAGAGTCACATATCAGCAGATTCACAAATCAATAGAGTCAAATACCAGCAGAGTCACGTTTATGCAGAATCACATACCAGCAGAGTCACGTATCATCAGAGTCACGTATATGCAGAATCACATATCAGGAGAATGACGTATCATCAGAGTCACATACCAGCAGAGTAAAATACCAGCAGAGTCACGTACAAGCAGAGTCATATACCAGCAGAGACACATACCAGCAGAGTCACATACCAGCAGAGTCACATACCAGCAGAGCCATGTACCAGCAGAGTCGAGTACCAGCTGAGTCATATACCAGCAGAGTCACATACCAGCAGAGTCACATACCAGCAGAGTCATGTATCATCAGAGTCACATAGCAGCAGAGTCACATAGCAGCAGAGTCATATACCAGCAGTCACTTACCAGCAGAGTCACATGTCTACAGTCACATACAAGCATGATCATTTGCGAATAAAGTCAAGTATAAACGACTTAGACATAATTATTATCGTCAGTGAAATCGTAGCAACAACAACACATTTTTATGCGGCACCCGGACTCAAAGCTCTACTAACAAAACTGGACAAGTGGGCCAGTTAATCGTTGCAACAGTATTCAATGTGCTTTGTGTATAAACTATACCGACTAAAACAGGCTTATCATCGTGTAGAGGTACCGACGGGGACTGGTTATATTTCGTCGGGTGTTGTAAACCTGTGATGACCGAATGGTATGAAAATGTGTTATAATATGTAGGCTAAAGAAAAGGGACAAAAAACATGAACAGTGTATAAATGATGTCTGGTGATGACGGTACAGGCTTTGAAAGTTTCTTTATTTACGAAATACCGGTGGGAACATTTCAACTTCATGAATTCCCGGCTTTAACTTCACGAATTCAACTTTACAACTTCACGTTGTGAACTTCAAGCTTTCAACTTCATGAATTCACGATTTCATTTTCATGAATTCATAATTTATTTGGAAGTTCATGTTTTCAACTTTACAAATTTATAAGATTTCATCTCCACGAATTTGAAATCGTGAAATTCAAAACGTGTTTGCTATAACATAGTACAAAGACTTCGCATGAATTCACGATGAATTCGTGCGAAGACTTTGTACTATGTTATAGCAAATGAATTCCTTTATAATTACTGAACAAAAAGATTTCAGGACGACATATATGCTAGTTGCAGCAGCAGCAACAGCAACATATAACAGCCTCCACATAAAATATTTCTAGTTGCTTTTTACTTTGTAGATCAAACAGTTCAATTTTCTTTTTGTGTAAGCTGAAAATGCCACTCTCTCCGCTTGTACAAGAACATTATTTAAATCTGATAAATTTATGTGGTCCACTTTTTCTGACTGTCAGATTTTTTTTATAATCTTTCTTTTCTTCTTATTTACACTTCATTTTTTTCAATCATGATATTAAAATTCCACTTAGATCCCAAACATGTATACTGCGTATTTTGGTAACTTACCGGAGTCGACCTTGGATTTGACCTTTGGGCCGTCTGATGTGGGCTCATAATCTCCTAAAAAGTAAACAACTTGTGTATTTTTGCATTTCAATTAGATTTACAATACTATATTTTTTATCAAAATGTCATTGAATGCTGGTACACAAATAAAAGAATAAATCTTACATGGAATTAGAGATTAACTGTATTTGTTTAGAGATTATATAATATATTTGTTTCGAGATTACATCATAAGAATTTAAACTGTAATAAACATTTTCTTGATATGTACGTCTGCTGTTGAGATAAGTGAAACAGATAGTTAAATATACTAATATACGTTTATGTGAGAAACTTTAGTTTTAGATCGTTTTAAAATGTAAGTTAAGTTATATAAATTATGATACACTTATATAAATATGATAAAAGTTATCTAAATGATGATTAAGTTATATAAATGATAATTAGAGTTATTAAGTTATTTCAATGATGATAAAGTGATAATAATTAAGTTATTTAGATGATAATAAAGTTATATAAATAATAATAATAAAGGTATATTAATGATAATAAAGTTATATCAATGATGATAAAATTATGATTATGAAGTTATATAAACGATGATAAAGTTATAAATGATGATAAAGTTATGTAAAGGATGATAAAGTTATATAATTGATAATAAAGTTATATCAACGATGTTAAATTATGATAATCAAGTTATCTAAATGATGATAAAGTTATCTAAATGATAATAAAGTTATATAAATGATAATAAAGTTATATAAACGATAATTAAGTTATCTAAATGATGATTAAGGTATATAATGATAATAAAGTTACATAAATGATAATAAAGTTATATAAATGATAATAAAGTTATATCAACGATGTTAAATTATGATAATCAAGTTATCTAAATGATGATAAAGTTATCTAAATGATAATAAAGTTATATAAATGATAATAAAGTTATATAAACGATAATTAAGTTATCTAAATGATGATTAAGGTATATAATGATAATAAAGAAGTTACATAAATGATAATAAAGCTATATAAATGATAATAAAGTTATATCAACGATGTTAAATTATGATAATTAAGTTATATAAATGACAATTGTATTATATTAATCATAATCAAGTTATCTAAATGATGATAAAGTTATTTAAATGATAATAAAGTTATCTAAATGATGATAAAGTTATATCAACGATGTTAAGTTATGATAATTAAGTTATATAAATGATTTTAAAGGTATATAAATGACAATTAAGTCATATAAATGACAATAGTATTATATAAATGATAATAAAGTTATCTAAATGATCATAAAGTTATATAAATGATAATAAAGTTATATAAACGATAATAAAGTTATATCAATGATGATAAAGTTATGATAATAAAGTTATATAAACGATGATAAAGTTATAGATGATAAATAAGTTATATAAATGATAATAAAGTTATATAAATGATATTAAGGTGATTCCGCTTTGTCAGCCATGTTTGTTTTCACTTAAGTCTGTCCAAAGTGAAAGTAGGCCAAAATTCATATAACAACAAAGCTCTTATTGTAAAATGATGAACCTTTTGAAAGTTCACTTCCAGGTTTATATTTTAAGGACAATTATAAACAAAAATAAAAATGATAACAATAAAAATATTTACCTTGAATGTGCCACATTTCTGAAGACCAAAAACATTTTGTTGCAAAGTTTTATGCACATTTCATGAATGGCAAAATCCTTTTTAAAGTCTGTTTTAGTGCCTACAAAAGCTATTTTTTGTAGCAAATACAAAAATCTTTCAAAACTTAACTCCAAATGAATCCGTATCTCATGTCCTTATAAGCACATGGCCTCCATTATTTTTTGTAAAAAAGTAGTGCAAGAAAACAATCATCATTTATAGCCTTACGAAATACAATTAAAATGAAATCACAATCAAACTTTAAAATCTAACCTTTTTTATGTGTAACAGTGAAGTGTGTCTGTTTGTCATGTACACAAGTAATAGGTAAATGATGTTTATTTTCATGGTACTACTTTTTTACACATGTCATGGTGGCCATGTTTTTTCAAGGTCAGATAAACTACTTTCGTAAGATTTATGTTTTTAAAAGTTTTTTGTATTTTATGCAAAAAATAGCTTTTGAAGGCACAAAAACAGACTTTAAAAAGGATTTTGCCATTCATGAAATGTGCATAAAACTTTGAAACAGAATGTTTTTGGTCTTCAGAAATTTAGCCCATTCAAGGTAAATTTTCTTATTGTTATCATTTTTATTTTTAATTAAAATAGTCTTTAAAACATAGAACTGGAAGTGTACTTGCAAATGGCTCATCATTTAACAATGTGAGCTTTGTTGTTATATGAATTTTGGCCTACTTTCACTTTGGACAGACTTTGTGAAAACAAACATGGCTGACAAAGCGGAATCACCTTAAAGTTATATAAATGATAATAAAGTTATATCAATAATGATAAAGTTATAAGATTATATAAATGATTATAAAGGTATATTAATGATTATTAAGTTATTTTGATGATGATAAAGTTATATAAATGATAACTAAGTTATGTTAATGAAAAGTTGGATACAGAAAACAGATATCTACAATGTACTTCATATTCCGTAGAAATTTTCAGCAATGAAAAGTTAAAAATAGTAGCTTACTGAGTACATCATTTTCCAGATCCGTTTGCCGTCTGACCTTGAACGTCACGCCAGGGTCAATTACTGGTAGGCCCATTACAAAAACGCTTGCTCGATGGTCACCAAGTTTTGTCCCCTAAAATAATTTTACAAAATTGTTTTATACAAATTTATATATGTCACCATGCAGACTAGGTCTATGTAAATATTAAAGACCTGCTGACCAGTATGGTAAATTTTTTGACATATTTATGTAAAACAGAAAGTAACGTTCCATCTTTGACTAATTTGAAGTAAGTCCGCGTGTTGTCTTCTTCCGGTTAAGCAGAAGAGAAGTAAAGAACGACAACTCCTATTTTACTTAACCGTCGGACAGAAGTCTAGCCATTTGGTTGAGAAATTCTTTTTACCTGAAATACCACTTTATACGCTCCCTCAGAATCTGTCAAGTCAATGACTTGAGCTCGAGTTTTCTTTCCTATAGGATTTAGAACCTCCACACGAATATCGACTCCTGGTTCCGCTAGGGGGCGCCTCTCGTAGTCATGGAGCGTAATCATCATGGCAGTCTCCTCGCGTCCGAGACCAATGTCATATGTCTGAATCTAATAGAAAGATAAGAAAATAAAACCTTTGTCATAGATAAAGATAAACAGTTATTGATTTCGTTTATGTTACATACATATTTCGCTGAATTTAAAAGATACATTATTCTCAAAATCTCATATTTGAATATACTGATGTACAGTCTCTGTTTAAATGTAAAATAAACATCTTTTGAGTATACGTATACAAATATGTAAGTTTTAAACTTTATACAATATATTTAACCAAGTGTGATTAAAAAACTGGCAGATTTTTTTTAAAGAAACGACCAAATTATTTTGATCAGCAATACGGAATGCAGCTTCCCGAAACATTGTTTATGAATTATGTCATTCAAATAAGACATATTCTGTAAGAATTTCGTATATTTCAATGGATTTCTGCAGTAAAAGTATTTCACCTAAAGATGAGCATAGTATATCTGTAATCTTTGATTACGAAAAATTCCAATCAAACTCAAGCCCCACCGGCTTTCTTTACCCCTTAAATAAACACACGTCAGAATGAAAATGATATCCACACTATGTTTTCCAGTATAACCATAAAGCGTCTTACCTTTGTGTTCGGGATAAAGGCAGTTGTTGACCATACCTCGCCCATCTTATTGGACAATTTTTGGAAAGCATCCACCATTTTATGCCCGTGAAACTTTATATCCGCCTTGTTATGTGGTCTGATATCTACTTCCATCTCTTTCAACTCTCCAAGGCGACCAAACAGTGCATCTTTCATTTGTAAGAATTCCGTTGTGTCACTGTATATGTGAATATAGGACAGTATGATCATATTACTAAAAGACAATACGACGTTAACTTAAAATAGTCTTTCTATGAGAGTCAACCACAAGACATTCTGTAAAATCATCCATCTTTATTCAGGTTTACATTTATACTTCTTAAAGGGACTCGATTGAAATTTTTTTGACATGATAGTAATGGAATTATTTTTTCAAAATTCGTGTACCATTTGATAAAGGTCTTAAAAACTTGTGAGAAAATTTTGAGATCATTACCGCACCCGTTTTTTCCCCTCAAAATAATCATTTTTATGAGCAAAATATCAAAAAAATAAAGAAGCGTTTTCAGTCAAATCGGACACAGATACCATGCACATCGATTTTCAATTTAATTCTGAACACATTTCTTTATTATCCTTAGCAGATCAGATTTTTTCATTTTAAGTGTTTCTCATAATCTATGTTAAATTTCAAATCCTACGTTTTAAGTCTTTTTGACCTCGGTGGTGCTACATTTATACACTAGAAAATCCAAACCCCTTGCGCTTACAAAATATCATATTTAAAGCTTCATGGTTAAATAGCCTTCTAGCTTTTCTCTATCACTAAGTGGGGTTGTTTAAAATAAAAAAAAAATGAAACAAGAAAAAACAAAAACATTTCAATTAAGTCAGACACTATTTTCCTTTATCTTGGCTATTTCAGAATGGGCCTATTGTAATACATGTATATTAAAACCAACAAGGCTACAAAATGTTCAAATCCTTTAAAAAGAACAACAACAATCTAACCTATATCCTAGGACATTGTTAGAGAACCTGGCAGCATGGTCTAAGCTATTCTTCTCACTGATTAGTTTATCCAGCTGGCTCTCCATTCCTTTCTTTTTCGCCTTTGATGTCGCCGCCAGTTTTTCCTTCAGTTCATTTTTTCGTTTCTCCAGTTGTTTCTGACAAGCCAGAAAAGATTGGTCTATTTCTTCGTCTGTAGCACTTTCCTGTTGGCGACAAATAATAGTTTATAAGATGCCAAATATATCGAACTGCAGCAATGAAAAGAAAATCGCGACACAACCGTACCCATTGATTAGGATATTACAAATATACATATGTATGGAACGCCATAGCTGCCTCATGTTGTTACATTTCTTTTTATCGTGCCAAGAAAGCGTCTTATCATGTCAAATATAAGCGCTGTAATACCATTGTTATTTGTCGACTTGTCTAAACATTGCCTTATTATGCGTAACAGTAGTCTTATCTCTTTAAAATATGATGTTGACTTGTATTAAAATTATTTAATTATTTCAAACAGTAGTGTTATCATGTCAAAATGTCGTTTTGGCTTGTCTGAAATGTGTCATATTATGTCAACTAGTCGCGCTATTTGGTCAAATTGTGGAACTGTTTTTTTAAAAGACTGTCTGATCATTTGAAACAGTAGTGTTCTCTTGTCAAAATTTGGTGTTGACTTGTAAAAGCACAGCTTTATTTTATCAAACTGCCATGTTATTTTGTCAAAATACGGTGTTTAAATGCCTTAACAGTGTCTTATTGTGTCAAACAACTGTGATAATTTGCCAACGTATACTACTGAATTGTCTTTTTATATCAAATATTCGAATTATCTTGCCGAAATATGGTGTTGACTGGGCTAAATCATGCTTTACTTAGTATTATGATAAACTCTATGCTATTTTGTCAAAAAGTGGTTTTGACTGGTTAAAACTCAGTCTTATAAAGTCAAAAAATTGCGGTGTTTTGTCGAAATGTGGTAATGACTTGTCTAAACTCTTTCTTATAATGTAAAACAGAAGTGTTATATTGTCGAAATTTGATGTTTTCTTGTAAAACACAGAAACAGTCTTATTATGTCTAATAATTGTGTAAATTGGTTCAAATTTAGTTCTGTCTTGAGAAAGCGCTGTCTGATTTTGCTAAACTGTCCCGTATTCTTTTTTGCTCTATCTTTTCACGCTCCGCGTGGGCTCTGGTCACGTGATACTAAATTTTGACAACATCGCATCTGGACAGGATAACCCGATTATCTGACATAATGAGACGGTATTTAGAAAAGTTAATGTAATAAATTGGCAAGTCAACTTCACTGTATTACATAATGATACTGTGTTTTAACAAGTAAACACCACATTTGAAAAGGAAAAATGATACTTCGCCATAAAAGGACGATGTTTAGTAAAATTAACACCTAACCTTGACAAAATAAAATGACACTTTGACAAAATGATAGTAATTTTAGACCAGCCATCACCACGTTTCGACAAGATGATATGACTATTTGACATAATAAGACGAATATAGACAAGTTGAATCTGCATTTGGACATAACAGCATGACAGTTTGACAAATTAAAATAGCGTTTTAACAGTTCATAACCATAATTTGTAAAGATACCACCATTATTTCACATAATAAGACGGTGTTTAGGCCGGTTAAAATAAAGTTTGGATAAAATAGCATGGCGATCTGAGAAAATAAGGCAGTGTTTAGACATGTCAATACCATTATTCGACAATGCAACAATACTGTTTGACATAATAAAATAACGTTTACACAAACAAACAAAATTTATGGCAAGTCAACATTAGTATTTCACATAATAAGTATATTTTTAGACAGGATAACAACAGTTTTAGACAAGAAAGCATGATGTTTTGGCACAATAAGACAGAATTAAACCACCTCATACAAAGCAACATGACAGTTTGACAACACAGGGCAGCACTCAGCCAGCTCAATATAACGGTTGAACAAGATATCACTACCTGCCGACATAATAAGACATGAGTTTGACAAGTTGACACCAAATTCCGACAAGATAACATTTCACATAATAAGACAATTTCTAGACAAATTACCACCACAGTTGGACAAGACTGCATGCTATTTTGACATAAAAGACATTCTTAAAGCAAGATAGCACCGAATTTGAACACAATGACATGGCAGTCTGACAAAATGTGACGGTGTTTAGACATTGCAATGCCACATTTGGACAAGACAAAACGACAGTATAACATAATACAACAGTGTCATAACATACCAGGGTCACATTTGGATAAGATGACACCAACTTCCGACAAGATAACACTACTGTTTCACATGATAAGACAATTTCAAGACAATTCAACACCACATTTAAACAAGTCTGTGTTCAGACATATTGAAATCTTAATTCGAAAAGATGGCGTGCATGTTAGACATATTAAGCTTCCAGTCAGCATGTTAACACCGGATTTGCACATGATAACATGACGTTTTGAAATAATAAGACAGTGTTTAGACAAGTCAGCACTACGTTTGGACAAGATAAAATGAATATTTGACATAATAAGACTTCGTTAAGACATGTTCTCATAAAATGTTGGCAAGCCAACACTTCTATTATACATAATAAGACGTTTTTAGGAAAAAATAAAATGAAATGTAACAACATGAGGCAGCTATGGCGTTCCATACATATGTATCTAGATTACTGATTTGTGAGAGGGTGAGTAAGTGTTGTGTAACTTGGAGCTAAAGAATAAATGCCTCACATCTCTTCCACTTTTCACATATATTTCGAGACCTCTGTATTTGTTTATCTTTAACAATATTTTTTTCTGCTAGCGACTGACTATAATGTCACATGATTTCTGTATATGCAATGAGAGACAAATAACCATTAGACTCAATGTCTTAGACAATTTATCAAGGAGAAAACGGTATCTTTGAATAACAATATCATTAATTTGTATCGCACGCATGATAAGTATTTAGACGTTGTTTTTGGGTCTTTGAGTCTTATGCTGTTCTTGGCTACTTATTTGAAAAGTATAAAACTGAAAAGTGCTGAAAACATCTTCGTTACATATATTTGAATTATGAAAATGGTGGGAAAAATAGTCTTACTTTAATGTAGAGATTTTGTATTTCATCTTCAATACTTTGGATGGCTTCTTCCGCGAGGCCTCTTTTATGTTTTACATCTATCAGTAAGCCCTCTGCAATTTACATACAACTATGTTAGAATTGTCATATAGACGGCTAGAATAGTATTGTTAAGTTGGTTTTTAAATCAGTTAATCTTGCCAAGAATCAAGTAAGTCAGTGAACACCTCGCCGATTATTATTCATAATTCGACCTTATCCGGAGACTGACGGAAATAGCCGATATCTTGCTTTTGTTCTAGATCAACTTTCCCGCCATTTGAACAATTAAAGAAATCTTCCACTGCCACAAAAAGAACCATCGCTTGCTTCTTTATAAAGAAGCAAACTTGTGTTAACATGCATAACCTTTGAGAAAAGATCGGCGTTTTAATAAAAAAAAATGTCATTTGTGAGAAGCGCTTATTAATTTGCAATTTGCAACACAATTTAGGAAGAAACGCAAATTGTTTACCGACAACTCTCTTATTCTCGAGATAGACATCATTTATGTTCCGTATATCATGACCATCGGCTTTGTTGTGTTCCGTGGCCGCACACAGGGAACATATAGGTGTGTCACATCCTTTAGAGTAACAGTAAAAGCTGAAATGTTGATCCTCGTGACCTGGCACGTGACACGTGCGCTTGTGATGAAATTCGTCCAAGTTTGATCTGTCCGATGAAAGAATAAATGGCAAATGTTACAAGGTCACCCTTGCATAAAAGTGTAAGTGACATGAACTATATAAAACTTGCTTTATTCGAATATAAGTGATAAATAATAAACGATGGGTTGCTTTAAGTATTTGATTAAATATACACACGATTGTTTAAAAGCTCGTGAAAGTATGAGCCTTCACAGAGTAAAACTGTAATATAAAAAGAAATGCAACATAATTTGGGATTTCGCATAAATGTATTTTGATTTCTTTCACATCTTTTTAACTGTCTAGCAGAGCTATCCATTTCACTTTATTTGTGAATAAAAAAGCCTGTCTTCGTTGAGAGGAGAATATCAGTATACCTTCTAAGCGCGTCAATGTTGACAATGTTGTGGCTTTTCGTGACCTTTGTACGTTTATGAGCCTCGTTACAGACACCACACAAAAACTCGTCACATTCTTTACACCTGTGAGTAGCCCGGTTCCGGGGGTCACAGCTGTCACACCCTATCTCTTGGGCACGATTTCTGACCTACAATGATTTAGACTGTCAAACGTAGAACTTGAATAAAACATGTATCAATCAGAGTCTAAAGAAGGTATTTGATCATCAAAATATAGTCCAAAGTAATCATTTCATCTGTTGATAAGCTCGTACTACCACGATCAACTCACCCCCTCACCGCTGTATTTTATTCTTTTATGTGAGGAAGTTATACCTGCCTTAAGAAAGGTAAGTGGTTCTTCTACTTAAGTGCCTAATCGTGCCCAAATTAATGCATAAAAGGACAGCAGAGGCAGTCCTTCAGTAGCGCTGAAAAGTCGCCACGTGACCTTTATAGAAACTTTGTGACTTAACTTCCAACCTAAACCAAATACTTTACAGAAATAAAAATGCCGTACAGATGTATTTTGCTATTACCTTGTAAAACTTGACAAGATGTTGTCGCGCATGATCAACCGGAAGTAATTCTATTTCGTTGTTTGGAACTTCGTGAACCTCGCTGCATACCGGACATTGGACCATCTCGGCTCGTACTCGAGTTTTAAGGCAGGCATGACACGTGCCGTGGAGACAGTGTAAGATGTGAGGATTACGGTCCTTTGTGTCATAGTAATGTTTACATACTGGGCATTTCAAATTTTGTTCCTGTATAAGAGAAATCAGAAATAGTACCGGAAACTATATAACTCATATATAATAGTGAAAGATATAATTTTGTTCTAGACGACAACTAATGATGAAAAACAGCAAACAACATACCTGATATAGTTACATAAACTACTTTTATATAAAGAATGCATATTTTTAAAAAATGAGGTAAATAACACCTCAGATTTAAGAATGCATATCATTAAAAATTGAAGTAAATTACACTTCAGAGTTTGGATTTCACTTGTACTTTAAAAGTTGATGATGACTTTCGAGATCAAGTAAAAATTTCTGAGTGGGTGAGTGGCTTCAATAAAAGGAAATGTATTTAATGTTTTTTATAATGGAAAGTTACAGGACGACAGTACTCCTGCAAAAGTTCTTTAATTTGGTACAAGTTTGTACGAGGTCAAAGGTCAACTATTAACATGATGTCATACCTGTAGTGCGTCATCGGCGTCAAATAATTTCGCTCTTTGTTGCTCCATGACGGAAGAAAGCGTTGGTGTCGAGGGACGTGGACGTCTACTCTGGTAGAATTCGTGACGTAAGACGTTCGACCTGGTCAATCTTGCTCGTTGTCCACGATCTGTTAAACTTCTCTGAAACAGATCTTGAAAAATAGTGCAATAGATTCTATCAGGGGTTTATCAAGTATTGTTATAGATTGAAAATTTGAAAGACAATAATTGCACACATATTCTGAATGCCAAGTAACGACATTGTATCATTTTACATTACAGATATGCACAAATATCACATTGAGAAGTGTTCAAACTCTTTAGATAAATGATACAATGCCGTTACTATTATGCATACATATAGGTTAAGCTTATATTAGACCATTAAGGCCCGAACCAACATGTCTTTTTTATCAAGAATACCAAATATTGACACTATCAGTGCTGGTTAGCTGGTAAAATATGAACCATTTCCAGTTAATCGTTGTACGTATACCAGAAATTGCACCAGTGCTTATCTGAAATTTTAAACAGTTTATATAAGAGTACATCAATCATAAAGCCTACCAATATATTATGGTATTGCGCATCATTTTAATGCATTCAGTACAATTAACTACACTTAATGTGCAGAATACTTTCTTTTCAAAGCTTTACCTGCTTAATATTATAACTGACTTGTTCAGCATTGTTTCTCAAAACTGTCTATAATCAGTTAAGGAGAAGCTGAATATATAAAGCTAGTCGAATAACAGTGTAAAGCCTGATCAGATTGCACTGATGTACAGGCTTCCCTGGACCAATACTGGTCGCAAAAGCTAATCACTTTTACATGTGCTCGCAATAGATCATACACATAATATCGTATAAACATGCATTGTATATTTTATACCGTCAACACTTAACATACCTTCAGAGGAACCTGTCCTGCGAGTACTCTCTTGTAAAAACTGTCTTTCTCAGGGGAGTTGTCGGACGTGAAACTCCACCGGCGCACTAGAGGGCGTTCCTGTCTATGTATTTCCGGTAAAGAATGGGTCGGAGGATTTTTCTTAGCAAGTTGTCTTTCTAATTCATCTATTTGATCCTGAATCAAGTACTTTTTATAATAATTTGCACTTTCGTCGACACTATATTGCCAGTCTTGAATTCCTGGCAAAACTTTAAACTTATCGACGGCGTATCCCAAAGATTTCAAGTTCCGCTTCCGTGCGTCATGTAATTTGTTTAGACTTCCGGTTGATTGATTAAAAGTGTAAAATTCTCCAGTTCTCCAGATTCGTATAAGTTGTAACTCTTTAGGTAAGACGCTATCAGATAAATGTTCTTGAAAAGCAGTTTTATTTGTTGCTGTTGCTATTAAATCAAAACCACCTTCTTTCAAATCTGTGATTATAGGAAGTGCGTCAACGGAAGTAACGGGTTCGACATGTAAAAGGTCAGGGCGTTGCTGAGTTAATAAACTATACACTCCATCTCGATGGACTTCGGGCAAATTCGGCTGACCTTGGTGGTTATAGATTAAGTTAAGGTCATGGACACCAGAGTTTCCAGGTAAATGAATTTGAATAGTGTGGTCAGTGACAACTGTTTGTTTAGCGAGGGATCCAGCAAGACGTATAACACTATGACCAAATTTTGCTCTATGTCCGTGTCTTGGTTTCTCTATTTCTATATCTGAAACAATGTACCGAAAACATTTCTTAAAAAAAGAGAAAAAAAAACGTTCATTATGAAGTTGTTTTAACTCTCTTCGTCAACTATTCATGATATTAAAGAAGAGAAAGGGTGAAAAACTCCCTTAAAGAAAAGCAGATAACGCTATGCAACGTTAGACATGCAACAAATAATGAAAAAAAATATTTTTGATTGCCCAAAAATAGTGCTTACTTTGCAATCAATCAGTCAATCAATCGATGAATCAATTAATCAATTTTTAACATAAAGGAAATAACAATCAATGTGATGCAAGATAGTATAAATAAACCAAATCATGCCTATTAAATCTGCTTTATTAAAAAAACTAAGAAAGTAGTTTGTTTCTTGCTATATTTGTAAAACAACGTTTACCTAAGATAAGATGAATTGCAGTAACTATTCAATAATAATAGTAATGAAAATTATTAAAGCAAAAATGCTTTATGAAAATTTCGGAAAACAAATCAACTGATAACGTGAACACTTACCTATGTAAAGATTTGATGTTTTCCGTGTAGAAACCCCTTTAACTTTTGGTGGTGGCACAAAAGAGGTCTGATTCACGGCTAATTCCGTCATTCAATATTCATGCCCTGTTTACGTTTCCATGGAAACACAATTCAAAACATAAACTGCATTTTTTCTATACTATATAGTTGTGTCCTTTGACCAGCGCTGATTCAAAAACTTTCAAATTCTTCAATCTTTTAAAATCAATGATGATATCTGATTACATTTAAAACAATGGGCGCGTTTCGCGCAGTATTCTTTTAAACAATAAACCGATATAACCGAAACGATCCACTCTTCATTTTCATATCTTTTATTAATTTTCTTCAGTGTTTTAACAGATCAAACATACGTCGTTTAAAATATAGAATGAAGTTTTAATTTCAGTACGTCAACTTTTTGACTCATGAAGTTTAAAAAAGAATTGTTTTTAATCGGTTTGTTTCGGATATTTTTCGCGCGCTTTTTTGTACGACTTAGTTTTTTTTCCACTTATTTACTTTGTGTTTTATTTACTTATGACATTGACGTTATTTTATTTATTGTTATGATTTATCGTTATGATGAACTACATGTATGTATAAAATTACATAAACATTTACGGTAGTCGTTAGTTTCAGTATCCTTGACGGATGAAATATGTAAGGGAGACAAACGCGGACATCTTGTATTGTGTGTTATCTCCCATTTTTATTATCTGCCCAGGCCTGCTTGAATAAAATGTTAAGTAATAAGTGTTGACATTTCCGTTTAATTATCAATAAACACTTGCTATATTAATTGTCTGTTAGTGTAAAAACGCTAAACAATATTTACACTGAATTGTGTAAATTCACTATGAAAAATCCACATGTTGCAATCAGCTGAACTACTAACAGGCACGTTATGCCTCGGTTTTCTATGGTGGCTGATTTGGAACGCTTTTGTGCGTTGTGTTAGCGCTAGCGAAAACAGGATAATGCGCCAAACGGCGCATTGTCGGACTGTCGTCATGTCGCTAACGATGTACGCCAAACTGTGCGTTGTCGTGCGGTGTGTTGTCGCGATGTCACATTGTCGCTTGGTTCAAATTGAAGGATTGGCTTATAAGCCAAGCGACATCGCGACAACGCGCCATGTTGTCGCTTTCGACAAGACGAAAAGGCGATAATGATATAGGTTGCGTTGTGGCTATTGACAACGCAGCGCACAATGTACCAAATCAGCCACCATAGTTTTCTTCTGAAAGTGTATAAAGCTGTATCTCATGCATTTTTTTTCCATAAAAATCATTAACAGTAAAATCATGATAGTTGTCGAATTTTGCAAGAGTTGTAATGTAGAATGGCTCTGTTATTTAAAAAATCATAAACCAAATACAATCTAACTTACCCATGCGACAACGTGTATTAAGTGCGACCCCGATCATTATCTCTATATAAGCGACTTTTGCTTAACGCGACCCGCGACCGCTAATAAGTATGTTGCTATTTAAGTAAGGTTTTACCGTTTAGCAATGATTTCGTGCATGCGTCATTCGCTCTAGATGTTAAAATGGAACATATTTCTATCATACATATATTTTAGAATTTTCTTTTTCAAATTTAAAATAAAGATTTGCAGCATTATACACTTAAAGAAATCGAAAACATTCAATTTATGGTTTTAGAATGTTATATGCTTATTACCTGAAGAATAACGCTGAATGTGAAGTTATTTGTCATAATACATGTAGTAGCAAAATATAAACAAAGTAGTTTCTTGACTACCATATACTATAACTGTACTTATTGTCGAATAACCACAGAAGCAAAAGATGATTCAGGTAAATGGCAAATGACTTACTTTTTGGAAACCATGACAGGCCATTAAAAATTTAGAAAAGCATTTCTGCGGCATATTTGGCCTTTAAAGATCCTGTAACTTATTTTAATGGTTTTATATCATAAATATGATGGTCAAATGAAGATTTATCAAAATTAAAGAGCATTATTTGTAAATATATTACAGGAATTTACATTTCATGTAAATAAAGGGAAGTAATTAGAATTTTTTTTCTAAGTCTTGGCCAAATTTTTCAATAAGAAATGAATGCATATATTTTAATGATTACTTATAATGCGTTTAAACATTTGCAGAACATATTTAACAATTTTTTGGATGTTTGTAATTATTTGAGAAGAGTAATTAATATATATATAAAATTTAACGTAAGTGTTGATACATCTTAATTACAACATAAAGGATCTTAAAACCTTGATTAACCTTTTACCCCATGAGCATATTGCGAAAAATGGCCGTTTTCATTGAAAAGCCTCCTGTAACAAGTTCAAACTGCTATGAAACTATGAAAAATGCTTCAGTACTGATGAAACTTGGCACAAATGTTGACTACACCATGGCCACTGTAACAGCATGCTCAATTGTAAATTTCCTGTTACCATGGCAACGGGGGGACGTCTCAAAATAGCCAAAAATCACTGTTTTGCATTGTGTTTTTTTCCATCAAAACTGATTTCAAAGTGCTGCAACTTCTCAATGAATTGAGATAGAGTAAAAGGCTTTTCAGCGTCGGTTACTAGTTACCCTAAGATCGACCTGAGGCCATTTTTAGCCTGTCACATGTGCAAAATTTTCTTGGCGATGAGGGGGACTCCGCCCCCCTTCAACCCCCCCCAAACAGATGGGGGCATATCCCCCTTCTGGCAACCCCTTGATGTAACATTTGGATGGGGGACGGCGCCGAAAAAGTGGTCACTTTTTTTAACAACATTTCTCAAACGAAAACCAGTGTTTGAGGCCTAAATAGGGCATTTTTTCACTGTTTCAGGCCTCAAAAAGGGGGGGGGGCAAAAAGCCGTCGAAACACGCTTATATAAGGGAAAAGGTTAATAAAAAGGTATACAGGTGTTTGACTAAATCAATGTGGAGTAAGCAAACTCGTTCTTTTGTGATCCGTATACCAACTTGGACGTCCGCCAACGAATTACATGCTTTTCAAATCCTGTCCACATGTTCCTATAGTAACAAGATATTAAAATACCATATGGAAAGATTTTAACCCTATTCGGTTGCCAGCACTGAAGAATGACTCCACTGTAGCAAAGCTAAAAATATGTTTGAACCTAAGCAATGCTAGCTCGACCAAAAATGATACCAAATAGGAAAATGATAGGCGGTCTATTTGTTGTCAGTCATGAATACTCATGTGAGCATACTTCTACATTTGAAACATTTGCTTTGCTAGCGTGAATACAACTCAAAAGAAACATAATTATATCAAAGTTTCTTATAATTTTATCAGACATTTACTTTTATCTTCAAAATGTAATGTACATATGTCTTTCTTTTATACAAAAAAATGTCACTACATAAATGAACAAAAGTAAAATCATTTTCTTGTTTTCATCAAGTGTCTGTCGCCTGTACATGTACGTCCATATCGTAAAAACGCTGATGTGTTGTTCTTGACCAAACAATGGTTGCTATAGCTACAACAAGAAAAGCCCCCGTCATAACAGCAAAATAACCTCCGTACACCATAAACTGTAAACAAACAACAACAAAAATGCATATCAGTGATATCCATAATTCAGTGATTTTTAAAGATTTTTAAAATTTTTTTTTTTACATTTCCTAAGGATGAACAGTCCCTTGCAACAGCATTTAATTCCCGAGATCAGAAGTCAACATGTGAATTAAGGGTGATCGAAAAGTTTTTTATGTATTAACTTGCCCTATTTTATCTATTATTGTCGATATTTTTCTGCTTCTTCACGTTTTAATGTTTTCTAAAATGAATCGTGTCAGTTGACAATTGAATTCTTGTTTTCAAAAAGGGAAAAATGAATTTTGGGTCATTGTGCTAATTGAACTTAGCGTACCCATAATTATTTGAGTCATATAAAATCATTTTGCTTGTATCCATCCATTCAGACGGTAACAATGTCCGCTTACCTGTGTTTGGACATCGACGTCAAGCCCAGCTTTATCTACGACAATGGCAGTCAAGATGGTCTCTATCAGTAAAGCTAGAAATGTGTTACAACCAAACACGAACCCGTACCTCTGTCGTGATAGGTGTTCCGCTATCTGTGCCCTACCATGAAAATTGACTGCCTATTATATAATTACAAAATACAATAAGTATAAACTATGGTGGCCGATTTGTGCAATATGTTGTATTTACTCCGCGGGGCGGTGACATTGTCGTGTATTATCGTGTTTTTGACTTTTCGGCCTGAGTTTTAGATTCAGTGATTTTAAAGTATTTTCACCTGACGCCACGCGGAGCCAAAGTACGACATGGCAGAAATAGGCCATCAAAATAAATTTTCTCTCAATCAAATTTATGAAATTCGGAATTTCTATTAACTAAAGGCGAAGTACACACGGTTTCCATGGGAAAAGCCGATCAGGCATGTCTTTTACTTTTTAACATTTTTTACGCCGATTTAACACATTGTTGTCATATTTCGGCAGTCATTCCACCTAACTGGCTACCTTGTAATATCCTTCCTAACAATAATTGCCCATTTCTCTGCAAGTGAGCGACTACTAATCCATGATTTCTGAGTCACAGGTGGGAGATAAATTACCATTTGACTCAATGTCTAGAATTTCACCTCCCCAAAGGATCGAACCAACGACACCTTGACTTCAAATAAATTTCTCACCATATTGAGCTAAGCGGCCGGACTACTCTTTAAATTAAATTCAAGGAGAGGACTACCATGAGCCATTGCAGCTCACGCTCCAGTTCTTGTTTATGGAAATTATCTACATGTGTATCAATTTTGAATATGAATATGCTTAAAGCATACTTGTCATCTTAACAAAATGTGAGTAAGTCAAAGACTAATTTCTATGTCATTTCCGATATTACGTTTATATTTTTATAACTTATTATATTTCTCTTTATAAATTATACTCACGTTGCTATGGTGATGACAATCTGATAGGATGCTCTGAACAGGTCATACAGTACGTAACAAACCCAGATACTCGTGGTTTTAGCCATTATTATCAACATGACTGCGTTTAGACCGCAAACCGCCGCCATTAGTACCTCACATCTGCCTCGTTTTGACCAGTTGATCGGCAGGAAACCGATCAGTAAAACGGACCCAGAACCTGTGTAACATGATAAAACATAATGATGAGAAACGCTCATAATTTAAGTTAAATGATTAAACCCTTTGTCTGCTAAGGGCAACTTATTTTATTCATGTCACCAATACATCCGTTTGATCATGGTTTTTTTCAGTCAGTACTTCAGTACTCATTTTCTAAATTATTAAATGATGAACAGTTTTAGCCTGATTGAAAGATGGTCATGTCCATTTAAGATATTTAGTGTTTTAAGGTTTAATCACGTATGCTTAACTGCATCTTAGCTCTCAGTTGATTTTTCCTGCACTGCAAGGTATCTTTTATGAAAGGAAAACTATGTGAATATAAGCAATGTTGACGTAATATACAATAAGCTATTCCTCATACTTACTGAACAGTGTTCCGGCAGCTTCTACCGCACCATTATAAAGATGGCGGTTCTTCCGGTCGTGTTTGTATGGCGTCAAAATGTGCCATAAGTTTTGAATGTAATTCGCTACCTGATAGCTTCCACATGATGCGAATGCCCACCATACGGACCAAATAAGAATATTCCTGTTAGAATAAACTGATCTAACCTCGTCCCAAAGGAACTTAAACAGGCTTCTTGGACCATTGATTACAACAGTCTTATTCCCTATTACTCTTTCTTCTTGATCTTTTTCACCTTTCGCTGTTGATAAGTCGCCATCTTCTTTTTTTGGATTGAACAGTTCCGAATGTTCAGCACGTGGTAAAATTAGTGTTATGATAAATGCAATTATTACGCTTACGAAAGAGAAGATATTTAGCTGGAAGTAATCTAAAACGTCAAAAGAAACAAAGAGTTGTCCACACAGATAAGCCACGAACTTTCCGAATAATGTAGCTGCTTTTGTGAAACTTGCTACTTTTTGAAAATGTTCTTTAGACACAATTACATACAGATATGAAAAATATCCGATTTCACAGGCAGTAGCCAACCCATATGTTACTTGCATACATTTCATTGCAGGGATTCCGTGCGCCCAAAGAAGTAGTACCCATGTTATGATATATGCAATGCCGTCAAGAATGAGTATGGGTTTATACCGAAAGTAGTCCGTCAATAAAAATATTGGAAATAACCATAGGAGATAGGAATATGTCCACCAAGGGTAAACTTGATTGTCAACTTCCGTTTCCGTGAGATTCTGCCATGGCCCCGTCAGATACGCCGTCAAATAAGCCTCCGATGGACGCAGCTTTTTGAAATATCCAAAACAGCAGACGATAAATGTGACAAGCTTCCAGTGTAGCATGATTATGATATGTGCAACATCATGTACCTCATAATTTAGCAATTCATATCATTATCATTTACTAAAATGTGAACAGTGTAAACAGTATCACAAATATCAGTGTCATACCCTTGGTAAATTCACTTGCGCCCAAAATAACCCATTATGGCAACGAATGTTATTCTCTTCCAGATAAATCCATTGTAATTTGGAAAAAAAAGTTTCTAAATCTTTATGGACGATTGTAAATACATAACATTATGAATATAGATAAATATGATATTTCTTCATAAGTTGACAGCAGCCTTGTATATAAACTATACACACGTCACGATCATCCAATGAAAAGCGACGTTACAAACGTGCAGTATGATAAAGATAAATATAATTGTGTCTAATCATAATCACAAGACAGGAAGTGTTCACATTTTTCTGAAGTTAAAGCGACATTGTGTGCACGTATATAACGTTATATGACCAAGAGGATGCAAAATGCATGAACGATTGTGTACATCAGCGATATAATAAAAATCATCTAAAGGCCTCAACAGACGGTAGGATTTAGTTGGAGATATGATGTACAATTTTCAAAGCAATACAACACTTGCATTCAGACCGTAATCCTGCATTGTAGGAATCATCTCAGGTTTCCCTTAAAAAAGTTGTTGCCTCCCAACTGATCCCTTACATACTTTACACTTAAAAAATAATTTGTTTTCTCCATGAGTAATGATTGAAGCTTCTCCATTTTTTTATAAAAAAAGTATATAATTGTAACAGGGGGAGACTAATGTGCACCCTGACCGAGACTCTAACCTAGGACCCTCGGAATACCGTACTGCTACTCTACTGACTAAGTAACAGGGGGAGATTAATGTGCACCCTGACCGACACTCAAACCTAGGACCCTCGGAATACCGCACTGCTACTCTACTGATTGTGCAACATATCAATCCTATGTTGGGATTCGAACATACCACAACTTTTGGGTCTTCTGAACAGTTTTTCACCCCTCTTTTTACTTTGTTTACATTGTTCTTGAATTTCATTAATTAAACACACTATTAGGGGATAATTGGGAAATATGTCATATGTAATCGTGGGAGGTCTATACCACAAGTATTAAGAGATAGAACATGTCCCATCCTGTAAATCTAGTATTAACTTGTATAAATTCAAGAAATAGTAGCCTTCACACAGTAAAATTTGCTTGTACGTATTAGTTTTAATTGGATGTCTTAACTAAAACTTAAGATTTCATAAGGTGTGCTTTCTTAAATTGAGCAGATAATTTGTAGTTCCAGATATTGCCCGCCATCATTCCGACCTTTGCAAAACAGCAATAAAGGCAATAGATAAAGAAAAAAATGCTGTTTTAAGTTGCTAGTTTAACATAAATATATAAAACATCCCTTAATTTACATAAATGGTTTAATGTTCACTTTATCTTGTAATGTTTATTTGTATAACAGTATGTACTTCAGATACGATTTCATTACACAACAAATTAAGTATGCTGGTTAAATTTTTTGTTAGTACAATTAGAGGACATTGATATGTACAGTATGAATAACCATCGGACAGTTTAAGTTGTGATTGTTTAACATGTAGTCATCACTCTATGCACGGAATGTGTGGGGAAATGGATCACTCAAAAACTTTAGCAACAAATGACTCACGCCCCTAAGTAGTGAAATGAGAGCAAAATAATGGTACTTCGCCTTTCATACAAACACTTGAGAACTTTAACTTAAATAATTGTCTTAGCACAATCTCCAGATGTCTCGGCTGTATGGACAATGATAACATTTTGGAAATTGTAACAAGACAAAAAATACAAAACATTTTGAAAAATAAAAATATCATTTTAAGCTTAATTGGCCATATAAAATGCTCATCAATATTTGCTTTACGAACGAGGTATGTCCGAACAATTCCGATAACAAAAACAAAAAGTATATCACTTCAAATACACTGTCACAGTTAGTATCAAAGTTCACTGTCACCAACATTCTGTATTTGAATTAGTTCACCCTGATGCGATAGCCATGCATTTCCTTTTAAAATTACCGCTCTCGGCTGCGTCTAACATAAATCTAGCAACGTCACGTCTGCAGCAAATGAATCTTCCAGATGACGCCACGTCTTGTCCTTCCTTAAATTGTACTGGCTTACCTGAAGTAAAACAATTTATGTACAATACTTCTGCTGATTAAAGTTATTTAGGATATTAATTATAATTATTCATGTCAAAGAGTATCCCAGGTTTCAAAACATGTAACAATACATAATTTATTATACCGATGTTAACTCCGCTATCAGGTGAGGAATGTACGATTATTAGGACGAATCTAGGGACATTTTGTGGTGATCGTTATTCTTGCAAAGTAAATTGGCAATTTTTACATGCCTTATTGAGAAAAACATTTACAAATCAAGTCGCAAATGGATATACATGTCAACCGCTAAAATTTCGTCTAGCGAGTGTAACAAAATAACAATATAAAAGGAAACAGTGAAATTTAGCCAACAAAATAATAATGACAAAAACATGAAACAATCATAACCAATACAATACAATTCGGAAGCATGCTCGAGTAAAACACATGATATGCATTGCACGTACATGCTTTAACCAATCCTCGATATATAACAAACCTGTTGTTTCAGAATTGGACAATTGTGGCGCACGGACGGACGTGTATTCTATATCTGGGCATTCGGTGGCAAGATAATCTTCCATTTCACCCATGTTCTTTAATGACTGGCCTAAAACTAAAGGCTTTAAGAGCCATGTCATGAAGAAAGGATCTTGACTGTCAGCTGCAAATAAAATGTACAAAATGATGTATATTCTGCTATAATAACAGGATAGGCAAATAACAAATAATGCAAATCATGTTATTTTGATGGCTTGAATATTTAAAGATTTGGTTAAAAAAAGAGAATTATCGTGACACCTATCTCAGTCAAGCCCCGTGTTATTTTACCATTATGTAAATTGATATCATCGTACCAGAAATGCACATAAGTGAACTACATGTCATACTTTACAGAATAATTTAATATTTCTGAATATATTCGGTCGTATGATTTCTATAAAGATGTAAAAAGACATGGTCTACTTTTGTTAATAAACAGCATCAATGTAAATTTGCCAAAATGGCACTCACACAGAATAGAACTGACAAGGTCTTGGAATGCAACACAATACATCTGCGATATTTTGAGGTATTTTATTTTATTGCTCAAGTAACCATTATAAAAGACTGATTGCAATATAGCTTAAAAAGACAGGAAAATGTGACAATTCAGTTGCCATTGCACTTTGTTTCGTCCGGAAGTCACTTTTTGCAATTGCTCTACAGATGTAGCCTAAATTATTCATCTAAAACCAACATTATCATACATGTAATTTTTTTTCAAGTGATGTGATACGTACAGCTTCAAGTGTTTCCGTCTATCAATCAACGATTGTGTATGGTGTCCTGCTACTTCTACCACAATTCTATTAAAATAGCTTTTGTTATAAAGTCGTTACCAAGGGAGGTAACCCATGAAGCTATTTCTAAAAAAGGTAATTTGAATCGTCTCCCTTCCATCGATTTGAAATCGCGTTGAAATTCAAACTATCATTGTAATTATATTTTATTCCGCTCTATATAAACACGTATACGTACTTTTTGTGTACCATGACGACATAAAGATGAATCTCTTAACGTCTGCTCTCCTGAGGGCGGTCACAACTGGTTTTACGGTGTCAGTGTAAAATGTTATATTCCAGATGCTAAACCAACTCGGACTACAGCCTAGACACGACAACACCGCATCTTGGCCCTTCAGGTGTGGAACCATAGTATCCGGGTCAAAAATGTTCGCCTTAACGACCTAAAAAAAGGCAGACATAAATTATGTGTACAACGATACGCGTGTAAAATCGATGTATCGAATGCTTAAGTGCCATAGACGAACATTTTATACCGTTCACTTTCTTTAAAGTTACTACACTTATCTTCAAATATTGTATATATAATGATATACAATTAATTACTTCAATAACCACAAAAAACACAGGACAATTAAATAAGTATGTAGCTGGTAAGTTAGTAAGTAGTTATATAGTAAATTGTTATTATTATATCATAGCAATAACTGCACACCATACATTCTGTATGATAGTTAATAGTTAAATAGCGTCAATATGCTGATAAAATGACATAAAACTACTTATGTTTAATTGTAAAATATTCTAGTACTGTATATTTACACTTAGGTCTAATATAATAAAGTTAATCAGTTGGGCGGGGCTTACAGCGTCATCATAAATTTGCCATAAACTTTATACTACAACGTAAATAAAATAAGGAAATAATCAAAAATTAGCAACGTAATATTTTCATAACACAAAACATTTCTTTGTCAACTTCTGTTTATATATGTATTTCATCAACTGTCGTATAATGAAAATATTTCACAATGTTGACACTGCATGCAGCTGCGTGACGAGAGTCTCATATCGTTTTCCCATATTGAACTACTTATACAGTTGTGATTCATGACCTCTACAGCTGTCGTGAATTGCAGACAGATAAATAAGAAAATGTAAAATGTCTTCTGTGCATGTATTGAGAAAAGAAAAATCAATAAATATTCTGAATTAACTTGCGAGGAATCGTTAGCGACACTTATGTGGAGACTATAAGAAATTGTGTGCAATTCATGTCAATAAAACGTTAAAGGCCCATTATTCCCAAGAAATGCTTTAAATTTTATATCTCAAAAGATTTTTTATTTTTGGGTGTTTTGATATGGTTTGAAAAATGTATTTCATTGGCCAAGCACCTGAAACATCTTTGCTTCTGTTATGTTGCTTTTGTCAGTTAGTACGGTTACAATGTTTAAGTACTTTATATGGATGTCAAAATACTAAGATGTTTACATTTTGATACTTAAAATAATGTCACATTCATTGCTTCTTAATTCAGGTGGTAAGTATCGAACGTTTTAAACCACTTTTTAAAATTTCAAACTCATGTTAGAAATTTCTTCAGATGGAAAAAGTTCATAACTGGGGTTTAATGTGCCTTTAAGAAACTGTAATCATCTGTAAAATAAGTAAGTATAAACTGCCTAAAATAAGTAAGAATAAACTGCCTCCAATCTAAACTTTGTCGATTTGTAAGTCGGCTTTGACCATGTATAAAAAGTTTCATTAAACTATAATAATTGATCAAGGCTATATACTTGATAACATGGAATAGAAATAAAGAGGCTCCAAGGGCAAACTTATTATTAAAAAGACAAAAAAAGACCAACAACTTTAGATGATATGCGTGCATATAGTAGCGTAAATGCTGTTTTTGTTGTGTTTTTTTAAGTCGCACGTGCGTCATGCATTAAGTATTTATAGGGCAGAATGTTAACATTCCTGAACTGCACTTGTACAAATATTTTATAAACAGAACTATTATAAAACAATATTATCCAATCGTAAAATAAAACTGGATATGGAGGAAAGTCGCATTTGTTATATAAGTTTAAATTATCCCTTCATATCTATACCTATAAATTAATGGCGTCCTAAATTGTGACCTTTTGATCATAACTTTTAAAGGTTTATTTACCTGAAGTTTGTCATGTTTTTCGACCAATTTATCTGGGTTTCGAACAATAGCCCTAACCTCGTGTCCTCGTTGTAAAGCTTCTTTCACAACCTGAATCCCAGAAGGCCCCGTGGCCCCTAAAACTGCTATTCTCATAATCCAAAACAATAACTACTTCACGATCACGTGTTTATATTTTTATTTACATACGTGAGTAGCAAACCATCCCTTGTTTACCACTAATCGAAAAAACACATATTTAAACCTATTAATGCATCACAAATTACAAAATAACCCTAAACTTTTGAATAGAAAACGACTAGATACGTGATAAAAAGTAAAACCTACAAGGGGTTCTGACCTTGAAGGTTTGGTCATTAATGAGTACAGATATTATGTGACATTATGGTCAGTTAATAAATTTTTTCTGGCCTTATTAAAGAATTATGTACTTGATAAATTACACATATCACTTGAGTTATAATTTTAAAACATTTATTAAGTTATATTTATTAAACATAAATTCATAATAGTTGAATAGTTTATAATATTATGTTAATCCATGTAATCAATCGATAAAGCTGCACACCTTCGTAAGATTTGATCAAGCGTCAAACTTGTGCTATTCTTATCAATATAAATATAGATCTTAAATTTCGTAGTGTATCCTAGGCAATATTTTATAAATCATTAAAAGAACAGCTTTTTATCAATCACACAACATGTCGATGGAACTCAGAATGTCGGCGGAATGTTTCATAAATACATTGTGTTACACGCAGGATGTGTAAATCACTGTTCGCTTCTGGCAGATTTATTGTTATTCATATCTTCTTTTAATAAGTTTTCAATCTGTCGGTTAATAATTATTTCCAGTACAGTAGTAATTCCGCTTTTGAATGAAACATCGTTGTCCTCTTTTTATGTTGAATTATTCCTTTTAATGCCCTATTATTTCTTCTATCATAAGCCCGTTGTTCAGTTTTTTCATCCGGATGCTATGGCTATACATTTCCGTTTAAAGTTACCACTTTCAGCAGCGTCCAACATGAACCTTGCCGCGTCACGTCTGCAGCAGACAAGACGTTTCTCTGATGGCACCCGCTGTCCTTCGTGAAATAAAACTGTGGCACCTGAAAGATCGGAAAAATGGCCTCTTTTTAATTTTTACACACACTTTAAATTTTTGATATCTTGTTACTGTTTCCAAAATTACTCATTTGCCATTCAGGCAACCCATCTTTGCTTCTTTTGTTTGTTTGTATAATTATAGAGAAAAAGTATTTTGAATGGAGGTCAAAATATTACTTTATTTACATTGCGCTACTTTACGTAACATTACTGCACATTTAGGGCTACACTCGTTAAGCTACAGTCTCACTTACATCCCGGCAGAGCCCCGGCAGAGCCCCGGTAGACGTCCGGGGTGATCCGGGAACGACCGGGGTACGACCGGGAACAACCGGGGTACATCCGTAACTCTGCCGGCAACGTCCTGGATGATCCGGGATGATCCGGGAACATCCGGCATTCGACCCCGGATGGAATAAAATATTTAATATCACCGGGGTGGTCCGGGATGATCCGGGAAGGTATAGCTTTGCCGGCATCATCCTTAGCTCTGCCGGGAACGACCGGGGTGATACCGGGAAAGCACCGTAGCTCTGCCGGCACAAACCGGGAATGATCCGGGGTATGATATAGCCGGTAGAGCTACGGTAGAGCTACGGTAGAGCCCCGGTATATGCCGGCAGAGCCCCGGTAACTACAGGCAGAGCCCCGGAGGATAAAGGTAGAGCTACGGTTGATCCCGGTAGAGCCCCGGTAGAGCCCCGGCAAAGCCCGGATCATTTAAAAAAAAATAAGGACAATTTGTGATGATTGAACTTGTTTGTATTAAAAGCCTTCCCATTTCCCTTCTATCCAGTATGGCATAAGGATTTTTCAGAAAATCATCATGAATTACTATTCTGGAACAATAGATATTAAATTAAATAAAAATTATGTATCAAAGTTATCATTTTCGGGCGTTTTCAATCCACCGGGGTTCTACCGGGGCTCTGCCTGGATCGTCCTGGGCTCTGCCGGGGCTCTGCCTGGATCGACCGGGGCTCTGCCTGGGTCAACCGGGGCTCTTCCGGCGTCATCCGGGAACGACCGGGGAAGCACCGGCATGAACCGTAGCTTCACCTGGGCTCTGCCTGGATGATCCGGAGCGCATCCTGGGTGGTTAGTAGGGAACTACCGTAGTGCTGCCGGGGTAAGTGTGACCGCAACAATAATTTCATCCCGGATCGTCCCGGATCATCCCGGTAACTTACCGGGATGGTCCTGGGCTCTGCCGGGAGTAAGTGAGACCGAGGCTTTAGCTGTTAAACATGCTCTAAATCCACTATAACAAATAAATATGAATAGGTTTCCGGTTAATTTATTTTTTGTACAATAGACATTATTTGAACAGACCTGTAGTTTCTGTGTTAGTGAGCTGAGGTGGACGGACGGACGTATATTCAATATCCGGGCATTCTACTTCCATATAGTCTTCCATTTCTCCCATGTTTTTAAGGACCTGACCTAGAAATATAGGCTTAATGACCCAGGTTATCATAAATGGGTCTGTGCTGCTATCTGAAAAATAAGAATGATAAGCGAAAAGTTAACATTCCTGATTCATATATAAAAAGGCCAATAAGATTTTAATCTTAAATGCCATATTTTGCAAGTTTTTTTCAAAATGGTCACGAGTCATAAGTTTGCTAATATTTCCTACTTTCTATGTGATTTTTGCTTTAAAAACGTGCTGTAGAAAACCCCAGTGGGATGGGTCATGACTCTCCCTTACAGACGCGCGCGTGCGTATCTGTAAATAAACAGAACAGTAAAACGCATAATCTCATAAACGCATGTTACCCAATCTGTTAGTTTGTTAAAGGAACTCCTCTGAGGTTTATAAGCCTAAAAACATAAAATTTTAGTTTTTCACATAGATAAACATGAGCACTTAAAACAGAAATATAAATAAAATGTAACCAAGAAATATACAAGAAATACATTGAAAATCATATGTTTGTGCTATGCTCAGTCCGATTTGAGTGAAAAGCGTTTAAACGCTTTTCAATTTTGGGTCATTTTTCACTATTATAATAATTATTCTGGAAAAACGAAGGGAGCTAATGATCTGAATTTTTGCACATGCCTTATTAGTATAGATCTACATCAAATGGAGTAATAATCTCAAAAATTTATTTCCAGTCCCGTCATGTCAAAAAACCTCAGTGGAGTCCCTTTAAGAATCACTGTATATGTAACAAGCCGTGGAATATAAATTCCGAAATAAAAATATGAATAAACAACTTTACTTACACTTAGTATACCAAGCAGCCATGAAAATGAATCGTTTTACGTTGGCTCTTCTAAGAGCTGTCACGATGGGTTTTGCAGAGTCGGTATAGAAGGTTACAGTCCAAAGACTAAACCAACTTGGACCACAACCTAGACACGACAGCACAGCATCTTGACCTTGGAAGTGCGGCTCCAGTGAGTCCGAGTCAAAAATATTTGCCTTCACAACCTTCAAAATAATTTATATTTGCTGATGATACATCTTAATATATGTAACGATCTCTCAATATCGATCTACATTTTATGATATTTACTCTAAGTGTATACGAACCCTATCTCAGTTTTAATAACATTATAAAACTAGTGTTATGTAATATAAAATCTGCAGAAATATAACTCATTCCATATATACATCATTGCTTAGATGCATATTAACTTTTCTTAAGTTTATAAACAACATATATTTCGCCAAATGTTATTTAAAAACAACAAAAGACAACAATAAATAGAAAACAACAACAAAAAACCTATAGAGAAACATATAACATTTTTTTATCTAACTTACCTTTAACTTGTCGTGTTTTTCCGTCAGTTTATCTGGGTTACGTACGATGGCTGTTACGTCATGGCCCCGTTGTAACGCTTCCTTGACCAGTTGTATCCCTGAAGGACCCGTGGATCCTAATATCGCGAGCTTCATCGTAGAATCAATAAAATATCCTCTACAAAACACAAACTATTCATATAAGTTCACACACCAGCACTAATCTTATGAAATGTCGATATATACGACGCTACGTGTATTTACTCACTGAATAAACGCGTTTCACTGCTCTCAGCACTTGAGAGAAAAGAAAAGTGATTCATGTAAGTTATTCACGTTGTAAGTGACGTTGTCTGGACGTGGCTCACCTTCAGTTTAAAGGTCATTTTATGTTTACTTTAAATAGCAAGAGGTTATTTGATATATGTATAATTCCTTACGTAACCGGAGATTTAAGCCTAATTTATTGAAGTTTACTTATTTCATTTTTATCGTTCATTGAGTTGTTGAAATACTTTTACATAGTATTTAGGCTCCCATAAAAACTTTTAATTGTCATACCTAAAATTGTGACACTAAGTTGACAAAAAATATTAGAAAAAAACCTTTATAAAGGGAGATTACTACAAAAAGGCTGTTTTGTGAGTACGACACTAGTTATCGAAACTGATCATAAATAAAAAGCACTATGGTGGGTAATCAATGCCATAAGGGTATCATCAACTTTCTGCGATTTTTATGCAGCATTGCTGATAAGTTTCCTTTAAAAGCAGCATGTCTCCAGGTTCATGCTAATTTTCATGAAAATTTTGAAAAATAATTTTAGAAGTAAAACATTATGAAGTGATCTACGCATTGCAAACGCCACTTACAATCCATGTTAATTACCGGAAGACGACTAAAATATGCAAAAATAACCATCTCCCATGTTAGTAATAACTTGAATCTTGAAACTTTTAACTTTTCTTTCTCAAGTTTGATTTTCCTGAAAGAATTTCGACTCACCTGGAGGCACGGAGCTTTAATGCAGATTAAGAAATAGAAAGAGCATCGAAACACGAGGCTATCTGATTTGTACGAGTATTAATCAGGTTGCCGAGTGGTTTTGTGTGTGTGTGTGTGTGTGTGTGTGTGTGTGTGTGTGTGTGTGTGTGTGTGTGTGTGTGTGTGTGTGTGTGTGTGTGTGTTTTTGTTTTTTTTTTGCCGAGTGTTTTGATATTCTTTCTCTTTTGTATCATAGTCAAACATAAAAGCACGTTCCCGGTTGTCACAATATGAAACACAGGGGGGAAAATGGACATGCTCTGGAGTGCGGGTAACTAATACCTGCACTTAAATCTGACACACTCTGACACATTTTAAACAGAAAGGTCCCCAAACCATGATACAAATAAATGTAAATGAACAAGGATTATGAGTTTGTCAAAGATTAAACAGCCTTAAATTTAGGAAACAGATTAACGCGCTGTCAGTTTCTTTTTCCTTTCTTTATTATTGGTAGAAAAAATATGTTGTATTCAATCTTTGGCAAAATTCAAACGGGAATTACCCAAGGAAACTGTTTCAACGCTATTGTAAAACATAATTTTACAATTGATAGGAAAAAATAGACAGGTATGCTTGATTTAATTAAAATAGTTTCATGATTTTACATAAGGAATTTCCCCTTTCATAATATTTATGTTCAATGGAATATGTCCTAAGCTATACTCTAAGGTCTTTGATGAAAATTGTTCATTGTATTGTGTACATGTACACTAAAGAGTGTTCTCTGTTCCCTGAAGAGAAGAACTGAATGCGCGCTCCGCTTTTAACAACAAGAGCACTCTCACGAAACAATACACTAACATACTTCTGGATGTGTTTGGAATTTTATCTACTGAGCATTACTCATCTGTTTGATCATGGACCGATGTTCCTCATCCACTAAATATTCAGTGTGCCTTATTTTTGCGAACACTGTACGTATTCGAGGCAACAACTGTGTTCTTTTTTCACTAAAATACTACATAATGTACCTTGCATTTTGTTTACTTAACACTACTTGATATAGCTCACTAAAACATTTCTCAGCCTTGAAATCATTTATAAGCAGACTATATATTCACTAAACACCTTTCTTTTTTCACTTAAACACTACTTTTTGTCCAGAATTTTGCTGAGTATTTCTCATGGAACCGAGATCTTCGTTCGCAAAACACATCTCAGAGTAACTTAAATTGTTAGTGTGACTTAAAAATGTTCACAGCAATTGAATTCTTTGTTCTCTACAACGCGTATCAATTTGGTTTGAAGGTTTGTTTACAGATCACTATTCACGTAACTGTCGTTTTTGTTTACTAAAACACTTTTATCAAGTTGCTTTACAAGGTTATTTACAGAGCACTTCTCACGGAAGGTACTAATGACCGAATATGCACTCTTAGTGAAAATCAAGCAACAATTTGATTCCCCCCTTTCCCCCCACGTATCACCAACCGGAATGCTAGTAAAATATGCTTAACCCACTGTGGACTATGATTTACCCCATATGTAAATAATATAACCTCGTCGACGTCCTGGATTAGCACTTAGTTCCTACCCTCGTTGTCTTATAAGCCAGTTGTAGATTATCGATTTAATAGACCCCAAAAACCCAAGAATTGTTATTGGATGAGTATGGAATCGAACTTGCGAAACCTAGATAACTGGTCCGGCGCGTTACCACTGAATCACACATCCGCTGCTGTTTTCATTTATTCTTACGTGCACTTTTCTATAACCAGCATGCAGCTTATTTTCAATTTATCATATTAAACTCATCAATATGTTGTCAGAAATATAAACTTAAGATATTTTATAATGATAAGTGTGCAATAATTGTTTCGCTCACCAGAAAATAATTATTTATGTGTCTCTTTCTGGCCGCCGTAGTTAACCGGTAGTATAAAACTAGGCCGTATCTAAAAATAGATTGAATAGAAAACACTACCGTATGGTAGAAATTTCTAGATCCGATCAATAACGAATGGTTACGTAAACAACCGTATCGGGAATTTTCTCGTTAAAAAGAGAATAAACTTCCCGAAACATCGTATAAGGTATATAAACAGAGAATGTTTCAGTCTTGTTCAACAAACAAAGAAATAGTGGATTACCAAAAAGTGAAATAATAAGTAATTAGTTGTAAAACTTCAACTGAGGATAAAAAGAGAAATATGTCTTGGATTATTGTACCAACGCGAAGACAGAATTTTGGATTCTTCGACCGGCAAAGAGATTTATTCTCGGACTGGCTGCATTTATTCGACGATTCATGGCAGGGCTTGGGTTTGGATGATTCAACCAGGCGGTTTGAGAGGGAACTTGACCGGGTGCGCTCTGAACTTCATAGAATGGACGTACAGCCAGTGATGATGGACGAAACGATCAATCCATTCATTGTTGGTAAGTAATCTTTGAATAGTTTTGATTTGAAATTAAGTTAAGTTGTAGAGTTTGTAAATTATTAAACGTATGCATAAGTCAGTGAGCGTTAGAAAGTTCGAGTCTCGAGTCAAAGTATGACGCACCTGGCATCGTGAAAATACTTTACTTTGAGGCGATCTTGTTGCATTATATAAATAAAAAAGTTTATATCTATTTGTAATTTCAGCAATCCAAATGCTATTTCAGCGCACGCGTCTGGTTGATTTCCTGTTAAAATATACATGTATACTTAGGTATAATCTGTCACCCATGTCGTCGGTATGGCTTGATTATATACATGTATTTATTATAGTCACAATAACAGTATCGTGTTACTGTAAAATGTGTATTTCCCAACTGATTTAGATTAGAACGAAAATACGGTCTAGAGGCTCAAATTCTTTCAAACGCATCTTAGTAGTAGCTAGTCCTAATAATTTCGACAGATAATTTTGGACGAGCGATGTCATTTTTTCAACGGTTTGGCAGTTTATTTGGGTGAAAAGTATTTGTTAAATCTGTAGTATAAGGTCTGTAGAATTAATTTATCTTTTAGTAATTACACTCAGTAAGAAGATTGATAACTTAGTTTTTATTCATTTTGCAGATCCAAATGGTCAGCACAAGTTTTCCCTCCGTTTCAACTGCTCCCAGTTCAAACCAGAGGAGATTGAGGTGAAGACCGAGGATAATCTACTCAAAGTGCACGCAAAACACGTAAAGGAGGAGAAAGGTCGCAAAATTCACCAGGAGTTCACCAGGCAGTACATGCTTCCGGAAAATGTCGACCCAAACAAGCTGAAGTCGCGTCTGTCAGATGATGGCGTTCTCCAAATCGAGGCTGATGTGCCTCCACCACAAATCGAGCCACCAAAGGAAGTTATGATTCCAATCGAGCATCTAGAGTCCAAGAAAAAGCCAGAGGCACAGAAAAAGTAAATGAGAAATTTAGACTCTGCAAAAATGACAGTTACTGTTTAATGTGAAAGTACACATTTGTGTTTTTTTCTCTTTCCTGTATAACTACGTTAAAGACGTTTTGTGCACTGTTGTATATGTACCTATTGGACTTGATAGACTGACTTTCAAACTAATTTTACTTACTTTTATCATGAGAAACTGATTATTGTATCTTATGTCAGGATATAAGTTAGATTATGTCAGATGTTAGATTGTATTTTGGGACATTCTTCTTCTGTTTATAAAATACATATTAGAAAATAGTTTCTTCATCTTTTTTAAAATACCAAAGTAGAAGATAGTATGTGTACCTTGATATTGTTCAGTTAATCTGGTTACATGTTACTTTAGTAAGTTTTGAATAAGTTAAAAAAGTGTATGTGAGATGCATATATAGTTCATACAAGCAACTTTCATTGTCATCATTTTTGTATAAGCTTTGTTCATACAATAAAACTTGTGAAAATTGTAAGAAAGGTGTCTTGTTTTTTATACTTTCTTTTAAAGCATGAATTTGAAATAATTTTATGGTTGAGAATAATTGTGTAAACCAAGTATTCAAGATAAATGAATGATCTAATATCAACACAACCGCTGCAGAGAATCAGTTCTTTGTTAAAAACAAAAATATACTATGTTAATCACATAAATTTATGAAATTCTGACTGAATATGTCTTACATGAATAAAAGAATGAATAAACTATGTATGTGAAGCTGCGTTCAAATAAACTAAAGTTGGTCTTTACTTTAAAAAAAAACTGCCAGTTTTAAGTCCCCTACCGGTTTACCAGAGGGGACTTTAGGTTTACCCTCCGTCCGTCTGTCCGTCCGTCTGTCCGTCCGTCCGTCTCTGTCAGTCCGTCCGTCCACAAAACTGGATCCCGCGATAACTTGAAAAGTACTGAAAATATTTTTATGAAACTTGGTATATGGATAGATGGCAGTATGGAGATTATGCACGTCTTTTTCTTTTCTTCCTATGTTGAAAATTCTGGTTGCTATGGCAACAAATAGGCTGAAAATATGGCAAATTTTACACATAAACTGGATCCAGTGATAACGCAAAAAGTACTGGAAATATTTTTATGAAACTTGACATATGGGTAGATGGCAGTCTTGGGATTATGCACGTCTTTTTCTTTTCTTCTTATGTTGAAAATTCTGGTTGCTATGGCAACAAATAGGCTTAATGGCAAATTTTACACATAAACTGGATCCAGTGATAAAGCAAAAAGTACTGGAAATATTTTTATGAAACTTGACATATGGGTAGATGGCAGTCTTAGGATTATGCACGTCATTTTCTTTTTTTCCTATGTTGAAAATTCTGGTTGCTATGGCAACAAATAGGCTGAAAATATGGCAAATTTTACACATAAACTGGATCCAGTGATAAAGCAAAAAGTACTGGAAATATTTTTATGAAACTTGACATATGGGTAGATGGCAGTCTTGGGATTATGCACGTCTTTTTCTTTTCTTCCTATGTTGAAAATTCTGGTTGCTATGGCAACAAATAGGCTGAAAATATGGCAAATTTTACACATAAACTGGATCCAGTGATAAAGCAAAAAGTACTGGAAATATTTTTATGAAACTTGACATATGGGTAGATGGCAGTCTTGAGATTATGCACGTCTTTTTATTTTCTTCCTATGTTAAGAATTCTGGTTGCTATGGCAACAAATAGGCTGAAATTATGGCAAATTTTACACATAAACTGGATCCAGTGATAAAGCAAAAAGTACTGGAAATATTTTTATGAAACTTGACATAATTATGGGTAGATGGCAGTCTTGAGATTATGCACGTCTTTTTCTTTTCTTCCTATGTTGAGAATTCTGGTTGCTATGGCAACACATAGACTGAAAATATGGCAAATTTTACACATAAACTGAATCCAGTGATAACTCAAAAAGTACTGGAAATATTTTTATGAAACTTGACATATGGGTAGATAGCAGTCTTGAGATTATGCATGTCTTATCTGTTCTTCCTATTTTGAAAAAATATCGGTTGCCTTGGCAACAAATAGGCTTAAAACATGGCAAATATAACAATATTTGTGATTAGTCAAAAAGAGCTGAAAATTTTTATGAAATTGCATCTTTAATTCAAGAGTTATTCTCTCTTTAAGAATTTTGCTTTTCAAATATTATATTTTGGTAACAGGGATGTTTCAAATATTAACTTTAGAGTGTCCTTCAGTCCGTCTGTCTGTCTGTTCATAAAAACTGTTTCCTGTGATCACTTTTAAAGAACTTTTCCAACAAGTTTACTTAAAATAGAGAAAATTGAAACATTAGTGAATGGCCAATGGCCCTTCAGAATGTTGATGGGGTTCTAACCGGTAGGGGACTTATGGATTGCTTGCAATACTATGATAATTGCTTGTTTTAAATGAAACTATAAATTCATATTGTGACCACCTATAGCCTGTAGACTTATAAACAAAACATTTCTACTTAATGTGAAGTCATCACATGTTTATTTCATATATACAAAGAGACAGTGTAGCGCTTGTCAATATTTTTAATATCAAATTTGAGCATAGTATATCTTTAGTATATAAAGGTATATTGCTCTGTCATCATTTGTTGTTGCAGGGATTATGGCTCTAGAGAACCGCTCTGCAAAATTTCAGTTGTATTGAGGTTCAGTTGTATTGTTTGGAATTGCACCCAGTATTAGTATCTGGTTAAGAATAAGATTGTGTACTAGAACTCTTCGACTAAAAAAATCAACCAGTCTAAAACGTGAATCAACATAAACCTTGAATTTATTTTCTCAGATAAAAGGAAAGAAAACCTGAGGATTTACTTGTAATTAAAACACAAGAAACATGGCAATGCCACGAAAACAGGTTTTCAATTCTCACCATTGTAGATAAATATGTTGTAGTTGAACAGTGTAACTATTTGCAATGTAAATCATGAATAAAGTAGGAGGAATTGCGCACAGAATAAGTGTTCACTATATATTCTGTATAAGGAAAAAAAACAAAGGGCTATAAGTAGGTCAAAAATTATCCAATCAAAAAACTCTGACAATATGCGCCAGGGCACTTGGTTACAAAGCTTCTGTGAAAGTTTGAACTAAATCTGTTGAGAAATGTAGGAGGAGTTCAGCACAGAAGAAATTGTTCACTATATATTCTGTATAAGGAAAAAAACAAAGGGCCATAAGTAGGTAAAAAATTATCCAATCACAAAACCCCGACAATATGCACCAGGGCACTTAGTGACAAAGCTTTTGTGAAAGTTTGAACAAAATCCGTTGAGAAATGTAGGAGGAGTTCAGCACAGAAGAAATTGTTCACTATATATTATTTATAAGGAAAAAAACGAAGGGCCATAATTAGGTCAAATATTATCCAGCCCCAAAACCCCGACAATATGCGCCAGGGCCCTTGATAACAAAGCTTCTGTGAAAGTTTGGTCAAAATCCGTTGAGAAATGTAGGAGGAGTTGCGCACAGAAGAAATTGTTCACTTATATTCTGTACAAGGAAAAAAACAAAGGGCCATAATTAGGTCAAATATTATCCAATCACAAAACCCTGACAATATGCCACAGGGCACTTGATGACAAAGCTACTGTGAAAGTTTGGTCAAAATCCGTTGAGAAATGTAAGAGGAGTTGCGCACAGAAGAAATTGTTCACTTTATATTCTAAATAGGGAAAAACAAAGGGTCATAATAAGGTCAAATATTATCAAATCACAAAACCCGACAATATGCGCCAGGGCACTTAATGGCAAAGCTTCTGTGAAAGTTTTGTCAAAATCCATTGAGAAATGTAGGAAGAGTTGCGCACAGAAGAAATTGTTCACTATATATTATATGTAAGGAAAAAACAAAGGGCCATAATAAGGTCAAATATTATCCAATCACAAAACCCCGACAATATGCGCCAGGGCACTAAATGACAAAGGCTCTGTGAAATTTTGGTCAAAATCCGTTTAGAAATGTAGGAGTTACGCACAGAAGAAATTGTTTACGCCCGCCCGTATGCCCGCCCAGCGACATACTTCAATCTTCGGAAAATCTAGTTAAAAAAACATCCCCTTTATCCCCCCAAAAAATAAATAAATAAATAAATAAATAAATATAAATAAATAAATAAATAAATAAATAAATAAATAAATAAAATAAATAAATAAATAAATGAATAAAATAAAATGAAACAAAAACAACAGAGAAATTAGACAAAACACGTGTTTTAAAACGAAAATAAAGCCACCACTCTTGTCAGTGTGTTGTAAGATAAAAGTCTGAAAGAAACTTTTCAGTGTGTTTTATTGGCTTTGAATACTCATGAAATTCCTAAACCTACTAAACATATTTTGTTCTGGAACACTTTAAATATCTTTTTAACGTACAATTTTCATGCATGTTAAATTAAATAGATATTCTATGTTTCAAAAGGTTACGAAAACAAATTAATTTTTAATAATGTTTAAGTATTTTGTCAGAAGAAGAAGATCAGCTTTATTCTTTCACAAATATCACAATACACCATTGACAAAGCCATTATAGCTCATAGTCACATTTTTGGTATATACGCTTATGAATTGATAATGGAGTTAGTCAATAACAAATTTGTCAATACAGTAAACAATGTATATGTAAAAATAATAAGATGCAAAAAAAAGCAGGATACACTACTCTTTCAAGATTTGAATGCATTCTATTCGTTCTTACTTCTCTTGCAATACAAAATATCTTGTTTCAGACTAGAAAAAGACGAGTAGTAGTGTTCCGTTTTGAAAATATCTGTTCCTGTTTATTATTGAATCTTAAATTTATTTTGCATCTTATTTTTGGTATTATTTGTATAAAACAATTTTCTACCATGCTAGCATACACACGCACGCACGCACACACACACACACACAGACATAGAATGACTATAGCTATAATGACAATAATACATATAAGGAACAGGTGGGGACAGCAGTTTTCGTATGTAATAATTTAACAAGATACAATGTTTAAAATAAGCAGTAAGATTCTTTTTTTCTCTACATAAATAAAGTATCTTCGTAAATAAAAGCAATTGAATAGGTAATATTATATCAAACGGGTCGAATTGAAATAATAATCCGTTTAGAAGTAATTTCTACAACTTTTACTATCAATGGCTCACGTACAATTGTGGCGTGGCTTCTAATAAAAGTGGCTGATGTTGTTGTACAAAAGCTTAAGAATTATGGGGATGCCAAATCTCAGTTTTACCTATTTACTACATATAGATGTTCTATATTTACTACATATATACATATGATATATCTATCAATTCAAGACCTGTAAGTGCTGAATTGTTTAAGCATTTCTGACAAATAAATACAACCTTTTCGCATCGGCACAGCAAAAAGATTGCCAAACAAAGACAAGGTAAAATAATGCCTGAAACCTTTCTTAGATATAGACCCCAGTTACTAGACTTTCATCAAAAGTTTAATAGATTTCCATGCACCGTAAAGTAGAGGTTTATGCTAAAATATTTTAAAAGGAATGAAACGACATATAGAAAAATATATGAAACACCATTATGCCGTTGCTGAGTTGCTTGGCCTTGCGTACATGTTTCTGCTTCTTTATCACTCCAGAGGTAATAATTCCTGAATCTTTTCTGTCAAAATTTACTGTTTTTATTAATTCAATTTCTGGTTTTGAAGAAGTGATCATTTTTATTATTTGTTTAATAATTTAACCTTTTCTGTAGGCACAATGAGACATTTTCGTTTGGCCTACGACGTCGTGTCAATACTTACTATGTGACAAATTCGCACGTATTTATATTTATATAACATGCATGGCGAAGTTTACTCGTGTTACGATTTCAAAAACATCTGTTTCTAGAAAAAGAATAAGAGTTACCTTAATCTTCTACATGTATTATGTAATGTTCTTTAATATTTTGCTCAGGAGTAGTAGTTTAAATAGTTTTATAATGGAGGAAAACATCTTTTCGTCAGGATGAGACAGTCTATGGAATGGAAACGAAAAGAAAACTAAGAAAAAACTGAACCATTTTTTTTATGAAAATAACTTTTAATTTATACTTAACGAACATTTATTTCAAACTTAACAAGTTTACAATATGTGCTGTAATATATCCTGTTCTTATTTTACCAAAAAATGATTATTTGAATAAACTTTTTAAATAAAAGCCTAAAACCAATTACATGTAAGAGACTTTAAAATGTAGTTATGAACTAAGAATATGTTAAACAACCTTAATGATTCTGTGCTACTAAACTAATAAATCTAAATAGTAGCAAGCCCTGCTAAGAAGAATAAAATCTAATAATCCAAGATGGCTGACACTTAGAACATACAAACTATATTATTAATTTATCTTAATTACTTTTAAAAAAGAAAATACTAAAAGTACTAACAAATTTACAAAAAAGGTTTCCGTGAATTTTGAATATTTCTAAGGTTTAATTAACATTAGAGAGCTTTAAGAGATTTGATTTCTTTAAAAATAGGCAGCAAAATGTCAAACTCTCAAGATGCCCCGCTAGCTTCTACAAAACAGGTGGAACGGAATGTAACATCTTATCTGATTGGTCTGCAAATTACAGCTAATCAGAATTTACTTAACAAATACATTTAGGCTTATCATTTTTAAGAACTATTTTACATAACTATTCTAAAAATAAATAATGCTTCATAAAAAAGTTTATGAAACAATATTAACATTTTCTGCAAACTTTAATATAAATAACAAAGTTCTTCAAAGTACTTAAAAGAATCAAAATGCAACTAAGAAACTAAACATCTTTATAAACATAATCATGTTAATGCTAAACTAAATTTAACAGCCAGTTTAAGTGAAAGTAGATTATTCTCTATATATTGAAAAGAATCTTGATGGATCTTGATCAGACTGCGCGGATGCCCGGGCTGGTCTGGATCCATGCTGGTCGCAAACGCACTATGTTGGTTTTGTCATGACGCGGCTCAAATGTCTATAAAACAGTGCATATTCCATACATAAACTAAAATCTAAGTTAAAGTTCAAAGTGACATGATGCTTATTTGTCTTAGTCAAGTGGAGCTGAATTGACTTTATATTTCAAAAGATTGACTGATATAATGGTGATTGACCAACTGTTGATATTGGAAAATGTTTAACTATAAAATACAAATTTTGCCTAAAATATAAAAGACTCGACTTTTTATAAATTATTGAACCTTACAAATTCCAATGAATATCTTATTATTTATAGAAATTTCAATTGGCCACATGAGTTATTTATCGTTCATGCGAAGTAAATTTTAAAATTTGAAAGGGATTATGGCAAAAAGTAAACTTATTTTGACTTTCACCTGTTCACCCACTTTCCTTTTCTCCGATGGGCATGTTGTCACTGAAAGCTGATTTCGTAAAACATATTCATGATGATTCTACATGATGTATTTCTTGAGTACATTATACAATATTGTGTAATGATTATAATTTTATAACCTGATGTTACTCTACAACAAAAGCATATATTTAACCTTGTGATGTTTCAAAATACATTCTCTATAGTAGTAAATGATTTATAAATTCTTGATAAAAATGCAAAACATAGGGGTTCTGACCTAAGAAGTTCTTGTGATCATAGTGATACATAGTGTTTATAATATTTCTCTTATTAAACTGAAGTAGTGATTTGCTCAGTGTCTTGAGTAATAAATTACATTTATATAGTATAAAATACATGCTGCATGCCTCAAGACATGCCGATTTTTCAAGAAAATCAATTTGAAATAACGTGCTAAGATTTTAAGACAAGTAAAAAGATTCACGTAATAATTAACATGTTATGTGCGATTAATGACTGAATTTGCAGTACCTATTTCTATTGCGTGACTATCGTATTAAGGGCGAATATTGCATATTTTGACCTCTTTTTGGCAATATTCGTGGATTGTATGGGCTTTGTGCTATGTGTAATTAACTTTCTTTGTTCACTCCACATTATTTTACTTTTGAATACATTTTCATTTTTTTTTTCATAAAAATAGCATAAATTTGGAGGTGGGCTGCTTTAATCGTACGCATGGAAATATAATTCAGTTTATCAATAAAATCTATAAAAATTACACACTTTATAAATTCAAACAAGTGTCGCATGAATGCTTGTATTATCCAAAACTGATAATATACAATTTTAAATACAATATACAATACAATATTAAAGTTTACATCAATTTGAATTTGAATCCGGGAAAATCTAATTTGAAAACTTGCTTCTCATCTATAATTAAAACGAAGCTACATGTCCGACATCAACTCGACAGAAGACTGAAAATCCAAATAAACGGTTTGTCGGGAGCTGTCTTTTACCACAGATTTATCTAACATTTGTTATAACTTTTCCTTTTTAGTGCAATAAGATATTTTTTTTTTAACTTTCTGTAGCAATAAATAGTTATATATATTCTTATAACCTAGTCTTCAATTCTCCTTTTAAGTTTGTATCATTAGTTCCAATCTTGTTATCCCGATGTTATGGCTATACATTTCCGTTTAAAGTTACCACTTTCAGCAGTGTCGATCATAAACCTTGCTGCGTCACGTCTGCAGCAGCCGTAGGGCTTCTCAGACGGCACGTACCGTCCTTCATGAAATAACACTGCGGCACCTAAAAGCAGAAAATACATTGTGGTCAAATAATAGATCTTTGACAATAACAATATGAAACCTTAGACTGATTATCGATCAAATATCAAAACTTGTTAAAAATTTATTTACAAATTAAAAGTACTTTGAAAATCTCTAGTCCAGTTCCTCCTCGATAATTAATAGGTTTTTACGCTTATATATACATGTATATCTAAATTTTCAATTGTACGAGGGATGATGAAAATGTTCACAAAACAGTATTCTAAAACGTTTTTAACCGTTTATCTAAATAAATCTATATATATAGATCCACATTTTAGATTAATTTAACAAATAAATATTTGTAAACTGGTTTCTGCTAAGTTTTTAAGATGCTGGGCATTATATGAACAAACCTGTAGTTTCTTTATTTGTGAGTTCAGGCGGACGGACGGACGTATAATCAATATCCGGGCATTCTTCTTCCATAAAGTCTTCCATTTCCCCCATGTTGTTAAGAAGCTTACGGAGAAATAATGGTTTAACGACCCAGTTTATAATAAAAGGGTCCGTGCTGTCATCTAAAAAATAGGGATGGTAAACGGAAGTTCACAATTTCAAATTAACATATAAAATTGTTGGTAACAAATTTACGTCTCCATAATGCCCTAATTAGTTAAAACAGAGATAGCTTTTCTTTATTTTCACACTACGTGTATAACGTTTATTACATAGCCATTACATAGAGGATATTTGTTTGTTTGCATGTAATATTGAAATATAGCCTAATTTCACTGAGTGAACACCAGATGTAATATTTTCACGAGTGGCGTAGCCACGAGTGAAAATAGAATAGCCGTTGTTCACGAATGAAATATATTTCAATCTTATATGTAAAATTAATAAATTTTCATTTTATTTCATGATTTTTTTTTAGCGATTTTAAGCGTTATTTACTGATTTTGCCGCGTAACGTCGCAAATTCTCCTTTATGACGTCATCACATCATGACGTAACATATTTTTCTCTTCATTTTTTTACATTTTTGATATTATGTTTGCTGACATCGACTTGCTTTTTCTAAAGAAGCCAAATTTACGTATGACAGCATTTATGTTTGCCTGCTATTCCATTTAGTTATGATTTTCTTTTCATCCGCATTCAGATATATAGTCCGGCTACAGTGAAAATTATAGATCTTTTTTTATAAATTTCACTAGTGGTTTATCAGAATATAATCATCTGATATATTGCAATAAAACACTTGAAAGCATGAAAAAAAATCCTTCAGAGACACATTAAAGGTTTCATGATAACCGCCATATGAACACATCTGCCGATGTTTCTACATTCTAAATTTCACCAGTTTTCGTGTTTAAATGTTGAATTCTGCATAAGCTGGTGCTAGGCGGCGTGGGCAGTTACTTGAACTTTCCAATACCGTCCATGAACAGGCTAAACCAAACCGAGCCTGCACATTTCAATTTTGCCGTGTTGAACTTTCTTTAGGGATTCTGTTTTTCTCTATTTTCAGACCAAGAGTAAAAAGAGAAGGGTTTTGTGATTATGTCATTGATAGAGAAAACTGACGAATAGAACAGTTGCTGCTCTTAGGATTGTTCTGATTAATGTAATAGCCAGATCTATCAGCTTTATAAAAGATTTTTATGATTTCTGAAAATACATCGATAGCCAAGTAAAACGATAAAAGTTCTCTGAACAAATTAAAACATAAAAGTTTCCTGAAAACACATCTAGATCCTTAACAAATTTTAAAAAATTGAAAATACCCGTTGATAAGTAACAAAGAAAAATTATAAAAGTTTTCTAAATTAAGATCTACAATTAAAGCGATAAAATATTTCTGATAATACACTGTAATAAACTAAAATGATAAAATAATATTCGCTTAATTATACAAGTTTGACTAGATTTTTTTCTCTGTGTACCAAACTCTCTAACAAGCAATAGTAGAAATTTATCGAAAGCATTGTTTCGATAGTACATTGGCGTAACAGTAAAACATTCATATCAGCTTAACATGATGCAAAACTACAAACAAATTTACTTACATTTTGTATACCAAGAAGACATAAAAATATATCGTTTAACGTTGGCCTTCCTGAGCGCTACCACGATAGATTTTGCACAGTCAGTATGGAAGGTTATGTTCCGAAGATTGAACAAACTTGAACCACAGCCTAGACACGATAGCACAGCATCTTGACCTTGGAAGTGCGGCTCCAGTGAGTCCGGGTCAAAAATATTTGCCTTCACAATCTGAAAATAAAATTTTTATTCATTGGGAAGTAATACAACTTAATACATGTAGAAAAAAAGAAAAGACCAAATTTCAGATATAAACTCAAATAATGTGGCGTAGAACCGAGTCTGTAACATTAACAATGGTGTCCTTTATGGCTTTAGCAGCCATGGTCTTTCAAAAAGAATTGAAAGACCCTGGCGGCTTAAGGGATTCTTTTTTATCTGCTGCGTGCGATTCATATCTCATTTAACCTAATAACACATGCCATAACTTTCACAAAGACGGTGGTTCCAACGCAGCAGCAGTGGAGCATTCTTCGCAGACTTTGTCTCAAAAAATTATTATATGACAACACCTTTCCTTGATGATCTTGTTGTTTGCCATAACTGCCCCTGAACGTGTATACGGATAGTGATATCATGCCACATTGATATCTTGGCAGTCCTAGGATACGACAATTATGCCACTTTGAAATAAGCTGCAAGTCAGTGGTATAATCGTATCATATATGAGTTAGTATTTTGCTTGAACCTTAGTTAATACGCGAGATTTTCCTTTTAAAGTAAAACCGTCTGACTTCTGGGATTAACTTGTCTCTTTGCTTCTTCGCGAAGCTTTTACGGATGAAACCTTCATAACCGACACAAAATACATCCTCGCCAGTCAAAGGTTATTAAGAAAATTCAAATTGTCTGGTCGTCAAAAGAGAAGTGTCAGTCATATTGACAGATCTTCTGATAACAATAAATACCTCTTAAAGTACATCTTAACAACCAATCTGGTCGACAGCCTTAGTTGACATGCTAAATATTTCACATTGAGTTGCATATTCTGTTCATTTAGATATTCGATTCCAGAAACTTTATGAAATTACCTAATCTCTGGTTGAAATTTACATGTGTATAATCAAACATATGCGAGTTGCGTGCTGCACTTTTTAAGATTTTTTTCTGTCATCTTAAAAGGATGATTATATAAACTGTTAACAAACAAGGCTTTGTTACTAAAACGTATATTTAAGAAACAATAAAGAGAAGGTACCTGCAGCAATGTTGCAGATTCACTGTCATCAGGGAAAATGGTCAATATTGTTTTAGTAAATGCAGCCAAAAATGTCTTTTAACATTTGTAACTTTTGTAAGACATCTCAACATGAGATGTCTCTGTCAATAAAACATCATTTATGGCATTTCCCTTTTTACCAGGGTGCCCCCACCAGCCTTACCAGCTGAAAAACAGATTAAGGTAAATTTTAAACATTTGTTTTTGGATTTTCTTAAACTTTAACAACATAACATCTCTTTAGTTTTCTGGTGCTTGAAAGCAGTTAATTTGGCAGTGATTAGCCCTATACTAAATTGTTCATCACCTTTTCCAAGGGTTTAATTGAAAAATCTTCTCATCTTCAAGTTTCTCTGCAGGGTCTTCGAACAAACTAATGACTATAATATGTAATTTTGATACTGTGTGACTCGAGTTATATTACTAGACATCTGAAGAAATAGAAGTAATACAGACAAAAACAAGATTAACCTTGAAAATGAAGGGCGACCAACTCTTACACAAGCAGCAGACCACGTGATCATGCACTGCATTTTTTTGGAAGATAATATATCTATTTTAGTATTAAATTACACTCTAATAGTTTCATTTAAATGTTTTCCTAAAAAAAACCATAAAATTTGATAGTCATCTATAGATCATGTTGATGCACTTAAAGTAGACAAATATACAAAGATAATAAAGAGAGCTCATAAATCGAGTTTAAGTACGTAAAAAAACGTTGCAACGTTTTATTTATTTTATTTTTTTTTTTGGGGGGGGGGGGGGGGCGGGGGGGAATCATTTTGTACAATTGCACCAGACCTACGGGATAAGGTACACATGTCCAGTAGTCCCTTTAACTTTAGATGAAAGCTCTTTTGTCAGAATAGCACACATTAATAAGCTTCTAGCATTTTCTTTAAATTAAAAAGATTTACTTCTTCGCATCTTTGCTTGTTTTTTATGTTCTCCGAAGGGAGAGCATATAGTCGCCGCCTTGTCCGTCTGTCCGTCCTTCCGTTTGTCCTTCTGTCCGTCCGTTGTCATGATCGGAGCCTAACTTAAAAACCCGTGGGGATAATTTGTTTAAACTTCACACTGTGGTAGAGGGCATTAAAGGGAATGCAGTGTCAAAGAACTATAACTCTATTTTGCCCCGTTTTTTTAATGATCTCCCCTTTTATAAAAATCTTGTCCGGGACATACCTCTAAAACTATAGGAGGAGGTATCAACATGAAACTTTGTAGGTAAAAAGATCTCAATGGGAAGATGTGCAGTGCACGTGATTGATAACTCTTTTTGTCTAATTTTGAGTTATTGCCCTTTGTTCATTTTAACACTATGAACTTTGTCCGGAACATAATATTCCCTACAAATTAGATCAAAATGTTTGTTTTACTCAAATCAGATTTATTCTTTCACTAGTAGCGTTGCCTTATGCAGATCTGACATGCGCTGGAATTAGTCTGTTGCTGTGTGTAAATTGGTCTACATATGTATGTTAAAAACCATGTTAATGCACTTACCTTCAATCTATAATGCTTTTCCTTAAGTTTATCTGGGTTACGAACAATTGCTGTCACGTCATGGCCTCTTTCTAACGCCTCATTTACAACTAGTGTACCAGAACGCCCCGTTCCGCCTAGAACTGCAATTTTCATTCCCAAAACAATAAAATATTCTCTGCAAATCGTAAAACACTCGTTAATTTGACACCAGCTAAATTATATAATGTGCATATGTAATACGTTTGACACTACTGAAGTTACATTCTAAAGAAAAATGTTCCGCAACGATAAGCATGTGCAGCATGTGTGCAGGTTGCACAATATAAAGTGCACGCGTGTGATCTTAGATCAGTGGTTTCATAATTTTATTATAGGGTATCTCATTATCTCTATACCCTATTTATACTTGTCTCTTTGATACCAGTTTGAAATGCAAACATCACATTACTTCAAGTGAATTTTGACTGAAGATGACCACACTATCCGATGAGATGCGGTTATTTTAGTTTAAAGTCACAAAAACTTATACTTTCTCCTGATAATAAATCCTTTTTTCATAAGATTCGTAAACGTCAACATTTCGTCATTAAATATTCCAAACCATACCTTCAAAAAAGCTTTTCTGTTAAAGTTATAAGGTATTTAAGTTTGAGTGTCATCAAAATTTTAGTAACGTCATCTGCTGTTCGCCCCTTTTTAATGATAACATCGACAGCAATTCATCGGCAAGAATGAAACAATTTTCAGCGCTATTTGTGCTACGGTAACTAGGAAAGAGTAAAACTTTTTTGTTCATTTAAAATATTACTTAATTCATGATACTTTCTAATTATATTATTTTTATTATTATTTTCTATTATTTGTTGTACCTAAGCTGAAAGACACTTATCTCCATTTACCACACTGTATTTCAATATAAAAAGGTAACAAAAGTGAAAGGCGCATACTCGTTTAGATTTATTTGAAGTGTAACCCAAGTTCCCGAAGACTGGGCGAACACTGGGCGTGTGAAAAAAAGATAGTTATCAGTCTGGTCTATAAACCTTAGGGGGGGGGGCTTTTGTTTGATGGACTGGGGGGGGGGGGGGGGCTTCTGTCCTACCTGTATTTTTGATGGGGGGGGGGCTTTTGTCAACCTTGTCATTTTTAAATGGCGGGGCTTCTGTCCGATGTTGGGGGGGGGGGGCTTTTGTTGTACACTCGGCGATTGGATATGATAATCAAACTATAACTTTTTTTCTGAGACTTACTACAGGAAATTGTTAATTAACAGTGTTTTTTTATATTAAAGAGGCTACCATGTGGCCGAGCAGTCAATTGTCTGCTTTTCAAATCACTTAGCACTGTAGGTCAAGAAATTTACATTATTTTTTGTGAGGAAGCGATCCAGCAAACAGTATATTGTATTTTATTTTTTGATTACTACATGTATTTTAATACTAAGTTTCAGCAAGTATGTCGTTATTTTTATTTACAAATGTAAGTTGAAAAGGTCCCTCAAACAGTTATAGACATTTAAACAAAATCAACAAATTCAATCATATTAACAGTAACAGCTTACAATATAATAATAATTAAAAAAAACAATTGACAGAAAAAGGTCACAAAACCAAAATATTTAACAATATTACACGAGTAATAAACAAAGGGTCATATTTTTGTAAAATATATATAAATATGAAAGAAAATATGTACCAGGGTGCTAGATAACAATCAGAATGTGAAAGTCTGGTTGGTATTCCTAGATAATTTTTCGGTAGAAATTGAAAACGCCAAGAAGCATACGCTTCCGTGGACATTTACAAATCTAAAAAACACATTTTTGTTAAAGAAAATCTGGTTAAAGTATGGAATATAAATCGGACAGATTAGATTGAAGCAAAATACATTTTGATCGTTAACGAAAAGCTTTTCATAGGCAATATACGTTTCAAATATAAACAATAACACCACCAACAACATAAAGTCGGTTTGATAGTCAAAATATTATCCTCATCACATGAAACATTGTTACCTTAACGAAATAATATGCATAATATTCTCGAAATAGTTTTATCACAGAAAATATTCAAATTAATAGAAAATACGATTGTTTTCAAGCAATATGAAGGATAGTGTTATGCTAATTTGTCCTTTTTTTTTGGGGGGGGGGGGATATAACAATTCGATAAAGAACACTGTCATATTCACACTAGCCACTTCGCACACCCAGCAAGATGCAACAACTGTTTTTGTTTTTTTTATATATATAATAGTGTTTCTATGTGAAATACGTGTGTAAAAATTTAATAGCTTTTCACTATAATTTCTTTCATTTTCTGTGCATACTCTCGGACTTTCACCGTCACACCACCGCCGCCCGACGATCTTTTAATTACAACACAACCTGAAAGAGCAATACAAAAATACAAACATTTCATATCAGCTGCAAAATACAAACGTAAAGATATATTTCTATATATTTAAACCGATGGAAGTCCTGTAAAATATCTTAATATATGTCAATGTCTCTACTAGCCATTGAACTCATGTGTACACTTAACAAAAGTTCTAACCGATCACTTTTTAGATTTTGATTATTTTATAACGGGTCAATAGATCCTTATTAAATTTTGCAGAGGTGATTTTTGTGTCATTTTCTACCGATTTGTGGAAAGAAAAATAATTTAATACGGTTTCATGTACTCGCGTGGGAGACAGGGCGCGGTTTACACATTTTGGCACGAAATGTTCATGCAGAGCGTGGTGAGTATTATATTTAACATTGCATAAATCCTTGTTAACTTTATAAGTGAAAAAACATAAAACATAGCACGAATGTCGATGCAGGATCGTGCCGTAGCAGTTGGAATGTTGAATGCTGGAGCCTCAATCAGACAGGTGAGTGGCTGGTCATAAATTCTTTTTTTTAAAATACCGATAAAGTATTGTTTAAATAGAAAATGTTATAATGTTATTATTCTCAATATGTTCATTCTCTTCGAAATAAAATAAAAGTCGGATCTATTAGTATTATTCTTTTTCATGTATAAGCGAAAACTCAGGGTGATCGGTTAGAATTTTTGTTCAGTGTATTGTAAACAAACAAGTTGATCGGTATAACGATGTACTCTCTTTTTCAAAAGCAAAGATTTTAACTTACATCGTATGCTGTTGCTTAACTAATGCTTAAAGCATACTAAGTCGATGCGTATGCTACGTTTAGTATGGCGATGAACGAGTACAATTAAAACAAGAATATTGCGTGCATTTTAAATCAGTGGAAATGCGACGGGGTGGGCATTGACTTTGTCGGAGGAGTGGGGGCTGTCATTTGATTTCGGTCAAGTGGACGAAGAACTTGTCCTGCCTAAAACTTCTATTTTCTATTGACAAGGAGACCATAATAATAATGAAAAAATAATTGTGCATGGATCCATCAACTGTCTTACTCTTATTATAAACAGTAATTATCAGATAAGTCAGTACAAAAAGAATTTCACCACAACATATTTGTTAGCACATGTCAAGGTTTGTAGTAAAATCTTGAAAATCAAATGAAAGGTCAGAGAAGAGATCAGCTTAATTGTATATTCAAAGGATAACTATCAACACTTCTTTAACAACCCTTTTGTTAACACTTGTTTTGAGAAGCAGAACATCTTATCACATTAATTTTTTGTATACTTACAAGCAATAAGCACAATTATCACAGCAAGTATTCCGGCTATTGGGAAAATCAAATACGTCCATTCAGAGGTTGTGTCTAACGGCTCCGATGATTGGCTGTCACGATTTATATCAGGCTGTTTGGTTGGTTTGTTGTAAACATTGTCTGTGACTGAACCTGATTGTTTGAATGAATTACTTCCAGAAATAGTAACCCGCGAAATAAATGCGGTTTTTGTTCTAAAAATAAATTATACTATATTATTATAAATAATTAGAATATAATTTAACACCGCAACATTTTTGAAAGATGGCTAAGCATGATACAGTAAAAAGTTCATGGAAGCTATGTCATTTCCTAACGATTTTACTCGTCAGAGGTAATTAAGCGGACTGTAGCATTCATTATGATAATTATCAAGTCATGTGTACCCTGAAGTCATGATTTAAGTTACTTATTCACTATAATGACTGATTTTTATCAAACTACTGATTTACGGTGACAAATCAGGGGAGATAAGTAAAACTTTCTTTTCCATTAACGAGCCATCCCCTTAACCCATTACTTCATGAGCATTTTGTGAAAAATGGCTGTTTTCATTGAAAAGTCTCCCGTTACAAATTCAAATTGCTATAATACTATAAAAACTGCTTCAACACTAATCAAACTTGGCACAAATGTTGACTGGACCATTGCACTTGCAACAACATGCTCAGGCTTAAATTTTCTGTTACCATGGCAACGAGGGGACATCTCAAAATTGCCAAAAATCACTATTTTGCGTTGATTTTTTCCATCAAAATTGATTTCAAAGTGCTGCACTTTCTCAATGGATTGAGATAGAGTCAAATGCTTTTTAGCGTTGGTTACACGTTACCTTATGATCAATCTGGGGTCATTTACAGCCTCTCACAAGTCCAAAATTTTTCTTGGCGATGAGGGGGACTCCGCCCCCCTTCAAACCCCCCAAACAGAAGGGGGCACATCCCCCTTCTGGCAACCCCCTGATGTATCTTTTGGTTGGGGGGCCGCGCCGAAAAAGAGGTCACTTTTTTAACAACATTTCTCAAACAAAAACAAGTGTTTGGGGCCTAAATAAGGCATTTTTTCATCATTTGAGACAACAAAAAAGGGGGGGGGATGAAAAAGGCGTTAAAAGGCGTGTATATGAAGTAATGGGTTAAATATGTTTGCAGCCACAACTCAGCATGCAATTTCGTAAAACACGCATTCGCGCAGTCTGGTCAGGATCCATGCTGTTCGCTTACAAACCCTAATACAAGAAGAGAAACTGATAGCAAACAGCATGGATGTAATGATGACTTAATATGATGTATATAAAATTCCGCTGCTAAAGACAAGTTGTTTTTATTGATAGTTTATATCAACAAAGGTAATGAGGTAAGTTTCATCAGTGTATGATGACTTTTTAATTTTTGTTTAAAGTAAAAATTGATAGTCATCAAATTGTTCTAAATATTACCATACTGTTATACAGAGTTCCAGATAATTTTTTGACACTGGGGGTAATTACTTACCCCCACTTTCCAGAATGTGGGGGTAAATTTAAATAGATCAAAAATCTACAGAGTAAAATTAAAGGACGTACTCTGTTTTAATGCACCATACTTTATTACATTAAAATTAACACACCATTCTCTAACTAAGTTTATTACATAAATCTTTCTCTTTATATACATTTAAAACAAAAATAAATTCTAAGTCACTAAGTCTGGTCCAGTTAATCTCTACAAGACTAAAATAGCATTACAGATTTAGTGGTATTTCATTTTTTATTAAGTAGCGAACAGAATAAAAGATGACTGTACCACACTTTTGTTAAAAATAATTTGATTCTTGGAAAATATATTAGATAATTAAGGGGGAAATATCAAAATAAACATCTTTTATTTATTTCCCTGAAAGATCATGTGAAATTTAGCAGATATTCAGCATGAATTTCATTTCAGTTGAAAGGCCTTTCATGCGCATATTTATATTGTTTAATGTTTACACTCAATAATCGTCGACAATGACATAACCAATGCAGATAACCACCTATCAAATGCCGATTTCTGTATGTTTACAGCGCCTCCATTCACGTATATTATGATTCACATTTTCTTGTGCTCTTTTCATTTTAAATACACTACGGTTTACAATAGTTTCCCCGGCAACAGAGTTGTGTGAAAAAAATGTCAATTTGATTAGCCCTTGAAGCAACCATGCACTACATGTGTATTAATAATCCTTGCAATTATCAAGAAAATAGAACAATTGTTTTATCAAGCACCTAAGCAATAAAGACGTAATTTGACTGGTTTACAGAGAAAAATAGTTGAAAGAATCTTGACGGGTATTAATTGGAAATAGATACACAGTCAACTGTTAAATGGAAGCGGTCAATCAGCTGTTTTGAAAATGAAAGTACACACCAAAAACATGATCAGACTGCGCGGATGTGCAGGCTGGTCTGGATCCATGTTGGTCGCAAACGCACTTTTTTACTTTGTCATGGCGCGGCTCAAATCATTCCACAATCAGCAAACGAAATATTCTAATAGTGATCTTTTTTTACAATATCCTATCACGTTCACGTGAAAAATATATTGCTAATTTGCTAAAACTTTCTAGAGATGTTAAACAACGTGATTTTGAAATTTTTGAAATTTTTTAGATAAGTTCGCAAGTTTAATTGTAACACGGTTGCCAATACCAGGCGACATTTTGTGATCTGCGTTGGGCATAAAATGATTAATGAAATCGGTTCCTCGTTAACCTTTTTCAAGTTCCATTTTTTTATTTGACAGTGTCGAGATTGAAAGTGACTAGCCCATACAAAGGGGAGGGATCAATATTTTGCCGTTTTTGCTGAATTTGTTTCCGATTGTCCAAACACGCGGTTTTATTTACATAAAATTATTTACAGATTTATACGTGGACAAAAATCATTTTAAGAAAATTATTGACAATAATGAGCACGTTCTACTCTGAATACCATAAGAATAATGTTATTATAGGAGTTATGAAAGAAAATCTTAACTGAAACTTCTGCTTTATAGGTTTTTCCCCCACGCAGATCACAAAATGTCATAGGACCTTGTTAACACTATTTTATCATTAAAATGTTGTTTTTAACACTCTTTTTTCAATTATTATAGATAAAACATCAATTATTTTTCTTGTATTTTAAGTTTTCACTTACATGTTACAACAAGTGTTTCCACAACAACCTGTGTTGGCCGGGCAACATTCAGTACCGCAGCATTTATATCCACCCATACAACACTCCTTCCCGCAACATGAGTTCCCTTCTGGGCAAGCCAAACCATTGCCACAGCAATGATATCCTTTTTTAAAACACCCGGTGCCATTCGGACAGCATTGCGTATTTTCAGCACAACAATATTTTCCACAACATTGAGACTTTTCAGGACAACATCCATTTGTTGCGTCACAACACGTGTACCCTACTGGACAACAATGTTTCTTGTTCGGACAACAAGTTGAATTTTCCGGGCAACACAAGGAATCCCCGCAACAACTAGATGACGATTTACAGCACCTTGGGCTACCATGGCAACACTCGAAACCGTTGCGACAACAGTGTTCTCCGCAACAATGGTCAATGTCAGTGCAACATTCCTTCTCACCGGGACAACATACAGTGTTGTTTAAGCATTTACCTGAACCACATTTCGATATCACTACAATATATAAACATGCCTTATATATATATATATATATATATATATATATATATATATATATATATATATATATATATATATATATATATATATATATATACACACACAAATTATACCAATTGCATAACTAGTACAAATGTTACGAAAAAACCCACTACTCAAATCAATGTGAAACAGTTACATTTTGTTAGAAACAAAACAAAATCGTTTGTTTACATTTATCCAGGTGTCAGTGCAGGGTTCCCGTCAGTACAATCCTAATATCTAGCGGAACTGCTTAAGGTGGTAAAGAGGTTCAAGAGTCGGCACAGGCATCCGGGGTTAACTCCCGGACTCCCGCCTTTCTGACATTCAGTAGTGTTTAACATTGTTACCCAAAATTATGTGGCATCTGTTTCAGTCACAACACCTGTTTCAACTGCCAAATGAATTTAAAACTCTAAGTTACCATCAAGTTTGGCTTGAAAGTTTATGATTTACACAGATGGCCAATTTATTATGATTATTATTATTATTATTGAAAATATAAAAAAAGAATCAAATAAGATATTATAACCACTTAATCATTTCATTTAAACTCACTAATATATTTCATAAGTAATTAATATAAAATTTAGAATCATTAAAACACATTATTTTAATCGTTTTACAATCATTTTCCTTTTAAAACGCTCGTTCATCACATTTTTTTCTAAATTTGATCGAAAATAGAAGAATGCGAGTCTGCGTATATATGAAATAAAAATTAAACATTAAACTGCTGGAATCGAACTTGACTAGCGTTCATCGCCCGTGCACCTGTGCAGTCGGACCATGCTCTATACTTTAGGCTGCCCAATTATCTATTAAACTTTGCATGGACCGTTCAAAATTCAAAGCTGAGTAAATTTAGAATATCTAGGGTTAAATAAAAAATACCAAACATTCATAAAGTGCAAAAGTAGCGTATTTCTCTAGCTATAGATGTGCTTTTAAATACAAAATAGGAGAAACATAGAATAATAATTACGCTGTGAGTAATCATCTTTTACATTAACATCGACTAAGAGTAAAAGTGAGCGATATTCAATGTAAATTATAGTAAAATTATGTTTATCAAATAGTTATTAGATAAGAACACTAGTATCACATGTAAATAAATGATTATTTCATGTAACCAATTACCTTCTCCACTTAAAATTTGTACAGCGCTAATAAACAATAGGCAAATTCCTACTGTACATGTATATCCCATATTATTCTTTCCTCGTTCTGTACGTCAACTAACACCTATCAATATTACAAACACTTTTAACAACATTTCTGAAACCATTTGTTGTATTTAAAATTATATTATTTAAGTGTAATATTCTGTTTTCTTTCGCGCTTAAGCCATTAAAAATCCATGCACTTTGAATGAAACATCAAATATATTTTAAGGGCGCGGAAAAAAGATACCAGATCGTCTTCTAAGTTACCGATAAAGACATTAGCTGATACACGTATCAAAGATATAGAAAATTCGTCAAAAGCTTTGTTTTAAAGATAACATCAGAATATTTGTGAAATCATTGCCCGGAGACTACATTTATATGTATATCAGCGAATGAGGCCCGGAGCCAAGTTGAGTGTGAATAAATTTGCTTTTATCATTTTTTAAAACAATGTTAAACCGTATAACCCTCATGTAATGACTTGATAATGGATTTTAAATAGGAACTAAAACAAGTGTTTAAATTTAGGGATTGTCAAAATGAAGAATTGATTAAGAGATTCAATTGGTTTTTATTTAAATGAATGTAAAAAAAAATCTAAAATTTGAATGCTTGAATAAAAATTTTAACAAAATTGTCTCAATTTTTCTTCTTACATTCATTGAGAAATTTAAGTCAAATTATTTTGCAACATTACAAGCCAATTTTGTTTCATTGTATCTTAACCGTTCGTATCATTATTATAAAGTAGTTTTAAAGCGACTTACCTCCAGATTTTGAAAGGAATTATAATTTCAAGTAAAGTTTAGTTATGCTTAAAGCATAAATTCATTTTAACTGATCTCAATTCATGAAATTATGTTGACAAACTCGTTCTTCTTTACATAATATAATGCTTTGGTCATTACATATATGATGACATCATGTACTTACTGAATACTAGTACAAAAAAATACGATAAATTTCAAACTCAAAGAACTTAACTTCTTTCTCTCTATTTTGATACGTTCCTGGATCCCGTGCATCACGGTTCACTGATCCCAAAATTGTCCTCTAGCACCACGTGGTTTTAGAAATTACCCGGATAAAAACCGTGGTACACGACAAGAAAAAAAAAGGCGGAAAATTGGACAGTCTATTTTCGAAGAATAAAAAAGAAAGAAAGAAAAAACGTTTTTCTCTTCAACTACAGCTACTTTATGTATTTGGAGAGACATTTTGAAATATAATTAACCCGGTAGATTTTCTGTTATCTTCTGGAATCGTGCTGCTTAAAGTTAAATTAAAGTAACGTAAAGCGACTTAAGCTTTAGCAATGTCAAAAATGGAATTCGCTTACAGCACGGGTCTTAATTACATCCGTGCTTAAAGTCATCGGCATATGTTTTTTTTTTCAAATACATGTAGTCAACTCTATTCGGTGATGTATTGATCCTGTACAATGGGGGCCTCTCAAATAATAAGCACGCGCGACAACAACTAGCACAAAATATTCTGTGTATCAGTTTACAGCATCTATATAGTCGGTGACCCCCAGGGAGCGGGTATGTAATTTGTCCTTGATGTGTATCGCATTGTTGTACCTGCAGGGCTACATTGTCTCATATACATTGCATGACTAAAGAATTTGACAGTTACCAGGTGTGACCATCGAAACTGCAACCGAGTCTTTGAAATCTTAAGGTCATTCTGGGAAGACATAAACGTCTTCCCGGGGTCAATCAAAGCTCGAGTTTTGATTAGATTATGTCGTGTCTCGCATGTCCAAATTCTACTCAGGTCAGATGAATGGTTGCGTTTTCAAAAGGAAATATATCTACCAAAGTCATACTTATTAAATTAAATAACTAAATTAAACAAAATCTCTTAATTTTAAAGCATCATATTTCTTACTAACACAAATCTGTCCTATTTGGTTCCAATATCCTAAAGTCTGTATATTTCTTTAAAACAGCATGCCTTCAGATGAGTAAAAATATATTGAAATCGAACTTGAGAAAATTTTATTAGATTCTAAGGAAAATAAAAATATTAAAGTAAAATAAAAATATTTACTTATGTGCGATAAATGACTGATTTTGCAGTATAAATACTATAATAAGGACTATGTTTACATATAATATTTTGATCTCATTTTGGTAATTTACATGGATTGTAAGTGTCGTTTGCAATGTGTGAATACTTTTTTTTTTCATTTCACAATATCTTACTTTGAAATACATTTTCAAAATTTCATCAAATTGCATGCTGCTTTAAAAGCATGGTCATGAACATTTGTAATAATCCATCCATGCATGTAAACGATATGCTTTGTAAAAAATCAGGACATTTCATCATCACTGGTGACCTTGACTTTGCGTATGTTGTCCTTGATTATGCTGGTAAGACTCGTTCTCATGATTGTAAACATTTTGATAAAGTCCTTCTAAATTGTCCATCAATACATTTGTACATCTGCACGCCAGAGAGGTGACTTGATTAGAAGTCATCGACTCTAACCCCTCGACCACGGAGGCGGTCACACATACATGGAACAATATCATATAACCAGCATCTCTACTTCAAGGTTGACATTATGACATACTCATGGATTTGATAGAACAAATACAAAATCAATTTCTCAAATTTAATGCAGAAAATCTTTGTATTGCACAACAGGAAGAAATATATTTTTCTCATACATGTATATGATAAATTTCAACAAGATAAAAGGGCACAAAAATGTACATTTTATTACATATAGATTAAAGTAGAAATCAAATAATAAAATAGAAGAGCAAAAAATGTACAGAGTATTAAATGTAAAACGAAATCAAACTGACACAAATCCAGATATATACTTTAGCAGCAACACTGTGAAATGATAAAAGAGGGCAATAATTTCAGTAGTGAATATGAGCAACAACATCAACAACAACAAAACAAAACAAACTTGTTTTTACCAAGATTTTAACACATTCTGCCATATCTCAGCAGTTAGTCTACCTAACTGGCTTTTCCAGGAAAACTGACCAGTAATTACCACTTTCTCAGCAAATGACCACCTACAAATACCACATGATGTCTGAAACACTAAAACAACAGTGATAGACAAGTGACCATTAGAGACTATTTGCCTATCAATTATGGAGAAATTTTGTCTTGGCTGAAGATCGGGCCAGCAAACCCTTGGATTTCATACAAACAATCTTCCCCCTATCATGCTGGTTGACTTAAAACATTTTCGCCATATGATGTGAAATGAACTATTTCTTTAAAAATATACAAATCATACATTTGTTACTAAACAACTTATCGGAGCTAATAAATATTTTTCACAAATTTCCAAGACATGCTTTCATATTTTAGGAATTATGTGTTAGCTCAAAGTGTGTTTTTTTAAATTTTTATGTCTTATTCAAGTGAAATGTATAGACTATCTTATTTTAGACTTATAAATTGTCTGGTTTTTATGTTGGTAGCAACACATTTTTAAACATCTTATGATAAAGTAATAATAGCCAATTATTCCACACAAACTACACCTTACCTAACAATTCAACAGGTGAGTAACTTAAAAGCAGCAAGCCTCCAGTATCATGCTTATTTTTGTGAAAATTTTGAAAATGTATTTAAAGGTAAAATATTGTGTAGCAACCGATAAGAGCAATTCACACATTTAAAACAGCACTCAAAACCCAAGTAAATTACCAAAATGAAGTTAGTTAATCTGTTCGAAAAAAAGCCTTTACTGTGTTAGTAACGCAGTAGAAATATGGTTATAAATATTGAAAAATCAATCATTTATTGCAAAGAACATGTAAATTATTACTTAAATCTTGAACGTTTTTACATCATTTCCTCATATCTTAATAAATTTTTCTCAGAGATGATATTATTGAAATATTTTGGCTCTTCTGGGGGCATGTAGCTTTGAAAAATCTAACGAAAGTACTTGGTCTTGATCGTGTGTCTAAACAAAGTTTCATTTCAAAATACATTTATAAATATATATTATTAAAAGAAATGAAAGCATAAAATTTTTTTTTTTACTTGTACAGGTATACAATCAAAGAACAATCACAATTGTTCATACTGTCAAATGAATAGAATGGTCAGATTATACATATCAACATTCAAATGAACATTTCTTTTGTGGTTTAAATCAAACAATACTTAATAAGATAATTTCATTGCTCTTTCATGAACAATCCGTGTTAAGTAAAAAGCTACTAACAAAACTTGCTGAAAAAATCAAAATGAGCAGCAAATTACAGATATAAACAAATAAAAGACATAGGAAATTAATATACAACACTTGGTAAATAAAATGACCAAAACTTCAAATGAACAAAAACAACAACAAAAAAAAACAGCTCTTGGAATACAAAAATGTATATTTGTCAGTTATTTTTATTTGTTTGGCATCAGTAAGCAAAAATTCACTGCATTTAGTACTGCAAAACTTACATTGTATTGTGAACTTGCCTGATGACTTGTTCGATAATTTTTATATAATTCTGTTTTTTTAGGTAGAAGGCCTCCAATTGAAAATGTTAGTAATTTTCTTTCAGTTTGAGTTATCTACCATTGAAACTGACCCAGAAGAGCACCCCCCCCTCTCATTTTCAAGTCCAGATACCTCAAAATGTAGGGTGCTGACTACCAAATTTTATTCCATCAATTTGTTTCAAACATTTTCTTTCAATCATGACAATATTCTATGCTAGTTGAAATTTTCCTTCTTTACCTTTGTAAAATTATTACTAAAATTTCTGATGTAGGGCCTTCTACGTTAATGCTATATCATTTTTAGAGATACATCAGTACATTAAAATGGTATCATCATACAATTTCTCAATCTGCTTAAATATTAGCTACATATTGACCTGTCTAAACCTTCAGTATATAGGCCCACCTGCATAGTTGTAAAGTCTTATGGGACTTAGTACAACTCGGACTTACATGTATTTTTTTCCCCTAGCCCTCAGTGGGGTTTAAAGGGTTGCTCCTTTCAGAAAATTCTTTAAAAAAAGCAGTTTTTGAAAAATTAATTTTACATAAATTTTCCCCCTCTTTTTAAAAAAATTTATTTTTTTCCAAAATTTTAAAACATGTGAAAAAAAACCAAATAAAGGGTTTTCTTATCTCCCTTTTTTCTTAAAATAAACTTGCACTTAAAAGTTTTAAAAATTTTATAAAAATTTAGTTTAATTTAAAATGCCCCGTAATTTGAATTTTTTATAAAAAATAATTAAAAAAAATTCCTTTTTAATTACATTTTTAGAATTAACAGTAAATTTTAAAAACAAAGTTAAATGCTGTGTCTGGGCTTTATCAATTATGAAGTCTTAACTAAAGGGGGGATAACTTTTTAGACAAAGGTTTTAATTAGACGCTTTTTGTCTCTATATTGTTTGACAATAATTTTTTTTATAAACACGCATCACAGAAAGCAAGCACAACTTAATGACACAGAATTTCCCTATATTGAACATATAGAGAAGAAGTAACAAAGACCCGAATCATCTCACAATAATACTAACAAGGCACAAATCCCACATATAATCTCATCTCCAAAAGGACACTGACTTTCATGACAATAAATCCACTGTTTTAACAACTCTCCTCTGTATTATGCTAAGCATATTACCTTTTTTATGCAACAACAGAATTTATACAGCTTGAAACAAAGCAGGCATTTTCAAGAAATCCCCCAATTATTTCAGTCCAGTACAGATCTCAGCTTAATATCCTCAATAAGAAGTTTTGGAAGGGGTAATTCATCTGCTTTATGGATAATGTTACTGTCCAACGTGTGCCGAATGCACAACACCGCCGAATCAAATAACGATCTTGGTTCTTGTACAAATTGTCGTAACTGTTCCAAGATGTCCGGCCTGTCTTTCAAACAGTTTGGAAGTTCCGCAGAATAATCACTTAAATATCTGATTTTAGAAACATTATAGCCGGCTTGTACAAGTAGTAGTGCCATCTCTGGACATCCCTCGTGGATGGCAAGCTCGAAAGAGTCATATTCCATATCGTAGTGGTTAAATTTAAATACCCGTGCCTTTCTGTATAGGTCACAAGACCAGTTCAGCATCACTTTCAAAGAGTCTATATCCTTCTTTTTAATCACATGAAGTAAGGGTGATATGCCTCCAAAAACTGAAATATACATGCATGCATTAAAGATTATAAAGTAAACACTGCAATATTAGTCATTAATTGCACATAACATGTAAATTATTACTCAAAACTTGAAAATCTTTTTTACTTTTCTTATAATCTTATTAAACTTTTCTAAAGTTTCATTTTCTTGAAATATAGTGGTTCATCTTGAGGCATGCAGCTTTAAAATAGAAACATAATAACACTGCATAATTGAAACATTCATATCCATCGTACAATTATGATTTTTACAAAAATGTATATCACTTATATAAATTGTACATGGCTCCAGTAAATTCATTTAACAATATTTCATTTAAATCAAATAGTTTGTCTGGTTTTTATTGCAATTTCTACACAAATTTAGTCATCTTTGTGGTCTGTCCACCTAACCTGTTTTGCAAGATAACCAACCAGTAGTCACCATGTGTATATAAAAGACTTGTGTATTTTATTCAACTAGAACAACTTCTTTATCAATTCAGCACTACCTAGAATAGTGTTATATTTCAAGTTTTTTTTTCTTCTTTAGCATGGGTATATATTACTATATAAGGCTGCTTTCCTAAAGAAAAATTCTTTAAAATTATGCAGTTTTCCAAAAAATTGAATTTGCATCATGTTTTTTCTTCCTCTTTTGCAAATATAACTTGTAAGTTTTCCCCAAAATTAAGGGCAGGGTTTTCCGCAAAATTAAGGGCAGGGCTGCTTCCCCAACCTGTGAAAAAGCCCTGTGTTTATATAACAATCTATATCTGATATATAACTCACAATCTCCCTCAACTCTAGCTCCATGTACCAACAAGTAGTTCACCAGAGATGTACACTTGAAATTAATGGCCAATATCAGAGGACTGGAATTCTCATATCTGTAAAATAAAGGAGTGTTTTATAACAAACGAAACATGTTTAATATACGTCCTAAATTCTAAAGTAGCTCAGCTGTAAGGCCACATTTGGAAGACATAGATAATGACAGTAACACATTTTTTATTTGTCAGATTACAAAATTTTTAAAATGTGTGTAAAGAAATACTTGTAACTAATCTCGCTGAATCCAAAGCAAAATATACAACAAGAGGGCCATGATGGCCCTGAGGTCGCTCACCTGTATATAGCCCCCCCCCCAACGTTGCAGGGCCAATTTAACCCAAGGGCTTTTATTTGCACAAACTTGGTAGACACCCATAAGAAGATGTTTTTTGCTAAACATCTAAGCTCTAGCTAATTGGGCTTTTTAAAGAAGATTTTTTTTTTAAAGTTTTTTACTATACACATATAGTTAAAAACAATGACACCCCTGGGGCCGGGCCAGTTTTTGACCCCAGGGCTTTTATTTGAACAAAACTTTGTAGACACTTACTAGAAGATTTTCATGCTTAATATCTAAACTCTAGCTATTCGGGTTTTTTCAAAGAAGATTTTAAGTCTTTTGCTATACACATATAAAGAAAATCAATGACCCCCGGGACGGGGCCAATTTTGACCCCAGGTCTTTTATTTGAACAAACTTTGTAGACACTCTCTAAAAGATGTTTCATTGCTTAATATCTTAACTCTAGCTATTTGGGTTTTTCAAAAAAGATTTTTTAAGTTTTTGCTATACACATATAAGGAAAATCAATGACCCCTGGGGCGGTGCCAATTTTGACCCCAGGGCTTTTATTTGAACAAACTTGGTAGACACCTATTAGAACATGTTTGATGCTAAATATCTTAGCCATAGCTCTTTGAGTTCTTTAAAAGAAGATTTTTTAAGTTTTTACTATATGCATATAGGGAAAATCAATGACCCCCGGGGCGGGGCCCAATTTTGACCCCAGGGCTTTTATTTGAACAAACTTGGTAGACACTTATTAGATCATGTTTCATGCTAAATATCTTAGCTCTAACTCTTTTGTTCTTTAAAAGAAGATTTTTTAAATTTTTACTATATGCATATAGGGAAAATCAATGACCCCCCTGGGGCGGGCCAATTTTGACCCTAGGGCTTTTATTTGAACAAACTTGGTAGACACCTATTTAGAACATGTTTGATGCTCAATATCTTAGCCATAGCTCTTTGAGTTCTTTAAAAGAAAATTTTTTAACTTTTTACTATATGCATATAGGGAAAATCAATGACCCCCCGGGGCGGGGCCAATTTTGACCCCAGGGCTTTTATTTGAACAAACTTGGTAGACACCCATTAGAACATGTTTCATGCTAAATATCTTAGCTCTTACTCTTTTGGTTCTTTAAAAGCGGATTTTTTAAGTTTTTACTATATGCATATAGGGAAAATCAATGACCCCCTGGGGCCGGGGCCAATTTTGACCCCAGGGCTTTTATTTGAACAAACTTGGTAGACACCTATTAGAACATGTTTGATGCTCAATATCTTAGCCATAGCTCTTTGAGTTCTTTAAAAGAAGATTTTTTAACTTTTTACTATATGCATATAGGGAAAATCAATGACCCCCCGGGGCGGGGCCAATTTTGACCCCAGGGCTTTTATTTGAACAAACTTGGTAGAAACCCATTTAGAACATGTTTCATGCTAAATATCTTAGCTCTAGCTCTTTGGGTTCTTTAAAAGAAGATTTTTTTTAAGTTTTTTTACTATATGCATATAGGGAAAATCAATGATCCCCCGGGGCGGGGCCAATTTTGACCCCAGGGCTTTTATTTGAACAAACTTGGTAGACACTCACTAGAAGATGTTTCATGCCAAAAATATAAGCTCTAGCTCTTATGGTTTTTTAAAAGAAGATATTTAAAGTTTTTTCTTTCGGTTGCCATGGCAACCAGAGTTCTGCATGGAATTAAATTCTTTGAACAATTTTTAAAGGTGACCACCAAAGGAACATTCCTGTGAAGTTTGGATGAAATTGGCTTAGTGGTTTATGAGGAGATGTCATTTAAAGTAAAAGTTTACGGACGGACGGACGACGGACGGACGGACGCCGGACGAAAAGCGATCACAAAAGCTCACCCTGTCACTTTGTGACAGGTGAGCTAAAAATGAAAATAATATTATGAACCTTAACATATTCTGTGTATACATACAAGATACATTGTAAATTTATGCTACTTGTAAGCAAATTGTGAGCAAATTGTCAAGAATTCATTTTATTTTTAATCTTATTATCCCACTAGTGATTCATAAGGGTAGAGTGTCACTGTGCCCATCGGGTGGAGGAAATTTGAGTGCAGGAGGAAGGGAAATATGTTAAAGGTTATAAATGGTATAAAATATTTGACTACAGGTCCAGCACGGTGTTGAATGAGATATTTGATAAAGCACTTCAGCACAAACTTTTATAACTTCAAAATTAATATTGACAAAATCAAGTCATTCTAAGCGAGCAATTCATTCATAAAAGGGGCACAGGAATGAGGTCTTTATCTATAGCAAGAGACTTGTCTTACAAGGGGGGTGGGGGGGGGTTCAAATTCAAGATGGGGGGGTTTTAAATGCAAGATTTGTTTTCGATTTAATCCATGTTTTAAAAAACAAACATTGGTTTTTTAATTTTAAAAATCTATGCCCCAGATTATTTGTTTTCTTATTTGTTCAAAATGTTCAAATTTTGATTTCCTTATGTAAATTCGCTGAGTTTTATCCATTATTTTAATAAGTTCTTGATAAAATTCAGTCACATTACTACAATTGAGACTTTTAATAGTGTCTGTATTACAATAAATATTAAAAAATGTCACCAAAAATCTTTCAGTAGGCGTTTCGGAATTAATTTCCAGTTTTGCTTCTTGATTCATCAGTTAAAGCCTTTTACCCATTTAAGTTTTAAAGAAGTTATATATGAGTCTAAGTCTAGCATATCTATTCCTCCTTGTAATTTATTGCCTATTAAACAGTTGCACGTTTTACTTTTTCTTGTTTATTGTCCCATAAAAATTTGAATATCATTGTTATTGATTTCTTTCACGATACTTTTCTGGCACAACTAAAGAATTGAAACAAATAAGTAAATTTTTGGTATCAATAACGATTTTATAATTTGAACTTTTCCATACATCGTTAACTTACGTTTTAACCAGTTTTTTATTAGACTCTGACATCCAGTTAGTTTTGACTGCCAATTGAGTTTAGAACACTCTCGTATTGTATGCCAAAATAGACTCCTAGTGCTTTAATTGGTTTATTCGGCCATGTTATATTTCCTACTTTATCAGTTTCGTGATTTACTTCTTCCTATCCACATTGCTTCAGTTTTTTTTTGCTATTGAGTTGTAACCCGAGTATTTGCCAAAGCGCTCTACCAGATTTATTGCATTCAGAATGTCTTGTTCAGATTTCAGGAAAAAGAGTAGTGTCATCAGCAAGCTGTGCTATTTTAAATTTGTTTATCATTATTTCGATTTTTATCCCTTCTATACTGTTTGAGTTTCTTATTTCAATGGCCATAATTTCAGCAGCTAATATTAAATAAAAGAGCAGATTAATGGACATCCCTGTTTAATACCTCGATTTAAGTTAAATATCTCTGATTTATGTCCATTGTTAAAAAATACATGATTTAATATCATTATAAAATGTTTCGACCAGTTTATAAAAGTTCGATTTAAAACCAAATTGTTTAAGTACATTAATTAAAAAATTCCCTTCTAGAGTATCAAAGGCCTTACGAAAATCTAGAAACATTATCGAACCATCTATTTGAAGTTTTTTCTGAATAATCTATTATGTTTTGTATTAAACGTATGTTAAATCCGATAAATCTTTTTTTAATATAACCTTGTTGGTCTAAGCTTACTATTTTATGAATTACAGTTTGCAATCTATTGCAAGAGCACGAGTTGCAATTTTTACATCAACACATAATAAAGAGATTGGTCGATAGTTTTCTAATAATAATGGGTCCCCTTTTTATAAACTAAAGCATAGACAACTAATTTTTTGTGAATGAGATAATAGTTTTTTATCAAAACATTCATTTAGACACTCTGTGAGATGTGAACCTACACAATAGAAAAAATTCTTGATAGAATTCTGCAGGAATGCCATCAATTCCTGGTGATTTATTTGGCTTAAGTCCATTAACAGCAGTTTTTATTTCATTCAAATTTAAATAGCCTTCGCACTTACTCGCTTCATCATCGGATTAATTTGTTTTCATACTGAATAGTGTTAAGGTATGTTTTTATATGATCTGTTTGGAATTTTACTAGAAGTGTAAAAGTGTTCTGTAATAATTTACTGTTTCTTTTAAAATTTCGTTTTCATCTGAAAGTACATTCCATTTTTTTTAAGATGAGTTAATCGTTTTCCGCGTTTGTCTCGACTGTTTTCCAGATTCAAAAAAAATTTCGTGTTTTTTCTCCATTTTCAATAAAATTTTATTCGAGATCTTATTTGTGCGCCTTTCGCCTTTGTTTCATATAGTTCTTGGATTTCTTTTTCTAATTTTTTCAATTTGCTCGGATTCTAATATACTATTGTTTTGTAATATTTTAAGTTTAGTTTCAAAGTTCTATAATATATTCTTTTCTTTCTTTTGCTCGCCGTTTTGAATATGTAATCGAAGCATTTTTAATTTCTAATTTACATCATGAATTCCCAAAAGTCTGTTTTTGATACTGTGTTTCTGTAAGCAAGCTCCGCATTGTTTTATTGTATCTTCTATCAATAATTTATAATCACTCTCTTTAAGGTAGGAAATGTTCATCTTCCAGTAACCATTTCCGCGTTTTGATGGTTGTTGTAATTTTAAAATATTGCTTGATGATCTGTGTATTTAATACAAGCAGGTCTTATATTGGATTTTACTACTAACGGAACTGCATTTTCTTCAACTAACCAGAAGTCTATTCTACTTTTTTCTGTACCATTTTTCCTTCGCCAGGTAAACTGTGTTTTGTTATCATTAAAAAGTTTCCAAACATCTATCAGATTATTAGATTTAATAAAAATTTGCAAAACCTTTCCCGGGATTAATTTTTATATTGTTGTTTACATTAAATCTATCGGATGATTGTAATATGTTGTTCATGTCTCCGCGGACAATTATATATCCCTGAGCATTTTCATTTAATATTTTCGACAAATCGTGGAAAAAAATGTTTCTTTTTGATAATTCATTATGGGCATAAATGTTAAGAATAGTGTAAACATTGTTGTCTAGGGTTATATTTAGAAGTAAATAGCGCCCATACGTATCTTTAAGAGTGTCAATAATATCAAATGTATAGATTATTAATAAAGATAGAGCATCCTCTACTGTTACTTGAGCCAAATGAGTGAATATTTGCCATTCATTAAATTCTTTTTAATTAAGTTTTCAATGTCTACCGTTATATGCGTTTCTGATAATAGAAGAATCTGGCATTTTTGTGACAGAATATATTGTTTTAATCTTGCCCGTTTTTCAAACTGTCTAATTCCTTGACAATTAAGTGATAAGAATTGAATATAATTACTCATATGGAATTAGTTCTTACAGAAGAATATTATTGCTTGAAAAAAAATTGCAAGTGCATTTAATAACTGTAAAAAAGAACGTATCTGGAATGTAAAAATATCCTTTAACTACGAAAAACGAAAAGTAAAGAAGTATAAGAATTACATTTGACTAACGCAGATATTCTCGATACACCTTGATAAGCGCAACTTTGTACAAAGTAGGTTTTAAAGTGTAGAGATATTATGCCCTCAACAAAATTCTTTAATACAGCTCTATAATAATAGCATATCATTCGGACCAAAATCTGGTATACTAATCGAGATCCTAATGTATTAATGATACAAGTATAAATGTATTTCGTTTGATCTTTACATGGAAATGAATTTAGATTGTAATGATATTTAACGATAACAAAAATAAGACTATTCAAACAGAAAGTTATGGAAAAAAAAAACATGTGATCGACACGTTTAATTTCAACATAAACTTACTAAAAATACCATTGAATTGCAGAGAGAGTAAAATGTAATCTTTTCAACTCCGACTTTTTTTTTGTATAAATTTAAAAACAAATTTTTGACTGACATAATCAGTATTAACTTTAACTTGTAAAATAACACCTAATTAACATATATAATATCAACAAATATATATAAATCATATCTGACTAAAATATTTAATATCGACAACAGTTCATGAAAACAGCGCCTGACTGACGTTTTATAAAAATAGACCCTGACTGGCCTATGCAATTTCGACACCATTTTATGAAAAGAACACCTGACTAACATGTGTATCAGTTTATGAAAATTGCTTCTGATTAACATATATGATCTTAGCTCAATTATATGAAAATAACCTCTGATTAACATATGTAATACCGACGCCAGTTTATGAAAATAACCCCAGATTAAAAAATATGATCTCAACACCAGTTTATGAAAATAACCTCTGATTACCATATGTGATCTCAACGACAGTTTATGGAGATAACACTTGACTGTCCTATTTAATCTCAATGCCAGTATATGGAAATAACTCAACGTCAGTTTATGGAAATTACCCCGTCTAACGTATGAAATATCAACAATAGTTTATTACATTTACAACTACAGTTATACAGATTACATCTGTTATACATGTGTATCCTAAATAAACGTGTGTACAATATAAGATTGACTAATGTATACAGTACAAATTTATAAATCATGCATTTTACTGATATATGTAATCTCAATACTATTTTATAAACAATACTCTCGTAAAAATATCTATGAAGATATAACAATGTTATGTCGTAAACAAGATTGAGAATTTTATAACTAAATAAATGTAAACGAAAATTCTCTATGATCATAACAAAATTAAGAAATTTAAGAGTATATTTTTAATTGACATTAAAGAATGGTAATCAAAAAGCGAGAATCGCATATATTTGTTCAGTATTTCAAACATAGCTGCTAGGTCACCATAGTACATTAGTTCTTTTTCCATGACCAGGCTATGTTTACATTGTAAAGAAATCGTTTTTATGCGCATGAGTGTTATCATGAATTTCACGATTGATTGTGAGAAAATAAAAATACTGATGACTGTTAAAAACCATAAGTTTTCTTCAAGAATATGATATAATTGTATTTTTTTTAACATATTCATAATTTCTAATTCTAAAAATATTTGCAGTAAACCTTTTCATTAACTTAATTTTCACTAATATATAGTCTTTACGTATTTTCAAACTCATAGTTCTTAATACTCTAAGATTTGTTTTTCTTCTACCATACTAAACAGTCGAAACATGTGTCTGATATGCAAGAATATCCCATAACTTACCTAGTTCCATCAAGACTTGATCCAGCAATAACTAACATATGCATTATTGTCATCACATCTGGGTCAATCTCACGTTTCCCCGGGTGGGTTCGGATATGTTCCCAGATAATATTACTTAAAGGTGTTCGCCCACTGTTGTCAACAGTGTTTGGATCCGCCCCACAGTTCAGCAGAAACTGAACTGTAGGAACATTTGCTGATATTGCTGCTCTCTGAAATTATCAAAATAAATTTATTTCCTTCTTTAGTAAGCATTCATGTTTTGTTAATTTTTTCTAATTTCTAATTATGATTACCCCAACTTAAAAGGCATGGTAGGCAGTCCAAAAAAGATAAAAAGGGTAAAAATATATCACAGTTAGCCTACCTGAAGGGATGTTTTCTTGGACTTGAAATCTTTTTCATCAATCTGAGCGCCAGCATCCACGAGCAGTTCAACAATCTCGTCCATGTGTTGAGACTCTTTCATAGAGCATATCTTCATGATTGGTGTGATACCAAATATGTTAAAAATGCTCACGTCTGGTTTATACTTTAACAATAACTTTACACCTTCAACACTGTCATTTCCTGCAATTTATCATACAAGGCACTATAAATGTACAGAAAGTAACAATTTATTTATGTGACATATACCAGGATTTATATGTATATACAATTGATATATTAATTATGAATATTTAACAATGGTAAGTAAATGTACCAGGCCAAGTTGACCACAAGTCACTAGGGCTGGGTATTGATCAGAAATTTCCGATACGATACGTATTGCGATACAGACCAACGATACACAATACGTATTGACGATACAGTACAATGATGCTTCATTGTTAGGATGTACTTATTAAAAGTACTATTTACATTTCATAGATGCCCTGGTGAAATATTATTGAATATTTCTTATATCTGTTTTAGATTTTGACTTTGTTAATGATGATATATAATACAGAGCAGGTGCATAGGTACCTTAATTAGTACATTTGAGATAATATTTTGAAAATGACATGATGGCCCCTTTTTTTAGATAAAACAATTATTTTGAAAAAAAAATAAAAAGCTTTGTAGAGAAATAATTCAATGCAAAAATATAATTATGTAAATACTAGGAAAAGTTAACGCAGAAAATAATTAAAACATCACTATTTATTATGACAGGAGTCACTACAGAATGGAAGCTTAAAAACAATTTCAAATTCAAACGGCTGTGGTTGCGAAAACAATTTCAAAGCTGTGGTTGCGAAAACAATTTCAAATTCAATCAAGTGTGTTTGGGACACACATTTCAGACATAAAATTATACACTGGGGCTGTTGTTCAATATCATGACATGATATATCGTGAATATTTAACACTTAATTCAATATGGACTATAAAGAATATTGATACATCTAAATTTTAAAGATCATTCATCTAAGTCTTGTGCAAATATCTCTCTCTTTTATCTGAAAAGAAGGGTCTCATCCCTCATTGTTTCTTGGCTAGCTTTAAATTGAGACCTAATTTTCAGAGGTCACTGAGTCTTCATGACAAGACTATATACTCTCTTTTAGTCATGGTATATAACATTGCATTTGTGACAACTAAAACAAACATTTGTAGCACCATGATGATAGGTTACAACACATATTGAAATGGTTTCTATTTGCTTAAGTTATCTTATTTGATATATTATCAATATTTGGCCCTATATATATATATCAATACAACGTTTTCCATCAATGGCTGTTATATATCACTTACTCCGTGATCTGAACTTGATATTCTAAAAATCTGTGAAAAAATTCTAAAAAAATTTTATGACAAATCATTTGGGTACTGACTCGACCAATTTGACATTTACATATTACATCAACATAACATTTTTTTGATATCATATTTTTAATACAACATAATCATTTTGTACACAAGAAAAAATATATTTGTCTGGTCATATGGTCTAGTGAAATAGAAGTGCACACAGTATGCACAAAAATATTGACAATAATTAACAAAACATTTTACCTATGGCATAATGGAGTGGGGTATTTCCACTTGAGTCTTGTTGGTCTATCACACTCTTGTTACTGTTAATAAGCAGTTCAGCTATATCAAAGTACTCAATGAGCATACATAACATCAGCGGGGTCTGTCCCCATGATCCCATGATATCTGCCTGGGCACCATAATCTAACAGAACCTGTAATATAATACAGTACATTCATTAACATAGTACAACAGTTACACATTCAATGCTTTTTAATTAATTGCACATTTTAGGCTCCACATGCTGGAATTGTAGGTGAACAATAATATTTGCAAACATTAAAGAACCTGCACAGAAAGTGGTAGCTCATATATTGTAAATACTGGTCATAATTTAAAGCCACAAATTAACCTGGTTAACAATCAGAATTGTCAACACCAAAAAAAGAAAATATTAATAACATGATTTTGTTATCACTCATGCACATACATTTAAAGTAATCTATCTGGATAAGTTTAATATATTTTATGAATTTTTTATTTTTTTGAAGGGGGGGAGGTACGGGTTATTGTCAAACCATCACAGTATAGATAATATGATTACTTTCCAGCTTTACTGGTAATAAAGATCACAGGTGCCCTTCTGTATTTTATTTCAGGCACAAATGGGCACCTGAGTAGAATCATTGTCATTCAAATCTACATGTATTGTCATTTTTGATCCCAGATGACCATTATTCCAATTTGACCATGAAATCATCTAAACAACATTTCTTAATATTCTCCAGCATATTTAGACTGAAGAGTGTTAACAAAGATTTTATATTTTTGACTCCACCGCCTTAAATTTAATCCAAGATGACTCATGTTCAAACTAGTTTGAGCAATCAATTGGACAAACATCCTGACAAAGTTTGATGACAAATGGGGCAAAAATATGATCATTAGAGTGTTAACACGAACGATGGACATTAAATGATCTTAGAAGCTCACCCTAAGCCAGCTCAGGTAAGCTCATAATCACTATTTGTAGTGAAACACATCATTTCGTCATGGATAAGTCAATCCATGAACTTAAGATCCAATAAAAGTAAATTATTTTGCATTCTGCGAAAGTATTTTTTATACATAATTTGCATTTCACTTTCTTTTTCAAAAGCAGACAAGCCACGTACATAAAAATCCCACAAAAATGTCCTTTTTGACAAATCCACAGAATTTGATGCTCATGAAATAAAATGAATTCCAGGAACATACGAAAACACGTACCACACCATGCAGGTTCCCTGTAAGTGTTAATGATGAAAATGACTTCAATGTATGTCAGTCTGTTTATACAGTACATGCATTAGTTTCAACCAATTTGACAGTCTTCGATTTCCATATCCTCTATTCCATGCATACAAAACCTGCTAAAATATTTTAAATCATTAGAAACACTGAAAGAATAAAATCTTAATCAATCATATCATAAGCATCCTCTAATCCCTTAAAATTTTTAGCCTTAATTTTTTAATCCAGAAGACTGAACAGATATAATTTAATTAAATGGCACATCAATTGGATGTTACAGAAAGATAATTATGGTGCTTATTTGTTCTTTTTACAGACACATTCATTTTTATAACAATGTCATTGACATTCATTGACAAGTGTCATCTCCTACATTTCTGTCTCATACAGAATATATGATTTTAGAAGCTTTTTTAAAAAAAGTGAGAGTTTCGCTTTCCCTTGATGATTTTTCCCCTCCGTATTTTATGGCAAAATGAAAACAATTAATGATCACAGAAAGATATCTTATATTTTATACCCTTCTACATCAGGCATGAATTGTTTTTGAAACTATTCCTTACTTTTGTACTGTTTTAAAACATGAAGCTTAAAACATCTGTTAGTATGCAATAAGAATGCTGTTACAACTAATCTAACACAATTAGTTTTACAAAAGACAGTGATTTTTCAACTTACATAAAGAGAGACTGACATAGTACATTATTAAAGGCTTCTTCACAATCAAAATTTTCCTTAGAATCTTACAATTTTCTCAAAAATCTGAACTTAAACCAGCTTTTTTACTTCCCAAACAAGCAAAATTAGTGAAATTTTTCCCAAAATCAAAAGGCTACGGCCACTTTCCAATTAAGTGAGAAAAAACACTGGAAGAATATAAATATTTCATACACACATAAAAAAGCACAGATCTGTGTTTGAACATAGTAAAATACTAGAAATTTAAGACATATCATATAAAACTAAATGTACCTTGACACATCTAATTCTGCCTTTCTCACAGCAAACATGTAAGAAAGATTTTGCAGATATTCTGGCCGAGTCCTCGATCCACATGTTCGGGTCACCACCTTGCCGTAGAAAGCATTCCAGTCGAGCAGGCCGGTCCTCACAGATTGCATGATAAACAAGTTCTTCCATATTGGTTATTATACAAAATATACTGTGTGTACAGAACTACTGTTCTTTCAATTATTGTCTTTATGTTTATAACAACTTTAAGATAAATGCTTTTTTATGTGTGTTCACTGTAAAACAAATATATGTTATTCTATTAAATGCATTCTTCTGTAAACAAACAGCAATACAAAGTTAGTAAGAAGTCTCCAATAAAAAATCATACCAATGAAATCTTTCATAATGAGATAATGAATATAAATTATAATTATTAAACTTTCAATCAACAAAAAAAGTAATACATGTAATACATATTACAAAAATCAAACTTTACTAAAATTTCTCTGTTAAAAAATACCTTTTTGGAATCAATAGAATACCATTCGAATCAATAGAATACCATTCAAATCATCCTAACAAACTTTTAAGGGAACTTATTGGAATAATTCAAACTTTTTTTCAATTTTCAAAATGACCTGTGGCTTTCTGAAGGGGAAAATAAAGCGCGATAAATCAGAAAAGGGGGAAGTTTAATTATGGAATTTACCCACACTTTCTATAAAATTTTCAATTTCAATTCAATTCTACATGCATGGTACATAGCAGAGGCTATATATAGGGACAGCTTTTTGTGTTCTTAAGCTGCTGTTAAGTCTTGGTTCTGGTGAAGAATGTGCATACGGCATTTTGGGGGGAAAATATTAGCACTTTTAGGGGAAAATATACCTATTTTGGGCTATGGGAAACAGCCTTTATTCGGCTGTAAAATACAGGAAAAAAAATCACTGTAATGCCACTAGCATAGAGTCAGGCAATCTGTACAGTCTGACCAAGCTCTATACTGTTAGTAGACTACTAACTTCAAAATTTCACCTTGATATATGTGTAGATTGTTCCAAAAATAAAAACCCTTAACTGGACACGTCCATTTATGAATAATAACATGTAAAAGGTAAATACCTTTGCACATTTGTATCTTCCCTTCTCACAGCAAGTGTGTAAGAGATATTTTCCACTGCAGGCTGAGACATCTTCTAACCAAACATCAGGATTTCCACCATTACGTAAAAGCATTTTCAGTAAGATAGCATCATCTTTAATCACTGCATGGTATAATTTTGTATCCATTTCTCTGTAAACTGAAGAAATTTGATAATGCATGTATATCAAGCTCCTAAACAATGTAAATTTGTATGTCTTTATAAAATTTAAGTAATGCAATGTTACATGCCAGATATAGAGGCATAGTAGTAATCTACAAAAAGATAACACGTGTTTTCCCATACCTTAGTATACATTAAGCAAGTGAATCCCGGGGCAGGCCAATTTTGACCTTCGGGTTATGATTAATAAAATTATAACTTTTGTAGAATCTACATGCCAAATTATGAAATATCTAAGCTCTTGGCTTTGTAGTTTCACACAATAAGGCCTTTCAAATGTGTTTTCCTATAAAACTTTTATAAAAATAAAAATGTGAAATGTGAATACTGGAAATGGAATAAAAAACATTGTAATTTTGATGGTAGGTGTGCTGATTTTTTCAGGCGAACATTTTTATCTTGTGTATTATTACAGACATTGAAATATAACAAAAATTTAAAATGCTTTATATCAAATTTTTATGATATAATTATATGATCTGTACATGTGGTGAGATTGACAAATAAACATTTTATTTGGATTTTAAAGGCGTTTTGATCTCCACACGGTCACCCCAAGTGTCAGTGGATTTTTATTGTTTGTATCAGTTCTGAGAAGATAATTCATAGTTGTAATACATACAATTTTAACTCTTTCTTTGTATTTTTTGCATTTAATTTAGTTAGAAACTGATAGCTTTTTCATGTAGAGTAGGTCACTAGATGTATCGTATAAGTACCTAATCTCACACCCAACCTATTCTCAAACCTTTCATTCATGTGCTGTTATTTTTTTACTAGAAGTGACTATGATGTCCTGAACTTGTGTGCATTAAAGCTTTGTTTCTGACAGACATGTCTGCTGATGTCAAATGAAAACAGTGCATAAGAGCAAATATTTACATAACATATTTTATTACTTAGCATAATTTCATACAAATCGCTATTACCTTTGTAAGTCCCATATAACACCATTAACTATTTGTGAAAATGAATATTATAGACAAAAATATCTTAAAGCAGGTAACTACATTGTGTAGGGTACTTCATTGTCATGTGATAGTCATATAACAATCACTTCGTTGACTAAACTAAACAGTAGAATTTTAGAGATACTTGAAGGGGTTTGAGATTAGGTTCTTTATTTTAAGAGGCCATGTAAGTTTTAAAACAGAGGGTTGTGCTTTTTCAAGATGGAAATAGAGCTTTTTTAATAGTTGAATTTCAGTCAAATTTTACAGAAATGTTACATAAAGATTAAAGTGTACATATGTAAAGAATTTTTATAAAGATATATTTTTATTCACATTATAAGACCACTTGAATGCTTAGAGGTTTGAGAACTGGTTAGTCCACGATAGATCTAGGGATTTTTATTTTTTTTGGCTTATTTTATAGCCGATATTCGGTTATATTCCCCAATTGAAAATAGTATATTATTTTCCTAATTCATAGGGAGAAATTCCCAATTGCAAGTTACAAAATAAAAATATTAAAAAACGAATTCTAAAATCTTTGAAAATAAGGGCTCGATTAATGAGGATTATCCCCAAAAATTCCACAGACGCTTGGGGGTCAGATCCTGCCCTGCCCCCCCCACTTGATACGCCCCTGTAAACACTCTACCAAAACTATTTTAATATTTAAACACGAATTGTACATCTGTTACAACGATAAAAATGGTTTTCAAACAATTTTAACGTATATGAAAAAAATACCGTATACCATCAAGTCTCAATAAAGTAAAGATTGCAGACTCCAAAATGTAAACACGATCACCCTTGTATAATAAAACCTTTATAAATCATTATTAAATGAACCTTACCGTGACTTTTCCGGTGTAAATCAATAGAAAATAGAATTATCTCCTAGATGCAATCAGAATAAACATTTATACATCTCATTGTAATATGAAAATCAACATTTAATTAAAACCGAAAGTAAATTTTGCGTTCTGTCCAACCAATACGAGACCTGAGCCCGGCTCTGCGTGGAGCGCTTGTCAAGCCGGTATCCAAACGGTGTACATACTTTCGACTAGATATCTACTCGAGCATTATATCCTCATGTCCAAATTCAAATATTTAAATTGTGCATTATATAGAATTAAAATAAAACTTGGGAAACAACACACTGTGCATCTTGGTAATAGTTTTATTACAAATAAATGTCTTTTAAACGAGCGTTTGCAGACAGCTAATACGCGGGACATGAGGATATAATGCTCGAGTAGATATCTAGTCGAAAGCATGTACACCGTTTGGATACCGGCTTGACAAGCGCTCCACGCAGAGCCGGGCTCAGGTCTCGTATTGGTTGGACAGAACGCAAAATTTACTTTCGGTTTTAATTAAATGTTGATTTTCATATTACAATGAGATGTATAAATGTTTATTCTGATTGCATCTAGGAGATAATTCTATTTTCTATTGATTTACACCGGAAAAGTCACGGTAAGGTTCATTTAATAATGATTTATAAAGGTTTTATTATACAAGGGTGATCGTGTTTACATTTTGGAGTCTGCAATCTTTACTTTATTGAGACTTGATGGTATACGGTATTTTTTTCATATACGTTAAAATTGTTTGAAAACATTTTTATCGTTGTAACAGATGTACAATTCGTGTTTAAATATTAAAAATAGTTTTGATAGAGTGTTTACAGGGGCGTATCACGTGGGGGGGGGGGGGGGGCAGGATCTGACCTCCAAGCGTCTGTGAAAAATTCTAGAGTGGGTGGACCAATGCTGCGGCGTAAAATTACAATATTTTAGATTAAAAAATATAATTGGCGTCAACTTACCTTAATGTTATATGTTCATTTTCAAGACCGATGATATTGTTTCCAATAACCATTGTTTACATTTCGCTGATCACATAATGACGTATTTGGCGGGAGCTAAATATAGCCCGGATAAACAGGTGCGGTTTAAGTGAAATTGTACCAAAGCTCGGCGTACTGTACAAAGTGGTCCAGGTTTGATTTTCGAAATATATATTTTCCAACGTGATGAAGATAACAAATTTAATAAATTGTAACAAGCAATTAAGTCAATAAATTTATTTTTACTTTAGTTTTTGCGCATTTTACAACCCCTGTATGCATGTCTCATAAACTTTCAAATATTGTTTTCTTTTCAACCTTTTTTCGAAACATAACACGGACATTACACATATAACTAAGTTTGAACATATAATATCAATGTAACCAACAGTTCATTAAGATATAAAATGTATTTTTCCTTTCCAAATAAAACAATCAGTATCAAAGTCTTATCAGAATCATGTCAGACTGTGTAAATCTTTTATCATATCTATTCCTCTATTTTTCGACAGGTATTACATAGCCACAAAGTTTCACAACAAGACTAATATCTACGTCTGTCTGTTCAGAGGGGAAGGAAGGCATTCATAGTGATACCAGGTATCACACCTATCACATCCAACCCAGTACAACTGTCTGCTGGTTCATACAAATTTTCACAGACACCATCGTCGGACATAGGATCAGCCACCACTGCTTGTACCAGAGACACACTCGGGCAAGGGAGATAAAGGGGTGGATTTTAACTGGCTTTCAGCAGATTTAACTTTCTTTAAAATGACCTTCAGACTTTTTTGTATGTTTTAGATTCAACAACCTTGCCTTATCATATGTGGTTCTGCGTTTTTTGGAAGGCTCTAGTGCTGGTGGTTCTAGAAAAACTTTAGCAAGACTTTCGGGGCACCATCCGATTTTAAACAAGCATATTTGGAACATGGCCTGAAAACTGGTGCATCTTTTGACACATCAGTAGTGCTAGATGTGGACTGAAACATTTTTTATTTTCTTTACGGACCTGCCAAAGCCCTTAACAGAAGACTTGTTATATGGGGGTATTATTTCCTGTGGCAGAAAAAGAAGCAGCAACAGTTGCAGGGCGTAATCCTGTTCATAGCCTGGTTGGTGCAAAACCTTTGGAAACAAATGCCGAGGCAGAGATCTAGTGACAGCATAACCCTAAAGGCCTGACAAAATTTTCACTTACCTTTGCTTTCAAACATGAAAATACCCCACATCTAAAAGGTTGCAGTAAGTGGGATGAATGGGAAGGGAAATACAGGAGATCAATACCATTCTCCATAGCTAGGTTTTACTACCCTACCTGACACATGGGATAAGTGGTTGTCCATGATTAGCAAACAAGGTCGTCTTTTCCACAGAACTGGAGAAATATTTGCTCAAACCACAGGCAAAAGAGATCTGTGTTAATGAAACCAGAATCTGTGGTCTCAAACAACCAGTTATCAGGTAACCCATCAGAGAAGGAGGCCCTGGGCAGATTTTTAGAAAAAATGATTAATGGTGGCAGTGTCTGGCCAGAAGCTGATACTGCAAAATTTACAGTGACATTTGACCAGACAAGGACAGCTGTACTTTAAAAGCTTGTCTTACACCTTTCTTGGCTACAACAGACTTATCAGAACTTGAAAAAACTACCACTAAACCCGTTTCATCACAATTGAAAATACGCGTGGGATCATCATAGAGAGACAAACGTTTCAGGGTATTATCTAACAATTCAAGTACTGGTTTACTGTTTCATTGGATAGAAGCCTCTAGGCTCTATTCAAGGGCTGTGAGCAAATTTCTAATCGAAAGTTCTGGGTGTCGCTTTTGAAAAGAATTTCCTCAATCCATTTTGTTTGAAGGTCCTTTTCTGGCGGTGTTATAACAGTATTTTCGAAACCTGAGGCCATAAATTTACTTCTCTTGTGAGGTTTTTTCGAAAACCATTTTCTTTGACAGAGGAAAATCCTCTTTTCAGACATGTTTAAACATATATTAGGAAACAAAGTTTTGCTTCCTCCTCTGATGGGTTATTATTGGTTACGTCCCCAAAAGAAGTATCTAACCCTCTGGTAAACGCCCTCTGGGGTATGGTTTCCTTCAGTGTGGATTGAGGGGGAATTCCATTACAAGTGGGATGCCTTGTACACAGATATCCCCCTTTACTTGTGCGGCCACAGCTTTTGCCATCTGACCACTATCATGTATTTTTCTGGGTTGTCGTGGCATTTCTGAATCAAACAAATGAACAAGTTGCAATAGGATTTAAATCATGATTTATAATTCTGAATTTGGACACCACGATAATAAAGCAGGATAAAAAGGTGCCCGGTTTAGAATATTTTTAGTTTTTTTTATGTGAATTTTTGTAAAATAGTTTTATTCGCTTGGGTTTATCTTTTTAAGAAATAAATTTGTTTTAAAACAAAATAAAAGTCACAAATTCACATTTCTAATGGACCTATCTAACTGCTGAAGTACAAAAGGAACAGGGTATACTATGTTAATAATGCACTGGTAGATGGAGGGGGTCCCGTATAAAATTCCCATGCTGTTTGTTTAAAAATTTCAACTGTTTTGAAATTTTTAAAGAAAACAATGAAAATTACATTAAAAATTTGATTTTCTCTTCCTTAAATTAATTAAAAAAAACCTTAAAAAATTTTTTACCTTGTTTAAATGGCAGATATTGTAATGTAAAACAAGGGACCAACTCCGAGATCGGGTACGGAATTTATTTCAAGCCGTCTCTGCTATAAAAACCGCGGGTCAACGTGACTTCGGCGGAAGTGAAACCCGCCCAGGATAAAAATCGCGAAATTAATGGTAAAAAAAGAACCGGTTGACCCTAAATTGGGTATTCTGTTAAATATTTTTAGATATTCGCACAGAAGTACTATTTTACGCCGAGCATTGGTATACGCCGAGCATTGGTCCACCCACTCTACAAAGATGCATTTTGAGACCACCCCCACATGGACATGTTAAGTTGTTACTGACAAAAACATGGATTATTTTCAATTTTATTCAATTACTTCATATGTTTTATACGCAAATGTTTGTTAGAAATGATAAGATAATGATTCATGCACCAAAAAATGTCAAAATTCATGTAGAGGTCTACAACTGTAGCCATTTCATCTAGATCCAACAAATAATTTATTTGTAACGTTAAAACATTGATAAAAACAATAGTAGATGAAGCAATAAATTCGATGTTTTTATCTAAAGTTACTTGTAATGTATGGATACTCACTTTCTTATCAAACTTGTTATCTAAATTGCGCATATTTTGGTCCAGAAGCTGGACGATGGAGCGCCGTCTGTAGGACTGTCAATGGCTTCGCTATATTCCAGTACACGTTTTCACCGCACGTTATGCCGTGTTTACAGTGCAGGTAACTTATATACGTGTATATATTTGTATGATGTTGTGCTTTTGTATTGTGTAATGCTTTTTTGTAAATATTACTATTATACTAAACAAAATAATAGTAATAGGTTTAAATTTTCAATATCTTGTCTTTAATTGCATGAAAATGTGTGATAAACCACGATAATTGGCGTGCCCATTATAACCGGTAGTTCGACGAAACCACTCTCACCCGAGAGAAGAAGCAAGTGTCGACTTATTTTGATAATAACGAGAAGGTATATTGATTAGATAATACACATAAACAGAGAGGTTTACCGTGTATAATTGTATTAATGAATGAAATAAGTTCACAATTTATTAATGATTTTTTCCCTTTGAAATTGTTTTAGGAATTTCAGCCTTTTTATACAATGCTTTCAACAATTTCAATTATTATCATCAAACAAGTCAAGTATATAATTCCGACAAAAATGGGTTTTTTTTTTCTTCTCATTTGTCTTGTTAATCTTCTCATTTGTCTTGTTAAATATCATTTATACATTTATCACACACCCGTGCCGATTTTGCGACTCCGTATTGCACGGCCGTGCATATATTTTGACGTGACGTCATTAGCGTTATACAAACATAGTGTAAAGACGCGCTAAATGTTAGCGTTATACTATAGGCGCGTCAATGAAAAATGACTCTTATTTCACTTTAAACTGTCTTTATTTTGGGTATGTGATAAATAGAATATTAAATTCGTGTAAGTTCATCACTGAATTTATTACACTCGTTGAATAAAATAATATTATGCTCGCCAGAGGCTCGCATAATATAATTTTATCCAACTCGTGCAATAAATTCAGTATTAAACTTACACTCATTCAATATCCTCTATATACTGTATACTAGAGAGCATTGAATGAATGAATTAACGAGTTGAATCAATGTAGAGGTAGAGGCTCGCATAATATTATTTTATTCAACGAGTTCAATATTTTTTAGTAATGAACCTACAAGAATTTTAATATTCTGTTTGTCACTTTTATTGTATAGGTCTTTTTATAACGCAGACGACATCACGTCACAATATACATGTATGCACGGCCGTGCAATACCAGTGGCGAAAGCGGCACGGGTATGTGATAAAAATTTGTACATGCGTTCCTAATAATGCACCTTTATTCACTTTTCAAATATAAATTTTGTGTATGGTAAATACCCGGGACATCATATAAAGAATATATTATTATATCACCTTGGACATCATTTAAGGTGTGAATTATGTCCCGGGTAATACTGAACACCGGCTAAGATTATGTTAGAATCAAGCTTTTTAGAGATATAGTTTTAATTTTGGACGTAAACATATTTTGACTTTATTAAACCACTCCATTTTGATGGTTTTTAAAATGTTGCATTATTGTACTCTAATCAAGATTATCTTAACACACTGTTTCGTGAAATGTCTTGCCTTATAGTATCTTACAATTTATGGTCTAATTGATGTTCGAAGAATAGGTTTTCTAGGTGAGATTGGCATGCAAATGACGTCCCTGGTGTGGCCACAGATACGGACCGACATGGACGCTGATGTAGTTGATTCCGGCGCAGCGCATAAACAAAACTAAAAACAACAATTGATGTTCTGAAAAGCGGGTGTTCCGCGTAATCATTGATTTCAACTTTTTTCAAGAAAATTGTAAAAATTAAGCACCCTTATAAAGTTTAAAACTAGAGTTTTTAATAAGGTCTTGTTCAACATGTCCCAGTTTGCATAATTACATTGTAAAAACACGAGACACGGATCTATATAAAGATGTGATTTTAATTGACAGGCTATTCTTCCATATTTAGTAAAAAAAAGTTCGGCAATATATATTTTTTGGTAGCAATGAATTTGCGGGTAGGTATAGCCGGTGGGGGGGGGGGTAGACAGACGTTTCACTATTTAGACGTTTCACGAAATGGCGCGCCGGGATGACGTCATTTATTGCACGCGACTTGTCTTACAACGGCGTTGTAAGACGGTGTTATCTAGCACTAGTTAAAATCTTGTCTAATTATCAAGAAACTGCAAACTGAATTGATATTGATCCCTAACATAATCTATGATATTAAAGGATCGTATCATATCTACGTTCTTTAACTCGTTTTCTTTTCAAATTTATTCCCGCTACTCAACTGAACGTGTAGGACGGACTTTAGCAAATTTTTCAGCGGAGTAGCTGGTCCCCGCCTTAATCGTAAACCATGATATGATAGGGAACCAAATTATAGCGGAACCGGAAGTAAACATGTGTACACATCCTGGATTTTTGTTCAAAGTTTTGAAAGTTTTAATGAGATAATATGTCTGATATCAATTTGAGAAAGCTGAAAGTCTTGGTAGAAAATATTTTTTATGTCTGAAAATAAATTGTTCATGGAATAACACGCGATGACAAGTCTTTGGAATGAAGTTTGCAGATGTTTTGTAAGTAGATTTAAATTATAATAAAGAGGGTGGGGCATTTTTTAGAACAACTGAACTTGTCAAAATTGAACTTGTTATTGACACTGATATCAATTACATTTGTAGTTTTAGTATGTGACTTTTTTTTTAAATTTCCATTCCGTTGAAGAAAGAATCTGGTTCTGGTGACGTGTATATCACAGGAACTTGAAATTCTATCACTATTAACGATAATATGCAAAATATACCCCCTATATACTATAAAAAAACACAAGGAAAGAAACGCCTTTTCCCCACCCCAACATAATTTACGCCGAACAAATCAACAAAACAACGGATCAAAATAATCTATCTGGCCATTTCGATAAACAATACATAAATGCATCAAATACCACCGATAACTATTTTAATTTCGTAGCTATGTAGGAATAATTCAACATTTTCTGATTATTTCCCACGATCTGAGTTTGTCGCAGACTCCATTTCGTGACGTCACTGGATGTTGATTCGAGGAGAATTATATTTATTAAAATTATTTTTAACAAGTTCCAAAAATAACAAGTTTGCAAGTAAAATACTGTCAAACTAGAACAAATGACTGATTTATTTCTTACGGCTGGGCTGAATTTATTTGCTAGGCCATATCAAATAGAGTGCTCAAATTTTTTTTAAAACGAAAGTACTATTTCCAAGATTTACCGTTCTTAATTGTTTGGGGTTTCCCTTTCAAATGTATTTATAAAAGTAATTTGTTAAAAAGGTTTTACATGAAGATGTTTAAATCTATTTACATAGAATAATTTGTATAAAAGTTTTATACATACCTGTTATTTTTTGGAACTTATTAAAAATAATTTTAATAAATATTATTCTCCTCGATTCAAAATCCAGTGACGTCACGAAATGGAGTCGGCGACAAACTCAGATCGCGGGAAATAATCAGAAAATGTTGAATTATTCCTACACAGCTTTGCGATTTTAACAAGTTATCGGTGGTATTTGATGCATTTATGTATTGTTTATCGAAATGGCCAGATAGATTATTTTGATCCGTTGTTTTGTTGATTTGTTCGGCGTAAATTATGTTGGGGTGGGGAAAAGGCGTTTCATTCCTTGTGTTTTTTTATAGTATATAGGGGGTATATTTTGCATATTATCGTTAATAGTGATAGAATTTCAAGTTCCTGTGGTGTATATTTAACATTTTTTTTATCTATTAAATGAGGCATTAAAATTTTGGATTAGATATCATTATGAAAACTAACCAGAATAAGAATTATGGTGATTTCGTTGAACTACCGGTTCGGGGAACTTAATTTATGAAGAGGTGCGAAAGTGGTTTCGTCCATCTTACATTGTATGTTATATAGTAATTAAAGGCAAATTAGACATGGTTCATATCAGAGACATAGATAACATACATGTATATTAATGTGTATATATTTGTGTAAATTTTAAATCATTATTCTTTTTTTTCCAGGTTTTACTTTATATATACGTATATATATCTTTATGATGTTTGTTTACTGAGATCTTTTGTATTATATGTTATGCTTTACATAAATATAGCTATTTTACTAAATATTTTAATGAAGTGGACCAAATCAAATTGTGTTTGGTTCAGTTTGACAAAATTTACCGTTGAATATGTGAAGACAAATAATTGATGACTTAAAAATATAACAAGTCAGATGGTAATGACTATGTTCTTGACTTCAATAATTGAAGTCAAGAACATAGTCATTACCTAGTCCAACTAATTGTACTGCGCGACGAGATATTGTGCTATTTTCGTGTCTGGGCAATATCAGCGAGATTCTGCCCCAGAACGAAAATATCTCAGAATCAAGCTTTGGCACGTCAATATATTTTGACTTAGTCATTACCATCTGATTTGTAATATCTTTAAGTCATCAATAAATGGTAATTGTTTAATGTAGTGTATTTTAATACACCTACATGTATTAATATTGATTAATTCTTGTGAGTGATAAAGTTTTTCATTTGAATCAAGTTGACCTTTGGCTATACATTGTATATAATCAATATGACTCTTTGATTAAAGTAATTGGATTGATTTAAGTTTGTATTATTGAATTTGATAGGTTGTTAAGTTTCCTATAAATAGGCAATTTTTCTTTTGCAGCTTGTCATTCTGTTAGTTAATATTTCCTAGTTTTGATCACGTTTCATGTCTTTTTTGCCCACCCACCCTGGCCAATTTTTTTCTTTAGCAATAAGTTTTATTACATTTAGTTATTAGTACTGTGTTTTGATAAATATTTATCATGATTAATCCTTTATTTGTAGATTGATTAGTCTGTCATTCTCTAGTTTTAATGTTGACAAAATTTGCATTTACCTAGTTATAAATCCATTATTTGTGACCATTTATTAACCCAATGAAATGTTTAATATTACATTGTATTTGATTTTCTGGCTTGGTTTTTCTTTTTTAGCTCACCTGATCACGAAGTGGTCAAGGTGAGGTAAAGTGATGGGGCTATGTCTGGCGTCCGTTGTCGTGCGTCATTCGTCAACAACAATTGGGTTGTTAACAGTCTAGCAGTCACAGTTTTGATTGGATCATTGTCAAACTTTGTCAGAATGTTTGTCTCAATGAAATACAGATCAAGTTCGAAGATGGGTTATCTCCGGTCAAAAACTAGGTCACAGGAGCTTAAAATAGAAAAAGCTTGTTAACACTCTAGTGGCTGCAGTTTTGATCCAAATATTCTGGAAATTTGTCAGGAAGGTTGTTTTGATGATTTCTAGGTCAAGTTCGAAGATGGGTCACCCCCGGTCAAAAACTAGGTCACAGGAGCTTAAAATAGAAAAAGCTTGTTAACACTCTAGTGGCTGCAGTTTTGATCAAGATATTCTGGAAATTTGTCAGGAAGGTTGTTTTGATGATTTCTAGGTCAATTCCAAGATGGGTCATCTCCGGTCAAAAACTAGGTCACAGGAGCTAAAATAGAAAAAGCTTGTTAACACTCTAGTGGCTGCAGTTTTGATCAAGATATTCTGGAAATTTGTCAGGAAGGTTGTTTTGATGATTTCTAGGTCAAATTGGAAGATGGGTCATCTCCGGTCAAAAACTAGGTCACAGGAGCTAGAAATAGAAAAAGCTTGTTAACACTCTAGTGGCTGCAGTTTTGATCAAGATATTCTGGAAAGTTGTCAGCAAGGTTGTTTTGATGATTTCTAGGTCAATTCCAAGATGGGTCATCTCCGGTCAAAAACTAGGTCACAGGAGCTAAAAATAGAAAAAGCTTGTTAACACTCTAGTGGCTGCAGTTTTGATCCAAATGTTTCTGGAAATTTGTCAGGAAGATTGTTTTGATCATTTCTAGGTCAAGTTCAAAGATGGATTATCTCCGGTCAAAAACTAGGTCACAGGAGCTAGAAATAGAAAAAGCTTGTTAACACTCTAGTGGCTGCAGTTTTGATCAAGATATTCTGGAAATTTGTCAGGAAGGTTGTTTTGATGATTTCTAGGTCAAGTTAGAAGATGGGTCATCTCTGGTCAAAAACTAGGTCACAGGAGCTAAAAATAGAAAAAGCTTGTTAACACTCTAGTGGCTGCAGTTTTGATAGAAATATTCTGGAAATTTGTCAGGAAGGTTGTTTTGATGATTTCTATGTCAAGTTTGAAGATGGATCATCTTTGGTCAAAAACTAGGTCACAGGAGCTAAAAATAGAAAAAGCTTGTTAACACTCTAGTGGCTGCAGTTTTGATCAAGATATTCTGGAAATTTGTCAGGAAGGTTGTTTTGATGATTTCTAGGGTCAAATTTTAATATGAGGTGTCTCCAGTCAAAAATTAGGTCACATTGCTCAAATATGGAAAACCCTTTTAACACACTAGAGGTCACATTTTTGACTCAATTGTCATCAAACTTGGCCATGATGCTTGTCTAAGACATTGCTTGGATGCGGTTGATGGGTCAGGGGAGCGATCCAGGGCCATCATGACCCTCTTGTTCAAATTTTGATGAACAATTATTAGATCATTGAGTTGTAAAGCAACCGCTTATATGTTTGTTCACATGATGCTCAATGCTGAATGCATTATTTAAAATATTATCAAATAAATATGTAGAAGTAATTTTACAATTATTGTTAACAAATTATTTTCATGATTTTTGCTTTGTAAAGAACAGATATGTCTTAAAAATGATACCTCAAAAAAAAAGCTGACTGTAAATTTGGCTGTAATTTACAAGTTTTGGAAATTCTAGTTTAGTGCAGTTGACCTGGCTTGCTTTGCAATACAAGGCCTTGCTGTTAAATAAGTCATATATCTTCAGCTTTTATAAAAAGAGGTAGGTAATTTAGGTGGGTTTGTTAAATCATGAGTACAGTCAGAAAACAACAACACACAAAAGCGTGTTGGCCTCGTGTAGTAAGGGGGTGTTTAAAAATATTTTTGACATCTTCTCACTGAGTAAATCATAAACCAAATCTGAAAAGTATGGGTACAAAATCATTTACAGGAAGATCAACAATAATATAATGTTTTCACAATGGTCTACACATTGTGACTGTCATGCTCATTAAATTCGGTTTTGATTGAATATTTTGTTGTTTCTTTGTGTAGTTCTAAAATTGCAGAAAATAATGTAAAACTTAATACTTACCATGCTTACAATTAATTTCTTATTGATATTAAACTAAGACACTTGAGGTGTGGAGAAGTTCAAGCTCCAAATCCCTGAAAATCCAAATAAAATGTATATTTGTCAGTCCAAACACACATTTTTATATGCCCGAAAGGGCATATTATGTTATACCCCCTGGCGTCCGTCTGTCTGTCCGTCCGCACTCACAGGAGAGTAATTATGTGGCTATAGGGACAATAGGTAACTGTTCTTTCTCTTTGATGTCATTCATTCCGTAATGCTTTTATGTGGCTATTTTCTTTTGTGTGGCTAAAAAGAACAATAGAGAGAACAATGGAGTAGCCACATAATTACTGTCCTGTGAGAATGTCCGTCCATCCGTACGTCCATCTGTTAGCAATTTGGTTTCCGGAGCATAACTTAAGTTCCATTTGGCCCACAATGTTCAAACTTCATAGGATGATCGTCCATATTGGGTAGAAGACCCCTATTGATTTTGGGGTCACAAGGTCAAAGGTCAAGGTCACTGTTACCTTGATACTGAAAACAGTTTCTGGAGCATAACTTAAATTCCATTCGGCCCACAATGTTCAAACTTCATAGGATGATTGTCCATATTGGGTAGAAGACCCCTATTGATTTTGGGGTCACAAGGTCAAAGGTCAAGGTCACTATTACTTTAAAACTGAAATCAGTTTCCGGAGCATAACTTAAGTTCCATTTGGCCCACAATATTCAAACTTCATAGGATGATTGTCCATATTAAGTAGGAGACCCCTATTGATTTTGGGGTCACAAGGTCAAAGGTCAAGGTCACTATTACCTTAATACTGAAAACAGTTTCCGAAGCACAACAAGTTCCATTTGCCCACTATATTCAGACTTCATAGGATGATTGTCCATATTAAGTCAAGGACCCCTATTGAATTTTGGGTCACAAGGTCAAAGGTCAAGGTCACTATTACCTTAAAATGGAAAACAGTTTCCGGAGCATAACTAAAGTTCTATTTGGCCCAAAATATTCAAACTTCTTAGGATAATTGTCCATATAAGGTAGAAGACCCCTATTGATTTTGGGTTTACAAGGTCAAAGGTTAAGGTCATTATTAATAACTTAAGTATTTAATCAACCTACAGCTCTAAAATTTTAAAGGATTAACAGCTAATTCCCATGTCTTACAAAAGCTTCATCCTTACTAAAAAAAAAGCACTTTCGGGCATATAATGCTCCGCCTAGCGGTGCTCTTGTTCATAATTATAACATAAAAGCTGTTTTGAAAAAAATCATATATTTTAACATGTATATTATATAGACTCAAAACAGCTAGAATTAAGTTTTATTGTTATATATATGATAAGTATATGTGCTGGGATTGACAAATATACATTTTATTTTTATTTTAAGGCGTTTGTAGCTTCATACCCATTAACCTAAATGTGTCTGTGATTGATAAAAACTACTATCTCTTTCACAAAGTTTATCAACCTTTCAACATGATGTGTCTTTAACCTATGAATATATTGAATATATTGAATTTCACTAATTGATTGCTAACATCCACTGTTAATATGTACTAAAAACAATTTCTTATAATTTCATGTACATGTATATGAATTTTTTTTTACTTTTTAATATTTTATTATTTAAATTAACCCGTAAGTGTCTAAATTTGTATAATTGTCTAACAGACTTGCCCTGCATTGAATTTGGAACAGCCCAAATCCTCACCTTAGTGCAATAACTGATTAACTACTATTGAATTTAGAAGGACCTAAACCTTTACTACACTAAAATCACAATTATTTAAGTTTTAGTGATTTTAGTTTCAAAATACAAAAAATGAGCCACAAACAACATAGAGCCTGGTCAGACTACATGGATGTGCAGGCTGACCTGGGGCTATACTAGTGGCAAATTGCATGTTAAGACATGGCCGAGTGATTAACACGTCAAACTAGTAATCGAAGGATTGCTGACCGCATGATTCAAACCCTGTCAGGGGCGAGCCGTTGTTTCCTTGAGCAAGAAACTTTATATTCAATCATGATTGCTTAGTACTGGTTGGTTCCAGGAATAGATTCGATAGTGTTTCAATAAGCTTATAGCTTCGAACACAATCTAATTAAAATGAATTTGTATAAACTAAGACTAAGGGTTAAAGGCCCATTATGCCTATGAAATGCTATCATTTTTATTTCACAAAACCTTTAATTATTGGTATCTTGTTACTTTTTCTAAAGAATACTCATTTACCACATACCCTAGATAAACTATCTTTGCTTCTTTGCTGACAATTGGTATAATGAATTAGTATTTTGTATGAAAGTCAAACTACTACTTTGTTTACATTTTGCTACTTTTACTACACATTTCAGCGCTACTTTCTTTAGCTGTTAAACATCTAACATCCTCTAAATTCATTACATGTAGTAAAACATTATTAAACATATGTTTGACATTTCTAAAAAGTAAATACTTTATTTAATTTGGATTTCCTGGGGGCTTAATGTGCCTTTAACAGGGTCACAAATGGCCAAATGCCCTTATTAAGTTTGTCCAGGCTGATTAGGTTTAGTATTTACTAACAGTGGGTGTTAACAATTTGTTACCTCAATTCGATAGATGTAAAGGTTAATGACACATTATGTTGATATTTACTATTAAAATCTTTGGTAACATAAACCTGTGTACAGTGACCTATGTAGATAAATTACTTCAAAAGTAACCAAAAGGTCAAATAAGCCTAGCAATTTAGAAAGAAGTATTACATGTAATTGCGGTCTTGTTAAGTACATTTTTAATTGAAAGTACTGATAGAGGTCAATTTTCAAATTTTGCCAAATATTCATTGATTTGTTTTAGTTAACTTAAACAACCATTTTTGTTGGAAAGAAGATATCAATAGGGTTTGGGAACACCTGGACACTCGTTTGGTTGTTTTGGTGGCTGAATATGGGTACCATTCCCCTCTCAAAATCACATGTATTTTTCCTCTATCTCAGAAAAAAAATCCCCTCAATGTTCTAAAATAAATCAATTTAAAGTAATTTGTTTGATTTGTTAATCTAAATTAGAAAAATAAACCAGTTTAGCTATTGATTTCAATGGTAGGAAAATTACAAACTATTGAAACCAATGGTAGGAAATAGTGTAATGACTAAATGTGATAAAAAATACACTAAATACATAATAACGTTAAATTTCGAATTTTGCCTTAAAACGATGCAAAATTCCACTTCCTTAGGGTATGGGTACCTGTCCCCAAAAGGTGTCTAGTGCCCTGGGGAAGAAGGTGGCAAGGGGGTTGGGGAATGGAATAGGTCTGAATGAAAAAAATGCATTGTAATGATTGTGTTTCAAAATTGTTTAAGTGTTAATAATGGCATCAGTAAGTTGGTATCATATGATTTTGTTCTTGTGATGACTATAAAGTGTTCTTAAAAGTCTTAAAATGATATATACATGTACAAGTAGTTATTATGTAAACAGCAAGGAGAATTGAAGATTTATTTTTATTTTTCAGAGATGTAAACAACAGCAGAGACCTGCTAACAGGACAGTCTATGTTGGAAACAAGCACCCACATGATGAAGGTGTATTTATTCCAGAGTTGTACCCAGATAACAAGATTATCTCTTCAAGGGTATTTACTTTGTACAATTAACATTTTATAAATCAGTTTTAAGTGTTTATAAATCAAAGTCTGCATTTTGATTAAAATAATGACAATTTGTGGAATAAACCTGTAAAAGTGATGTCCTTGAAATAGACTTTGAATGACTGGGTTTTTGTATCTCTTGAAATTGATATCATTGTAAACAACAAAAAGAGAATTATGTATCGGTTATAGGTAGATATAACACTTATAATACAGGTAAAAGTGAATTTATAGCACATCCGTATTTCTTTGATACCTGATTATAAATGGATTAAGATTTTTAATATAGAAATTAATTATAATATTTTTGCTGTTGACACACCCACGTAAGCTAATATATTGGCATTTTATGATTGAAATTGGTACTTTTTATCAATTTATTATTACAGTTAAAACAGGCTTAATTACCGCAGTATCTGTTGCTTGTCTACATACATTTGAGGATGAATGAGAAATATTCAACTTTTATGTATACAAATGTATGTGGTACTCGTGATACTGATAATATGCTTCAAAAAAAAAAAAAGGTTTAAGTTGGAATGGTCAAAGTTGTGATACCTTTTTAGTGTAGAAAGGCCAGGGCTGCGTTTCATGGAGGGTCATAAGTCTTAAGTTTGTCTTAAGATAAAAATTGTGACAATTTTGCGTTTCAAAGAAAGTCTTAAAAAAGGTCCTAACTTATGACTCCTATATTTATGACCAAAAACAGTCCTAAGTCTAGGAGTGTTGTAAAGGTATCTTAAGATTGTTGAAACGGTCTTAAGTGCAAAAACTTATTCTCCTAAAGTTGGTCATAAGTCCTAGGATTGAGGATTAACTTAGGACTCTTCATGAAACGCAGCCCAGTTTGATAAATAACCAGTAACCTGCTTAAACCAAAACTTATCAGCCTTTGCCTTTATAATATAGAGCCTCTATATTGTTGGTTGGCACATTTTTTGTACTCACTAAACTTTAAATGGACTGTTTCACATGCAAAGGTTTGCACATCTGATACACAACTTCAGTAGATCAAAGGTTAAAAGGCAGGTTTTAATGGCCTAAAATAAAATCAAAATGGTTTTTTATGTAGTTAATAGTAAATGTAAAAACGGGCTGATATTTAATGTATAGAAAATGAATTTCATCACAAATTGCTAATAAAGGGTGTAAGCACTATAAATGAATATTTAAGTGAAATAAATATTTGAAAACCTGTACTTTCAATTTGTTTTTATATTTGGTGCATGTACAGTTGTTTTTCTATAATAGATTCGGCAAACAGTGTCTTTTATTTAATGATATTATAATTAGTTAGAATAAAACTTTCCCCTCGCAAGAGATATTGTGTGTATTTTCATGAGAACATAGGAACATGACAGAATAATTACTAAACAGTAGAAAACCAACTCAAAAAATGCAGCATAATATCATGTTCTAGAACATTATTTTTTATTTTGTGTGTGTTAAATAACAGAAACATTGTTATACTATGTTACATAATAATATGTCACCTCAGTGCTATAACTGATTAACTCATAAGAAATTTAGAAAGACTTATTCCATTATTGCACTAAGGTGACAATATGTTTTGAAAATTGACCATAAGATTATGGAAATAACATAATTTTAGCTTTTATAAATTTTCATTACATTTTCATTAGATATAGCTTTAAATATACCCTTTAAGGTAAAGTCTTGTGATGATCTGTTGCTTATTTTCATGTAAAATAGCTAACAGAATTATGCATTGTCGAAACCCACGGTACACATTCCATATATACTACATTTAATATCATATACATGTATACGGTAAATAGCCTGGGTTACCGAGGATGGAATTATGTTGATTTTGGAAATTTAGTTGATATAAGATTGTATATTGTCATTGTGCAAACAATAATTCAGTCAATTATTGAGAGTTAAGTTTTGTTAAACATTGTAAACTAATTGATAAATTATGTATACAAATGTATCAATGATATACTCAAAGTCGTGACTCTGAATTATCATATAATAAAGTATCATAGTATGTATGACATAGGTATATGTAAGTTTATATTAACCTTTCATACATAATTTAGTCATTTAACTTCAAGACCTAAATTTAAACTTTTTTTTTCAGTATACATTATGGAACTTTCTACCCAAGAACTTATTTGAGCAGTTCCGGAGAGTGGCCAACTTTTACTTTCTTTGTGTCGGAATTGTGCAGGTGACCTTTTTTTTTCTTTTTTTAATGGTTGCCATGGTTACCATGATAAAATATTAAAAACCTTCACAATTTTATCGGAGGTTCTTATCAGAGCTGCATCAGTACTAAGGGTGTAGTACTTAAGTACCAGTACCAGTACTTGGCAAATTATGCAGTACCATTACCAGTACCAGTACTAGATTTTAGCTCGGTACTGCAGTACCAGTACTTTTTTTGGTGAAGTAATTAAGTATCAGTACCATTACTTTTATATATTCATCAAAGTTTGAATAAATACAGTGTCAAACAAATAATTGCAAATATTATTCAGCAAAGAAATAAAATCATAATTTACTTTAAAGTTAATATAACATGTTTACAACTTTATAGTTTTAACATACTTTTTACAAACAATATTTACAACATATATTCATGTCATATCTAATTGTTTAGTAACCAGTCAACTGTATAAATACAATGCAAACATCTTTCATTTAAAACACAACAGTCTTTTGTTGCCTTTCACACCTTCACACCTCTGTTCAATTTATACCAAAGTAAATAACAACTTTTTATGGTGCTAACAATATCACTTTTTTCACTTGAAATGGGTTTATTTAGAATAGTAGAAATTAATTAGTGTTTATTTTGCTCTTTTACTAGTAAATACAAAGTAATAAAAGATTTTAATAAGGATATTTTAGAGTAAATAGTTATCGAGTCTGTTTATCTTTATTTAATTTTTACTTAAAGTCTTTGGTGTTTTTTATTATGAATACTATGTTAACATTTGAAAGAATATTGCAGCAAATTATCACTTACTTTTTCACAAAAATAAAATATAGTTCATGTAATTTACAGCTTTATTTTATTAAAAAATTAAGAACTTCTTATACATGTATTTGAAATTAAACCACTAGTCTGTTGGCGTAATCAAGTCTGCCCATGCGACCAGTAGTGAGTAATGGATTCGTCCAGATTGAAAGATGGATGAGTCCATTTTATTTAAGGAAATAAACAGGTTAAGGGTAAAATGCACCTAGTTTAAATTAAACACAAGGGATTGTGCTTTCTGAGAGTGATAAATTCTTGATTGTACTAATTTACTAGTTTACACAGAATTTATTTTCGTTTGATTCTGTAGGAAGCTATATGCGCATATACAATCTTTCGAATCTGCTCCTTGAACCAACCAGTACTGAGCAATGAGTATAAAGTGTCTTGCTTACAACGACTCGTTCCTGTAGGGGTTTGAACCCATGCACTAAGCGAGCACTAGATAAGTAGTCTGACACATTTAAACCACTCAGCCATGCCACCATGATGTTATTTATTGCTGTCTGTTCTATACCTTTCTATTATACATGTATATTATGCTAATGATAATAATAATATTCCTGGTCTTTGTTATTAAAAGTAATATTTCTTTTTAATGTAAGATATGAACCAATATTGCAGTATAGTGTGATTATATATCTGTATATTATATTATATATTACAGTTGACAATAGACACACCAGTCAGCCCTATAACAAGTATATTGCCTCTTGTATTTGTCATCACCTGCACAGCTATTAAACAGGTAATGTTAAGATTTATACGCTCGTGATAAAAGCAATATCCATAGACAGGTGAATGAATGAGGAAAATTTATAGTTGAAAGTATTGATTACAAACCATATCTGATTATGAGATAAATGTTTACATGCACGCTTTACTTCCTTATTAAAAATCGTATGTGAATTTTATAATGATAGTTGATATCAGTTGATAATGCACATGTATTTCATGTAAATTTTGTAACTATAGTTGATATCAGTTCAGATAACGCACATGCATTCTATTTGTTGACTAATCATTGAAAGAGATTGTCAGATGACTATATAAATGAATGATGAGGTTGTCATATAGATTTTTAAAAAATATATTGTGTCAACATTTAAGTTCAAAGTTCAAAGGTCAAGAAGATGATGAATCTGACTCATTGTGTATATACAGTGTACTATATGTAGAGTATTATGATGCAATCAATAGTTGTCATTCTCGGTCACAGTTTATCCATTCTTTTATAACACTATAATTATAAACAACAAGATGTTAATGATAAAAAAAATGTTTATGAGGCCTGAACTACAGTCAAGGTCAAGGTGAAGGTCGGGCAAAGGTCACAGAATAAGGCAGTGAGTGAGTGATTTTAGTAATACCTGCTGAATTTGTATAATGGATTGTCCCAACAGTGAACTTGGAACAGTCCATTCCACATGAAAGGGGTTTCAGTACCACAATACAAAGACTGAACTGTTGGTCAGTCTGCACCGACTGAGACATGAAAAACTGGCAAAGCTTAATATTGTTATACTGATGGCAAAGGTCAATAACTTTCAGTTTCATTGGATATAAGGTTGCAAAATAAAAGCTAAATCTATAATAAAAATGATAATGTGTAGTTGGTGCAGTGTGCATTGCACCCAGTTTTGTAACACTGATATACTTGAAATACATGTATTGTGATGTGTATCAGTTACTTTACTGGCACAATGCTAAAAACTGTCCTCTTTAGAAGCAAGAAATTTAAGTTATGATAACAGTTTTTCTAATATCTTTGACTCTGTCAAGGACACAAAAGAGTGATCTATAGCTCCTTGTACACAATTAAGTAGAATAAGTGAATTGAATGATTTTGAAACAGTCATTGATGGGATTTTACTTGATGTTGTGATCTAACATCCCATTACATGCATTAAGCATGTAGAATTTTGCTACTCATGCAAAGGTAAAACTGAGGTCAAATTAGTCAAGTGCTTTATAAAAAACAATTCAATCTTAGCATATGGGTAGATTAAGTTTTTATAATGACCCAATGCAGGAAAATTGAAACAGAAATTGATATTTTGAGGCAAAAATCATGCATATTTGGAAAGAAATATTATTTTTCTTGACACAGTCTGTTTTTTTTTTCAGGGTTATGAAGACTGGTTACGTCACAAGTCTGACCGAGAGGTCAATGATAGAGAAGTACAGGTTATACGAGATGGTCAACTTACCACAACTAAATCTATGCATATCAAGGTATACACACTTACGAGTTGAAATGCCGCGTCTTCAATTCCATGTATCGTGTACTTGAAACCACTTTGGAAAATTTGCTAGTTGATCTACATGTGTATATAAACATGTATATGTTCAGATTCAACTTGAACTTGAAGTTTCTGTTAATGTTATACACTTAATTCAAGTATCATCCAATGTCCTTTAAAAAGAAGAAGTACTGCAGGAGTAAGTAGTATTACAAGTATACATATTGAATTGGGTGTCTAGAATTGTGGGTGTGTCAATGTAGAAACTTTATACAGCAAAGAGTAAAATCTGTCATATGAAAGTTGCGTTCCTCACTGTACAATATATTATAATGGTAGCATTAGATATTGATTAAATGCTAACAAAAGTACATTGGTGATGGGGAAACTTTATTCTTTAAATCCTGTTACAAAAGATATCTTTAATTTTAAAGACCATCAATAAAGTGTTTAAATGAACAAGAAAAAAATATTTATGATTCAAAATTGTTGGAGGAATACTTCGAAAATGCCAGAAAGGCTCAATTGAAATTTTACTTACGGTTTTAATACTTAACCCATTACTTCATGAGCATTTTGTGAAAAATGGCTGTTTTCATTGAAAAGTCTCCCGTTACAAGTTCAAATTGCTATAATACTATAAAAACTGCTTCAACACTAATCAAACTTGGCACAAATGTTGACTGGACCATTGCCTTTGCAACAACATGCTCAGGCTTAAATTTCCTGTTTAATACCATGGCAACGAGGGGACATCTCAAAATTGCCAAAAATCACTATTTTGCGTTGTTTTTGTCCATCAAAATTGACTTCAAAGTGCTGCAACTTCTCAATGGATTGAGATAGAGTCAAATGCTTTTCAGCGTTGGTTACACGTTACCTTATGATCGATCTGGGGTCATTTTTAGCCTCTCACAAGTCCAAATTTTTCTTGGTGATGAGGGGGACTCCGCCGCCCTTCAAACCCCCCAAACAGAAGGGGGCACATCCCCCTTCTGGCAACACCCTGATGTATCTTTTGGTTGGGGGCCGCGCCGAAAAAGAGGTCACTTTTTTTAACAGCTTTTCTTAAACAAAAACAAGTGTTTGGGGCCTAAATAAGGCATTTTTTCATCATTTGAGACAACAAAAAGGGGGGGGGGGTGAAAAAGGCGTTAAAAGGCGTGTATATGAAGTAATGGGTTAAATTTCTAAAATCAATAACATTTTTAAGTTCATCTTGATTTCTGCATAGCTGAGATCTGGTAGAGAATGTCTTAACGATACAAAAGTCATGATATTTAAACATTTGTTTTGTTTTTTGTTAAATTTAATTGTGAGTGGAAAATTTTGTCCCATCATGTTACAAATAGCACATCTCTGTTGTGTTTGATATGAAATACAATTGTATGTTACAAATTATTATGACTTTAGGTAAATAAATTTTTTTCAAATATTAGGAGTCCTACCTATATGTTTTCTTCTCTTAGTAATGATATTCTAACTGGTATCAATATTTCATAACATAAACTAGTCATGACAATTGCTTATTGTTTGATAAAAGCATTGTTATAGTTAATTTTCCGATATAATATTGTTGTTGTACACTTTGATTGGCATTAAGCTGTATTACAAATGTCGTTACCATCAAAGAAAGGCCAAAATCTGACATCTATGACAAATACCCTAAAAAGAAATGTCTATTTGTTATTTGTAATAAGAATGATACCTGTCATGTATTGTTAAGCACATCACTACTACATTACAGGTCGGGGATATTGTACGGGTACAAAGTAACAAAGGTTTTCCATGTGATATGATCATGTTATCGTCCGTAGATCCAGACGGAAACTGTTATATAACTACAGCAAATCTTGACGGTGAAACAAACTTAAAGGTATGATATAAGCTAGACTGGAACTCTTTTTTTGCTCCATCTGTTCACAGTCCAAAATAATTAATATTTTCACAAGTTATACATGTGAACTTTTTTGATGTTTTTCTTCAAAAAGAGGGAGATTTTAGATTTTGCAATAAACAAAGTAGGAAGTTCTGACATAAAAAATAGGGTGATTTCTTAAATTTGTGAAAATATCCCTTATTTTAAGAAAAATCTTTGAAAATATGTCTGCAGAAAGTGGAAGTCTCCTGCTTAAAATGGGAGAGTTCACATGTATGTCACAAGTAAGTACTTGATGTGAGATAAAGACTTGCATATTAAGAAAAACTGAAAATCACTGTCAAGGTCATTTCATCACTAAAAATAGATTTCCTCTATTTTACATCATAGGGCCTACAGTTATGGGATGATATGTAAGGTATTTGGTACTCGGTCATCTTTAACCATTTTAATTTACCATTTATAGAGGTCAAGGTCAAGTTCTCTCTGTTGAATGACCCCTGCAATGTTTGTTCTTTTTCAACTAAGTTTAGACATGGAGATTTGAGGCTGTTGTATTTATAAAAATAAAATCTCTCAATTTGTTATGTTTGTACTTTCATCTGACACATGATACATTTCTTGCATATTCTACCATATTCCATTATATTTCAAATACTTTACCTTAAAACAATTTTCCATGGAAATTTAGGTCATTACACCTGTAACTATTTTCTTACAACAGCGTATTAAATTGCATTTTCGTTCTTAACAGTAAATTATGTCATCCTAAGCACACCATTGTATAGCACGCAACTCATATGCACCCTGGCACCCCCCATGCTAGATGAAATTTCTGGAATGGGTAAAACTAACAGAAATGCCAGCGATACGCAAAAATGCATTATAGTTGTAATTACACATTTGCCTGAGATAAAACATTCCATACATGTTACTGAATACCTGTTTTTGTGTCGCCTCTACGGAGTAGTGGCGACATATAGGGATCACTTCTCCGTCGTCTGTCTGTCCGTCTGTCCGTCCGTCCGTCACAAAACTTGTCCGGACTACTGCTCATAAACTACTGGTGCAATTTCATCCAAACTTTACAGGAATGATCAGTACCAAGTCTAGTTGTGCATATTGTCAGCATTTTCCGGTTCAATGATTTTTGTCAGAGTTATGGCGCTTTAATAATTTTTAATTTTAAAGTTTGTCCGGACTACTTCTCTTATACCACTAATGCAATTTCAATGAAACTTTACAGGATTGATCTGTAGCTCAAGTCCTTGCGCATATTGCACGGGTTTTCCGGTTGAATGATTTTTGGCCGAGTTATGGCCTTTTGATAAAAAGGTGTTTTTTTCTGTGTGTTGCCAGATACACAAAAGCTTGTCCGGACTACTGCTCATAATCTAATGGGGCAATTTCATCCAAACTTTACAGGAATGATCACTACAAAGTGTAGCTGTGCATATTATCAGCATTTTATGGTCCAATGATTTTTGTCAGAGTTATGGCCCTTAAATAATTTTTATTTTTAAAATTTGTCCGGACTACTTCTCTTATACCACTAATGCAATTTCATTGAAACTTTACAGAATTGATCTGTAGCTCAAGAATTGCGCATATTGAACGGGTTTTCCGGTTGAATGATTTTTGGCCGAATTATGGCCCTTTGATAAAAAGGTGTTTTTTCTTTGTGTTGCCAGATACGCAAAAGCTTGTCCGGACTACTCCTCATAAACTACTGGTGCAATTTTATCCAAACTTTACAGGAATGATCAGTACCAAGTCTAGTTGTGCACTGTCCGTCTGTCTGTCCGTCTGTCACAAAATTTGTCCCAACATGAAATTGGCCATCATGAGGCGACACATGTGATTACTGATCGCTCTTGTTATACTTTCAGACGCATTGTTGTTTAGCAGAAACAAAACGTTGTGTACATGAGGACGACTTCCAAAAACTTACAGCATTTATTGAATGTGAACAACCTATACCTGATTTGTATTCGTTTGTAGGAAACTTGAATATAGTCAGGGACAACGGTGAGCGGATAGTTAAACCTCTGGGACCAGAAAATGTGCTATTAAGAGGTGCTAGATTAAAAAATACACCATTTATTTATGGTAAGACAAGTTTTTGATAAAATGCAAGCATGTTATAAGTATTTGAATTCTCATTTTCAAAATGCTTGATTTGATATAAAACTTTATTTTTTCCTGAATAATTTTTTTTTTATTTATTTCAAAGTGCTGACAATAAAGTTAATGTTTCTATTTATATTTTTGACCATATTTGATACAGATATGATTAGTAAAGCTCATGTGTGTCGAAACTGCTAAATTAATTAATTTACTTATAATATGTTTTGTTTTGCATTCTGGTGATAGTCATTTTTTATCGTAGCTCAAAGTTACGTGAATTATAATAACTATTGATCTGTCACTTGCTATTTCCAATGAGATTTAAAAAAAAAAATGAAATGAATATTTTAGTTTTTACCTGTCTGTGTAGTTATTAAACTATTTTGTTACAGGATGTGCCATATATACGGGGCAGGAAACTAAAATGGCCCTGAATTCCAATACCAAAGTTACAAAGTTTTCTCGTGTTGAGAGGTATGACTAAATATATTTACATTTTACTTCAACTTAACGATATGTCCTTTTTTTCTCACCAGTCATTTGTAGTAAGAAATATAAGGCGTTTTAGAGAAACAATTTGCGTCATTTGAATCAGAATATGAGTCACGTGTAACACTTTAATCTTCGTGCACTTTGTTATCATTAACACTTTAGTTTTAAGTAACCACTTGTCTTTTTTAACTGTTTGGTTGTTATATAAGATGATAGCAATAGAAAATTCTACGAAAAAAGAATGAGTGTGATTTTTTAAGTGTTTATATTCACTTTATGATTTCCTATACAATAAAGATATGCTGATTGGTCACAATGTGTTTTGTTAATTGTAATCACTTGACTTTAATCTGTGTTTGTTTAGTGGTATTAAGCTCTTAACCATTTCTAGGAAGACTATTTTTGCCACTGCCATGGTAATGGTAGACATGCATAACTGCATGTAGTGTTTATCAAGCTTAGATACACATACTTTCATTAACTTATGTGTATGCAAGACCCAGGTCTGTAGGTGTGTCCCCAAGGTCAAGGTCACATTTGAAAGGTCAAATGACAAAAATATAAGGTTTGTTTTTATTACTGTGTGTAGTAAATAACTTTTGTTGATGGATGTTGAAATACTTGACAACAATATTTTACCAATATAAGACCCTCTCTGGTGTCTTGTGCAAGACCCAGGTCTATAGGTCCAAGGTCATAGGTAAAGGTCAAATGTTGATAATTATGATATATTTTTCATATATTTACATTATGAATGCCCCACAATACTCAACCCCATTTAATATTAAAGTGGGATCTCTGTCATCCAGACAATGATTGCTGTCTTATATCATGTAATTTTCTTCTTCTTTTTTTCCCATTTCAGACGTATGAATACATTTTTACTTATATTTCTTGTGATATTATTGGCGGAGGCTGTGTTTTCTACATGTTTGAAATACTGGTATGTGTTCAGGCCTATAGTAGGCCAGCCCTGGTATGTTCCTCAGATAGAAATTGATGCTCAAGTCACGGTACGTATCTCGATACTTTGTATGATGTTCTTTAAGGGCTGTTACATGACCTCTGTGATTTTGTAAGAGCAGTGTTACTGTTTGATGATTGGGTGGGATAATATTTTTTTTTTTTGTAACGTAACACCTTAATTAGACATTTTTGTCTCTATAATTATATAACTGTTTTTGGGAGTTAAACTTAAAAGTTTTAATTTGCTGCTGTCAAAGGTAATGATGCCTCAAATGGGGAAAAAAAACAACAAATATCATAAGTATCCTACGGCCCATAGAGATTAGGATTAGGATTAGCTTGTCAGAACACCACATTTTTAGTTTGAATATTCAAAGAATTGGGAAAGATATTGTATTCACTAAGGCATCAGCATCTATTACTTTGGTTTAAGTTTCTGCATGCAAATTTGTATCTCCAAAAATACAGGAACGGATGGGTTGCAACTTCACACTTATTTGTGAACATAATAGAATGTCTCTTATGAAGGCCCATAACTCTAACTTTGATTTTGACAGAAATATGGCCCTTTTTGAACTTAGACTATTCTACATTATCTAGGCTCTTGTTTTACTATCAAGCACTGAGAATAGTCAAGCATGCTGTCCTATGGATAGCTCTTGTTGTAGTTTGAAATAATAATGTATAAACAAGTAAACTACAAAATACTTCAGAGTGGATTGTTTCACAAACTAAATTTTCTGAATTAAGGTATCACATTTAGAGTACAAAAAATTAACATCTGTACTGATATGATTCTGTGCTTTCATTATATCATTACTTTGAACATAATAAATGACTTTATTTGCTCTAATATGATATTATTACTATGTATGATATTGAATTTTGTTTTTCAGGTTAGACGGGTATTTGAAGATTTTCTTGCATACATTGTGTTGTATAACTATGTCATTCCAATTTCATTATATGTTACTATTGGTAAGTGTTGATTTAAGATAATACATACACAGTACATAATATCATTTATTCGTGTTTTTAAGTATGATTTAAATATTCTTAAATCCTACTACTAGACTACTGGGTTATTGAGAACGATTTTTAATTAGCATGCAAAGGGAAGATTGGGGGTTCTATTCTTGAGCAAGATGAGATATTTTTTCAGAATATATACTGTGCTCCTCTTAGTTCACGGTACTTAACGCTTTGAACCCAGAAAGAAAACAACAAATGAAACTTATGGTACAAAAATTGTCATAAGCTATAACATATAGGTATTTTCTGCTGTATGGCACAAGGAAACAACAATATATTCAGTCAAAGTCAATTTTAATGGACCAAACGTAGACCATATGTCGGCCATTTTGAAAACAGTATGTCATCATTTAAATCGCGGTAATGGTGTTACATTTCAGTTTTTTCATGTTTCAGTTAAAATTTCTACATGTTATTTTGCTTGATTTTAAATATTAAAATTATCCTTACTTTGTAACTCAAAATTTATTTTTTCAACAAACAAGAACATTTAGAAAATGATGATTGTTTCAGACATACGCACAAATTTAATGGACTATTGTTGCTTTTTGCAGAAATTTGTAAAATGTTGTTCTGTTTTACGTAAAAATCTAGAGATTTAAAATATTTTGCACAAAAACTTTGTTGTTTAGGTGTATGAATAAAATATGTCAATTCTGACCAATTTTAACACTGGTCACATGAAAATATGCCATTACCGTGAAATAAGTGATGACGCGGAATTAGTGATGTTGAGTATATGTTTTGTAATCATTGAAATGTAGCTTTTGATATAATGATGAAAAAAAACTGTATGAAGGTCACTTAAGTCTTGTTCTTCTCTGTTTAAGTGAAAAGTTTTTTGATTAGCTCATTTGTGATGAAAGCTTGAAGTTTGCTGCATGAACAGACCAGTACTGGTGTCATTTTTTTGTGGAAAAAACTTTAATGTAACCCGGTGTAGGGCTTGTTCCCTGGGTTATGAAAAAGATTCAATGTATCTTAATCACCACTACAACATAATTCCTTAATAAGCAGTAACTCCATGACTCTCCAAAATGCTTTTAATGACCTATTAAATAAATTCAATAAGTCAAAAAATATCTTACTGTATTTTGTGTGTGTGTGTGGGGGGGGGGGGAGTATATGAAATGTTATTTTATTTAGTATTTTTATATGCCCGAAATTCTTTCGGGCATATTATGTTATACCCCCTGGCGTCCGTCTGTCCGTCCGACCGTCCGTTAGCAATTTGGTTTCCGGAGCATAACTTAAGTTCCATTTGGCCCACAGTATTCAAACTTCATAGGATGATTGCCCATATTGGGTAGAAGACCCCTATTGATTTTGGGGTCACAAGGTCAAAGGTCAAGGTCACTATTAGCTAAATACTGAAAATGGTTTCCGGAGCAAAACTTAAGTTCCTTTTGGCCCACAGTATTCAAACTTCATAGGATGATTGTCCATATTGGGTTAAAGACCACTATTGATTTAGGGGTCACAAGGTCAAAGGTCAAGGTCACTATTAGCTTAATACTGAAAATGGTTTCCGGAGCATTATTTAAGTTCCATTTGGCCCACAGTATTCAAACTTCATAGGATGATTGTTCATATTGGGTAGAAGACCCCTATTGATTTTGGGGTCACAAGGTCAAAGATCAAGGGATTACTATCACCTTTAAACTGGAAACAGTTTTCGCTCAATAACTCAAGTATTAATTGAACTACAGCTGTAAAATTTTATAGGATTAACAGCTTTATACCCCTGACGTCTTGGTGTCCATCCATTGTAGCATTTTTACTTACAAGATAACAACTTGATGGTGGTGCTTTGAAAACAAGAACTGTATATATACATGAATGTTCTTCAGCTATAAAGGAGGATTGCTTTTTGAAGGAGGTAATACTGTATTTAATTCCCATGTCTTCCTCACTAAAAGAAAAAGTACTTTCGGGCATATAATGCTCCGCCTAGCGGTGCTCTTGTTTTATCTTTAAATAATTTTCTTTTTCAGAACTACAAAAATTTGTTGGTTCCATGTTTTTTGCATGGGATGTAGATATGTTTGACCCGGGAACCAATGAAAGGGCTAAAGCAAATACATCAGATTTAAATGAAGAGTTAGGACAGGTATATATTATGGGGCTCATTTGTCTCGCTATTAATTTATCAAATGTCCAGGAATGTGTAAAAAATTTGAATATCTTTGTTATTCCAGATGACGTATCTAAGGAGATAAAAAAAAATGTCTGTTTGATTATTACTGTGATTGTAACACATTTTGGTCATATCTGAGCCGTCGGTCTATCTAACAGGCTTTTCTGGTTGTCTCACTATAAATCATAAATAAGAAATTTCTCCGCAAGTGATTAACTACTCTCATACATTTGTAACATTCTGTTAGTATTAAATGCCCAAAAAGTCAAAGAAATTTTTGACATTTTAAAATATGAAAGAGTTAATTCGAGTTTTCATGTTGGTAGGGTAAAATGTAAGTAAAGGAAAAGCAGTGTAACATTGTTATATATGCAAAATTTATTGTTATATATGCAAAATTATAGGTACATGGCTATAGAGCTGATAAAAAGAGGTTACACACAGCATGTGAAGAAATTTCTTTAATGTAAAACACTTTCCCCAGGAACAATTTCTTTCTTCAAACATGCTTTATGAAGATTTTGTTTAACCTATGTTTCTGTCAGTACCTTAATGCATATGTTAAGTGGCACATCAAGTAAAGATGTTGATGATCTGACTAGTAATGATACAAAATAAATGAGTGTTTGTGGCTTAATTTATTAAGTTGAGTTCATTAACAGTTTTTAAAAGCATTTACCCAGGTGGATTACATAACAAGATCTCCTGGACACTGCTCCAGAACTTTCTGTTTTCTACAAGTTACTTCGAACTTCTAATAAATCAACTTCTTCTAAATAATCTGAATTGCCAGTGTAGAACAAATGACACAAGACAAGTTGTCAGCCAAATTGTTATGAAAGCCAATGGCATAATATAGCTCTGTGGACCATACACAAACGTTGTTAATGACTTACTACGGTGATTCAAGGGCTTGGTGACATGTTAATTTTTTATAAAATAAATGTATGAAACCATTTTGCAACAAATCTTATTAAAAGAAACCTTGATTTTAGACTTCGAGCAAGCTATAATTGATTTTACAGGTAGAGTACCTGTTCACAGACAAGACTGGTACCCTGACGGAGAATGATATGCAGTTCCGAATGTGTTCTATAAATGGTAAACGTTACGAGGAACTCGGTGGAATGTTGTGTGAAACCTCCCCTGCTGGGAATGACCCCAACCCTGTACCTGTTCTTAGTGTAAGATCTTAGCATGATTTCACAGTAACTAGTATGCTGTATAAGTGGTTAAGTTAGCGACGCAGAAATATTGGCGAATTTTGCGAATTAATGAAATTGTGAAAATTTCCTCTAGCAGAAATATCAACCAAATTACCATTAAATTCTACCCTTGTGTGATTGGCTAATATTTCCTCATGCGAAATATCTTGAATTTTAAATTAGCTAACTTTTCGACACACAGAAATATCCACTAACACAGTAATTATTAATGAACAGTCCTGTAACTAATATATATATCCTATATAATTCAATAAATTAACAAAATTCTTTGTTATTAACTTTATACTTCTTTTATATGTATATTGTAATTTTTGGTTTCATTTTGTTTACAATATAATTTATTGATTTTTTCACAACAGCAAAGTTATCAGCATTTTGTAAGTTCACCTTGATATGTTTTTATTTGATGTCCTCAGTAAACACTCCCTGCACATACATGTATATAATTTTCAACCCATAAAAATGAGTTTTTTTCTGTGATAAGAATTAATTCTTAATTTGTATCAACAAGTACATGTATATCCCACCATTTTCTATTGTATTATTTTTAACACAAATGAACTGTTTCCTCGCACACATGAAAAATAAAGATCATGAAAATATAATAAATATACCAAGTATCTTTTACCTAATTAATATACTGTTAGTAAAAAAATACTATTGTTTTGTAATGATCAATCCCCTAGTTACTGTTGTTAACAATTTTTGAGTATTATAAGATAAAAAGTTGCCAAGAGTGACCTCCCATTATCTTTCCAGATTGGATCATTATAATGAAAGAAAACTGTAATAATTTTTACAGATTATTTCAAATTTTAGTCATTTGAAATACAAATCTTTTTCTCATTCTGAGGAAATTATTTTGAACAAAAATGAAATATGTATTATAATTACACAACCTATTGTATCGATTACATCATTAGTACTGTGTTTGATTATAGTGTACATTTTAGAGGCATATATTAAATTATTTAATTGTCAGATTATATCCCTAGCATTTCTGCACATATCTTTCTTGTCACATTATGTGACCTTTCATATCCAAATATGAATTATCCATATATAAACCATAATTATATATGATTTTTATAAATAATCATTAATGTTTTTCAGTCATAAGAAGTTGACTCACTCTGTTAGTTTATTCTTATCCAATTTATGAATTATATGCCATATAATTCAAAGGATTAGTCAATTTTATTCAATGAAATATGAAAATTATCATCTGTTTAACACTTATCTTAATATTTAGACTGACATGATATAAGACCTTTTGCTTATCAATATTTATACCCCCGCACAACAAAGTTGTAAGGGGGGTATACTGGAATCAGCTTGTCCGTCCGCCGGCCGTCCGTCAGTTTTTTCTTGTCCGCCCAATAACTTGAGATTCCTTTGACCCTTAGTCTTCATATTTGGCATGGAGGTTAGTCATGATTAGTAGATGACCCCTATTGATTTTGAGGTCACTTGGTCAAAGGTCAAGGTCACAGGGGCCTTGACTTCAAAAGGCTTGTCCGCCCAATAACTTAAGATTCCTTTGACCTACAGTCTTTATATTTGGCATGGAGGTTAGTCATGATAAGAAGATGACCCCTATTGATTTTGAGGTCACCAGGTTAAAGGTCAAGGTCACAGGGGCCTTGACTTCAAAAAGCTTGTCCGCCCAATAACTTAAGATTCCTTTGACCTACAGTCGTCATATTTGGCATGGAGGTTAGTCATGATTAGTAGATGACCCCTATTGATTTTGAGGTCACCAGGTCAAAGGTCAAGGTCACAGGGGCCTTGACTTCAAAAAGCTTGTCCGCCCAATAACCTAAGATTCCTTTGACCCATAATCTTCATATTTGGCATGGAGGTTAGTCATGATTAGTAGATGACCCCTATTGATTTTGAGGTCACCAGGTCAAAGGTCAAGGTCACAGGGACTTTGACTTCAAAAAGTTTGTCTGCCCAATAACTTTAGATTCCTTTGACCCACAGTCTTCATATTTGGCATGGATGTTGATCATGATTAGTAGATGACCCCTTTTGATTTTGAGGTCACTGGATCAAAGGTCAAGGTCATAGGGACTTTGACTTCAAAAAGTTTGTCCACCCATTAACTTAAGATTCCTTTGACCCACAGTCTTCATATTTGGTATGGATGTTAATCATGACTATAAGGTGACCCCTATTGATTTTGAATTCACTGGGTCAAAGGTCAAGGTCACAGGCACCTTGACAAAAAAAAAGCTTTTCTTCTCAATTGCTAAAGAATGTCCTGTCCGCAATGTATTGACATTTTCACATTTGAAGCATGTAGAATACATAACTTAGCAATGCACTGGCTTAGTAACCTCAGATTTGGCAGGGAGGTTGTCCTTGAGCTCTAAATAGCTACTGTTGATTCTGACAAAGTGGTATGCGGGGGTATTCACGCCATGATAGTGGCAGTTCTAGTTAATTTAATTATAATTTTATGCAACACAAAAAAAATAATTAATAAATAAAAAAAAAGTGAAAGATCAAAGGTGAAATTAATTGACATGAAATGGGTACAGAATGTTAAAGGGACTCCAATGAGGTTTTTTTTTTGACATGACGGGACTGGAAATAATTTTTCAAGATAAATGTACATTTGATGAAGGCTTAGACTAATATTGTGTGTGCAAAATTTCAGATTATTGGTTCGCTCTGTTTTCAAGAACAAGATTTCTAATAGTGAAAAATGACCCACACCTAAAAAGTATTGCAACACTTTTCACTCAAATGGGACTAAGAATGGCACAAACATGCAATTTTCAATTTTTCTTAGGATATTTTTTAATTATCTTTTGCATATCTGTCTATTTTAACAGCCCCTGATCTATTTAAGTAATTCAAATTTTATGCATTTAGGTTTTTGGACCTCAGTGAAGTTGCTTTTATCATGGTTGTCATTGATTTGTTTTTTTGTAGGAAGAAATGGAGACGTTCCTAACAGTACTGGTGTTATGCCACAATATACGTGTAGATCACCCTCAGGCTGTTGATCTCGGTGCCTCGTCTATGTACAGTTACGGAGGATATGATTACGAGTATCAGGCCTCGTCACCTGACGAGAAAGCGTTTGTCGAGGCATGTAGAAGGTATGTGCTGAGATATAAAGATGTTTCAATTAAATGAAATAAATAATGACAGATTTTCTTGCTAAACATGTTGAATTATCTAGTCGTGATTGAAATTTTCGACTATCAATTGTGGAATACATTATTCTGGTAACCCAATACTAAACATTTCTGGTCATTTTGAACACAATAAGTGATTTACCTAGATTCATAATTATATACTTATGGAGAGGGTTTTACCTATGTTGATATGTAAAATACTTGTATTATAGGGAAAACTGAAATGTTTTCCATCTTGCATGGTTTTTGATCTGTTATAAATAGGTAAAAGTTTGGCTCAGATAAGGATTGGTTCAGAAATTTATCAGTGTCTATTTTAGTATTTTTATATGTATAGGTTTGGTGTTGTTTTCCATGGGACGCATGATGAGAGATTGGAAATAACGTTTAAAGGAGAGATGAGGAGATACAAACTTTTACATTCACTGGAGTTTGATCCAACCAGAAAAAGAATGAGTGTCATAGTCCAGAATGAAAATGGTAAATAACCAAATATATTGTATGTTCTACAATAAACGTCCCCCCCCCCTTTTTTTGCATAGGAAAAGAAATTAGTCACCAATTTGATAGTAGGTTATTATTAATCCATGAAAATAAGCCCAAATTTGAACTAAGCTGGTGCATCTGGTATATTAATTCAGCAGAAAATAATACAAAAACAGTAAACAATTATTTTGATTTGGAGATATTTATGGATTGACTTTGAAAAACCATTTCCTGGCTATAGAGCTCTTTAATGCAACAATTTTGTGCAACAATCTTTAGGATGTTACTTGTATTAAAAGACTTTGTTATTAACAAAGACTGTGCATCTTATTGCAAATATTGTTCTAAAAGCAGCATGTTTTATTGCAGATGAAATCTACTTGCTGAGTAAAGGGGCAGAGACAGCTATACTAGACAGGGTTATAGAGGGGGATATATCCAGCACCCTTCTACATGTTAATGAATACGCTGTGGTGAGCATATTTTATATACCGTATATTATGTATATATATGTGTGTGTGAGATCCATGACATAACTTGTGGCGTAACCTGTGACAATAGCCATTTTATTTTATTGCAGGACTTGGTCACTTTTTCAAGGAAATACTTTTAAGAAGTTGTCTCTGAGGGATCAGAAATCATGTTGAATTTAAATAACAAATTAAGTGTCTTTCCTGTTTAGAAATAGAAGTTTCCATTGTTATAGTATGGGATTTTGGTAATGAAAGAAACCTGTCAACAGTATAAAAATAAATCAGACCAAAAAAAAATCAGACCGCAGTCAGTAGTCAGACAGACTATATTCTGGTGGCTGAGGCAAGTCAATATTGAACATAGCATTTAAAGTAACCCCTGTGTGCTAAACTGAGGAGTATATGTAACATTAAAGTTCCTGCCTATAAATTAATGAAATATATGATGTATTACATCACCTTAGTGCAGTTAAGGGTGAAGTCCTTCTAAGATTTAGGAGTATGCTCTAGGAGTTACCCAGTTATTGCACTAAGGTGATGAAAATTGTAATGAATTTGTTCTATGCTCATTAAAGAGTAGGATTCATGATGTTTTCTATGTCATGCCTTAAACTCAAAAATATGTAACAAAATGCCAAGGACATGTGTTTTGACTAATTATCTACCAATGTCACTTTGCAAAAGATATGAAATAAAGTTGGAAATGAAAGTATATGTCTATATATTATACAGTAATGTATACATACAGATTTTTTAACAATTTTACACATTTCAGCTTGGATTAAGGACTTTAGTTATCGCTATGCGGCGGTTAGAGAGTCAGGAATATACAAAGTTTGACCAAATGTTGTCAGAAGCCAGGAAATCTCTAACACAAAGGGAAGTAAAGGTATGTGCTCAGTAAAGCTTTTATTGCAGAAATAAATTGGCATAATATATAGAAAATATTGAGTGAGTGTAGGTTTAATATTAAATCTATTGAACCAGTTGAATAAAACCGTATTATGCGAGCCTCTGGCAAGCATAATATTGTTTTAGTCAACAAGTTCAATTTCATTTCTTCAAGCTTGATGTTTTGTCAATTAATTAAATGAAAATATGGTGCGAAATGAAATTAAATGAATATTTAAACATAGAATTTCAAAAACTATAAAACTTGCAGTAGAATTTGGTGGTTTTGTTTAGTAAAATTACCTTGTCCTTCAAAATGTTTATATGATTTATCATATGTTTTGTATGATAATAATAATTATGTTTATATCATTTATCATTATAGCTTGCAGAAGCCTTTGATTATGTGGAGAAGAATTTCAAGTTGCTAGGGGCAACGGCTGTAGAAGATAAACTTCAGGACGATGTTCCTGAAACTATACAAGCTTTACTGACTGCTGGTATCAAGGTAGTATAGATTTACCTCCCTTTCCTTCCCAAATATCTCTGAATAGATAACTTTCTGTACTTAATGTTATGATAATGATGCATTGTTTATGGTTGTTGTTATGTGGGTTAGATGACACAGCTCTATTTTTGTGCCCCCACTTTAGTGGCGGGCATTTAGATTTACCCTTGCCCGTCCGTCCGTTCTCTTTTGTGTCGCACGTAACTCAAAAAGTATTTGACCTAGAGTCAAGAAACTTTACAGGAATGTTGATCAGCATGTGTAGTTGTGCACCTGGGTATTTTTCGTCTTGATATTTTTAGTATTTTTAGAGTTATTGACCTTGACTTAGTAAAATTTTGCAATTTTCAACTTGTGTCGCATGTAACACAAAAAGTATTTGACATAGAGTCATGAAACTTTACAGGAATGTTGATCAGCATGTGTAGTTGTGCACCTGGGTATTTTCGTCTGGATATTTTTAGTATTTTTAGAGTTATTGCCCTTGACTTAGTAAAATTTTGCAATTTTCAACTTGTGTCGCATGTAACTCAAAAAGTATTTGACCTAGAGTCATGAAACTTTTCAGGAATGTTGATCAGCATGTGTAGTTGTGCACCTGGGTATTTTCATCTGGATATTTTTAGTATTTTTAGAGTTATTGCCCTTGACTTAGTAAAATTTTGCAATTTTCAACTTGTGTCGCATGTAACTCAAAAAGTATTTGACATAGAGTCATGAAACTTTACAGGAATGTTGATCAGCATATGTTGTTGTGCACCTGGGTATTTTCGTCTGGATATTTTTTGTATTTTTAGAGTTATTGCCCTTGACTTAGAAATTTTTTGCAATTTTCAACTTGTGTAGCATGTAACTCAAAAAGGATTTGACATAGTCATTAAACTTTATGGGAAGGTTGCTCAGCATATTTAGTTTTGCACCTGGGGTTTCACTTGTGGATTTATCCAGTATTTGTAGTTATTTCCCTTGACTTAGTAAAAACTGTTTCATTATGTTGTTATTTGTTCCTTGAGTGCTTGAGTTAGAATCAACCAACTTTACAGGAATAATGATCAACATCACTAAATTACAGGAATAATGATTCACATCACTGTGAAGCTATGCACCTAGGACTTTGCATGTGGATTTTTTTCAGTTTTGTAAGAGTTATTGCCCTTGACTTACAGTAGTATAAATTTGCAATTTTCATGCATAGCTCAAAAAGTATTTCACTTGTAAGTCTGAAAGTTTACAAGAATGTTGGTCAGCATGTGTACTTATGCACCTTGGGGTTTGCTTGTGGATTTATTCAGTATTTGTTAAGTTTTTGCCCTTTATTTAGTAAAAGATTTTTAGTTTTCAAAAAATATTTGACCTAGAGTCATAAGATTGACAGAACAGTGGCGCAGTGGGGGCACCCGTGTCCTATGGACACATTTCTAGTTATTACCTCTATTGATAACCATTTCAGTAGGTATTGAGTCTGGGTTCTACCCATGTGCCTACAAGTGGCTGAAATTATGCACAATCATTTGAGAACTCCCTCTACTATTGATGCTGAAAAGTCGCCAAATTTCCTTAACATTGTGAGTGTGATGAAATAAAAATGAAATAAAATATCAGTGAGAGAAATTATTTAAGGGAGTGATGGTCTAGTGGAAAAGGTGATTTCCTCTAAACCTTGTAGAGATTGTGTGTTAGGTCTAAGAAGAGGTCACAATCGTGTTTTATTATGCCACACTAGAACTGGTTAATACCAGTAAGCTGACACTAGAGTGGTTTAAATTAGCTTTAAAATTTCTTCAAATGGAACTTAAAAGAATACTGTTAAGGACGTTTTCAGGAGTTTTCATATAGACATATAGGCAAAATAAAACTGTTTAATAGAATTTCTTAAAACTTAGCATGTTGTTAGAATATGATAATAGAAACACAAGTTTCATTATAATTATATGAAAACATCTTTAAAAAAATTTTATTATTTTTTATTATTAATAACTCTGGAATAGTGAGAGCATTGAAGAAAATTGGAAAAAAAAATATTCAAAAATTTGCAAACTAATGCCTCAATATAGTATGTAAGAGTGCATGTTAATCTGAATATATTGAAGGTATGGGTGTTGACGGGTGATAAAGAAGAGACAGCAGTGAATATTAGTCATTCCGCAGGACATTTCTCCCGAGATATGTTACAATTGAAGATAACACAGATGCAGTCTGGCTTGGACTGTGCTGATTTGATACGCAAACATTCCCAGACGTGAGTGTTACACAATTTTAATGGCCTAATTTTGTATAAAACTTTGGTTTTTTTTATAAAGTAAAATCCTTTGATAATTGTTGTTTTTTTTCCCACATATGGTTGAAGTAAAAATTTAATTAAGACTTGTCTTAAGTAGAGTAACAGATATATCTCATGGTTTTATGCATGTATTTGCTATTCTTATATCGATGATATAGAGGATATTTGTTTGTTTCAGTGTAAGATCGAAAAATATTTCACCGAGTGAACACCAGATGCAATATTTTCCACGAGTGGTGTAGCCACGAGTGAAAATATAATAGCTGGGGTTCACGAGTGAAATATTATTTGATCTCACATGTAAAACAAACAAATTTTCTGTTTATTTCATGATTTTTTAACGATTTTTACACCATTTTACTAATTTTTGCCGCGTAACGTCATGCTCTTATCTTCATGACGTCATCAAATAATGACGTCACAATGTTGAAGCAAAATATAATTCCATGATTATTTTTAGATTTTAGATGTTTTTCAGCACAACGTTCGTAAATATTTACGAACTACAGTTATCACGTACATTTTTTATTATGATTGACTACATTTCCGCTGAAAAAACATTCATTAATGATAAATATTTTATTTTTACGCCAAATATAGTTCGGCTACTGTGAAATTATATTTGGTAATTATTACTGTGAAATTATCAGAATATAATTAACCGTTATAATTCAGTAATCTACTGCAAAACATGTAATAAATTCATGTAATTATTTAGATTTGATAAGTTTTTCTTTGAAGAAAGTTCTTCTGTTTGCATCATTTATAAATGAAACCTTAGTATATGTGTATATTATGAACAGATGTTTACCTTTTGATGTATTTTATGTTTCAGTTTGGACAATCCAGTGAATCGTGACGAGAAGTTTGCCATTGTTATAGATGGCACTAGTTTAGCATACTGTCTGATAGAGCATGCCGATATTCTCCGAGATCTCTGTATGAAGTGTTCTGCCGTCCTGTGTTGTAGAATGACGCCACTACAAAAAGCCGAGGTAAATTATGTTTATTGAAATTTGAAGTTTTTATTTCAAACAATTATGTATCTTATGTTTTTGATTATTTTTGTTTTGATTTTTAGCTCGACTTTTCTATGAAAAGGGGAGCTATCCTACTCGCCCCGGCGTCGGCGTCGGCGTTGGTGTCACACCTTGGTTAAGTTTTTCGTACCACCCCACTTTATTTCAGAAGTATTACAAGTATGGCTTTGAAACTTACCATACTTGTTCACCATCATAACTTCCATCTACAGACAAGAGTACATAACTCTGTCAAGGTTTTTGACAGAATTATGGCCCTTTTTTGACTTAGAAAGTGTATTGAGCTTGGTTAAGTTTTTTGTACCACCTCACTTTATTTCAAAACCATTGGAGGTATTGCTTTGAAACTGACCATACTTGTTTACCATCACGACCTTCATCAACAGACAAGAGGACATAACTCTGTCAAGGTTTTTGACAGAATTATGCCCCTTTTTGACTTAGAAAATACATTGAATATGGGTAAAATCCACTTATTGCCTTAACCCTTTGAGATATTGCTTTGAAACTTTTAATGCTATTTCACATCATTACCCCCATCTGTACGCAAGAGAAGGTAACTCTGTCAAGGATTTGTTTTAAAAATTAAGGCCTTTTATCGACTTAGAATCTTGGTTAAGTTTTTAGTACCAGTCCACTTTTTGACTGAACTGTTTGAGATATTAATTTGAAAGTTGGAATACTTGTTTACAATCATGATTCCCAAACATGTCCAGGAGAAGGTAATTCTGTCAAAGATTTTATTTGAATTATGGCCCTTAACTGTCAATGTTTTGTATTATAGGCAAGCACTAAAAAACTTAAAAAATCTAAAAAAATTCATTCCTATCCACTTGTTCACTTTACCATAAATTATGTCATATAAACATTGCTGTAATATTCAAGGGTATCAAACAACTAGTTCACTTTAAAAATACAGAGATTCTTGTATTGCCTTTTACTGCAAAAACTTTTTTTATTGGCAAGCAATAAAAAAGTCGAGCGCGCTGTCTTACGGACAGCTCTTGTTTAAACATATACTATGCTCTGAGTAAATTTTAATTTTATCACAGAAATTATTGAAATTCATGAAATTTTCACTAAATATGTTTTATTTGAAGAAAAGAATGAACTATGTATTGGAAGCGGCTTTCCCTATAACAGGGGAAGTAAAACCAGTTAATTGTAAGGAATTTAATTTATATCTTGTATTGCAAATGTGATAAGAAATTTTGTTTTGTTTCCAGGTTGTGAAGTTGATCAAGAATTCTAGAGAAAATCCTGTGACAGCTGCTATAGGAGATGGTGCTAATGATGTTAGTATGATAGAGGAGGCACATGTTGGACTTGGTATGTTAAAAAATGGGTCTTGCCATTGAAAAAGCTCTCAAATATTTCGGTTATTTATTTTACCTGGATTTTTTTGCAAATTTTTACATCTTGAATTAATCTTTAATAAGTTTGCATCCATACTTTACGTTTTTAGCTCGACTATTCGAAGAATATGAGAGCTATTGTAGTCGCCCCGGCGTCGGCATCAGCGTCCGCGTCGGCGTCTGCGTTGGTTAAAGTTTTTGTAAAGTCAAATATCTCAATTATTACTTGAGATATTCAATTGAAACTTACAATACTTATTTATAGTAACAAGGTACATCAGATTGACAAGTTGGATAACTCTGCCTACAATATTGACAGAATTATGCCCCTTTTTAACTTAGAAATTTTGGTTAAAGTTTTTTGTAAAGTCAAATATCTCAATTATTGCTTGAGATATTCAATTGAAACTTACAATACTTATTTATAGTAACAAGGTACATCAGATTGACAAGTTGGATAACTATGCCTACAATATTGACAGAATTATGCCCCTTTTTAACTTAGAAATTTTGGTTAAAGTTTTTTGTAAAGTCAAATATCTCAATTATTGCTTGAGATATTCAATTGAAATTTACAATACTTATTTATAGTAACAAGGTACATCAGATTGACAAGTTGGATAACTCTGCCTACAATATTGACAGAATTATGCCCCTTTGGAACTTAGAAATCTTGGTTAAAGTTTTTTTGTAAAGTCAAATATCTCAATTATTGCTTGAGATATTCAATTGAAATTTAAAATACTTTTTAGCTCACCTGTCACAAAGTGACAGGGTGAGCTTTTGTGATCGCTTTTCGTCCGGCGTCCATCCGTCGTCCGTCCGTCCGTAAACTTTTACTTTAAATGACATCTCCTCATAAACCACTAAGCCAATTTCATCCAAACTTCACAGGAATGTTCCTTTGGTGGTCACCTTTAAAAATTGTTCAAAGAATTTAATTCCATGCAGAACTCTGGTTGCCATGGCAACCAAAAGAAAAAACTTTAAATATCTTCTTTTAAAAAACCGAAAGAGCTAGAGCTTAGATATTTGGCATGAAACATCTTCTAGTGAGTGTCTACCAAGATTGTTCAAATAAAAGCCCTGGGGTCAAAATTGGCCCCGCCCCAGGGGGTCATTGATTTTCCCTATATGTATATAGTAAAAACTTAAAAAATCTTCTTTTAAAGAACTCAAAGAGCTAGAGCTAAGATATTTGGCATGAAACATGTTCTAATGGGTGTCTACCAAGTTTGTTCAAATAAAAGCCCTGGGGTCAAAATTGGCCCCGCCCCGGGGGTCATTGATTTTCCCTATATGCATATAGTAAAAACTTAAAAAATCTCCTTTTAAAGAACCCGAAGAGCTAGAGCTTAGATATTTGGCATGAAACATCTTCTAGTGAGTGTCTACCAAATTTGTTCAAATAAAAGCTCTGGGGTCAAAATTGGCCCCGCCCCAGGGGGTCATTGATTTTCCCTATATGTATATAGTAAAACTTAAAAAATCTTCTTTTAAAGAACCAAAAGAGCTAGAGCTAAGATATTTGGCATGAAACATGTTCTTATGGGTGTCTACCAAGTTTGTTCAAATAAAAGCCCTGGGGTCAAAATTGGCTCCGCCCCAGGGGGTCATTGATTTTCCCTATATGTATATAGTAAAAACTTAAAAAATCTTCTTTTAAAGAACTCAAAGAGCTAGAGCTAAGATATTTAGCATGAAACATGTTCTAATGGGTGTCTACCAAGTTTGTTCAAATAAAAGCCTTGGGGTCAAAATTGGCCCCGCCCCAGGGGGTCATTGATTTTCCCTATATGTATATAGTAAAAACTTAAAAAATCTTCTTTTAAAGAACTCAAAGAGCTAGAGCTAAGATATTTAGCATGAAACATGTTCTTATGGGTGTCTACCAAGTTTGTTCAAATAAGAGCCCTGGGGTCAAAATTGGCCCCGCCCCGGGGGTCATTGACTTTCCTTATATATGTGTATATCAAAAACTTAAAAAGTATTCTTTGAAAAAACCTAAATAGCTAGAGTTAAGATATTAAGCATGAAACATCTTCTAGTGAGTGTCTACAAAGTTTGTTCAAATAAAAGCCCTGGGGTCAAAATTGGCCCTGCCCTGGGGGTCATTGATTTTCCTTATATGTGTATAGGAAAAACTTAAAAAACATCTTTGAAAAAACCCAAATAGCTAGAGTTTAGATATTAAGCATGAAACATGTTCTAGTAAGTGTCTACAAAGTTTATTCAAATAAAAGCCCTGGGGTCAAAACTGGCCCCGCCCCAGGGGTGTCATTGTTTTTAACTATATGTGTATAGTAAAAACTTAAAAAATCTTCTTTAAAAAAACACAATGAGCTACAGCTTAGATGTTTAGCATGAAACATCTTCTTATGGGTGTCTACCAAGTTTGTTCAAATAAAAGCCCTTGGTTAAAATTGGCCCTGCCGGGGGTAGGGGAGGGCAGATCATTGTTTTTCATTATAAGTGTGTACATCATGAAACGTCTTCTTAAAGGTGTCTTCCAAGTTTGTTCAAATAAAAGCCCTGGGGTTTAAACTGGCCCCGCTCCGGGAGCCTACATACAGGTGAGCGACCTTAGGGCCATCATGGCCCTCTTGTTTATAGTAACAATGTACATTAGTTTGCAAAATTGCATAACTCTACCTGCAATATTTGCAGAATTATTTGCCCCTTTGAAACTTAGAAATTTTGGTTTAAGGTTAAATGTCTTCAAAGATATTTACTTGAAACTTTACACATGCACTAAGGGTCATAATTGGAGGGTCAGAATTGTATGTCACTGACCAAGTTCCATAACTCTATCTTGCATTAAGGCTGATTCATATCCCCTTTTCTACTTAGTCTCTTGGTTAATGTTTACATGCAAGTTTTACATATCTCAATAACTATTAAAGATATTTATTTAAAACTTCACATATGCATTTAGGGACATAATTGTAGGTCACTGACAAAGATCCATAATTCTATCTTGCATTTAGGCTGATTGTTCTCCCCTTTTTCAACTTAGAAATTCATGGTAAAGTTTTGCTTGTAAGCTGTTATCTCAATAACTACTGAAGGGTTTGTGCCTTTTTTGGGACAATTTTATGCATTCATAATAATAAAGCAGTGATTTACTTGATAAAACATCTTAATAACAAGCCTTTGTACCTTTTATGTCAAATTTATGTATTCAGAGGTAATTAGTATTATTATACCCATTAAAACACCCTTGTATCATTACCTTCCGAATAGTCGAGCCAATACTGTATAATTAGACTCTCTCAAAGGCCTATAAAATGAATTTATAAAAAAATTTAGCCCTTTTGTGAACTTAAAACATTTAACATTATCAAGGCTCTTTTACTATCAAGCACTTAGAATAGTCGAGCGTGCTGTCCTACCGACAGCTCTTGTTCATTTTAGCAAAATGTGTAGTATGTTATTAGAACTTAGATCAATCTCTATTAAGTTTGCATCCTTAACGTACATAAGGATACTTTCAGCATTAAAAAAACAAAAATTAAAAATCTTCCTTAATTTGAACCTGTAATAGTCAGCAACATTTCAAAGTAAGTTAGATGTCCATTTAGAAAAAAAAACAATTTGATATTTTTAAACATCAAAGTTAGTTTTAAATTTCAAGATTTTTATGTATCTGCAAAATTTCTTCAGCATATCAGTGAAAATAATTAGAATATATTCTGTATTCACCTTGCAATGTAAAAAAAAAAGGAGGATAACAATGAGTACTGATTTAAGTACTCGAGTACTCAGTCATCCTTTCGATCGATGACTTGGTTACTCGGAAGATTTGTTCAGACATTTAAAATACAATATGATAGCCAACTGAACAATTGAGAACCTGCTTTGCTGTGCATTTTGTCTTTCTTAAGATTTCTGTTATGTTTATTTATCTGCAGGGATCATGGGAAAAGAAGGAAGGCAGGCTGTAAGGAACAGTGATTATGCTTTCGCGAAGTTCCGATTCCTGATGAAGGCACTCCTTGTACATGGACATTTTTACTACATTAGAATAGCTAACCTTGTTCAGTATTTCTTTTATAAGGTATGTGTTATATAACATTTTAGCCTCTCATTTATTTAGGCCTGAAGACTAGGCCTTGTGTCATAATAAGTAGATTCTGATAATGTAAAATCTATAGTTTATTTTAGGCAATTTGGAAAGAAGACCACATGCTATGTTAATGTTTTTAAGTTGTTACTCAGGCACTTAATCTTTAATTACAATGCAAGCTAGGCCTAAATCATGTGATTTTGATTTGTTGTTTCATACATATGGATCACTTCTTTAATTTTTGTAGGTGACTATACAATATTTAAGAAATAATATTGGTTTCAGCAGTGTTCATTGGCTATTTAACATCGGTTTGGAGTTTGGATGCATAGGAATAGACCACAAAGGCTGTAGGTCGGAGTTGTTAACTTTTTCACATCAAAACGACAGAAACAGGGGTGTTAAATATCCGATAAACGCCGACTTAGACCAATATTATATGAGCCGCGTCACAACAAAACCAACATAATGGGTTTGCGACCAGCATGGATCCAGACCAGCCTGCGCTTCCGTGCAGTCTGATCAGGATCCATGCTGTTCGCCTATAAACCCTATAACAAGTAGAGAAACTGATAGCAAACAGCATGGATCCTGATCAGACTGCGCGGATGCGCAAGCTAGTCTGGATCCATGCTGGTCGCAAACGCACTATGTTGGTTTTGTCGTGACGCGGCTCATATTGATTCTAATAAGACAAAATAAGGGAGATCACCAAAGCTATTTTTTTAAGTGGAGATTACTTCAGTTGCTGATTTTCATAACACGCTGTTTTATTTTGCACCCTATTGTCGCTAAGGTATAAAAATTATTAAACAAAAGAAAATATAAGAAAACTTGTTAAAACATAACTGTTAAAACATAACTTATTATTCAATATACTTACTTAATCAAGTTTTCAACAATTCAAACTTGAGTGTCAGACTGGATTGTCTTGTGTTTACATGTACCAGAATCTTCTTGTCACTAAGACATAAAAATATTCACAAAGATATATCATAAACTTGATATCTGATATTTATACATCAATAACATAACATTTAAATATGTTTGCTGTTTGATTATTTTTCAGAATGTGGCTTTTATCACTGCCCAGCTTTTCTACACATTTTTTTCTGCATTCTCAGAACAGGTTAGTTTAATTAGATTTTAATTAAGAAATGATATATCCCAAACAGTGATTTTATCGCTAAATAAACCATTAGTTCTTCTAGGGATTTTAGTATCAAAAATTATATTCTGTATAATTTAAGTGATATTTTACATGTATATCAGAAAAGTTTTGTAGCTATCACACCATATGTGCTTTGGAATTGAAAGCCCACTGAGCCACCCAAAAAACTTTTCATTTTTGGCATTTTGCAGCAGTTTCCAAAAGTTACTCATTGACCCAAGATGAAAATAGCTGAGTCATCTTTAGGTTCAGTATTGCATTTTGAAGTTAGCACACCTATATAAATTTGGATAATTTTATGACAAATTTTTTCACATTAAGGGCTACTTTCTTCAGGTTATAATCCTCAAACATTCTTTAAATCTTATTATTAAAATGATTAAAATCTATGTTACTTGTACTTAAGGTACTTGCTTCAAATGTACTTGTTTCGGAGGGTATATTTGCATAATTCTCATCTAACCTCAATGAATAATTTGTTTAAAACAAGCAATAGTTTGTTACATTTTGCTGTAAACAAAATATCTTTGCTATAGTTTGTAATTTATAGTGCTTATTTATAACATATTTTCTTTTGTTAAAATTTTCAGACACTATATGAGAGTTGGTATTTGATGAATTTTAACATGGTATTTACTGCATTCCCTATACTGATGTATGGCATCTTTGAACAACATTTAAAACCTAGTCTCCTCATGGGAAATCCTAAACTTTACAGGTAAAACTCTAATGTAATCAAGTTTCCACGTGGGTAATATCCTAAACTCTACAAGTAAAACTCTTATGTAATCAAGTTTCCACGTGGGTAATATCCAAAACTCTACAGGTAAAACTCTTATGTAATCAAGTTTCCACGTGGGTAATATCCAAAACTCTACAGGTAAAACTCTAATGTAATCAAGTTTCCTCGTGGGTAATATCCTAAACTCTACAGGTAAAACTCTAATGTAATCAAGTTTTCTCATGGGAAATCCTAAACTTTACAGGTAAAACTCTAATGTAGTCAAGTTTCCTCATGGGAAATCCTAAACTCTACAGGTAAAACTCTAATGTAATCAAGTTTTTTCATGGGAAATCCTAAACTCTACGGGTAAAACTCTAATGTAATCAAGTTTCCACGTGGGTAATATCCTAAACTCTACAAGTAAAACTCTTATGTAATCAAGTTTCCACGTGGGTAATAGCCTAAACTCTACAGGTAAAACTCTTATGTAATCAAGAATGTAATGGGAATTCTAAATCTTTTTGGATCATCAAGATATTTTATAGGAAATCACTAACTTGAAATGTTCATATGTCTTTCATAAACAAAATTTCTCTTTACAAATCCTAAACTTTAAGGAAATCAAGTTGACTTATTGAACTTACTTACAGTTTGAAGTTCTTTAGTAAACAAGAAGAAAAACACTTTTCTTTCATTTTCTATTACATTTTTTTGTGAATAAAAGTTGAAAACATTAGCTTTATTTTAATTATATCTACTTTTTGTCAAATAAAATAAGATATTAATAATTTCTTTTTTCAGGAAAATATCAAGAAATGAAAATATGTCTATACATAACTTCATTTTATGGAATGGTTCAGGTAAGTTTAAATAAAATGATGAAATTTACAATTAAGAAATTTTAAAGTTAATTTTGAAGGAAAAATATTTTTGATTCAGCTTAAAGAAGTGTGTGTGTATTTGAGTTTATTTTATACTCACCGCTGGTTGCCCATATGGGCGAGTCCTCCAGAAGAGTATTAGTAATTTTATATTTTAGCTTAAAGAAGTGGATGTGTTTGCAGTTTTTGTGTCGCCTCTACTGAGTGGTGGCAACATATAGGGATCACTTCTCTGTCGTCTGTCTGTCCGTCTGTCCGTCCGTCCTTCTGTCTGTCCTCACAAACATTTTAGGTATATGAGCTAACTAACGGTACACTGGGACAAGAGAGAACAAAGGACTTCATTCCATAAATAATAGTTAGCTCATAAGAAAACAATAGTTAGCCCACAAGGAAACAAAAGAAAAGAACAAAAGAAATAGCTCATAAACCTGAAAAATTGGTAAGTCCGTCACAAAACTTATCCAGACTACTTCTCATAAACCACTGGTGCAATTTCATCCAAACTTTACAGAAATGATTAGTACCAAGTCTAGTTGTGCATATTGTCAGCATTTTCCGGTTCAATGATTTTTGTCAGAGTTATGGCCCTTTAATAATTTTTATTTTTAAAGTTTGTCTGGACTACTTCTCTTATACAACTAATGCAATTTCAATGAAACTTTACAGGATTGATCTGTAGCTCAAGTCCTTGCGCATATTGCACGGGTTTTCCGTTTGAATGATTTTTGGCGGAGTTATGGCCCTTTGATAAAAAGACGTTTTTTTCTGTGTGTTGCCAGATACACAAAAGCTTGTCCGGACTACTCCTCATAAACTACTGGTGCAATTTCATCCAAACTTTACAGAAATGATCAGTACAAAGTCTAGTTGTGCATATTGTCAGCATTTTCCAGTTCAATGATTTTTGTCAGAGTTATGGCACTTTAATAATTTTTATTTTTAAAGTTTGTCCGGACTACTTCTCTTATACCACTAATGCAATTTCAATGAAACTTTACAGGATTGATCTGTAGCTCAAGTCATTGCGCATATTGCACGGGTTTTCCTGTTGAATGATTTTTGGCTGAGTTATGGCCCTTTGATAAAAAGGTGATTTTTTCTGTGTGTTGCCAAATACACAAAAGCTTGTCTGGACTTCTCCTCATAAACTACTGGTGCAATTTTATCCAAACTTTACAGGAATGATCAGTACAAAGTCTAGTTGTCCGAACATGAAATTGGCCATCACGAGGCGACACATGTGATCACTGATCGCTCTTGTGTTGAGATATATAAGGTTAATACCATAAGCATTATTTGGATAAAATCAAGTTTAGCAAACCCCATAAATATGCATTTGTTTCTGTTACTATGCTGTTCTGTTAATTGGTGCCATTCTTAATTTTAAGAAACATATATGTAAAGATCAGGGTTGTTTGGGCTACTGTGTGGAGGCATTTTCCCTCAAAAAGCATGTGTGCCAATATTGTACTTCTTTCTAGGGTTAGATGTGTTCCGATTATTACTTTCCTTTCCTTTCAAAGTTTCTGTAATGGACTTGCCTTTCTTTGAATTTGGAACCATCCATTATGAGTTTCCATTATGAGTTTAAGGATTTTCAATATGAAATAATCATGCAAACTAGACTGGTAAGATTTCATGGATGTGAAAACTTGTCAAGCAATAACCCAGATCATTAACACACACGCTAGGATAAGAACTTAACCTATTTATCTCATATTGTCAGTTGTTAAATCCATGGCCAAGTGGTTATGGTCATTGACTTTAAAGCACTTGCCTCGTGCTGCTATTGGTTCGAGTCCCACTAGGGACTTTCATTTTTTCAAGTGTAAAGTTATCCTGGTAGCTTATGGAACAGCGATGTTTCTACTTAGGTGCCCTTTTGTACATAAACTTAAAATAATGCACAGAATTGCTGCTGATGTATTCCTCCAACAGTCAAAGTGGAAAATTGCTGTATGACCTTAACAGTGTTGGTGCTACATAAAACCCAACTAAAAGTTGCCTTTGTTCTTTGTACAAAAATTCAAGATATATTATATAAGTTGTTGTTATGATGTTGTTATCATGTTGTTTTATAAATCTTGCAGGTTTATGGCATTGTGTTGTAATGTTCTTTGGGACATTGTTTCTACTTGGGGAGGAAAACTCATTGTTTTCAGATGGAAAAGTAAGTGTTACATACATCTTTTTATTAGCTTTACACAGTTATCGTCATTTGTCTGTTATAGCTGAATCAAAAATCATGTGGGATAAGTACTTGTCGTGAAATTAGAAATTACTGGCTAGTTATCAAGGAAAGCCTGTCAGGAGGATTGACTTCAAAGATTTGGCCAAAATTATACCACAACAAATATGAGTAAAATTGGCAAAAAAGCAACAACAAAAAACAAACAAACACAATATTTTATACAAAGAGATAATGTGAAAAAGAAAGGCTGCTTAGTGACGTATAATCAAGATCATTGATTGTTCACTTCAAAATACTTACCCCTCACATCTTTCGGTTCGAATCCCAGCAAGGACTTTGGATTCTTTCATGTGAGGAAGCTATTCACCTAGCTTACAGAAAGTCTGTGGTTCTACTCAGGTACCCATTTGTGGTTGAAATGATGCATGGGAGGCCACAATAGGTCTTTCTCCACCAGTAAAGCTGGAAAGTCGCCATATGACCTATATTGTGTTGGTGTGACGTAAAACCCAACTAAAAAAATGTTAACAATTTCATTGCCTTACTAACAAAAGGATAAAAATAACAAGCTAGATTTAGCTATACACCTGTTTAGCTTGTTAACTGCCGGAGTTCACTTTGAGGGAAATATATGTTTAGGTGGATACTCTTGCATTATTTATGAAGGAGCAAATTAGGAACAAAGTTTTGTGAAAGTCACAGTGTCAAAATTGTGAAGAAAGTGTTTTAATATGTAGAGGTCTTATTGAGTGACATATTTGAACATGTAACATGATTTTGTATTGAATACTAGCTTCACTGTGATTCATTTTGAGATAGAACTAATATAATTGTATATTTCAGATGATAGGAAACTGGTCTTTTGGTTCTATTGTGTATTTTGGTTGTCTCGTTATAGTTTGTCTAAAGGTAAGATGATAAATTGATCACATACTTGATTATCTGTGGAATTTTTGTTTCTTTTACATTTACATGTAGAGGGACAGCATTACTATTCAGTAACAATATCCATCTGCATTTATGTTAGTGACATTCTTTGGTTAAGTTTGTTTTTGTACTTCATCAATTTCTCACAAAACCCGTTGAGGTGTTGCTGTGCATTTTATAATGCCACCAGATGAGAATATAAAGAGTTCAAATCTACAACTAGCAAAATATACCATAAAATTAAAAAAAACACTACACAATCATGTTGCAACAGACATATGGTTATATTTTGAGAGATTTCCCTTACTATATAAGCATTATATAAGAAAATAGTATAGAACTTTTCCTGTCAAATTATTCTACAGCTATTATAGTAGATTAAATAAACATTTCATACCTGTGCTATCTGATTTATACGTAATTTAATTACAAACAATATTATTTTCAATTTAAATCTACATGCCTCCAGAAGAGCAAACTATTTCAAGAAAATCAGACTTGAAAAAAAAAGTACTAAGATTTTAAGAAAAGTAAAGAGAATCAAGATTTAAGTAATAATTAACATTTTATGTGCATTTAATGACTGATTTTTCAGTATTTATCAACATATTTCTACTGTGTGACTAATACAGTAGGGGCTATTTATTCATATATATGACCGTTTGTTGGTAATTTACATGGATTGTGGGTTTGCAATGTGTAAATTACTTTCTTTGTGGACTTGACAATATTTTACCTTATAATACATTTCTTAAAATTTTCATGAAAATAAGCATGAATCTGGAGGCACGCTGCTTTAAGTACTATAGCATAATATTAATATCAAGAACTAATCAATTATTGTACAAATTATGGACAGTCATTGATTGCTTTTTACTTTTTTATGACTTCTTTTTTATTTTCAGTTAAGTTTATCCATTTATTACTGGTCGCTTCCTATATGGCTCAGTTTTGCCTTCTCTGCATTTTCCTATTTTGTTGGTACAGCAGTCTACAATTCTGTCCTGTGGCCGTAAGTACATGTACATTTATTGACTGCCTTAATTATGATGTGTATTTCAAAGGAGCTCGTCTAAGATTCAACTGATAATTACATAAAATTTCAAGTTTTTACACTATTTAAACTGGTGCACTGGAAAATAGAAAAAAAAGTGTGCAAGGTAATGGAGTGGTACACTCAGAAATGAACTGAATACTGATTTTGTGTTGTTTTATTTTGGTTTAGTTTATTTTTAATTATGATTTATGAGTGCACCCTTTATTTTATAATATTGTACAGTTCTAATTCAATTGATGCCCATGAGACACCTTGATTAAATGCAAAGTATCTGAACAAGAAGTCATGCAATATTATATGATAATGCAATAATAGTAATAATAATAATAATAAGATAATAATGATAATTTAATGGTCAAAAATGGTTGAAAATTGTTGAATTTATGTCAGTTAAGAAATAATTTACTTTGTCATTTGGTTTGTTATCATCATATCTAATGTTATGCAACATAGTGTCATTCCTTTCCTAACATTGTGCATATATTATATATTTCAAGAAAGCTAAGTGTTCGTTTAAAAAGGAAATAGTTGTCTGCAAGATTAGCTCAATAGGGAGAGCATTAGATTGCTGGTTCGATCCTCATACCAGGCAATATTTCTCCATGACAACTCATATTATGTCATATTTTACAGGGGTCACTGATTCGATCCTTATGCTGGGCAATTTATCTCCATGACAACTTATATTATGTCATATTTTACAGGGACTTTTTCAGTGATCATAACTATCTGTTTCAAGTTTGGAACACAGTGTTCACGTCTGGTGGGGTCTGGTTTGCGGAGCTGGTACTTATCGTGCTTGCTCTGTTACCAGACATTATTTACAGATGCTACAAAGATATCTCATTAACAATGGAACTAGGACAGCAACGAAAGGTTAGTTTCATCATTGAAATATACCTCTTTATAAAGACTGGTGGGTGGGGTATGCACCATGCATTACTTTTTTTTCATGTATATGACTTCCTTCAAACAGATGCTTGTCATTCAAAAGATAAATTTTATTCTGCCCTTTTTCTGCTTCTGCATATTTCAATTTACATATTTATCAATAATTGACTGAGTGTCTTAGATGATCTTTGATTATAATACCATAAACAATGTAATTATCCTGTACTTTTTTTCCATTTTAACATTTTTTATGAATAAATATACTTACACATTATTAAGTCATACTCATTTTCATAAAAAATTTTTTTTAACTCACCTGAATATGATTTGAATGAATGAATTGCAAGTTGAAAATTTTGTTTTTTTCCCCTTTTTTTGAAGACATGTTAATAATATGTTAGGCTTACCGTATCTTGTAATAGGTTAGCAATGCTAGGGTAATGAAAAAAGCTTATCTAAAAGCAAATATAATGAAGGAATAGTTATAAAGTAAAACAAGCCAGTCCAAGATTTACAGACTTTGCTAGCATGGAAACAAGGTTGATATGTTTTTTGGACATACTTTTTGTTAAAAGACTGCATGCTCAGCATTTAATTTATCTACTGTGCAGTGTTTGAAGTTATATTCTGAGGTGTACAGATTATTTACCTCTTTGTTTTAAACTGTTTGAAGGAAATTATATTTTGATTATCTTTATTGACTTGCAATGTATTTTACAGCTAAGATGTATGCAACCAATGGTTTGACTATGTCATAAAGGGCAGCTATTTGTAAATAAAAAAGTACAACATATAAAAATATTGTTTGTTTCATATTTTGAGACCTGCCTTTCTATATACATGTAATATCATTACCCATGTATGATTTTTTTTGGAAGAAATTATTTCATTTGATTTTTGATTTTCATTTCTTTTTTTTGCAAACTAAATTCATATCTTCTACCCTTATTCTTGAAATAAGAAACAAACAATTTATTTGCACACTTTTGTATATAACTCCAACCAGCTGTATGAAATATGGCAATAAAACTAAAATTTATTGAAATTTTAGTCATGTTTTTACTTATTCAGTAAAGTGATTTTGTTAAAAAAAATAATCATAATTTTTTTTCACTACTTTGCAAACTGTTTTTATTCTACATTCATGGAATAACTCGGATGTTTTATTGATGCTTTTAGAGGATCAATCATTTGCTTAAAAAGTAATTGAAAATGCTTTTTTTCATGCCATGTTTGAAACAGACGGTTTGACATATTACCATACAAATTACAAATTCTGGTAAATAGGTAATGTAAAATATCTATTCTCCAATCAGCATTTTGACATGTTTATCTTCCTAGTCTTACCATGCTTATTCTTTTAAAGGTGCATACCTTGAGTCATGTTCTATTTTTAGAAACAGGACTTGGTGAATGTTAAAAATGTGTTCTATTTTTAGAAACAGAACTATGTCAGTGTACAGTTTACGTGAGAGTGATGCAGTAACTTTCGGACTTGACTATTGACTTTTATTAATAGTAAAGAAATAAAAAATTTGCTATTTACTTAAGATTACTTTTTGTATGAAACATCTCAAGTAATGCTCCTTTAAATGAGCTGATTGCTTTTAGTTCATACATACTAGGCTAATCAATAGTCTGCATTTGACTATCTTTAATTGCAGCATTTTTGACAATGATATATATTGCTTTGAATCTTAAGGTGAAATTGATATTTTTAATAGTTGTTTGTCTTAATATGACCCCTTGTTTTCAGCAGTATATTACCTGAATAACCAAACCTGCCCTTGCAATTAATGATATTGGGCATCTTTTTAATGTTGAAAACATATGTTTAAAATGATCACTCGTTAAAGTTTATATAATATATGAAATATAAGAAATTTTGATTTTGAATTAAATTTTTTAAAGCCTGCATGTACAAGATTTTTTTCTCTGAATATTTGTCCAATTTAGTGTCTGATGATAAGTGTCTAGAAATTGAATGTTAATAAGAAAAAAAAATGTTTGGTAATGTTTAAGATTATTTTGTTGGTTCATAAAACTATTGATACGGTTAAATATGGTGATTGTCATTTTACTTTTTATTTCATAAGACAATCTGTTTTCACAAAGTTTATCATAAAGAGGTTTTTATATCGTAAAGAAATATGTGACTTAGCTAATTTACTACTTTCTAGTAAAGTTGTCATACAAGTTGGAATCATGGACATAATACCTTAAGAGGTACATGCATTTTCATGATACCAAATTGTGTGTTATTTTAAGTATTAATAATGACCTACTTCCCCCTTTAATATACATTATTTTTATGAATTTTTTTTGCGGAAAGTGGATAATTTATGATGAATTGTAAAACCAACCTAAGTTTGCTGGATTTCTAAGAGAATAAAGGGTGAATCTATTAATTTCATCTCAATATTTATTTCTTGTATGCAGGTATAAATGTTCACTTGGTGTTTTATGATTTATGATTGGTTTCAATGCTTTTTAACTGTTTTAACTTGGTAAGTCATTAGATAAGTTACTACATTTTTTTGGTAAAAGCTCAGCTGATTGTGGGGTAAAGGTAAAATATCTTAAGCTACAATTTTCTTTATGGCCATGCAATCTCATAAAAATCATATCCAAAAGGTCGCTTCACTACCCATTTCTAGGAAGGCTTCGAAGCGAAGAGTGACATAGAGAAAACAATGATCTGATTTTAATGAGATTGCTTTATGGCCCTTCCCCAGTTTCTGCTGACCTTATTTCATGTACAGAACTGTAAAATCTTTACTTCCTATTCTATAAGTGTGATGTATCTGATATACAGCTTGAGTGTGGGGAACCATATTTTTCAATGTTTGTAATGTGTTATTTTATATTTACTATTATAGCGTTACCAAGGATTCCTATGATTGAGGTAATAGAGCAGAAGTGAATCACTGGATATTTGTTACATGTTGCATATGCTCAAACACAAATGAGCCGCTTCACTACAAAACCAACATAATGTGTTTGCGACCAGCATGGATCCAGACCAGCCTGCGCATCCGTGCAGTCTGATTAGGATCCATGCTGTTCGCTATCAGTTTCCCTACTTGTAATAGAGTTGGTAAGCGAACAGCATGGATTCTGATCAGACTGCGCAGATGTGCAGGCTGGTCTCGATCCATACTGGTCGCAAACACACTATGTGGGTTTTGTCGTGACGGGGCTCAAATCTATATACTGGAACATTTTTCTTTTCTTTTTTTGTAAATAGATATCCATCTTTGTCCTTTAAAGGCACATTATGTCTCAGAAATACATATATATTTTTAAGTGTTTAGAAATGTCAAACATGGGTTTGATAATGTTTTAATAATGGATTTAGAGTTATGTAAACTGTTTAATTACTGAAAAAAGTATGGCTGTACATAAAGTTATGTGTCATGAAGGTAGCAAAATGTAAACAAAATAATAGTGTTTTGACTTCAATACAAAATACTAATTCACTATCATTATACCAATTGCCAACAGAGCATAAAGAAAGCAAACGATAAATCATCTACATTTGTATGTGACAAACGAGTATTTTTGTAAAACTGTAACAAGATGTCAGAAATAAAAAGGTTTTGAGAAATAAAAATTGTTGAGGAGTAATGGGCCTTTAATGTTTCCATGTTATCGGGACTTTGTGATATAATTATTTGGCAGGCTTATGGCACTTTGAGGTTGTTTATTCTTTCATTCACATTAATAACTGTAGATGTTTTCCGTTAAAAATAGTCAAGAATGCGCAGATTTCAACACTTTTCTTTATTCTCATTCATGGAATAATATATCAATGTGATACAACAATGCGATTCTCTGAAAATAATAAATAAACAAACTAAATACTGATTACAACGCATTTAAAATAAAATACAATAAATTGTCTAAAATAATAATGCTTATACAAATCATAAATATACGATACCACCTTTACAATTATAGACTTAAATCTATTAAATAATATTGTTATTTTATATTTCCGCGAATAATTCCGTTTATAATTTAATTCACGGCATAATATTGTAAAGTTCATCATCATTTAAACAATATTGAATTTACTATTAAATTCATACATAATTAATAACTTGCTTACCGATTATGATCTACTTTCCATTGGAAAACATCAATAAACAAAACACATCAACAATTTAAGCACTTCCGCCCAAGGCAAAACAACATATCAAAGTAACGGTTAATGACGTCACCGTAAAACAATTTAATGACGTCTTTTTACGGGAAACAAAATAAGACGTTACGTTTGGCGGAAATAGTGAAGCTATGTTAAATTGAAAGAGTCAAACAATGTTTTTAATAGTAAATACTATCGAAAAAATCAAACTATGAAAATTATGTGATTATAATAAATAAATTTACAATTAAGAACTATAATTCTTACACTCCCCACCATGAAACGTTACGATTTCATCTTATACAAACAATAGCTTATTGTAATGTATACCTTTACTTAAATAGAACATTCTAGTAGGCAAAGTTTAGTTATTGGTCTTAAGAATTGTGACATACTAGTTTTGACCACACAGCTTCGTGTATGCCCGTCCCGACCCACATTTATAGATTCAACCCTGCCCAACGGCCACTGCCCCCTTGGTATGTTTTCCTGAGCCACGAGTACAATATCGCCCTCACGGATATCTCTTTGTGGTCTCAGCCATTTTTGTCGAGATTGTAGGGTAGGTATATATTCCCGAATCCATCGTTTCCAGAATATATCAGCAAGATACTGAGCCTGTCTCCACCTTCTCTTTGCATATGTATCTTCTTTTCTAAAAATGCCACGTGGAATACATGTATTGGACTTTAGTAATAAAATCATGCTTGGAGTTAAAACTGGGGGTCTTTTGGGTCATCACTTACTCGGGTAATCGGTCTATCATTAAGTATTTTTTCAACCTCTATTACAACAGTAAGAAGTTGTTCATCTGTCAGAAGCTGCTCTTTGACTAACGATCTCAAAATTGCACGTGTTGATCGTATCATCCGTTCCCATATACCGCCCGTGTGACTAGCTGACGGAGGGTTAAAGTTCCATTCGATTTCCCGCTGCAACATGAATTGTCCAATTTCGGATTGATTCCACTCTCGTAAGGACTTGCGTAATTCACAATCTCCACTTACTAGATTGGTTCCGTTGTCACTATATACATTTTCGGGTAAACCTCTCCGGCTAATAAATCGTTGCAATGCGGCGATAAACGAATCTGTACTCAAACTATGAGTAACTTCTAAATGGACGGCCCTTGATGTTAAACAAGAAAAAATACACCCATATCTCTTTACTTGTGACTTTCCTGATTTTACCATCAAAGGACCAAAAAAGTCTATGCCGATAAATGAAAACGGTGGTTTATCTGGTGTGATTTGCTCATCAAGTAACGGTCCCATTTGTTGCTTACAAAGCGGATTGTTCTTGCGTTTACATGGTACACAATTCCTTACTACCTGTTTGACAGCGCTATGTCCATTTATTATCCAGTATCTTGTTCGTGTAGCTGCTAAAACTTGTTGTACTCCGACGTGACCTTGACTTTCGTGGTAAAAAACGTATCATTAAAGTAGTTAAATGATGCCGTTTCGGGTAGAATGATTGGACATTTCGTTTCATCATGGTAAATAATGCGTCCTTTTGTACGTATTAAACCATCTTTAAGTATTGGATTTAATGAAGCTATCGGACTTTCACCTTTAACATTAGTTCCTTTTTGCAAGTTTATTACCTCATCGGCAAAGCATTCCATCTGAACGTATTTCACAACTGCGTGAGAAGATGTCTTAAGTTCAGACAAGGTGAGATTACCTTTTTCAACCACTACATCATGATGCAGATATCGCTGTTTGCAATAATCCTTGTATCTCAAAAACCATGCCACTGCACGTCTAAGTTTGAACCAATCAGAGTAGTATTCAATTATCTTCCCAATAGTATCACAAGTGGTAACGTTAATAGCAATTTCTCTCTTAACCTCGACATCATCTTCACTCACTTCCGGGATATTATTACCTGAATACTTAGGCCAGTGATCCCTACCTTTACTAAGAAATGTTGGTCCATGCAGCCAAACATCTAATTTGTCTGTCTCAGAAGCGTTGATACCTCTTGAAGCTATGTCTGCTGGATTTGAACTTGAATCAATATGGTGCCATTGATTTGGACTTGTAGTATCATGTATGATGCTAAGCCTATTTCCGACGAATGTTTTAAATCTTCTTGAAGTATTTCTGATATATCCTAGTAGTATCATCGAATCCGTCCAAAACGTAACTTCATCTATCTTAATATCGAGTTCCTCAGCAAGACATTGATATAAGCGACAAGCGACCACAGCTCCAGATAGTTCCAGTCTCGGTATAGTTATTTGTTTTATGGGGGCTAGACGAGATTTAACAATGACGAGACAGCATGTTATATTCCCCGTGTTGTCAGTGAGTCTCAAATACGCGCATGCGCCGTAACCTACTTCCGACCCGTCACTGAAAATATGCAACTGTGCATTAATTACTGATCCAAATCCTGGTGGTAGGAAACATCGATCTATCGTGATGTCGGCCAATCGCGGCAGGAAATGTAACCAACTTTGCCATTCTTCATCATAGTTGTCCGGAATTTGCTCGTCCCAGCCTAGCTTTTCTCTACACAAGTTCTGAATAATGAACTTTGCTTTCAGAATTATTGGCGACACAAGTCCAAGAGGGTCAAATATTGAACTTAGTGTTGATAATATCCCGCGCCTCGTTGAAGGGTTACTTTTTAAGTCAACCTTGTACTTAATTGTATCATTGTTTACGTCCCAAATAATACCCAATGCTTTGTCATTACATTTTTCACCAGGGGTTAAGCTGACAACCGATTTGGCAAGATCTGATTCCGGTATTGTCTTTAAAACATTTCTACTGTTACTGCGCCATTTTGTTAAGCGAAATCCTCCCAAAGACAGCATTTTCTTTAAATTCATAGCCAAATCAATAGCTTCCTGCTCAGATGGGACAGACTTTAGACAGTCATCAACGTAAAAATTCTTCTCAACTGTCAGCGCAACTTCCGGTTTAAACAGATGCGAGAAATCTTTCGCTGTTCTTTTAAGTGCATACGCAGCACAACTCGGAGAAGATGTAGCACCAAATAAATGGACATTCATGCAATATTGCTTAGGAATCTTGTCCAATTCTCCATTAGGCCACCAGAGAAACCTTAAAGCATCACGATCTTCCTCGATAACACGAACTTGGTGAAACATTGCTTCAATATCTGCAATAAATGCTATTCGTTCCTGTCTAAACTTTATAAGTACACCGACTAGACTGTTCATTAAATCAGGTCCTTGCAAAAGTTGACTGTTAAGCGACATTCCTTTGTATTTAGCAGCACAATCAAACACTACACATAGTTTTCCCGGCTTGTTAACATTTATCACGGGATGATGCGGCAAATACCAAACCCGCTTTGTTTCTGGTACAATGTGATCCACTTCAGATGCATATCCATTCGCAATGTAATCATTCACAGTAGTTCTGTACATATCATGCAAATTATTGTCATTTGACAACTTGCGCTTCAACTGCTGTAATCTGGCTTGGGCAAGCGGTATATTATTCACGAATGATGAATTTCTGTCACGCCAAGGAAGACCAAGCTTGTAATGACCATCCTCGCGAGTTAATGTTGACTCCATGGATTTCATAGCATTTTTATCTTCTACAGACATGCAACTCTTCACTTGTGATTTATCATTAAAGTCTGTTGTCCACAAACGCTCAATTTGTTGCTGTAACAACATGTCACGTGACTCAAAGAAATTTATATTAATATCGTTGGATTCTTTCATAGTTGGGACTGGACCGCGTATAGCCCATCCAAGACGAGTGCGTATCGCGTACGGTTCATCGCTATTTCCGAATTTCACTTCTAGCGGTATATGTGCAACAGGTGAATCCGTCCCTATTAACATCATAACGTCATTAGTGTCTATATCTGGAATATTTATACCGGATAAGTACGGTAAGTTTCGGATATCTGCATATTTAGCTGCAGATCGAGTTGATATCGGTAATGACTTTACTGACCAGACTTTTCTTACGGTAATACTTTCATTTCCATCGATAGGTTGAATATCTAAGTCGGCCTCCTGACCATGTATAATACCTTCACGTGAGTTTGCCGTAGACATCCGGAATGTGACGGGCTTACCGGTTATATTCAGGCTCCGTAACAATCTTTCATCACACAAGGTTTTATCGGCTCCATCATCTAGCAGGGCATATGTCTGACAAGAACTACCGTCCCCACCCTTAACTATTACAGGAATAATACCCAGACAATTTTTTACAGTAGAACCTTCTGTTGCTGCACAGTTACACGACGACTGCACTGCTGTGTGGCCATTATCGGGTTTTACCCAACTATGTAACAAAATGTGGTGTTTTACATTACAATTAGTAACATTACACATTTTTGGTTTTCTACACTTGTTTGTAAAATGTTTACCTTTTAAACAATTGTAACACAATTTAAGTGATCTTACCAGTTTATAACGATCATTGAGACTCATTGACTTGAACTTGTTACACAGTGATAACTCTGCACAGTTACCTGAACAACAAATGCATTTACTACTTTCATGACCGTTTTCTTCAGTATGTGTATTTAGAGTAGTAACCTTTGGTCTATCATTACTGTAATATTTGCCAGAACTGTTTCTGGTTTCTTTCTTGATAAAATCATTGTTTTTACAAAGATCATAGCTATACATGGAGTTAGCGATACGTGATTTTTCGTCTACAAATTTAGACAAATCTGAAAAGCGCGGCACTCTACCTGACTCATTTATATAATGTGCTACTTCTACCCATTTTACTCTTATATGTGTTGGGAGCCGCCTAACAATGCATCTTAAATTTTCTGTATTATCAATATCAGAGGAAAATCCTAACTGAGAAAGTGTAATTTCACATTTCTGCATCTCTAAAGATAATTTAGATAGCCCTTCAACATCGGACGCTTTAATCTGAGCACCATTTACCAAGTTATCAATGTAAGACCTTGCAATTAAATGTGGTCTGCCAAATCTAGACAATAATATTGACCTAGCACGTTTATAACCTTCTTCCGGTTCTAACAAAACACAATCTTCTATACTAGATTTTGCCTTACCTGTACAATACTGAATGAGATAACTTAGCTTTAAATTATTGTCACTTATTCTGCTTTCAATGTTTGTTTCAAAGTTTTTGATAAATTTGCAGTATCCTTCAGGCTTCCCATCAAATGTCAATAGTTCTGGCTTCGGTAAGTTGAATCCTTCATGAAGTGCTGACGCCAATCTTTGAAATGATCTGTCAATGTTCGATGTCTCACTGTCAACTTCCGGTATACACGATCTGTTTATTTCTGGTCTGGGCTGTGTCAAAGTTATATTTCTCACAGAATCTGTACGGTTGTTCACCTGAATATGATTAGTCATATTATTTTGTACGTCAGGCTGAGCATTTTGATTGTTAGATATGACCCCGGTTTCTTCCTGTGTTGTTTCTAACCACACCATTTCTTCTATCTCGGCTTCTTCTAATTTCGACTGCTGATCTAACAACTGTTGTTTCATTTCAAGATCCCGGCGAGCTCGTTCAAGTTCTTGTTTCTTTTTAAGTTGTTTTAATTTGTGTTCTGCTATTAAACGCTTTGCTTTAGCACTTTGTAATTTCCGGCGCGACGAGACTGAAGTACGTGAACTTCCATGGCTGACATTTGACTCTGCGTCATTTTCTACAGGAATATTTTCTCCATCATGCGGTCCAATAGCTCCCGCGATCCACTGAGAAAATCTTTCCCTGAATTCTTCAAAGTTCTTTAAACAGCTCTCAAAGTTCGCTTCCAAGTCTGCAACAACTTCCGGTTGCGCGCACAAATCTAAACATTGTAAATGCACTGATTTGAAATGTTCAAAGCGTTCACATAATTTACTGTTTAGTAGTTTAACCTCTTCAATATTATTGAAGGACATCATACTCCTTTCAAGTTCATTATATAGTTTCGTCAGTTGAGCGCCATTTGCACTTCTTGATCTCTTCACACTGACAAACTCCTGATTCAAAGTTTCCGCACTATTTGTTGACGGCATTTTCGTCTCATCATAATCGAGAATTGTAAATCGAGAATTGTAGATGTTTTCCGTTAAAAATAGTCAAGAATGCGCAGATTTCAACACTTTTCTTTATTCTCATTCATGGAATAATATATCAATGTGATACAACAATGCGATTCTCTGAAAATAATAAATAAACATACTAAATACTGATTACAACGCATTTAAAATAAAATACAATAAATTGTCTAAAATAATAATGCTTATACAAATCATAAATATACGATATCACCTTTACAATTATAGACTTAAATCTATTAAATAATATTGTTATTTTATATTTCCGCGAATAATTCCGTTTATAATTTAATTCACGGCATAATATTGTAAAGTTCATCATCATTTAAACAATATTGAATTTACTATTAAATTCATACATAATTAATAACTTGCTTACCGATTATGATCTACTTTCCATTGGAAAACATCAATAAACAAAACACATCAACAATTTAAGCACTTCCGCCCAAGGCAAAACAACATATCAAAGTAACGGTTAATGACGTCACCGTAAAACAATTTAATGACGTCTTTTTACGGGAAACAAAATAAGACGTTACGTTTGGCGGAAATAGTGAAGCTATGTTAAATTGAAAGAGTCAAACAATGTTTTTAATAGTAAATACTATCGAAAAAATCAAACTATGAAAATTATGTGATTATAATAAATAAATTTACAATTAAGAACTATAATTCTTACAATAACATTTGAGAAACACCTGGTTTTGTGCCAATATCCTGTCACTTGTTATGCCCCCACAGAGTGGGAGCATATAGCGTTGCACTTGTCCGTCCGTCCGTCACGCCGTACGTCTGTCCGTTCGTCCGTCCGTCTGTCCGTACGTCCCGAAATCTTGTGAACGCAACTCCTCTTAAACCGGATGGCAGATTTTGCTTAAACTTTCAGGGATGAACAACCTTAATATGTAGATGGTAGTAAAGGAAGGAATTTTCGCTGCGACCAAATTTAACAGAATTATGGCCCTTTGTTGATTTTTTCACTATATACTATGTAGAAATTTTGTGAACGCAACTCCTCTTAAACCGGATGGCAGATTTTGCTTAAACTTCCAGGGATGAACAACCTTAATATGTAGATGGTAGTAAAGGAAGGAATTTTCGCTGCGACCAAATTTAACAGAATTATGGCCCTTTGTTGATTTTTTCACTATATACTATGTAGAAATTTTGTGAACGCAACTCCTCTTAAACCGGATGGCAGATTTTGCTTAAACTTCCAGGGATGAACAACCTTAATATGTAGATGGTAGTAAAGGAAGGAATTTTCGCTGCAACCAAATTTAACAGAATTATGGCCCTTTGTTGATTTTTTCACTATATACTATGTAGAAATTTTGTGAACGCAACTCCTCTTAAACCGGATGGCAGATTTTGCTTAAACTTTCAGGGATGAACAACCTTAATGCGTAAATCGTAGTAAAGGAAGGAATTTTTGCTGCGACCAAATTTAACAGAATTATGGCCCTTTGTTGATTTTTTCACTATATACCATATAGAAATTTTGTGAACGCAACTCCTCTTAAACCGGATGGTAGATTTTGCTTAAATTTCCAGGGATGAACAACCTTAATGTGTAGATGGTAGTTAAGGAAGGAATTTTTGCTGCGACCAAATTTAACAGAATTATGGCCCTTTGTTGATTTTTTCACTATATACCATATATATGTTGTCAGTGGGGGCATCCGTGTCCTTTGGACACAGTTCTAGTTTAATAGTATGTTTAATAGTATGATTAAATAAATTATTATAATAAATTATTAAGTTTTATTTCAACTGTAATATTAATATCATTGGCAGAGCTATCCTAGTAACTAGGCATCTGCGTCTGCATCACACTTTTGTTTAAGGTTTTTGGATCGCCCCACTTACTTTCTGTAATCATAGAGGTATTGATTCGAAACTTTAAATACTTGTTACTGACCTTCATCCCCACTTCCAGGTAAGAGGAAAAACTCTGGTATGGATTTTAAGAAAATTATGCCCCTGTTTCAACTTAAAATTTTGGTTAAGATTTTCGTACCATCCCACTTATTTTCTATATCCTTATAGGTATTGCTTTGAAACTTTGTATACTTGTTAATAACCATCATCCCCACTTTCATGCAAGTGCTTTATAATAGTAGAGCTTGCTGTCTTACAGACAGCTCTTATTACTCAATGCTCTTTAAATGTATACAAGTCCTGATAATTCAATCATAGTAGGGTATTATGCTAGCTGCAAATTAACATATCATTGCCATTGCTCAAATTCTAATCTAACTTTTAACCATTAACCTGTTTGAACTGAAAATGATTTGCATTTGTCACCAGTACAAAGAGACACTAGGCAGCTTGTACATCCATTCAGCTTGACCAGGCTGTTAGTATAATACTGTTCATTGTTTAATTTTTCAATGTTATTTTATATCCTACCCTGACCCAAATTCGGCGTTCTCCTAAATTCGGCGATGTTTCGTTTTTCATCATTCACGCGAGATTTCAGAGGTGAAGGTCAATCATGTTTATGTCCCACGGTATATTTTTACAACTCCAGTGATTTTCTGCGCTAAAGATGGAGATACGTCTGGTAAACATTAAAAATTGTGTATGACATGGAGAAAATTGTGTGTTTTACCTGATGCAATTTCAAGTTTATCTATACTTTCCTCTATTTGATTGAAATTGTTGCTTAAAATAATTTGACAGTCGCCGTTTTTTATCTAATATTAAACTAACTATTTTCACTGTCGATGTAGGTCAACATACTACGTCACAATCCCGCCAAAATAAAAAAATTACTGCAACCAATCAGAATCGCCGAATTTAGGTGACGTTTTCAGATCGTAGTAAGATTTTACATCAGCCATATTTGTTTATATTTGGCAACCGCTGAACGATTACATTGTTAGAAATGAACTTAAAGTAACTTTTAAATATTTCTAGTAAAATTATATCAAGTATAATTATAGATTACTGTAGTTTATTAAAAATGCCATTGACATTTGTTCTTATATCGCCGAATTTAGGTTACACCGGGATATATATATTGAAATTCCTTAGACTTTCAATTGACGTTCCAAATTCAAACCTAGGCAAATCTGTTCAAGAAATTGAGGTGAAAAGGGTTCAATCGGCATTTGATTAAAAGTCAGTAAGTAATAGATTATATGTATTTCAATTGCAAGAAGCTTGAGAACATGACCTTTCAATTTTATTGCTGTTTTTCATCAGGTTCAGGAGAATTCCTCGTTTTCATAAGTATTATGTGAAAAAAAAAATAATAAAAAAATTAAAGGAAATTTTTTGAAAAAAAATCCAGGTATATTGTTATCTCAAACATATTATTTATTTATAAAGCTTGATTTTGAAAACAAGTTACAACTTGTGTTTATCACTTTTAAGTCTTCTTTGTTCTCTGGTACAGAGAAGCAGATAAATAGAATCCCTAAAGAAAGTCCTAAACAGTAAAATTGAAAATGTTGCAGGCGCGGTTTGATTGAACCTGTTCATGGACGGTACTGAGAAGTGCAATCTACTGTCCACACTCCCCCTTAGCACCGGTTGAAGTTAAGTATTCATAATGTAAACACAACTGTAATTGTAGATGATTTTGAACATCTGCAGATGTGTTCATTTTGGGTGGTGATCAAATTGGAACCTTCAATAGACAAGTAAGTGCCATTTCATGACAAGCAGCGTTATTGGTCCCCAAATGAAAAAATACTTGTGCCCTTAAATAAATGGGCAAAAAATGATTTGTGTCAAAAGGGGAAGAATGGTGTTTGCGCCAATTAAAGCTCAATCCCACAAGCTCTTTGATATATCATACATGTAGTTTTTTGGTGTAACAAGTGTCCCTGAATATTTGTTTGGATCATAGAAACTTCATTGTACAGTTTTCCAGAATATGATGTGAATGAGTATTTGCAACATGTCGAAATGGACTATATGTCAGGACAGTTTTAGCGAAATTAATTTGTTCACAATTTATTGCGTGTGTCTGACAGATTTGTCACAAGCAAAAATTGTCTTGCTTGAAATTTTGTAGCAATGGTTTGTACACTGCTTACAACAACTAACAACACTTACGATTTTCAATTAATATTTGTTGATATATCTTTGCTTTCCATATAGAATGTTAAAATATCATCTTGCCTGTTTACTATTGGTGCTTGTTTTTTTATTAATTTTTTAACTGTAAAAAAAAAAAAAAAAATGATATTAAATAAATAATTTAAGTTAGAAACTAAATATCTTCAGGTTTCAATTGATGATGTTTTGTAAATTAAGTTAATTTTATGAGAATCAAAATTGAAAATTATTTTGGTTAAATTTAGTTAAATTTTTGAGTATCAAAACGGAAATTATTGCCTTAAATCTCTGTAGTATTTTTAGACAAATTTTACTTGTTTGATGATTGTATTCTTCCTTGTTTTCTTGTTAGGACTTCATGCCTCAGCTACCATTAAATCATATTTTGAAAGTGTATGAAGCTTGGAAATTTGTCATATTTAAGCGATATTAAGCCTCAAGAACATAATTTTTTACATCTTTAGAAAGCATAAGGCAAGTTTTAGAGCATGTAAGATGCTTGTATCTTGAAGAACGTAGCACTTAATGTGAAAAAAATTGTCATAAAAGGAGCAAAACTTCTTTTTTATAAACACTGTAGATTTTCCTTCCGTAATTTTTGCTTTAATACAAATGCTAAATAACTACAAATATACATACTAACTGCCAAAAAAGCAATAGAAGAAAAAGGATGTTCATGTAAATTTTGGACAACTATAAAAGTACACCAAAATGAAAAAAGTTTTGAGAAATAAAAAAAACAAAAACATTTCTGGGGTAATTGAACCTTTAATTTTGAAAAAATAAAATATTTTCAAATACTGGTGTGGAAGAAATTAGTTTGTATAAAATTATTCTTATGAGCAAATGGTGCATGGACACAATCATTGGTAAAAGGTTAAAACCTTACTAACATAGCAACATAATATTTTGTTCAGGAACATTTTATGCAGTTTACATACAGTAGTTATGTATGTTAAATAACAGAGACATTTTATGGAAAAGATTTTCTTACTATTTTAAGAAAGTCAATAGGTTAAAGGTCAAGAAACAAAACTGACACAAAATTAAAAAAAAAAAAAAAAAGATTACTACTATCCTTTCTGAAATAACTGCTATTGGATCTATCCAACAAGTGGTGTGTTGTGAGTTTTTTCATGTGAGGAAGCAGTTGACTGCAATGACACAGGACGTCCTAGCTTCCCTTCAAAGAAAGTTTTTTTCATTGATAGTAAATCATATACATTGTAGTACACAATTCAACTTAAAATCATCATTACATTACTGGTATAAAGAAAATCGAAGTACAGACTATCAGTTACAAAAAAAGTCCCACAGACAAATTAAATTATGGTTTCATAATTATACACTTACATTAAGACTCATTACTGAAGCCATTATCATGGGCATTTTAGTATGGAAATATACATTTATTAATTAGATAAAATAAATAACAGATACTTTACTATTACAATGGATAGCAAGGTTGTATCTCTAAAAGAAAATTAAAGTCTTATAAACTATGAAGTCCAAGGTTAATTATTTTTCAACATAAATGTGTGTGTGTGCACCTTTCTTAAAAAATGGTTTAATTAGCATAACCTTTTCAACAACTAGCCTTTTTCCACCAGTATAGGGCCA